ATGGATGTCAAAATTTGTCAAGTTAAAATGGATGTCGGGTAAAATTTGTCAAGTTAAACTACATGTAGCATACTCACACTAGACAAGTAAAGTTAATAGTTATTTACATAAATGAAACTTATATTTTTTGGATGTATGTATATGCAACTTTTTATTTTAGACTAGAAGACCTGGCGTACTTCGTGTCGCCCTATAATCAAGAAATATCTGTTACGTTTTTTTATTTATATTTTTGGAGTTTACCTATTAAAGCCATAAATCTCCGTGTTTTGAAGTGCGACAGAATGATTGACATATTAGTTAGTTGTCAAATCTAATGTCTAAAAAAATTTTTGTATGGGAAATAGAAAAGGGTTGTTTTTATGGTTTTCTCAGTAATGAATCAATTTTTTTAAGCTTTTATACCTTCCCTGAACCTCCACGAACATTTCAAGACTATGATAAGATAAATCCGTTCAGCTGTTCTCGAGTTTTAGCGAGACTAAGGAACAGCAATCCATTTTTATATATATAGAAGATTATAAACTACATACAACAACGTTTCGGTTACTTTACAGCAACCGTGATCATTAAGACGAGTTGTGAATGTCTTAGACCTCATTATTAAGTTAATAGTTAATTTATAACCACGGGTTGAAATAAAAATCTTGTTTTATATGGTCACGTGTGTTTGGGATCAAGTAGGGGTCAACTGTAAAGAGGCCTGGTAAAATAGTGAGTGACGTGCTTCTGTTTTAAATTATATTAAATATTAGCTGCGATAGTTATTTAATTAATATATATACATTTTATAAAATTAAAGTATTCTAAGTTAAAAACAATTATATTATCTGATTTTTAGTCAAAGTTTCGTCCAAATAGGTTTAGTTTTAGAGATGAGCTGGAACTAAAAGATGTCAAAAACTACATATGTATGTGCAATAGTTGTATATTATCTACCAAGGCCTATATTTAGACCCAGGGACGGTGTTAGTAACTATAAAAATAAAGATAATAGAAAACTGTTATCAAATTATTGCATTGTCATATATATTTTATACTAGCTTTCCGGTCGCAGCTTCGCCCGCGTGGAGTTCGGTTATATCGCGTTTCCAAGAGAACCTTTCAAAAGTCTGGGATAAAAACTATCCTATGTTTTTTCTCAAGGTCAACTCTATATCTATATCAAATTTCATTAAAATTAGTTCAGTGGTTTACGCGTGAAAGCGTAAAAGACAGACAGATAGACAGAGTTACTTTCGCATTTATAATATTAGTAGGGGTTAGTCTTGACATATATCTTGACCAAGAAAAAATGTTTATTTATACAAATAAAGATTATCAATTCTATTTCCTTTCTTTATCTTTCCTTTTCTTAAAAGATAAACAATAAATATACTAACACTGATCTCAATCTATTTTGAGTATGTTCATTGCGTCTTCCGCTGTCATTACTCCATCTGTTCGGTTCCCTGTCGTAGTGTAACGTTTAGCCGACTTCAAATAATGTAGTATTATTGCTTTACTACATATACAGGGTGACTGGTGAATTACTATCGATACTTGAGGACGTGATATTTGACGATCATATATGACAAAATAAAAATTAAATATTAATAAACTTCTAGGTAAAGTTAACCAAAAGTTATGTAATTATTTACGCATCGTGTGACAACCCTACAGATTAGGTATACACACACACTCACACACGCGTACGGCGGCGTGGTGTTGTATCGCGTCCACACTTGGAACACTTGGAACGTGTCCACACTTTATTTATTTATACGGAAATTTTGTCAAAAATTAAGTACCTATTTTTTTTACATAATTCGAATGAGAATCATGTACCGAGTATTCTCCTTAAATATTGATAGTAATTCACCAGTCACCCTGTATATCTCTACTAATATTATAAATGCGAAAGTAACTCTGTCTGTCGGTCTGTTACTCTTTAACGCGTAAACCACTGAACAGATTTCAATGAAATTTGGTACTGAGATAGAGTTGACCTTGAGAAAGAACATAGGATAGTTTTTATATCAGACTTTTGAAAGGTTCTCTATGAAACGCGATATAACAGAACTCCACGTGAGCGAAGCTGCGGGCGGAAAGCTAGTATATTATATATCTGTCCGTTTTTATGTTTATCTTTAATTATTTTTTTGTCTGAAATTCTATCATTATTTCTTAGTTTTAAGGTAAGGTAATTATTTTTTGAAAATTATTCTCTTTTTGTCAATCTTGAGACGGGAAAAAAATTTGTACAAAATTATGAATTTAGTTTTGATTATTACATAGAGCCCAGACATACATATGTACGTTTAGTGTTTAAACAATGAATTGATATACAAAAATTATTTTCCATAATCACTGTATAATATTACCATTATATCTTTTATCATTTGTTTCTTTATATTATATACATTTAAAGTATAATTCAATAAGTTTAAACCATTTTTATATAAAATCAAAGAAATGAAACAATCAATTTAATTAATAATAATATATGTATGAACTTACATTTAGTGATCTTTTAAATGATTTTTAAAACTTTAATGAGTTATTTTCTAGTTCTAGAATGCCTATTAAATCAAGGTAGGTCGCTATAAATAGTTAGACAGTTATGTATATTTATATATATATACTAGTTTCTGTCCGCGACTTCGTCCGCGTTAATTTCGTCATTAGTTATATATGTATAGCTGACCAGGCGAACTCTATTCCGTCTTAGAGACTATAAATAATCAGGTTTCTCCTGTTTCAATCGAACAGAATGATTGACATATTAGTTAGTTATTAAATCTAATGTCAAAAAACCGTTTGTATGGGAAATAAAAAAGCGCTGTTTTTAGGGTTTTCCTTTAAATTAATAATTTTTTTTTAGCTTTTAAACCTTCCCTGAACCTCCACGAACATTTCAAGACTAAGATAAGATAAATCCGTTCATCCGTTCTCGAGTTTTAGTGAGACTAACGAACAGCAATTCATTTTTATATATATAGATATAATATGTATGTATAGTAGTGTGTCATAGCACGTACAATGCCAAGGCCGAGCGTTGGAGACATATTAATATATCAATTTCAATGTAGCAGTATTATTTAACATGAGAACATATGTAATACTAGCTTTTGTCCGCGACTTCGTCCGCGTATTTTCATAATAGCTGACCTACCAAATGTTTTGATAAGAGGCAGTAAAGAAATAGATTTTGGATTTTATTAGCAATATTTTTGGGTTGAACGAATTCAAAAGTATCCTATGTCCTTTCTATGTACTAATCTATCTCTCCACCAATCTTCATCCAAACCCGTACAGTCGTTCTTGAGTAATAAATAGTGAAACTAACACGACTTTCTTTTGTATATATGTAGATATATGTTTGTGCTATATAATATTATTATTCTTCTTACTAAGCATATTTTTTATTATTCTTTGGTTGTCTCATAATTTTATTTACTAATTTCCATGATCCTTTCCCATCTAATAGTCTCTTTATTAAATCATCTCAACACTAAATGAATATTTAAAACTTTTCATTCATTTAAATGAAACTAATATTATTCGTATTACGACGAGTATTTTATTATTTTAACTACATAGTACCGAGGTTTCGGTTACTTTACAACCGTGATCATTAAGACGAGATGTGAATGTCTGTTCTCATGTAATCGTAAAACGCGAAGCAATAAGAAAATTTTAAACATAAAGAATCTTTAATAATTATATTTTCTCCAAATAAAAACACACAACAATTATCACAAAGAAATATATGTAAATATAATAAACCTACACCTGGGTCACAAGTCCCAGTCACTGTTGAAGCTCCTCTCACTACAACGATGGACCCGACACACGCACCGTGAATACATTGAATGATGAGAGGTTTCGTCTCTTTAAGTCTTATTTTAACTGGAATTATAATTATTCTCCAACATCCAAGTCCTTATCCAATTTGTACCTCTTCATAGTGAAAAGACCTCGTATACTTCAACATCTTGGTTTGATTAAGAGCTGTTTATGTTCTGGTAAAGATTTTAGATCTACCCACTCCGTGCAGAGAGACTATGAAATAGAATTTATAGCTATGACAATCATTCTTGATTTTTTTTTATATCGAAGGGGATAATCGAGCAGACTGCCTACCTGATGGAGGTAGTACAGTCACCCATAGATTTCGCAAAGGTATTTTGGGGCAGAAGAAGAGGAAAGGGTGGGAAAGAGAAGGAGCAACCGTCTCTCTCACTCATCATACTAAACGCAGCCATTAAAGACTACTTCACGCCGATCTTCTGTAAGAGGGTGGTACTTACGGTCGAGACAGACCATGTTCGAGCTGTAGTAACTTGACCACAGCTAGGCTCTACCAAATAGACAAGATTGATGAAGAATTTCCGAATATTCCTGTTTAAAAGCCTTGAATTAGTTTTTCAGGGCTAAATTATTATTATCGAGGTTTACTATATATATATGTATATGTCTGTGTGGTGTTCTGACGCAATAACACCTTTAGGTCTTCATTAGCAGTCATGTAATGTACGTAACCCGCCAGCCCACGCTTAGTCGTAACGGGCTAAGCTCTAATTGGTTTTGACTAATACCTAATGCGTATTATTTTAATACATTTTTTAATATTAAATATAAATGGATTTTTAAACATTATAATCAATTTAATTATTTATTTTATATAATAAAATATATTTATGTAACTAAAAAGACGATAATACTATGTTTGAATCCCAATTTATCAAACAAAACACGCATAGTATAATCTGAAAATATTAGTTTCATTTAAAGTGTATACATATCCTTAATATAAATGTTATAATAATCATCATCAGTCTATCAGAGTCCACTGCTGAGCCTCTTCTCACATATGAAGGTTTAAGCATTAATCACCACGCTCGCTCAAGATGGGTTGGCGATTTCAAACTTATAATTTGATATTATAAGTCCAGGTTTCCTCATATTTTCCTTCATCAGTCCGTGATGTCTAAATACTCTTAAGTACATATGACTCGGAACTATCACATTGGTACTTGGCAGGATCGAACCCGCGGCTTCATGCATGAGAGGCGGGCCTTTAACCACAAGGCCACGATAAATGTTATAAATTTTAATATATTGAAGGATGAGGTCAATTATTTAAATAATTGCTATAACCCTACTGTTTTTCAGTAGGTATATATATAAAAAATATATACCTACTGAAAAACAGCTATTTCCTTATTATATCCTATTCTTCCAGACGTTGGTGTGTGTCATCCTTCTGGTCTTCAGCCACTCTCCTGCTGCATCGCCTCATCACGACACCAGCACCAACAGGTTGAGTACTAATATTATAAATGCGAAAGTAATTCTGTCTGTCTGTTACGCTTTCACGCCTAAACCACTGAACTGATTTCAATGAAATTTGGTACAGACATAGAGTTGACCTTGAGAAAGAATATAGGATAGTTTTTATCACAGACTTTTGAAAGGTTCTCTTGGAAACGCGATATAACCGCACTCCACGCGGGCGAAGCTGCGGGCGGAAAGCTAGTAGGTAATAAAGGTGTAAAAGCAGATGGCTCGGTCGCTGGTTGCTCATGGACATCCGCAACTTAATAGCTGATGATAACGCATTGCTGACCTTGATTTTTATGGAGAAGGAAAGGGTGGGAAAGGGAAAGGGCAACCGTCTCTCTCACTCATCATACAAAACACAGCCATTAAAGTCTACTTAACGCCGATCTTCTGTGAGAGGGTGTTACTTCCCCGGTCGAGACAGCACATGTTCGGGCTGTAGTAACTTGACTCGAAATATTGACTCGAAATATCGCCACAATTATATTCATTGATGAAACGTAATGTTTTTATATCTATCCTCCGAATTTAATATGATTTTTTAATTATTATTGATTGAATTTTATAATCAAATATAAGTATTTCCTAATATAAATACATATGTTTTAAAATAGCATCAAATTATAACAATCATATTTTAGACTCATTTTTTGCATTATATTTAATTCTTTACATTCTGCAAACTTAAATCAAAATCATTACAGTTATCGTATTGCAAGAAAGACCAAGGAATATACATTGAAATAGCAGAAGCTTATTTTCCCAGCTAAACTAGCATATAAGCTGTATGGAAAAGCTGGTCTCATTGAGTGTAATTTTCCAGCTCCTAAGCCAAAACCTCGTCCAGCGAACTATGACCACTTGCATCCTGAACCGCTGGTGGATTGCTCAGTGCTGTATTCACCAGATGATCCAGAAGTTGACGTTATTTTCGTCCATGGGCTATACGGTAAGGAATTGCTATTAATATATTAGACATAAAAGTTTGTATAGAGAGAGGAGCTTGTACAGTGTAGGTGAGCGTTTAACGCGTTTGGTAGGGACCCCTTAAACCTACACCCGGGTCACAAGTCCCAGTCACTGTTGAAGCTCCTCTCACTACAACGATGGACCCGACACACGCACCGTGAATACATTGAATGATGAGAGGTTTCGTCTCTCTATATATATTAAACCTACACCTGGGTCACAAGTCCCAGTCACTGTTGAAGCTCCTCTCACTACAACGATGGACCCGACACACGCACCGTGAATACATTGAATGATGAGTTTCGTCGTCTCTTTTGTTACACTTTTACTCGAAAACTATGAACATATTCTGATGAAACTTTCCAGTGATGTAACTTAGATATTAGAGTAAAATATAGATTATAATTTAGCCAAAAACAAATTAGTTTCTTAAGTAACACTTATTGAAAGTTGAATTTCGTATGAAGCACTAACAAGTAAGTAAAACTGGCGCTCTTATAATTGTTATGTTTTTAAGTTCTCTCTGAACTCAATACTGAAAAACAAAACAGACAAAGTCGCGGTCATAAACTAGCATCATTATATTATGAATATTTGATATTACGTATTTATTACGCAAAATTCAAGTAAACTTTCATTTAATATTTTGAAACTTAAATTTTAATCATATAATATTTAATCAAAGAGAAAGTATTAGTAAAAATGGAATGACGTAATTTTGATATAATTCAGAATCTTCATATATAAAAGAAAGTCGTGTTAGTTACATTATTTATAACTCTAACGACTGTACGGATATGGATGAATATTGGTGGAGAGATAGATTAGAACATAGAAAGGACATAGGAAACGTTACATACGATTGAAAAAAAATGAGTTGATCAAATACAAAATCTTACCTACAGTCTTTAAAAAGGAACAGAGTTCGCCCGGTCAGATATACATTTATAATTCTGATTAACGCAGACGAAGTCACAGGCAAAAACTAGTTGTGTATAATTTAAACTGTTAATACAAGTTTTACAACCAGTGTTTGCATGTTTTAAAGCGTACATATACACGTATTTCCAAGACTATAGTCGTTTCCTCTTATCGCGAATGTTTATGCTATAGCATCGCGTCAAATGACAGCGGAATAATAAGAAATGCAATAGTCTCTCGTATGTGTATATTTTTCAGTTATTCTAATGGAAAATACGAAAAATATTGTACGCGGTAGAAGTGGGAGCGAGAGGTATAAGAGCTAAATCTCTCTACAATCTGTTAAAAGACATGGGCCTGTCCAGAACTCACATAATAAATTCTTGGAACGTACTTCGAAGGTAGAACTAGTAGGTTCGCTTCAAATTTGGTTAGGAGATAGGAACTTGGTCGGTGGAGGTGATCGTTTAACGCGTTAGATAGGGTCCCTTAAACCTACACCTGGGTCACAAGTCCCAGTCACTGTTGAAGCTCCTCTCACTACAACGATGGACCCGACACACGCACCGTGAATATATTGAATGATGAGAGGTTTCGTCTCTTTCTTGTGGATAGATTTGCAAACTAATAGATTAATTTGGAAGATTTCTCCAAAAAATTGATTGTCAGAACATTTATAGATAACCATCAAAATCGATCTAGTTTTTTGTGGACAGAGAGAAGAAATAGAGCATAATTAACAATCTTCTTCTTCTACCTGGCAATTTCCCAGCTTTAGGCAGGGTCTGCCTTACATGTTGTGAATAGTTTTGGCTAATTGTTTTTACGACCAGCCGCCTGCCTGACATCAACCATCTTTGGGAAGAGTATAATTCAAAATATTCTATTATAAATGTTTATTCTGATACAATTTTTATTTATGTTATATCTAATTCAGTAATCAAGGTTCTATAAAATTTGCTTAAATGTTCTTAATGATTTTTTGGAGGTCAAAATTTAGAAGGTAAATGGTTGACCGTGGCTGGCGAGGTCAATTTTGAATATAGTTGACAATAAAATATACTCTTTGATAATTCTGCTCTAAATATTATTATATATAAATCATTGACCAGTGAGATTTTTAATTTATGTTAAATATTAAGGAATTTTTATTCTCGAGTCACATTGACTAGGAATGTTCAGATCAATTTTTAATTTCGTAAAGAATCACTTATCTATGAAATGAGAACAAGTCAAATTATTATACTTATTTGTGTAAGTTACATAAAGATTTTTTATTTGGCGCAAGACGATTACACATACACACAAACACAGACACACACACACACACATATATATACTGTTATATCGAATTAATATTAAATTAAGTTTTAAACATCTTAATGAGTTTTTAAATTTCTAACATTATTTAATTTATTAGTAGTTCTTACCCGCATTTTCGTCTGCGTGGGTTTAGAATTGGACTTTTAAAAAATTTAAAAATGCCTCGAAAAATAGTAAATTTCGGGACGATTCATATCCTATATCCTTTTCTGGTCTGTAAGCTTCATTAATAAAGAGTTTCATTGAAATCCGCTCAGTATTTTAAGCGTGAAAGAGAAACAAACATACATACTTACATATGTACTTCAATTTATTAGTAGGAAGTTATAACTAACTAGATTTTTTCATACATAATATGTTTAACAAACAGAACTTATGCATATTTATAAATGACATAAGATAATATATATTGCACAACAAAGTCAAGATTATGCTAGAATATATTAAAAACCTATTAAAATTTATGAAAAACTTATAATAAAGATAAATAACAATATTGTTTTGCAATTTTTATTATGTATTCAATAATCTATAATAATTTCCGTCTTTACATCGCTTTAATAAATTCATATTTTTCAATGGTAGGTTCTCTAGCAAATACGTGGAGACAAGGCGAATGGAGATCGAGATATCAAAAGGAAATTAAGATAGTGCCATTGAGAAGACCGCATTCAACACCAACCTGCACTTGCACGGAGGAACGAATCACATGCAGCGAAAATGCAAAAGAAACAGAAGTAAATGAAACGACGTCAAATGAAACGAATGTAAATGAAACAAGAATGAAAGAAATGACGTTAAATGAAACGGAAATAAATGAAATAAATGAAAAAGACACCTTGGATGTTAAGAATATAACGAAAGACGATATATTTATAACAGAAAAATTCTATACCAACCATCAAATAGAAATTATGAATTACGATACTCAAGCTCAGTTCGTTAGGGATTTATTTGATATGGCGAATGAACTGAAGCCGGGGGACTGTAAATGTGAAGCGAAATGTGAAGTTGGTTGTGGATGTCTGTGTGATAAATGTTACTCGCCGTGTTGGCCTCGGGACTGGTTGCAGGTTGACTATCCAGGGGCCAGAGTGATCTCTATAAACTATACGAGCGACCCTTACTTGTGGCGACCTCTGTGGATTAAGCCGAGTCAAAGGTAAGTAGCATGATACATGTAACGATTTTAAATGAAACTAATATTATTCAAATCTCGTCTTAATGATCACGGTTGTAAAGTAACCGAAACGTCGGTAGTATGTAGTCAAAATAATAAAATACGCGAAGTAATTCGAATAATATTAGTTTCATTTAAATGAATACTCACGAAAGTTTGAGATCTGATTATGAAACTATTGTGTTTAGTTCTTCTCTTTTAATATATAACATGATTTTTAATAAAATACTTGTAATATATGTTTACATAAGTGATTTTATGAACTTTTTCTACTACAATTTTAAATTCATTACCTCATCATATTTGCTGTCGACTAAGACACTTTTATTCTAGCTTTAAATGAATTTCGAAAGCAGCATCCTAATCGTGATATCATATTTTAAATGTAAAGTTTCTTTGACATTAATAGAAACCAATTTTACCTTAAATATTTTTAACAATTTTACAATGTTCTTATCTGAAAGCACCTTTATAACATATATATAATATAGACCTACTTGAAATATATGGTAAAATATATATAGTTGTCAATGCTTTCTGCCTAATTCTGTATAATCGTTCAAAGGCTTCGTCTCCACGAGCGTGCCAATCAAATGATAAGCCAACTCTTGGCGCTGGGCGTCGGAAAAAGACCCATCATATGGGTTGGACACTCAAAGGGTGGATTATTTATTAAACATATTTATTGTGAAGGTAATTTTTCTTATATAAAATTATTCACATTTGTATAAATAAGTAGACATAAAATTTCTATCAATATTTATTTTTTAGGCTTTATTTGTAGATTTTTGACTATATTTCTGGCCTTAAAATCTGATTTTATTGTATTCTTTGAAGTATTCATTCTTCTGGATTAAGATTCAATAATTTTATTAACACCAAAAAATTTCTAAATATCTGACTTTTCACACAATTTTATATGTAAAAATCTGGATATACTTTCTATAATACTCAACTTCATTTAAGAACATTTCATTTACATTAATATGACTTCATTTAAATCTATTTCCAGCCTACGACGCGTATACGAAGCAAATGAAAAACGGTGAAACAGAATCAAATAAACAAAATACGAGCGAATGTAACAACGACAATAGAATTAATCATTGTATAGACAAACACACGGATAATGAAACTAGCTGTGATATATTAGGTGATAAAAATGAAAATGTTTCAAATGAAACAGAAATAAATGAAGTTACATGTAATTTAGATAATATATACAATGACTCTGTAGATGATGGAGGCGTAAAAGGAAGTGAACGAATGAATGAGGAAATCGTTCATCCAGATCTTCGTGGTGAGTATGCTATATCTACTTTCCAGCTGTAATTTTCCAGAAGTTACAGGTCTAAATTCTGCTCATGTTATTTATATCTGGTTTAAGCTTAATTTTGGTAATATGACAAGTTCTGTAACATGTTATCTTTTATTGAAAGGATCATTAAAATCGGTACAGCTTTTTGGATATTAGATATAAAGAATAAGCAAAAATTTTCTGTTTGATAAAAAATTTATAACTGTATTTTATTAAATAGAAACTGTATTTTATTTTTCGTTAACTATAATTAAAAGGGTTAAATGAAACAATTATAAGTCATGAAATGTAAAAATGCATTTTTTTACGTACGTACACGACACATCTCGTTTTAATGATCACGGTTGCTGTAAAGTAACCGAAACGTCGGTAGTATGGAGTCAAAATAATAAAATACACGTAGTAATAGTTTCATTTAAATGAAACTAATGGAAGTCTTAGATCTCATTGGTGGTAATTTTCATTCGTTAAGGACCACAGCAAGTCTACTAGGAGCTTTTAATAGATGTGGGTCTAGAAATGTGAGTTAAGATGAAATATTTAATATGAGAAGTAATGAGTTCTTATTTGTTGGTTTGTCTGTCTGTTGAAGAGCTATCGTCAATCTATCACAAGTCTGCTGGCTTTATGTTCTACTCCGTGCCTCACCGAGGCTCGCCGCTAGCGGACATAAAGACGCCGGTCACAGCTAGGAGTGTGGAACTTATGGAAATATGTAAAGGTAGGGTCATGAAGTGGATATATGGTGTCTGGTCCAAAAATAATATTAATTTAATTGTGGACCATACATAAAATAAATGGAATTCATTTTGAATGTCAGATATATGGTGTATGGCCCAAAAATATGTGTTTTTTTTTGGCATTACATAAAATAATTATATTATATATTAAGTTTTGTGATGATCATGGGATATGTTTTTGGCAGCTAGTTTATTTTTATGAAGAAATTGTTGGTTTAAGAATGATATTTGATTTCGTCTGCGTTAGTTCTAGAATTAGAAATTAGAATGGAATAGTCTTGGAAATATGTACGTGTAAAATAAACAGAACTATATGTACACTTTAAAACATGCAAACACTGGTTGTAAAACTTGTATTAACGGTTAAAATTATACATAACTAGTTTTTGCTCGCGACTTCGTCTGCGTTAGTTTCATAATTAGAAATATATTTGACCGCCCGAACTCTGTTCCTTAGAGACAGTAGATAAAATTTTGTATTTGATCAACTTATATTTTTTCAATCGTATGTAAAGTATCCTATGTCCTTTCTATGTTCTAATCTATCTCTCCACCAATCTTCATCCATATCCGTACAGTCGTTAGAGTTATATACAGGGTGACTGGTGAATTACTATCGATATTTGAGGACGTGATTTGTGACGATCATATATGACAAAATAAAAATTAATATAACATAAATATTAATAAACTTCTAAGTAAAGTTAACCAAAAGTTATGTAATTAATTACGCATCTTGTAAACACCCTACAGATTAGGTATACACCTACTCTCACACATACGAGTGCGGCGGCGTAGTGTTGTATCAGCACGCCGCCGCACGCGTCCACACATGGAACACTTGGAACGTGTCAACACTTTATTTATTTATACGGAAATTTTGTCAAAAATTAAGTACCTATTTTTTTTACATAATTCGAATGAGAATCATGTACAGAGTATCCTCCTTAAATATTGATAGTAATTCACCAGTCACCCTGTATACGTCTGGTATTTCAGACTGTGACCTGGTCCTTCATCTCCACGACCGCTGGCGTCTCGCAGCCTCCTCCCTGCCTCCCGTCCGTAGCCTGGTGGAGACTGACCGGACTCTCATGTCGCTGTTGTATCTGAGGATCGTGAGCGTTGATAGTGCAGGTATTCTTATCTTTGTAAACAGAACATTCTATATATAAACTAGAAGACCCGGCGAACTCCGTATCGCCCTATAATCAAAAATATCTGTTATGTTTTTTTATTTATATTTTTGGAGTTTACCTATTAAAGCCATAAATATCCGTGTTTTGAAGTGCGACAGAATGATTGACATATTAGTTATTTGTCAAATCTAAAAGTTTGTATCAACAGCTACTAATAAATTAAAAATTAATTAAAAAAACATTGTCCAGCGGACAAAATTGTTAAAATACACCATTCCCAGATCCCCTTGAACACACACAAAAAATTTCATTGAAATCGGTCCCGTCGTTTGAGAGTAGTTCAGTGACATACACACTCACAGAAGAATTATATATATTAAAATAATCTATGTTTCTTCAGACCCAGGTGTAGGTTCTCTCCACGGGGTCTCCGTGGACCACAGGGAGATCTGCAAGCCGACCAGCCGACGCTGCATCCTCTACAAGGAGCTCATGACGCTCATGAGCACCGCGCTACAGAACTACAAGGTTCAACGACCTCTGGTGACGTCACAGACGACATCTTAAATGGACCCCAAGCTTAGACTGTTGAGAAACTGTGATGGCTGTTATATTGTTACAATGATATTGACAGCTGCGTGTATTTAATTAATTGACAGCTGTCATCATTTTTTTTAGTTGACATTGACAGCTGTCACTTTTTGTAATTGACATTGACAGCTGTCACTTTTTGTAATTGACATTGACAGCTGTCACTTTTTGTAATTGACATTGACAGCTGTCACTTTTTGTAACTGACATTGACAGCTGTCACTTTTTGTAACTGACATTGACAGCTGTCACTTTTTGTAACTGACATTGACAGCTGTCACTTTTTGTAACTGACATTGACAGCTGTCACTTTTTGTAACTGACATTGACAGCTGTCACTTTTTGTAACTGACATTGACAGCCGCCTGACATGTGAATTGACAGTGACATTTTGTAAAGATATGCGATCTTTTCATAGAGCATTCTCGAATTCATTGTTTCTGTTATAAATTGTATCGTTAATTTTTGTTTATTTTATTTTGTTATTCCATATAAATATAATTCTTTGTATAAATACATTTTATTATCTTAATGAACGATTGCTAAGTTATATATATTATAATTATTAGAACTTAACACTAAATATTTGATAAACTTGCCTTCGAATATTAAAAAAAATATATACTATACATATATATTTATATGTATATCCTTATGTACTATATCTGATTTATTTGTTTCTTGAATAAATATAATATTAACTATGAACATGTAAAATAAATATTTTAATATTACTCCAGTTTATTTTAAGTTCTATTAAACTTGTTATTCCATATTCAGCATTTAAGACAGACAACAGGGTCTTATGAATGTTATTGCATACTAATTATTTGTAAATACAATTAAAATATAAAATATTTCTCATCTAATTATTGTTTTTATTTGTGTATATTTTCCTTCTTCATCGGCGTTAAAAGGTTTAGTCATAAATCTTATGACATTAGAAGTGGTAGCGAGTGGTATTACAGCTAAATCTCTCTACAACCTACTGAAAGACTTGGGCCTGTCCAGAACTAATATTAATACATTCTTAGAACGTATATCAAAGGCAGCCCTAGTAGGTTCGTTTCAAATTAGGTAGAGAGAGGAGCTTGTACGGTGGAGGTGAGCGTATAACGCGTTAGATAGGTGTCCCTTAAACCTACACCTGGGTCACAAGTCCCAGTCACTGTTGAAGCTCCTCTCACTACAACGATGGACCCGGCACACGCACCGTGAATACATTGAATGATGAGAGGTTTCGTCTCTCTATATATATTAAACCTACACCTGGGTCACAAGTCCCAGTCACTGTTGAAGCTCCTCTCACTACAACGATGGACCCGGCACACGCACCGTGAATACATTGAATGATGAGAAGTTTCGATGACGATGATGGTGAGGATGAGAACTACCTATGTTAACCTGGATCTAGCTCGTAAATATGGTTAAAAGTTAAAACCACTTCAAAGCTAGAAAAAAACCTCAACAGTTAATAATAATATAAAACATACTCCTGACAGTTTTTTATAATCTGCTATCAAATAATAAGATCTATCAGATAGTAAAGTAAACAAACTTGCCAATAACATACTAAATTTGCTTTTTTTAGTGCCTATATTTGTATTGTAACATATATCAGTTGTAATCTCTGTGTTGTAATGGTCATGCTGCTCGATGTATATGTTGATAATATATAAAGATAACGCTCATTGTAACGAGGACTGTTTGAAACAAATAATAATTTGACACAACTATATATGCATTTGATTTAAGGTTCATAGGTACAAAGTTTATGGAGGAATGAACTAGATTCTTCAGATGTACAATGATTATAAATAGTGCAACTTTAATATATGTACTGAAATATATTAAAAAAGGGAATTATTAATAATTGTGAGTTTTCAAACAATATAAATAGTTTTATTTAAATGTGTGGTCGTGAAAGTCACAGATAATTGTTCAGAAAAACAGGCTTTGATCAAGACTTAAGATAAGATTTCAATTTAATCCTTCAATTAGAGGATTTTCCGTGTAATTGATGGGTTATTATGGTAATGGGTGATAGTTCTGACTTGGTGGAAGGGTGAGGTGACAGTTGAGCATAGTGTAGAAGTAATGATATTAATTAATGTTCAGTCAGAAGCGAGCTAATAATTTGTAACACTTGTATCCCCTTCACACAATCAAGAAATTCAAGGAATTACACAAAGAGTAACTATGTTTTTTCGAAGTTGAAGTTGCAATGTCTGAAAGATTATGATGATGGGTGCCAGAGTCTATTTCCAACAATGAGTACTAGAACGTGTTTTATGTGAAGCTGTCTTCATCTGTTTTGATTCAAACAGGACTTCTATCAGTTGTTTGACCAGTACTTATCATTGTACGCTACATCACTGACAGGGTAACCAGATTTCTACTGTCTCTTCTAATCTTAGAATAAAACTGTGAATACTTTTAGCCTGCATGTTTATCTTAGACAAAGAATACGATTAAAATCTCTAATATGATCATGGAGACTTTTTAAAAATCCTTTTAATTTTTAAATTACTTTTTAAGAATTAAGAATAAATAGGTAAGGGGGAAAATATTACATTTATCTCTATGTTTTTACCCTACAATATTTTTGATTAAAATTGCATCCTTCAGAACTTATGAAAGAGCAGCAGATTTAATATCATAACAAAAGTATCTAAGAATATTTTGTAAAATATTCAATACTCCTCCATGATAACCTCTCACTTTTTTATATTTTTCTTTATAATCAAAATAAATTTTGTTACATAAAAACACATTATGGTTCTGACTTTGTCAGTTTCAAAAGCGTTCATAATTGAGTGAACTTCAAATGGTATTCCACAAAGGAAAACAGCTCTTAGTAAAGAACAACCAAAATAAAAACATTAAATTTATGTACAATATTTATTTATCTGTATCTATTTATGGTGTATCAGGAGCAGTTGATGTGTGTCTCCTTGGAGACGGTCCAGTCGTGACGAGCTCACATACAAGATGAGGAGTCATCGATCGTGGTGAAGTTACCATCTGGAGATGATCATCATTAGGAATTATTAACAGAACATGGATATACATTTGACTGAGAACACAGATTGATAAGAAATAAAAGAGTATAAGCCATTTATTGAATTATATACACATACGTATATGGTGACTATCAAATAGAAAAGCAAAGTGTTATTATAACTTTACGTACTTTGTATGTAAGATCCAGGTGTAGGCAGATCGTCTTCGAAGTACACAACGTTCGGGAAGCTTCCTATTAAAGCTGTATACATCACTGACTGCCAAGTGTCACCTCCAGGGTTGGAGCCCGAAGGCCACCAGCTCTTGATGGCACTGCTTACTTGGCTTGCCTTCGCACTAGAGAACAATAAAATATATTAGGCATGTATTATCATATACATAGAAATGTTGACAAAAAATATCTTTAACTTACGTAGAAGCAACAATAGCGCCCCAGGGCTGTTTGACGAACGAACAAGGAGCGACGTTGGAGAGGGTGGCTTCAAGAGTCAGTGGACGGAGGGAGCCGTCTGCACAGAGGAGGGAGTATGAGGCACGGATACGAGGATTGCGTATCTGGAATGAACACGATGATTAATTATTATTTTGCGAAACTGACCTTTTTACGAATACTTATATTACTTTATATTAATGTGTCAAGCTGTGTTGACCACCAAAAACTACTATTTTAGTTTAGTTAGCTTTAATTATTGCAAGTTTAAGAACAAGAAGACAGGCTCCTTAAATTATTTTCCAACTGTGGTCAAGTATAACCTACCGTAGTAGAAAATTCAAACTCCTTACCCCAACTAATATTCAACTATTTATATTACTTGAAGTACGTTTATAACTCACGTTAAAGTATGTGCGGACGTGTTGCCAGGCAACGTAAGCGAATGTGTTGTTGTCATTGGACCTCATACACTCCAAGGCCTGGATGTGTCTGTTGTTGTTGTCAACGTTATTGATGTTGGGACCCATGTTGATGGTGTACTTGGAACACTTCGCGTTCTGACCACACAGAGCGCACAGGTTCGAGAAGCGGGATTCTGTGAGGGAAATTAGATTTAAAGCCACGAGTAAAGCAAAATGAGGTTGGGCCCAGCTCAACACACTTTCATTTCAAATATGAAGAGGGCTACAAGCATAACTCATAAATTATAAGAATTCTTTTCATGTCGTGTTGGATTAAAGATAAAACTAAACTAATTGTTAAGAAGTCAAATTTATATTTCTTTTAATTGGGTCTTTTTGTAATACAGCTGGCATAAACAAAGTATTCGCTAAACTTAATATTATTCTTCTAAAATTTCATGTTAATGAGCTCATTTTTGATGAAATCATAGGAAATACAATATGGTTTAGTAAAATTATATTTCACAATCTCCTTACTCAGATCAGCATCAACATTGTCATCATCACTCCATGGTCCAGGTCTACAAGCACTCTTGAAGAAGGAGCTCAGAGTCTGCACTTCAAGTTCTACATCAGGACAGCTGTCGATTATTGCAACCTACAAAACAGTTGTATTAATATTAATAAAATAGACAGAAGACATAATGAGAGATACTGTCTCTTCTCTTCTTTGTATATACAGTAGCTTTCTTAAACGAATTCTGTTTGTTTTGGCTACACATCCAGTGTGTTCTACGAATCTGATACCAGATACATAATAACCCATTTTTGTGGCCAAAAATAAAATTAACTCGTCTCCTCGCTACACAAAATGGAACACACATTAAAATTCTGTAACATAGGTTGAAAAGATTTTGTTGTACTTTTAACTTACATGCATGTTATACATTATCCAAAGTCTAATGTGTACGGTTTTACTTACGTATAAAATTAATTAAAATAACCAATAAATATACCAATTGAATTAACTGTCAAGCGACAGTCTAAATGTTGAACCAAACAATAGTAAAAGTGTAATATTTCTATATATAATATAATCAATACTAACAGCTCGTTCCAAAGTCTTCTTCACCCGCGGAGACCAGCTCGGCTCCGAGTCATCCAGTCCAGGGTGACAGTACTTCATACCTCGGAGACTCTCCACACCACCAGTGTGACTCGCTGGGACTACAGACACCGCCTCGAAGGAGTAGCCATCTATGAGGAGAGGACAGAACAGAGAGTTAGTATTAATAGAGTTAATGAAAAGAAATGTTTTCCGGAGAATAGTTGTGTCACTGTTTAAGTAATTACAGCAGCAAAATTCTTCACTTAAATTTCTTAAAACTCCACAAAAATGTTGTTAAATAAATGTATTAATTATCAAAATATGTATCGTAATCACGTGATTAAGTGTTCTCAAAACTGAACCATTGAAGTACTCGTTAGTGTTATGTCTATGTATGTTTGTTGTTTTGTGTTATGTTCTTTATAACAGTAAGTGAATAAGTTTCCATCAATACATACCTTTCCTCAGTACATCTCTAACGGACGCCACGACCCTGTTCTCGTCAGGTTGTCTGTGTGCCATCAACACCATATCTTCATCAGAGAACACTCCAAAGTCTGAAGAACCGTTATTCAGTCTCGCGAGACATTCATCACTGAAAATATAAAACAGATATATACTATATTTATGCTTTCCAAGGCTTGCCTTTTCTCTGTTCTGACATTCTTCATATATTCTCTGTCCTCGTTTTATAATAATCTACAAGTCTTAATCTGTGTCATGTTAATTTGATCACTATGCTCGTATCTATCATTACCTGGAGCCCACTCCATCACAGACCACTGGACTGCCAAGGCTCTGCAGTCTGTCACAGTATGGAGCGAACAACTCCGGTACACAAACACGGACTGACAATAAATAAACATTTGTTAGTGATACGATTGACATGAGACTTACTTTCAAGAGACCTTTAAAATATGAATAAAACAAAAATATTCATTTTCATAAAACTGGAATACGCCCTTAGAAACTGAAATAAACTATTTGTTCAAAGTTTTTTTTTTATTAAGAACCATTGAAAACATCTCACTATAGTTATGTGTCTGCTGACAGAATAGATTAGTTTTTTCCAACACTGAAACATAACTACCCATATTCTTCTTACACTAGTCTTTTAAAGCTGTCTAAAAATATACTCCATAGAAAACTCTACAACCCAAATCCTTTAAATCAGGTCTAATTCAATGAACCATAATTTTAATCTTATTTGTCATTTTTTCTTTTGTATATAATGATACAACTCTCTACTCTAAATCTCACCATCATTCTGTGCCGTCACTCCAGCTACCACCGCGATCGTAAAGATAACTTGCCTCCAAGACATTGTACAAGAAGTTCCACCTTAAACTGATGAATGTATGAATGGCTCCAATATATATACAACTACTGGAAGATTATAAAGAAATGAGATCTGAAAGATAAAAGATAAGCAGTTGAGGAGTGATTATAACACACCCTTACCATGATGTGGCGTAGTTAAACGACACACTCACTGTTGATGGTTTTTACTATATAAATTATCGCACGTTATACTATCAATGTAGATATATGAATGAAGAACTGGAAACTGATCGTGTGTAGTTTGTTGTACACGCGTGGTAAGGATTTAGGTGACAATTAAATCGTGGAGATCCTTTATAAGAGATACATACAAAAGATGTAAGGAATATGAAAATTATTGAATGAATTTGACAGAAGTGGTGAGTATTATATATAAATAATTTGTAACAACTTTCTTCACGAAATATTATAACCAAATTTTCATTTGAAGTATTCATTGTTCAGATTTATCAAGGCTTTGGTGTTCAATAAACTTTTATGAACACACACACCGATCTATGAACAACTCTCATCAGTGTTGTTATGATACGAAACGAACGAAACGACTGAAAAGAAGCTTCGTACTGTATCATTGAACAAACGTCACCTGTCACTAGTTTGTGAGGTTGAGACATTGTGTGGTCTCCTGTAAGAAAAGTAACAGTTTGATTAGTGATAGAAAGTTAATGAATAATAATAATAATATAGAACATATTCCTGACAGTTCTTTATAAGCTGCTATCAAATAATAAGATCTATCAGATAACATAAAGTACCTCACACTGAACAACACATTTGTGTAGATTACAAAGGAACACTAACAAACTTGGCAATACGAGACTAAATTTGCTAATTTTAGTGACCATTTTTGCTTCATCTTTATAATCTTGTCGTTGTAATACTCGGAACTATGTTCAATACTTTGATAATATATAAAGATAACGCTCCTGACGCGAGTAAAATTATAATGAAAAACTAAAAAAACTATGTTCAACTTTAATATACACTGAAATATATTTCAATCCAACTTATTAGGGAGCTGTTATAAGTTGTGAAACTCGCCTTAATATAAGTACTAGCTTTCCGCCCGCAGCTTCAGCCGCGTGGAGTTCGGTTATATTCCGTTTCCAAGAGAATCTTTCAAAAGTCTGGGATAAAAACTATCCTATGGTTCTTTCTCAAGGTCAACTCTATCTCTGTACCAAATTTCATTAAAATCAGTTCATTGGTTTAGGCGTGAAAACGTAACAGACAGACAGACAGAGTTACTTTCGCATTTATAATATTAGTAGGGATTTTAAATTATGTGACATACTACGTCTCCATTAATATATTTTATATAAATAAATGTAAAAAATGTTTACTATCCTTCATTTAGTTATTCATTACGAATCAACGCGTCGGAAGCGTTCAGTCAATGTATGTAATAATTATTATAATTAATAAAAGTATTGAATAAATGAACTCAAAAAATATTCACGCTTACTATAAATAACAACAGAATAATATTAAATATTCAACAGTACATACCGTCACACTACTATCGTACATCAGCTACATACACTTCTCTTCATATGTAGAAGGTTTCCTCTCGTCCGCAGACCACGTCCTAACAGACGCTCCACCAACAGCTTCGACCCTCATCTTGAATTATATATTCTCACGAGTCCTGGAACGTTACAAATAATACTATTTTATATAAAGACTATCCACTTCAAAATAAATTATTATTGTTCATATTAAAGATAGCACATATTTTAGGATGTGGTCAAAGATTAACAACAAAAAAGTTAAAATAAAAATAGTAATGAATTAAACCAAACTATCAAATTAATAAGCCTTCGCCAAATAAAGCGTTTAGAAAATAACAATTTTCTTAAGACTGCGGTCCTCTACAAAGATTTGTTTGGATATCATTAACTTTACTTATCTTTATACATATTTTGAAACAAACATATATTTCATGATCGATGGACAGACCATGTAGTGAAAACATACGACGGTAGTGAAACTATGAGTACTTTGATTGAGGAAGATGTTTCTGTAGGAGAGCTCTAAATTGTTTTAAATAAATTAAAATTATTTATCTTTCTATGTATACGTACATTCCAGGAGGTTCTTTGATATCGATAGACACATCAAACACGTACTGTACATGTTTATAGTGAACACACTCCTTATATTGTCTGGAGACTGCTACAGTTGATACTTCAAGTCTTCTCTATTCTAATATGTTACACTAACCGAGTCATTCTCCTCTTCATATAATTCTATGTTTCATCAATACTTGGTTCATTGTTAGTTTTCATCTAACACTTGATGATCAGCCGTCATCTCCTGATGGATGAATCTCAAGTACAGTCCAATAACACCATCTGTAATACATAATACAATATTGTTCTTATATAAAGACATACAAAGACACTTCAATTAATTATTGTCGGTTTAAAATAAATTATTAAATGTTTAAAAAAATTACTTAAACAATCGCTTATAAATTGACAGACTAAAAGTAGCATATTTTTAATTATTCAAAATAAAACTAGAATGATAAAAAAAGAGATTCATTTAGTGTTTAAGTTCGTGGAGTGCTAGATATTTCTATTCCATTGATTATTTCATACAAGGCGAGGGGTACATGTGAGCAATTCCATTCACTTTCGGCTAAAACACATGGACGTACTCTTTTCCCATTGTGTACACTACACTCGCCTCATATTATGATTAGATATCTGTAAGGGTACCGTTATATTAAAAAGATATGTCGTACTTTTATATTTAACTAGCTTTCCGCCCGCAGCTTCACCCGCGTGGAGTTCGGTTATATCGTGTTTCCAAGAGAACTTTTCAAAAGTCTGGGATAAAAACTATCCCATGTTCTTTTTCGAGGTCAACTCTATGTCTGCACCAAATTTCATTAAAATCAGTTTAGTGGTTCAGGTGTGAAAGCGTAACAGACAGACAGACAGACAGAGTTACTTCGCATTTATAATACTACTAGGGATCTAGACTACTTTTCTTATGTTAATAAAAATATGATTTTCGGGTTTTCTTAAACAATGAGGAGTATCGGTGTAAGGTTTAAAGAACATACCTCAGATATAAAGAATAGACGTGCGACGAAGTCACCTGAGTGTGGACACACAACGGACAAAACAAACCGCTACATCAGGTTTGACGAACAACAGATCCTCGCTTGTGAGGACAGATATACAGACATTGATCGAGGCTACTGAAATAAAAAAACATCCTAATTACAATAAAGAAAATGACGGGCAATGAGCTAACACTTGGGATTCCTTCACTGACACATCTCAAGGTATATGTGGTGCACTCTGAGTGTATCAAGAAAAGGAAAATTAAGAAATGATTTGTTGTAGATGACAAGTAACAAGACTTACTGACAGACACTTTCATCTCAATCAAATACAGTAGTCTTTAACAATTAATATTTGCTCATCAAGTATGATCTCTCTAAATATATTTACCTTTATTATCGTATTATATTTTGTTGCACAGAATCACATATGGTTTCTGTTTCAGTTTCAAAAGCGTTTATAATGAATTGAACTTCAAAGTTATCACACCAATGAAAACAACTCTCAGAAGTCACATTTCTAGACACACATTTATAAACAACTCCCAGTACATAGTGTTGTTATTTTCCTAAACGAACGAAGATTACTATCAATATGATCTACGACTTTCACAAGTATTTATTTAAATGAAAACTAATATTATTCCAATTACTTCGCGTGTTTTATTATTTTAACTAAATACTCCTGACATTTCGGTTACGAGACGTGAATGTCTGTCAGTTGGTCTTTTTATTTATCATCTACCCCCAACGTTTTCTTAATTTTCTGACGTACCGCTCTGGATACCGGTAGAATGCGCTTACGGTGCCCCGAGGTACTGCAGTGTGGTTCATTAGTCATATTTATTATATAGTTATTTAGAGTTCTTTCAATTTATATGAACAGTCCAAAACAATGATTTCAAGTGTTGCTGCAATTGCAAATTATAATTTGGTTAGATTCTTATCAGAAAATAAAACCTTTTGAAGTAGGAGAATATATGTATATTTATAGAAAATGAAATTAAATCAATCAACTTAACAAAAGGACTTTATTACTGTCAGGTTTCTTGGCACTGGCAGAGCAGTCGAGTCACAGATATCAGTTGATCGTGTAGGACTTACAATCTCACTCTTCAGTCATCTAAGTAACTGAACAAATGTTGCTTTTATATACTGACTTTTCCGTTACTTTTCATCAACCGTGATCATTAAGACGAGATGTGAATGTCTGTCAGTTGGTCTTGTTATTTATCATCTACCGTCATTGTTTTCTTAATTTACGAAACGTCAGGAGTATGTAGTTTTTTAATAATAAAATACACGTAGTAATAATTACAAATAATATTATTTTAATTTTAGATTACCACCAACAGGACAGTTAGGACACTGAGTCATCTGCTGCAAAGAAGGTAACAGCTTGATTTGTGATTTAATACGAGTAAGTAAAGTTACAGTATATAATATAGTTCAAACACTACTCTATAAGCTGCTATCAAATAATAAGATCTATCAGATAGTAAAGTGTCCCAGGACGTCATACATTTGTATAGATTACAAGGACAAGTAAACAAACTTGCCAATAACATACTAAATTTGCTAATTTTAGTGACTATATTTGTATTGTAACATATATCAGTTGTAATCTCGGTGTTATAATGGTCATGCTGCTCGATGTATATGTTGATAATATATAAAGATAACGCTCATTGTAACTAGGACTGTTTGAAACAAATAATAATTTGACACAACTATATATGTATTTGATTTAAGGTTCATTAGTCCGGAGTTTATGGAGGAATGATCTAGATTCTTCAGATATGCAATGATTATAAATAGTGCAACTTTAATATATGTACTGAAATATATTAAAAAAGGGAATTGTTAATAATTGTGAGCTTTCAAACAATATAAATAGTTTTATTTAAATGAGTGATCGTGAAAGTCTCAGATATTTGTGCAGAAAGAAAGGCTTCGATCAAGACTTTAGATTAGATTTCAATTTAATTCTTCAATTTGAGGATTTTCCCTATAATTGATAGGTTATTATGATAATCGGTGATAGTTCTGACTTGATGGAAGGGAGAGGTGATAGTTGTGTATAGTATAGATGTAATGATATTAATTAGTGTTCAGTCAGAAGCGAGCTAGTCATTTGTAACACTTGTATTCCCTTCACATAATAAAGGAATAACACAAAGAATAATTATGTTAGTACGAAGTTCAAGTTACAATGTCTGGAAGATTACGATGGGTGCCAGAGTCGATTCCCAATAATGTTTACTAGAGTGTTTTATTTGGAACTGTATTTTCATTAATTATCCCTTTAATTTTTGTTGCACTGAATCACATATGGTTCATTCTGTTTCAGTTTCAAAAGCGTTCATAATGAATTGAAATTCAAAAGGTATCATAAGGAAGGATAAGGTACCAACATAAAAACATCAAACGTATGTTCAATATTTATTTATATGTAACCATCCATAGTGAATGAGGGGCACTTGATGTGTGTCTCCTTGGAGACGGTCCAGTCGTGACGAGCTCACATACAAGATGAGGAGTCATCGATCGTGGTGAAGTTACCATCTGGAGATGATCATTATTAGGAATTATTAACAGAACATGGACATACATTTGACTGAGAACATAGATCGATAAGAAATATAGGAGTATAAGAAATTTACTGAATTATTACACATATGTATATGGTGACTATCAAATAGAAAAGAAAAGTGTTGTTATAACATTACGTACTTTGTATGTAAGATCCAGGTGTAGGCAGATCGTCTTCGAAGTACACAACGTTCGGGAAGCTTCCTATTAAAGCTGTATACATCACTGACTGCCAAGTGTCACCTCCAGGGTTGGAGCCCGAAGGCCACCAGCTCTTGATGGCACTGCTTACTTGGCTTGCTCTCGCACTAAAAGATATTAAGAATATTATGTTATCATAAGCATAGAAATGTTGCCAAGAAAATATCATTAACTTACGTAGAAGCAACAATAGCGCCCCAGGGCTGTTTGACGAACGAACAAGGAGACACGTTGGAGAGGGTGGCTTCAAGAGTCAGTGGACGGAGGGAGCCGTCTGCACAGAGGAGGGAGTATGAGGCACGGATACGAGGATTACGTATCTGGAATGAACACGTTGATTAATTATTATTTTGCTAAGCTGACCTTTTTACGAATAGTTATTACTTTATATTAATGTTTCAAGCTGTGTTGTCTAGTACATTTGTACATAAGTTTAGTCAGCATTAATTATTACAAGTTTAAAAACAAGAAAACAGCATCCTTAAATTATTTTCCAACTGTAGTCAAGTATAACCTACCGTAGTACAAACTTCAAACTCCTCACCTCAACTAATATTCAATTATTATTATTATTCCTTTAAGTATGTTTATAACTCACGTTAAAGTATGTGCGGACGTGCTGCCAGGCCACGTAAGCGAATGTGTTGTTGTCATTGGACCTCATACACTCCAAGGCCTGGATGTGTCTGTTGTTGTTGTCAACATTATTGATGTTAGGACCCATGTTGATGGTGTACTTGGAACACTTCGCGTTCTGACCACACAGAGCGCACAGGTTCGAGAAGCGGGATTCTGTGAGGGAAATTAGATTTAAAGCCACCGGTAAATTAAGATGAGGTAGGGCCCAGTTCGTCATCCTTTCATATCTAATATGAAGAGGGCTACAAGCATAACTCATAAATTGTAAGAATACTTTTCATGTCGTGTTGGATTAAAGATAAAACTAAACTAATTGTTAAGAAGTCAAATTTATATTTCTTATAATTGGGTCTTTTTGTAATACAGTTGGCACAAAAAAGTATTCGCTAAACTTGATATTCTTCTAAAATGTCATGTTAATGAGCTCATATTTATTGTAATCATAATAAATAGAACATGGTTCATTAAAATTATATTTCACAATCTCCTTACTCAGATCAGCATCAACATTGTCATCATCACTCCAAGGTCCAGGTCTACAAGCACTCTTGAAGAAGGAGCTCAGAGTCTGAACTTCAAGCTCTACATCAGGACAGCTGTCGATTATTGCAACCTACAAAACAGTTGTGTTAATAACAAAATAGAAAGAAGAGATAATGATATTGTCTCTTCTCTTCTCTTCTATTTATATACAGGAGCTTTCTTAAACAACTTCTGTTTTGTTTTGGGAACACATCTGGTGTGTTCTACATATCTGACGCCACATACATAATAACCCAATTTTAATCAATTTAAAATTATCCCCAAAAATAAAATTAACTCGTTTACCACTCAAAATATAGCGCACACAATGAGATCGAAGATTTTCGTGAGTACTCATTTAAATGAAACTAATATTTTCGGATTTACTACGCGTTTTTATTTTGATTATAAACTACACACTCCTTACGTTTCGGCTACTTTACAGCAACCGAGTTTACGGGCAGACGAGATGTCACATCTCATAAATAAAAAAACGCGTAGTAAATCCGAAAATATTAGTTTCATTTAAATATAACACACATATTAAAATTCTATAACAAGAGTTGAAAAGATTTTGTTGTACTTATAACTTAAATGCATGTTAAACATTATCCAGAGTCTAATATGTATGGTTTAACTTTCATGTAAAATTAATTGAAATAACCAATAAATATACCAATTGAATTAACTGTCAAGCGACAGTCTAAATGTTGAACCAAGCAATAGTAAAAGTGTAATATTTCTATATATAATATTATCAATACTAACAGCTCGTTCCAAAGTCTTCTTCACTCGCGGAGACCAGCTCGGCTCCGAGTCATCCAGTCCAGGGTGACAGTACTTCATACCTCGGAGACTCTCCACACCACCAGTGTGACTCGCTGGGACTACAGACACCGCCTCGAAGGAGTAGCCATCTATGAGGAGAGGACAGAACAGTGAGTTAGTATTAATAGAGTTAATGAAAAGAAATGTTTTCCGGAGAATAGTTGTGTCACTGTTTAAGTCATTACAGGAGCAAAATTCTTCACTTACAATTCTTAAAACTCCACAAAAATGTTGTTAAATAAATGTATTAATTATCAAAATAAGTATAGTAACCGCGTGATTGAAGTGTTCTTAAAAGTGAAAGTTGAAGTACTCGTTAGTGTTATGTGTGTGTATGTGTGTTGTTTTGTGTCATGTTCTTTATAACTGTAAATGAATAAGTTTCCATCAATACATACCTTTCCTCAGTACATCTCTAACGGACGCCACGACCCTGTTCTCGTCAGGTTGACTGTGTGCCATCAACACCATATCTTCATCAGAGAACACTCCAAAGTCTGAAGAACCGTTATTCAGTCTCGCGAGACATTCATCACTAAAAATATAAAACAGATATATTATATTATTCTTTCCAAGTCCTGCCTTTTCTCTGTTCTGACATTCTTCATATATTCTCTGTCCTCGTTTTATAATAATCTACAAGTGTTAATCTGTATCATGTTAATTTGATCACTATGCTCGTATCTATCATTACCTGGACCCCACTCCATCACAGACCACTGGACTGCCAAGACTCTGCAGTCCGTCACAGTATGGAGCGAACAACTCCGGTACACAAACACGGACTGACAATAAATAAACATTAGTTAGTGATACGATTGACATGAGACTTACTTTCAAGAGACCTTTAAAAATATGAATAAAACAAAAGTCTTCATTTTCAGAGACTAGAATACGCACTTAGAAACTAAAATAAACTATTTGTTCAACGTTTTTTTCTTATTAAAAACCATTGATAATATCTCACTATAGTTATGTGTCTGCTGCAGGATAGACTAGATTTTACCAACACTAAAACATTACTATAGATATTCTCCTTACACCAGTTTGTCAAAGCTATCTAAAAATATAGTCCACAGTAAATTCTACAATCCAAATCCTTTAAATCAGGTCTAATTCAATGAACCATAATTTTAATCTTATTTGTCATTTTTTCTTTTGTATATAATGATACAACTCTCTACTCTAAATCTCACCATCATTCTGTGCCGTCACTCCAGCTACCACCGCGATCGTAAAGATAACTTGCCTCCAAGACATTGTACAAGAAGTTCCACCTTAAACTGATGAATGTATGAATGGCTCCAATATATATACAACTACTGGAAGATTATAAAGAAATGAGATCTGAAAGATAAAAGATAAGCAGTTGAGGAGTGATTATAACACACCCTTACCATGATGTGGCGTAGTTAAACGACACACTCACTGTTGATGGTTTTTACTATATAAATCCACACACGTTATACTATCAATGTAGATATATGAATGAAGAACTGGAGACTGTTCGTGTGAAGTTTGTTGTACACGCGTGGTAAGGATTTAGGTGACAATTAAATCGTAGAGATCCTTTATAAGAGATATATACAAAAGATGTAAAGAATATGAAAATTATTGAATGAATTTTAATAATAAATAATTTCTTACAAGTTTCTTCACAGAATATTATAACCAAATGTTCATTTGAAGTATTCATTGTTCAGATTTATCAAAGAGGCTTTGGTGTTCAATAAACTTTTATGGACACACACACCGATCTATGAACAACTCTCATCAGTGTTGTTATGATACGAAACGAACGAAACGACTGAAAAGAAGCTTCGTACTGTATCATTGAACAAACGTCACCTATCACTAGTTTGTTAGGTCGAGACATTGTGTGGTCTCCTGTAAGAAAAGTAACAGATTGATTTGTGATAGAAAGTTAATGAATAATAATAATAATATAGAACATACTCCTGACAGTTCTTTATAAGCTGCTATCAAATAATAAGATCTATCAGATAACATAAAGTACCTCACACTGAACAACACATTTGTGTAGATTACAAAGGAACACTAACAAACTTGGCAATACGAGACTAAATTTGCTAATTTTAGTGACCATTTTTGCTTCATCTTTATAATCTTGTCGTTGTAATACTCGGAACTATGTTCAATACTTCGATAATAATATATAAAGATAAAACTCTTGACGCAAATTTTATTATAAAATAAAACTAAAAAAAATAGTATAAGTAGGTATATAGTTTAATTTCAATCAATGGGGTTTATGGAGGAATCTTCTTCTTCGAAGTTTTGGAGATAGAGAAATTATATATCTTCCAGCTTTCAAAATATTTCAGTTAAGTCTTTGAAATGTATTAAACACATTCAGTTTCTGCATATAACATTGGCTTAAAATATAAATTTTGCTAAGTTCATTAACTAATTTAATTGAAAAGACATGTATATGTATATTGTGCGGCCACGATTTGGTTATAACCCACCTAGCGAGTCGTAAGCACGGATTTAATTTAGCCACTCTCTCAATATATTATAGGATACGATTTGGAGAATTCACACAGGAATGACATAACTTGATTCCTCTATCCCCACTATTATCTTCAGATAACCAGACAGACGCTTCTATCTTCATCTGTATATTTCTTATGCTCATAACAAAGTATTGGAACAGTTTGTCTGCGACTGTTTTTCACAAAAAAGATGAAAGGTTATCTTTAGAGCGTATTAAATATTTTACAAAATATTCTTGGAACGCCGTCCTGGCAACAAGGGTCATTCATCCACGGAGATGATCTTGCCAACCGAATGTCGAATTGAGACGAGGATTTTTCATCACGTTATCTGGGTGTTTTATATAAAAAAATAAGATGGTACCATTAATTTTGATTTTGTTGGCGGGAAACGAAACCCATTTCCAAAATGGGTTGGTACCAAAACGCTAAGGTAACACTTAACTAGCACCTGTTTTACCCAGCCTAACGTGAAAAACATAAGCAGTTGCATTACCTAGTACATATAAAACAGAACATAGTTATTCCTTGTTTTATTTCTTAATTTTGTGAAGGGAATACAAGAAATGTTACAAATAATTAGCTCGCTTCTGACTGAACATTAATTAATATCATTACTTCTAAACTATCACCTCTCTTCCAGCTTGTAAGAACAACCACCCATTGTCATAATTACCTATCAATTACACGGAAAATCCTCTAATTGAAGGATTAAATTAAAATCTAAAGTCTTGATCAAAGCCTTTCTTTTTCAACAAATATATGACACTTTCGCGACCACATATTTAAATGAAACTATTTATACTTACATTGTTTGAAAGCTCACAATTATTAACAATTACCTTTTTTAATATATTTCAGTACATATATCAAAGTTGCACTATTTATAATCATTCTATTTCTGCAGAATCTAGTTCATTCCTCCATAAACTCCGTACCTATGAACCTTAAATCAAATACATATATAGTTGTGTCAAATTATTATTTGTTTCAAACAGTCCTGGTTACAATGAGCGTTATCTTTATATATTATCAACATATACATCGAGCAGCATGACCATTATAACACCGAGATTACAACTGATATATGTTACAATACAAATATAGACACTAAAATTAGCAAATTTAGTATGTTATTGGCAAGTTTGTTTACTCGTCCTTGTAATCTACACAAATGTATGACGTCCTGGGACACTTTACTATCTGATAGATCTTATTATTTGATAGCAGCTTATAGAGTAGTGTTTGAACTATATTATATACTGTAACTTTACTTATTCTTTGGATTTATATCACAAATCAAGCTATTACTTAGCAGGAGATGACTCAGTGTCCTGACATTATAAACTAAGAAGAGATGAGCTTTGTTGGTGGTGATCTAAAATTAAAATAATATTATTCGTATTTCTACGTGTATTGTATTATTTTAAAAGCTACATACTCCCGACGTTTCGTAAATTAAGAAATCAATAGCGGTAGACGATAAATAATAGGACCAACTGACAGACATTCACATCTCGTCTTAATGAAACGGTTGATGAAAAGTATGGGTGTATGTAGTTAAAATAATAAAATACAAGTAGTAATGCGAATAAAATGAGTTTCATTTAAATGAAACTATATGATTGTCATTATTGGTAATTTTCATTCGTTAAGGACCACAGCAAGACTACTAGGAGCTTTTAATAGATGTGGGTCTAGAAATGTGATTTAAGATGAAATATTTAGTATGAAAATCATATGTACTTTATTAGAGTATTTAGACATCACTGATTAATGCATTCTCAAAGAGGGTTGATGTCAGGCAGGCGGCCAGTCGTAAAAGCAATTAGCCAAAACTTATTCACAACATGTAAGGCAGACCCTGGCTATTGCTGGGAAATTGCCAGGTAGAAGAAGAAGATTTAATATGAAATTCGATGCGTTCTAAGACAGAGCATAAGACGCGTAGTCGAAGACAGCTTATCTGTGTACTGTATACGATAGGAACACTCCTTCTGTTACTTTGATGACTGAACAGTGATATTATAAGTCCTACACTGACCTACACGGTCAGCTAATATCTGTGACTCGGCTGCTCTGCCAGTGCCAAGAAACTTGACAATAATAAAGTCCTTTTGTTAAGTTGATTCATATATGTAATTTTGTTTTCTATAAATATATATTCTCCTACTTCTAAAGGTTTTATTTTCTGATAAGAATCTACCCAAATTACATATAATTTGAAATTGTATCAACATTTGAGATCATTGTTTTGGACTGTTCATATATATTGATGGAACTCTTAATAACTATATAATAAATATGACTAATGAACCACAATGCTAGACCTCGGGTCACCGTAAGCGCATTCTGCCGGTATCCAGAGCGGTACGTCAGAATATTAAGAAGTTAATGTCGGTAGATGATAAATAATAGGACCAACTGACAGACATTCACATCTCGTCTTAATGATCACGGTTGATGAAAAGTAACTGAAACGTCGGCAGTATGTAGTTAAAATAATAAAATTCGCGAAGTAATACGAATAATATTAGTTTTCATTTAAATAAATACTTGTGAAAGTCTTAGATCATATTGATAGTAATCTTCGTTCGTTTAGGACCACACAACACTATGTACTGGGAGTTGTTTATAAATGTGTGTCTAGAAATGTGACTTCTGAGAGTTGTTTTGTTTAGTGTGATAACTTTGAAGTTCAATAAATTATGAACGCATTTGAAACTGAAACAGAAACCATATGTGATTCAGTGCAACAAAAATAAATACGATAATAAAGGTAAATGTGTTTAGAGAGATCATACTCGCCGAGCAAATATGTATTAACTGTTAAAGACTACTGTATTTGATTGAGATGAAAGTGTCTGTCAGTAAGTCTTGTTACTTGTACATCTACAATAAATCATTCCTTAATTTTCCTTTTCTTGATACACTCAGAGTGCACCACATATACCTTGAGATGTGTCAGTGAAGGAATCCCAAGTGATAGCTCATTGCCCGTCATCTTCTTTATTGTAATTAGGATGTTTTTTTATTTCAGTAGCCTCAATCAATGTCTGTATATCTCTGTCTTCACGAGCGAGGATCTGTGTTTGTCAAACCTGTTGTAGTGGTTTGTTTTGTCCGTTGTGTGTCCACACTCAGCTGACTTCGTCGCACGTCTATTCTTTATATCTGAGGTATGTTTTTTAAGCCTTACACCGATACTTCTCATTCTTTAAGAAACCCTGAAAATCATATTTTAATTTACATAAGAAAAGTAGTCTAGATCCCTACTAATATTATAAATGCGAAAGTAACTCTGTCTGTCTGTCTGTTACGCTTTCACACCTGAACCACTAAACTGATTTTAATGAAATTTGGTACAGAGATAGAGTTGATCTTGAGAAAGAACATAAGATAGTTTTTATCCCAGACTTTTGAAAGGTTCTCTTGGAAACGCGATATAACCGAACTCCACGCGGGCGAAGCTGCGGGCGGAAAGCTAGTTAAATATAAAAGTACGGCATATCTTTTTAATATAACGGTACCCTTACAGATATCTAATCATAATATGAGGCGAGTGTAGTGTACACAATGGGAAAAGAGTACGTCCATGTGTTTTAGCCTAAAGTGAATGGAATTGCTCTCATGTACCCAAAGTGCACACTCGCCTTGTATGAAATAATCAATGGAATAGAAGTATCTAGCACTCCACGAACTTAAACACTAAATGAATGTCTTTTTTTATCATTCTAGTTTTATTTTGAATAATTAAAAATATGCTACTTTTAGTCTGTCATTTTATAAACGAGTGTTTTTGTAATTTTTTTAAACAGTTAATAATTTATTTTAAACCGACAATAATTAAAGTAAGTGTCTTTGTATGTCTTTATATAAGAACAATATTGTATTATGTATTACAGATGGTGTTGTTGGACTGTACTTGAGATTCATCCATCAGGAGATGACGGCTGATCATCAAGTGTTAGATGAAAACTAACAATGAACCAAGTATTGATGAAACATAGAATTATATGAAGAGGAGAATGACTCGGTTAGTGTAACATATTAGAATAGAGAAGACTTGAAGTATCAATTGTAGCAGTCTCCAGACAATATAAGGAGTGTGTTCACTATAAACATGTACAGTACGTGTTTGATGTGTCTATTGATATCAAAGAACCTCCTGGAATGTACGTATACATAGAAAGATAATTAATTTTAATTTATTTAAAACAATTTAGAGCTCTCCTACAGAAACATCTTCCTCAATCAAAGTACTCATAGTTCCACTACCATCGTATGTTTTCACTACATGGTCTGTCCATCGATCATGAAATATATGTTTGTTTAAAATATAAAGATAAGTAAAGTTAATGATATCCAAACAAATCTTTGTAGAGGACCGCAGTCTTAAGAAAATTATTATTTTCTAAACGCTATATTTGGCGAAGGCTTATTAATTTGATAGTTTGGTTTAATTCATTACTATTTTTATTTTAACTTTTTTGTTGTTAGATAATCTTTGACCACATCCTAAAATATGTGCTATTTTTAATATGAACAATAATAATTTATTATGAAGTGGATAGTCTTTATATGAAATAGTATTATTTGTAACGTTCCAGGACTCGTAAGAATATATAATTCAAGATGAGGGTCGAAGCTGTTGGTGGAGCGTCTGTTAGGACGTGGTCTGCGGACGAGAGGAAACCTTCTATGAAGAGAAGTGTATGTAGCTGATGTACGATAGTAGTGTGACGGTATGTACTGTTGAATATTTAATATTATTCTGTTATTATTTATAGTAAGCGTGAATATTTTTTGAGTTCATTTATTCAATACTTTTATTAATTATAATAATTATTACATACATTGACTGAACGCTTCCGACGCGTTGCTTCGTAATGAATAACTAAATGAAGGATAGTACTTAAATCATTTTTTTTACATTTATTTATCCCTACTTCCCTACTAATATTATAAATGCGAAAGTAACTCTGTCTGTCTGTCTGTCTGTCTGTCTGTCTGTCTGCTACGCTTTCACGCCTAAACCACTGAACTGATTTTAATGAAATTCGGTACAGAGATAGAGTTGACCTTGAGAAAGAACATAGGATAGTTTTTATCCCAGACTTTTGAAAGGTTCTCTTGGAAACGCGATATAACCGAACTCCACGCGGCGAAGCTGCGGGCGGAAAGCTAGTATAAAATATATTAAGGGAGATGTAGTATGTAACATAATTTAAAATCCCTACTGATATTATAAATGCGAAAGTAACTCTGTCTGTCTGTCTGTCTGTTACGCTTTCACGCCTAAACCACTGAACTGATTTTAATAAAATTTGGTACAGAGATGGAGTTGACCTTGAGAAAGAACCATAGGATAGTTTTTATCCTAGACTTTTTAAAGGTTCTCTTGGAAACGCGATGTAACCGAACTATACGCGGGCGAAGCTGCGGGCGGAAAGCTAGTACTAGACAAGTCTCACAACTTATAACAGCTGCCTAATAAGTTGAATCGTAATATATTTCAGTGTATATGTATTGAAGTTGAACACAGTTTTTTAGTTTTTCTTTGTAACAGCCCTCGCGTCAGGAGCGTTATCTCTATATATTATCAAAGTATTGAACATAGTACCGAGTATTACAACGACAAGATTATAAAGATGAAGCAAAAATGGTCACTAAAATTAGCAAATTTAGTCTCGTATTGCCAAGTTTGTTAGTGTTCCTTTGTAATCTACACAAATGTGTTGTTCAGTGTGAGGTACTTTATATTATCTGATAGATCTTATTATTTGATAGCAGCTTATAAAGAACTGTCAGGAGTAAATTCTATATTATTATTATTATTCTTTAACTTTCTATCACAAATCAATCTGTTACTTTTGTTACAGGAGACCACACAATGTCTCAACCTCACAAACTAGTGACAGGTGACGTTTGTTCAATGATACAGTACGAAGCTTCTTTTCAGTCGTTTCGTTCGTTTCGTATCATAACAACACTGCTGAGAGTTGTTCATAGATCGGTGTGTGTGTTCATAAAAGTTTATTGAACACCAAAGCCTCTTTGATAAATATGAACAATTAATATTTGGTTATGATATTTCGTGAAGAAAGTTGTTACATATTATTCATATATAATACTGAACACTTCTGTTAAATTCATTCAATAATTTTTATATTCCTTACAGCTTTTGTATGTATGTAGTATAAAGGATCTCCACGATTTAATTGTCACCTAAATCCTTACCACGCGTGTACAACAAACTACACACGATCAGTTTCCTGTTCTTCATTCATATATCTACATTGATAGTATAACGTGTGTGGATTTATATAGTAAAAACCATCAACAGTGAGTGTGTCGTTTAACTACGCGACATCATGGTAAGGGTGTGTTATAATCACTCCTCAACTGCTTATCTTTTATCTTTCAGATCTCATTTCTTTATAATCTTCCAGTAGTTGTATATATATTGGAGCCATTCATACATTCATCAGTTTAAGGTGGAACTTCTTGTACAATGGCTTGGAGGCAAGTTATCTTTACGATCGCGGTGGTAGCTGGAGTGACGACACAGAACGATGGTGAGATTTAGAGTAGAGAGTTGTATCATTATATACAAAAGAAAAAATGACTAACAAAATTAAAATTATGGTTCATTGAATTAGACCTGATTTAAAGGATTTGGGTTGTAGAGTTTTCTATGGAGTATATTTTAGACAGCTTTAAAAGACTGGTGTAAGAAGAATATGTGTAGTTATGTTACAGTGTTGGTAAAATCTAGTCTATTCTGTCAGTAGACACATAACTCTAGTGAGACGTTTTCAATGGTTCTTAATAAGAAAAAACTTTGCACAAATACATAGTTTGTTTCAGTTTCGAAGTGCCCTTTCCAGTCTTTTGAAAATGAAGACTTCTGTTTTATTTATATTTTTAAGGTCCCCTAAATGTAGTAAAAAAAAAATCAATCGTATCACTAACAAATGTTTATTTATTGTCAGTCCGTGTTTGTGTGTCGGAGTTGTTCGCTCCATACTGTGACAGACTGCAGAGTCTTGGCAGTCCAGTGGTCTGTGATGGAGTGGGGTCCAGGTAATGATAGATACGAGCATAGTGATCAAATTAACATGATACAGATTAAGACTTGTAGATTATTATAAAACGAGGACAGAGAATATATGAAGAATGTCAGAACAGAGAAAAGGCAAGCCTGGGAAAGAAAAATGTAATATATCTGTTTTATATTTTTAGTGATGAATGCCTCACGAGACTGAATAACGGTTCTTCAGACTTTGGAGTGTTCTCTGATGAAGATATGGTGTTGATGGCACACAGACAACCTGACGAGAACAGGGTCGTGGCGTCCGTTAGAGATGTACTGAGGAAAGGTATGTATTGATGGAAACTTATTCACTTACTGTTATAAAGAACATAACACAAAACAACACACTAACGAGTACTTCAATGGTTCACTTTTGAGAACACTTCAATCACGCGGTTACGATACATATTTTGATAATTAATACATTTATTTAACAACATTTTTGTGGAGTTTTAAGAAATTTAAGTGAAGAATTTTGCTACTGTAATTGCTTAAACAGTGACACAACTATTCTCCGGAAAACATTTCTTTTCATTAACTCTATTAATACTAACTCACTGTTCTGTCCTCTCCTCATAGACGGCTACTCCTTCGAAGCGGTGTCTGTAGTCCCAGCGAGTCACACTGGTGGTGTGGAGAGTCTCCGAGGTATGAAGTACTGTCACCCTGGACTGGATGACTCGGAGCCGAGCTGGTCTCCACGAGTGAAGAAGACTTTGGAACGAGCTGTTAGTATTGATAATATTATACATATATAGAAATATTACAAGATACATAATCAGAGTCGATTGTCCGGTTCAAAATTTAGACTAAGTGGCGGTTAATTGGTGTAACGGTTTTTTTATTTTCATTGATTTTCTTTCTCTGTTGCACAGTTTATCTGTTAGCACAAGAAACGAGCTCGTTTTATTTTTGGGGATAATTGATCATTTTTTTTGGATGAAACTACTATACTATTGATTAAAATAAGATTATTATGTATTTGGTGCCAGATATGTAGATGAAACATAACAGAAATGTTTAAATAAAGCTGCTGAATTAACAAAAGAATTCCAATAATACCATTCAATATTTATTAAATTCATTATTTCTTTTTCAATATAACTTTTTAAGGCTGCAAAAATTGAAAGCAACGCTGATGTAGAACTTGAAGTTCAGACTCTGAGCTCCTTCTTCAAGAGTGCTTGTAGACCCGGACCATGGAGTGATGATGATAATGTTGATGCTGACCTGAGTAAGGAGATTGTGAAATATAATTTTAATAAACCATATTATTCTATTTATTATGATTACAACAACTATGAGCTCATTAACATTCGGTTAAACTAGAATATTTTCAAATATGGCAAATACTTTTTTGTGCTAACTGAATTTCAAAAAGACTCAATTGTAAAAGAATATAATAACTGGCTAGCAGTACTCTTCATATAAGATATGAAAGTGTGACGAGCTGGGCCCAACCTCATTTTGCTTTACTCGTGGCTTTAAATCGAATTTCCCGAACAGAATCCCGCTTCTCGAACCTGTGCGCTCTGTGTGGTCAGAACGCGAAGTGTTCCAAGTACACCAACAACATGGGCCCTAACATCAATAATGTTGACAACAACAACAGACACATCCAGGCCTTGGAGTGTATGAGGTCCAATGACAACAACACATTCGCTTACGTTGCCTGGCAGCACGTCCGCACATACTTTAACGTGAGTTATAAACATACTTGAAGAAATAATAATACAAGTTGAATATTATTTAAAATTACTTGACAACATTTGGAAAATAATTTAAGAAGCCTGTCTTCTTGTTCTTAAACTTGCAATAATTAAAGCTAACTAAACTAAACTAGGAATGTACTGGTCAACACAGCTTGAAACATTAGTATAAAGTAATAACTATTCGTAAAAAGGTCAGTTTAGCAATATAATAATATATCATCGTGTTCATTCCAGATACGCAATCCTCGTATCCGTGCCTCATACTCCCTCCTCTGTGCAGACGGCTCCCTCCGTCCACTGACTCTTGAAGCCACCCTCTCCAACGTCGCTCCTTGTTCGTTCGTCAAACAGCCCTGGGGCGCTATTGTTGCTTCTACGTAAGTTAAAGATATTTTTTGTCAACATTTCTATGTATATGATAATATATGTCTAATATATTTTATTGTTCTCTAGTGCGAAGGCAAGCCAAGTAAGCAGTTCCATCAAGAGCTGATGGCCTTCGGGTTCCAACCCTGGAGGTGACACTTGGCAGTCAGTGATGTATACAGCTTTAATAGGAAGCTTCCCGAACGTTGTGTACTTCGAAGACGATCTGCCTACACCTGGATCTTACATACAAAGTACGTAAAGTTATAATAACACTTTGCTTTTCTATTTGATCACTATTATATATGTATTTTTAAGGTAATCGAATAAATTATTCCAACTATAATGTTTTGTTTCAATCTGTGTTCTCAGTCACATATAAGGCCATGTTTTAGTATTAATTCCTAATGATGATCATCTCCAGGTGGTAACTTCACCACGATCGATGACTCGTCACCATGCATCTGAGGATCTGGATAAATAAATATTAGAGGTACATTTAATGTTTTCATTTTGGTTATTGCTTAAGCGTTGCCTTCCTTGACATTATATGAAGTTCGATCAACTAAATGTAAACTATTGAAACTGATAGTCATATCATCATCCTATCAGAGTCCACTGCTGAGCAAAGGCCTCTTTCTCACATGGAGTAGGTTTGAGCATTAATCACCACGCTTGCTCAATACGGGTTGGTGATTTCAAACTTATAATTGTGAAATTATAAGTCTAGATTTTCCTTCACCGTCTGTCAGTGGTGGCTAAAATACTCTTAAAAACTACATATGACTCGGAATAATCACATTGGTATTTGCCAGGATAGAACGCGCGCCCTCGTGCACGAGAAGCGGACCCTTTAACCACTAGGCCACCACTGACTTCTGATAGTATATTCAGCTTATTGTACTCTACCGAAAGCGGTCGAGGCAAAACTTCTGTAAGTATTTATAACCTTCTTTGTAAAGAACACCCGTCCATTTTAACGTTTTTGCAACAAGAAGCGTGTACCACTTCACCTTTCTGACTGCGGTTCCTCTATGGCAAAGATTTACATCATAAATTAATAGGTAAAAATAATAATATCGTTTGAAAATAGTCAAAAATTCTATATCAATTGCATCCAGGGACTAATCTGTAAGTCTTTTTTTGATCCTGTGTGTTTCGTAAACATGCATTAATTCTTTTCAAGCGACAGAATTATCGTTCAAATGTTTGGCTATTCACTAGAGTGTTTAATATTAATTTTGATAATTTGTAAACTGTGGAAATATATCTTTTAAATAATCTATATATATACCTCTTTTTAATTCATCTGAAATAAAAAATATCAGAGCTCATTCTTGAGAAGATTCACAGAACGAATGTTAAGAAGATCGACGATTGGTTCGTCTGTGAAATTACCACAATACAAAGCATTGTTTAGCAAGTAATTTGAAAAACTTCAGGTCTTGAAAGTTTTATAACGACTACGACACTCATTTAAAACATTATCTATGTATAATTTCTTAAAACACGCGCCTGTTATAATACTGCTGAATATCGTCAACGCCGCGTTTACATAAAATAAAAAAATAACTTATTTATGTGTACACAACTTGCTTGCCAATTATATTTATGAGACGAAACCTCTCATCATTCCATGTATTCACGGTGCGTGTGCCGGGTCCATCGTTGTAGTGAGAGGAGCTTCAACAGTGCCTGGGACTTGTGACCCTGGTGTAAGTTTAAGGGGCCCCTTATCTAATATTCTTTATAAGAACAAATAAAATTACAGTTTTTCAGTGAAATCTAACTGGGCATACAACTTCTCTTTGTAATTATTTTAATTTTATCATCAAACGACTGCATTGTAAATGTTCTCGAAATTAATTTCGTTAAACACACCAGGATAGAGCTCACAGCTAGAATTTTCCATAATACTTCACTTCACACATTAGCTAATTAAAGCTTATTTACTGTGCTTAGAAAAAAAAAAGAAAATAAAAAAAAGTTTCAACTATATAAAGACAAATTAAATAGTCTACTTTCATTTGACCATCAACTGTCACATTTCATTTAAAGCTTTCGCTGTGGTCTGACAAAATAATCTTATCTTTAAGAGTTACCTTGAAGTGTTACTTGGATTTAATAATTGATTTTATAACTTTTTAAGAGACTATAATAGATTAGCAATTGTTCATAACTGCACTAATGAAATAACGGCGCTAAATAAAGTCTTTCTTCAGAGATCTGTTCTCTTACAACTCCCTATGACCAGGTGACTATCAATAGCTACTCGTATTATAGTAAAGTTTAAAATCATTCCTGATGTCTTTACACAATGAAAGAATTGAAACAGAAGTAATTATATTTTGATACTTAATATTTACCAAGGAACAAACGATTCTTTTTTATGTCACTTAGTTTGTTCTAAATAAAAATAATTTGTTACCAAGTTTGTTACAATCTGAAATATATTAGTACTAGCTTTCCGCCCGCAGCTTCGCCCGCGTGGAGTTCGGTTATATCGCGTTTCCAAGAGAACGTTTCAAAAGTCTGGGATAAAAACTATCCTATGTTCTTTCTCAAGGTCAACTCTATCTCAGTACCAAATTTCATTAAAATCAGTTCAGTGGTTTAGGCGTGAAAGAGTAACAGACAGACAGACAGACAGACAGACAGACAGACAGACAGAGTTACTTTCGCATTTATAATATTAGTAGGGATTATACAATAATGTTAACTGCTAAACTAAAAGCTGTTAGAAAACTCAATTGAAGCCATGCATAGGAATACAGCCTCAAATAAAACAATTTCCAGTAATACTTGTCAGAAATCAAATAAGGTATGGATAACAATCTCTCATATATTGGATTTTCTTTGAAAATACTGAAAATGCAACCTAAACCAGTGCATTTAAGAAATTACTCTGTCCGTATTTTAAAGGGCAAAAACAATAGTCTCCATATATACAATTACACACTTATACATACAATTATACATTTTTACAGTTACACAATTATACCAATATACAATTATTATATATTTTTACAGTTATACAGTTACAGTTACAGTTATATAGTTTACGAATTACATAAAAACGAATATAAATCTATATTTTTACCAAGACCTATGTTAAAAAATTACTTCAATTGTAGTTTTAAAAAAGCGCGAAGTTTACCATCCCATAACTTGTTTATGTTTTAATTATAAGATATTTAAGAAAAAAAATATATGATTTCTCCAAAAATTTACAAATAATTTACATTCTTTACATTATACACATCTTGTATTAACGTACAAATACATATATTTAGTTTAGTTACTTTATTATCAACAAAAATTTTGAAAATTTATTAATAAGCGTGGTGATTAATGCTCAAACCTTCTCTATGTGAGAAGAGGCAGCTCGGCAGTGGGCTCTGATAGGCTGATGATGATGATGATTAATAAGCTGTCACTAAACCTCAAGTAAAGACGTTTCTACGTATTTTGTAAAGATATTAATATATTTTGTCTTATCAGTATATTGGGCCTTTTCAACGTCCAGTTTTTATTGACCACATAACAATTAAATATATAGAAAATAATCTTATTAATTGTTAATCTCATGCAAGTGATATTAAGTTTAAATTAAAGCAAACTTAAAAAAAAAGTTATTAAGCTAAAACAATATATAAGCTAAAATAAAAAAAGGAACCTTTTCTTTTGTGAACGACAAGACGATTTCTCCATTTATACATATGTGAGTAATATTATTCAATGTACTCAAAAAATGAGTAATAATAAAAATATTTTATCTATCGATAAGAATTTTCTGAAGAAGTAACTATTTCCTACTAATTCAAGGGAACATCAATGACCAATATCCGGAGATATAGATATACATATAACATATATACTAGCTTTCCTCCCGCAGCTTCGCCCGCGTGGAGTTCGGTTATATCGCGTTTCCAAGAGAACCTTTCAAAATTCTGGGATAAAAACTATCCTGTCTTTCTCAAGGTCAACTCTATATCTGTATCAAATTTCATTAAAATCAGTTCAGTGGTTTAGGCGTGAAAGCGTAATAGACAGACAGACAGAGTTACTTTCACATTTATAATATTAGTAGGGATATACTACAAATTCATTGTTTTTCAAAAGAGTGACGTCAGCGATGGTGACGTCACTATGTCACTTCTTTCAGTACGTTCCAAGATTAACCATAGTGATACTTCAATTCTTCTTAATGTCCTTGTATTTCTAGAAGGTTCTATATTCTTCAACGCTCCGCACTCACTGAACCTAACTATCGTGCGTCCAAACTTCGTATTTATATTAAAATTCAAAAATAGTTCAATTCTCTTTTAATAATAATTATTATTATTATGACCAAGAAGTTTTATAATATTTGATGACATCCAAATTATTGTTATGTTACATTCATCATTGTTACTGATAGCACCTATATATATGTATATTATTGGAAGTATTTTAGAAAAAAACCGAAGATTTCTTTTATCTCTAAATGTATTTCAACACATAATTTGAATACGATAATTTAAATAAGCAAAAAACTACTACTTGGGAGTTTATAGTAATATATTTCATCATCCAAAACCAATAAATTACAAATCAATGAACCCAGATCACGTACTGTTGCTAGCTCACTAATATAATATTATTTGTATAGCTTATCAATAGTTGAAGTACTAATACCAGCCCTGAGGGACACCCGTACAATCAGTCCGTTATCACCTTATCAGTTTATCACACACCTTTAAAACGAATTTTCAAAATGATAAGGATTGGTATCGAGCCATAGAGTGGATCTTGGTGTAGTTTGTGTTCAGTGTTTGTGAAAATGGGTTGGAAAATTATTATATACGCGTTTGCACTGATTGCTTGTGCATCAGCACAGAATGAATGTAAGTTGCATGATAATTCTTTCTTTTGTAGTATTAAATATATTAATATTAATTTTATAAGTATAGCTGACATAATTGTAGATGCTTAATATTAGTTGTGCTTAATTAAGCGTTCTATAAGCAAGATGAAAATTATATTGATGTCTAATCGCAATCACATAAATTTTTATGTATTTTTTTATCAATTAGATTATATAAACTAGCCGGTTTTTATATGTAAAACAAGTCTTAACACAATTTACTCAAAACATAAGAAATAATTACAATTTTCCTACATTTTCCTAGCAATATTTAAAATACTTTGATATATAATATCATCCAAATTCCTAGTAATGTGCTCAATAAAAATGGGTGGAACATATGACATCATCGCTTTGATAAAAAATATGTAGCAATACTGATAAATGAAAATTATAAATAGTATCGTTTCCAATGTTAAATTTTTCCTTATATAATAATTTTCATATCCTACTAATATTATAAATGCGAAAGTAACTCTGTCTATCTGTCTGTCTGTTACGCTTTCATGCCTAAACCACTGAATCGATTTTAATGAAATTTGATACAGAGATAGAGTTGACCTTGAGAAAGAACATAGGATAGTTTTTATCCCAGACTTTTGAAAAGTTCTCTTGGAAACGCGATATAACCCAAATCCACGGAAAGCTAGTGTACTATATTTTAAGTAATTATCTTCTATATGCTTAAAAAACATTTTCTTTATATATATATAAGTTTTAACAGATATAAATCCGTTTAGGACTTGAAGTAGACATAATGCATTGAAAAAATTATACTTCTATCAATTACTTAAAGTTTAAAATGGATTTTTATTAAAACAAAATAAAAATATCACAATTTCGTCATACTATTAGCATCATATAGCCTTAATTTTGCTAAATTAGATCATAAATGTTCAAAACTATGGCCTGATTTGTGTAAAAAAGTGCTTAGATTTACAATACATTGTTATCTTAGTATATATTTTGTTTGACGAATGACACACATCCTTCTGCAGTGAATCACGTTCTTTACTTACAGAATATTACTCAATCCTTTTTTTATCTGACCATCATGTGTCAGTGCTATCGATTATAAAGGCGAGCCGATGGAGATTAAATTCCTGTGTATTTAATATAATATGGGTTTTGTTTAAAATAATTTGTAACGGAAAACTTCTCTTAATGTTAGGAATATTTTAAGACTGTAGAGCCTAGCTGTGGTCAAGTTACTACAGCTCGAACCGGTTAAGTACCACACTCTCACAGAAGATCGGCGTGAAGTAGTCTTTAATGGCTTTCGTCCGATGAGTGAGAGAGACGGTTGGTTTTTCTCTTTCCCACCCTTCCCTCTCCCTCTTTCCCAATTAAGGCTGCCAACGCAATGTCAATGGGTGACGGTGACTACTGCCCATCAAGTAGGCTATCTGCCCGTTTGATACCTTTCACATAAAAAAAGCGTTCTTAAGATGACGGACGGACGATACTTATGATCTTAGTCCTGATACTGAAATTAATTTGATCTCACCAGAAACACCATGAAAAATCAATAAAATTGTTTTAAGTATTGCTCTAAGTTCCTAGCAATAACAATCAATGTTTATCAAATATGCTTTTGTAAATCTTTTAATTGATTACAATAAAATTTATGACAGTGAAACTTTCTAGTCCACCAAAAAAAAAACGACATTTATTATGCCATATTGAGGGTATTTTGGTTTTTGTTCCATTTGTAGCCTTTAGAATGAGATCTAAAACTTTCGCGAGTATCCATTGAAATAAAAGGAATGTATTTCGGCTTTACTACGCATTTACATTATTTGTAAGCGAGTGAAACGACTTGAAAATTGTATATATATATATCAATACCCTTAAAGCAGAAATTTCAACCTTATTTATCTGCAATTAATGTCTTTTTTCGACAGTTCGTGTCTGCGTGCCACCGTCGTTCGCCTCTCAATGTCAGGGCCTTCAAAGTCTTGGCAGTCCGATTATTTGTGACACAGTGGAATCTAGGTAATAAAACTCATTTCATTAATCAAAACAACTTGATATATAGAAACTGTTCTTATATATGTATATCTTCTACCTGGCAATTTCCCCAGCTTTAGCAAGGGTCTGTCTTACATGTTGTAAATAGTTTTGGCTTATTGTTTTTACGACCGGCCGCCTGCCTGACATCAACCCTCTTTGGGAATGCATTAATCAGTGATGTCTAAATACTCTTATAAAGTACATATGACTCGGAAAAATTACATTGGTACTTGCCAGGATCGAACCCGCGCCCTTGTGCATGAGAGGCGGCCTTTTTAACCACTAGGCCACCACTGACAAACAAATATATACGTATACTAGAAGACCCGGCGAACTTCGTATCGCCCTAGAATCAAAAAATATCTGTTAATTTTTTTTATTTATATTTTTGGAGTTTACCTATTTAAGCCATAAATCTCCATGTTTTGAAATGCGACAGAATGATTGACATATTAGTTAGTTGTCAAATCTAATGTCAAAAAAAAAAAAACGTTTGTATCAACAACTACTAATAAATTAAAAAATAATTAATAAAACATTGTCCAGCGGACGAAATTGTGAATCTAAACCATTCCTAGATCCCTTTGAACACACACAAAAAATTTCATCAAAATCGGTCCAGTTGTTTGAGAGAAGTTCAGTGACATACACACTCACAGAAGAATTATATATATAAAGATATTTGTTAAACTTTTCATATAACAAATTTTTATATCTTCACAGATTAGACTGCATCATGAGACTGAATAGAGGTGATTCAGACTTCGGAGTGTTTTCTGAAGAGGAAATGGTATTGATGGCTCACAACCAACCTAATGACAACCGGGTAGTGGCTTCCATTAAAGATATACTTAGCAACGGTAAGTAACGATATTCGAATTAAAAACATTAAGATTTTAAAGCAGTATTTGAAGTCTCATTGTACATAGAATGTACTTAAAAATATTAACATATTTGCATACCCTACTTTTTGAACTATTGTGTTATAGAACTTACCTTAGAAACAAAAACTTTTTGCAATTATTTGTCAAGTCTAAGAATATTAAGAGATATAAGAAGAAATATACCGAAAAAATAAATCGATTGACATCCATAAAAAAGTTATTTTTCGAAATATAAGCTAATAAAATATAGGACTATGTGAGTTTGACATAAGGTCAGAAAAATCGCAAGTCGTTAATGTAAAAATAACGAACTCCTATAACTCATTGTTATAGGAGTTTTTAACAAGTTTTTATCAAGACGATAGGGGTCATACCAAAAAAAGAAGCTTCAGCGTTGGATTTCACGACTAGAAAATCGTAGCACACGTATTCTTGAAGCTTCTTTTTGATTAAAATAATATAGAGAATACATACAAAGAAAGATCATAGATCTGTGATCTTGGAAAATAACAATACTTTAGTAATACTGAATGACTTCTTTCTCTACAATAAATTCTTTATTTCCAGCAATAGAAGATCGTTTTTCCAACACATTTGATATTGATTTCCTTTCCAGGCTCCTACGCCTTCGAAGCGGTGGCTGTAGTCCCAGCGAGTCACACTGGTGGCTTAGAAGGACTTCGTGGCATGAAGTACTGTCACCCTGGCCTGGATGAAACCGAGGCTCGCTGGTCTCCACGAGTGCTCAAGACTTTGGAACGAGCTGTTAGTATTGGTCTTTTGATTTACTTACGAGTATCTTCTTCTACCTGGCAATTTCCCTGCTATAGCCAGGGTCTGCCTTATATATTGTGAATAGTTTTGGCTAATTGTTTTTTACGACCGGCCGCCTGCCTGACTCTTTTGGGAATTCATTAATCAGTATGCAGATGTACTTACGAGTATACTATCTATTATTATTTTTTTTGTTTTTGTAATATAGTTTTTTTGTAATGTAGTTTTGAGAGGGGAAAATCTAAATCAAAAATATATATTTATTACGGCGCGTCGACTTTGAATTAGATTAATATAAATTTGATAAGTAATTCAGTTGATTTGTTTCATGGACATTATGAGCGACCAGGCTACTTATTGTACAAATTATGCTATGGACAACCGTCAAACAAAATGCACAAGCTTAACCTATTGGCTCATAATCCATTTTCATCTTATTATTTTAGTGTAATTTCAAATATAGTTGTAAAGAAATCGAGAAATTAGATATTGGATAGTACAAGTGTGCTTTTATTTATGAGTTCCTATCGTTACAACGTCCATAATAGATATGAAAAGCCAAGACCACCATGAGGTATCCTACATAAATATATTCTTATTTCGTCTTATAAGTGTTGAAATATCATTCCAGGCTGCTAGAACTGATCGCTGCCCTGATATTGATACAAATGGAAAAACAGCTGAAGAGATTGAGGTGCAAACTTTAAATTCCTTCTTCAGTGCTGCTTGCAGGCCTGGACCTTGGAGCGCTAACTCCACAGTTGATGCTGACCTCAGTAAGAAAATTGTGAAATCGTTTAACTAATAGTTTACTAATATTATGATTAGAATACAAATATTAGTCCATTGAAATTACTTTATGGACACTATTGGAAAGATTAATGTGCAAGTATCATTGTTGCCAAAAATTTATGATTTCGTATTAAATATAAGATGTAAATTGAATCTAATCAAATTAGAAATTTCAATAAAGTGCCAGAGAGTAAAGTAAGAACAAAAACTTAAGTAAGAGTTTAATATTTTTTTTATATTAATACCTATAGGTACCAAATCTCCGGCTTGCTAAAAAATATTTGTCTCATAATGAAAAAATATTATTAAATACCATCCCATTTTCTATCTGTTATTTGGTAAATTACTACAATAATAGCTTCTCAACTATTCTATTCGTACTATTCTCTGTTATTAAGTTCGATCCTGAATAAAAAGCGTAGGTCTAGAAGGACGGAGTGAAAAAATAAATATAAAAATGATCACCTGTACATATTAATCATCTTATAACCTTTAACGTTTTTAAATATTGGTGGCTAATCTTAGTCTTATTCATGTTTAAAATTTAGCTGTTGTTTTGATTATTTATTGAACTAAACTGATTTAATTTCCTAAACAGAATCCCGTTTCCCCAACCTGTGCTCTCTGTGCGGTTCCAACGGAGACTGCTCCAAATACTCCATCGACATGGGCCCTAATATCGCCAATGTTGACAACAACAACAGACACATCCAGGCCTTGGAGTGTATGAGGTCCAATGAGAACAACACATTCGCTTACGTTGCCTGGCAGCACGTCCGCACATACTTTAACGTGAGATACTCAATATTAATTTAAATATATCAAAGGCAGCCCTAGTAGGTTCTTTTTAAATTTGGTTAGGTAGAGAGAGGAGCTTGTACGGTGGAGGTGAGCGCTTAACGCGCGTTAGATAGGGTCTTAAACCTACACTTGGGTCGCAAGTCCCAGGCACTGTTGAAGCTCCTCTCCCTACAACGGTGGACCCGACACACACACAGTGAATACATGGAATGATGAGAGGTTAAATCTCTCTTATAAGCTGTTTTTATTGTTATCCTGGAAATTACTCCTAGTTTGAAAATTCTCTAATTTATTAGTAGCTTAAATTACGTAGACGATTGCAGGACAAACGCCTTTACATGTTTTTATTGAGAGTAATAATATTAATACATTTTTTTTACTATTAGCAATAAAGATAGTCTATTTTTTACATAAATAGAACTGCTTTCTATGTCAAAGATATTTTTACTTTAAAATAAAATCATTGATATAATTGAAAATTATAAAAAAAGACAGTAGAACGCCTATTTGTCTCTTTATCTTTATTTTTAATCTTCAAATACAGCGTTCTCAAAATCGTGATGTATTTTCCTAATAAATACTATAAGCTGATCACAAACACCTTACTGGGCCTAAAATTCAAGTACTTTTGTTGCCATGGAATTTCTAAGCAGTATTTTTATTATATCATATAAAATTGTCAGATAAAGAAGACATTGTTATTAAAATTTCTTAATTTATATAACTTTAATCACTCGAAATAGTTTGAAAAAAAAATAATTGGAATTTTATTCTAGGTGCGTAATCCAAGGATTCGTGGCTCGTACGCCCTTCTTTGCGAGGATGGCTCCCTACGTCCTTTGACGATTGAAGCTACTAATTCCAATATATCACCATGCTCATTCGTCAGACAGCCCTGGAGCGCTATCGTGGCTACCACGTAAGATTTTTAAGAATTATTCATCTTATTACATCTTTTTCTACCTGGCAATTTCCCACCTTAAGCCAGGGTCTGCCTTATATGTTGTGTATAGTTTTGGCTAATTGTTTTTACGACCGGCCGCCTGCCTGACATCAACCCTCTTTGGGAATGCATTTCCATTCATCTTATTACATCTTTTTAACTAAATGAAACTAATATTATTCGAATTACTACACTACATACTCCCGACGTTTTGGTTACTTTCCATCAACCGTGATCATTAAGACGAGATGGAAATACATCATTTAATTTTATTAATAAAATACGAAAAGTAATCCGAAAATATTAGTTTCATTTAAATTAAAACTCGCGATAATCTTAGTTATCATTATTTTTAACTATTTTGCTCTCAAGAGACAAGACAGTAGTCCTTTTAGTCCTTTCTATTTCTTATACAGTATTTGGCAAAACATATATAAGTTTTTTAAGGCTTATAATCATGTGTGTTTAATTTTCAGTACCAGAGCAAATGATGTGAGTGCTGCTGTCAAGACCTGGTGGCCCACAGGAACCAACCCTGGTGGAAACTCCTGGCAGTCATCACTGTACAATAATTTAATAGGAGGCGCTTTAAGCATAGTCTCTTTTGAAGACAGTCTTCCCGGACCTGGAAACTATAGCCAAAGTAAGTTTTAAAAAGAGATTTTATAACGTAATGTAGACGTGCCCTTTCCTTTTTCTTTTTCCCATTCTTTCCTACAGCTTCCTTTATCCTCCCTTTCCTACTTTTTTCTTCCCTTCTTTCCTAATCAAGGGTGGAAAGACATCCGCAAAACTATGTTGCGGATGTCCATGGGCGATGGTACTGCCTTCATCAGGTAGGCCGTCTGCTCTGTTGCCCCCTTTGTGATAAAAAAACGTAAATCTAAGAAATAAGGACTATTTTTATCACTGCCTTTAAATGTGTTTTAATTTTGTATATTATTCCGCATGTTTAACTTCTCCAGGTCGTAACTTCACCACGATCGATGCTTCCTCATCCTGTATCCCAGCTCGCCGTTGGTGCACCATTTCCAGTGAAGAACACAATAAGTGCTCCTGGGTCCGTGCCTCCGCCTTCACCCTGGGCATAGAACCCACTATCTCCTGTCAAATGAGAGCCAACATTTTTGAATGTCTCTCCGATATTAAAGACAACGCCGCTGACTTTATCGCCGTTCCATCCAACTATGGTTATTTGTCAAGGCAGTGAGTACAACAATTAAAAGACTATTTTCTTTTCCAAGAAGTTGAATTTAGCTGTGCTTATTAAACTCCATCTACTTTTATTCTATTCTTTTGAGTTATTTCTATATCTTATACGTATCGCCAATGTCTAAGCCTAAGAGTAAAGTTAATTCATATAGATCATCACTATAATAATCTCGTTTAACATTTTATAGACATTACAAGTTGTCACCTGTGAAACTCGTCCAAAACCTTCGTGGCAACCCTAACTCCTTTTCGCGGGTTGCTGCGTTCGTCAAAGAGTCCGCTACTCAAGGGAACATCACGAGATTTGAAAATCTTCGAGGGAAGAAGGCTTGCTTCCCGGAGTTCGGTGGAATATGTAAGAAAAATCCTATACAAAACATATTCTTATAATTTTGCTTGGACAAGCAATCTTACCACCAATAATTACTGCTATAGTATATAATATCTCTATAATGATCTTTATTCTCCATTCATATCTACCTCTGTTTGTCAACTACAATTATTGCCGCAATATGCTGTTTTAAATCCAGTATTATAACTCACAAACTCATATATACATATGAAACAAATCAGCAATGAATTCTCCATTCCTATATTCTGTTTCAGCGTACGTGGCGTTCCTACGTACTGCACATGAACGCTCCATCATTAGTAGTTCAGAATGTGACTACGCACGCGCAGTGGGTGAATTCTTTGACGGTGCCTGCGCCCCTGGAGCTATGGCTGCTTCCCATGAAATAACTCAAAGTGTAAGTTATTACTCCACAAAACTTTATATTATTGTACTTTTTGCTAAAACAAATTTTATTCTTACTTTTACGGTTCCTTAGAAATGCTTATAATATTTTTATACCGATTTCAGTCATACAATGCGTCAAATTTATGCTCGGTCTGCAAGCCAGCGGTCAATGTCAACGATTCTAATTGTAAGTATTGATTAAGTTTAAAAAATAATAACTCATGGAAAATTTTACGTTTTTCTATAAAATTTCATGTGTTATCTTTTTGATAGTCACCTGCGCGTTTGACTACACTAATATGTACTATGGCAACAATGGTAGCATCAACTGCCTCGCTGATCCTACAACCGATGTTGCTTTCGTCGAACTGGATGGTATTGAAGGTAAGATTGAGACTTGTTTTGATATTACAATTTTGACAAAACCAAATTCGTGGTGACCTAGAGGTTAAAGGGCCCGCCTCTCGTGCATGAGGGCGTGGGTTGAAAACCTGGCAGGTACCAATATGATTTCTCCGAGTTATAAGTACTTTCTAATAGTATTTAGACACCACTGATGCACGGTGAAGGAAAACATCGAAGAAACCTTGACATATAATATCAAATTGTAAGTTTAAAATCACCAACCCGTCTTGAGCGAGTGTGGTGATTAATGCTCAAACCTTCTCCATGTGAGAAGAGGCCTTTCAGCAGTGGGCTCTGATAGGCTAATAATGATGATGAATACTAATTATAGCTCTAGCATTTTCTACATTAACAATCCACTTTATATTCCAGCTCATCTTAACGCTGCTAAACTTCAAGCTTCTGATCTGAGAGCGCTGTGCAGAGACAACACTCTCGCTCCAAGCGCCGGAGTCCAGGTTCCTGATAGCTGTCTTCTAGCGAGCGTTGTGGATTCAGAGGTTCTTGCACGAAGGTGAGAGAACTTAATCTACTAAAAGTATAGAATAGGATAAAACTAACGATAAAAATTGGTGGCAACGCCTGTGAAGATCAAAATACAAACCTAAGGTTGAAGATGCTCACCAAACAAAAACGAAGGTTATAGTATATTTAGGTGGTAGAGCCTAGCTGTGGTCAAGTGACTACAGCTCGAACATGTGCTAGCTGGACCTCGGAAGTACCGCAGATCGGGGTGGAGTAGTCTTTAATGGCTGCTTTTCGTCCGATGAGTGAAACAAACGGTTGCCCTGTCACGTTTCCATCCTTTCCTACGATTTCCTTATTCCCTCCCTTCCCTTTTCTTAAACAACCAAAGTCAGCAACGCACTGTCCATTGTTACGTTGACTACTACCACAAAAAAAAACCTTTAAAAAAAAGTTTACTGGTTTAAAAATTAATTCGAAAATACGAACGAGATTTATTCAAATGGGTTAAAAAATATATTTTTCATTTTTATTTTTCAGAAACGATCCTCTCACCAATAGCCTGAACGTTCTGCTAGACAATTTAGACTCCTACTTCGGCTACAACGCCGCGAACGCCAAACAACTAATCAACCTGGAAATTTATTCGCCATTCGACAAAGTCAGTGACCTATTATTCAAGAACACAGCCATAGGTCTCACAGAGCCTTCAGACAACGCAATAAACGCTGAAGCGAGGAATTACAATGAACTTTTCCGTCACCTGGAATCTTGTACTGGTTCTTCTCCACCACTTCCAGGTTTAGCAACCAAAAACTTCTTCTCACTTCTAACTCTGTTAGGTACGGTACTTCTAACCCGTTTTGTGCTATATTAAGCTGAACAATTGTTAATTATTATGAATTTAAATCCATAAATAGTGTAAGTTTTCTTATAATCAGTAGTTATATCATATTATCGAGTGTTTTTGTCCGTTGATGGCAATTTTTATGCATTTATCTTTGTGTTTTAAATATTTTTTTTGTACGTAATTTAAACTTTGTCCTAATGAAAGATGAAATAAATAGACCCAACGACTAGATAGTTCTTAGATTTTTTGTTTGTTTCTATAATTATCCTATACATGAGAAAAATTGTTTAATTCAATAGAAATAAGCTAAAAAATATATTTAGGATATTAAATATTGTATATAGTTGAGTTTCAATTCACGTGTTGTTTGGGAATTAAATAAAATATGTTTTTTTTATTATGTTTTAATTACTATAAAGTTTTCAGACACAAAGTAATTTAATCAAATGAAGGCTGTGAGCTTATCACAAAAAATCTTATGTACATTGGCAATATTTACTAAGAGCAATTCTTATGTACAAATAACAACGAAGTATTTGGCAAGTATTTAAAAACACATAGCTACTTATATCTAGTAAAACTTAAGTTTATTTCTTTAGCTTTTCAAAGCCAGACCTGCAGACCTGGACATCTGCAACGTTTGCAGTCTGACAATATTAATTCCTCTTGATTTTTTTGCTAAAAATGTTCCCATATGTCATCATTATTGTTTGTCGATCCACCCTATTCTTCCTCGACCCAAAACCAGCATCAACACGTCTTCATTAGAACTTGGACCTGGTGATATTCGAGTACCGATTGAACGACTTCTTGGACCTAAAAAAATGATTTAGTTCTTGACAATCGAATAGAAAAAATAGCATTTAGTGACTATGCAAATCAAACTTAATTTTAAACATTATTTTAAACTGAAAGTTCTTGACAGTTTTTACAATTTAAATGATTATTATAAATGGCAAATTTATTCCTAATTTATTATTAAAAATGGGAATAGGACTCTGAATTTCAAGTAAAAAAATGACTTCTCCCCTTGTCACACTTGCGAAGGACTTAACTATTGAAATATTTTCTACTTCCTTACAATATCAATTAAATTAATAAAAAGTATGAATAGTCATACATACATATATTATTTTTATTTCCCGAAAAAATAGTAGCCCTACACTACTAATTTACGTTGTTTCTAATACTTTACTAAATAATAAATTATGTTCTAATATTAATAAGACCAATATTAGTGACACATCTCACCGCCAGAGCGGCGCTGTAGTCGCTAGGTGTGCGAGCGAGACAGACAGTGCCTTAGGAGTGAGCAGGACAGCAATATAACATGGAAAACAATGAGGGTAGCGTATACTGGTATCTCGAACTTATCGAGCCACGATCTAATGGCGTTTTGGCAGTCCTGAAATAAAACGAAAATAAATATATTCTTTGCTATATTAAGTTATCAAAAAGAATAAAATAATTGATTATTTTTTAGAAGATCCTTATATAGTCTAAAATTTGTTCTTACTCAAATTGTTTTGCAATTTAAACACTCACGATTTCAGTAACTGTCATGTGCAGTGGCAATTTTGTTATCAGAATGACAACCTGCCCAGAAATGTTAAATATATTTTTACACTCACCAAATCGTGAACTTTTTCTATAGTACAGTTATTTGAATAGAATTCTTCATTGCAACAGGACCATGGAGGATTTACTTCTAATGTGGACCTGGAAAAATATATACATGAATTCAAACAAAGTACAACACACAAATATACTCTGAGGAATGAAAGGAACAGAAAAAATTAACATATTTTTATACGTAGCTTTAAAAACATGATTAATTAATACTAAGTGCCAATGCTGTTAATAACGTTGCCAAAAAACACTGCACGATTCTACCACTACTCAGTCAGTGGTGGCCTGGTGGTTAAAGGTCCGCCTCTCATGCATGAAGGCGCGGGTTCGATCCTGGCAAATACCAATGTGATTTTCCGAGTCATATGTACTTTATAAGAGTATTTAGACATCACTGATTGATGAAGGAAAACATCATGAGGAAACCTGGACTTATAATATCACATTATAAGTTTGAAATCACCAACCCGTCTTGAGCAAGCGTGGTGATTAATGCTCAAACCTTCTCCATGGGAGAAGAGGCCTTTGCTCAGCAGTGGGCTCTGATAGGCTGATGACGATAAGTACTCACATAATTGTCATCTCTTCTTATTGTATTTCCATTTTTAACTTATAATTTTGATAATTTATAACTGTTTTTATTTATAATTTATTAAATATACTTAACAACCTTAAATTATAATACTTACGTCACATTTAATTCGCAGCAGTTTAAGTTCGCACGCACTATATGGTTAAAATTGACGTCTTGGTTTTGGAATCCTTTCTGGAAGAACCATTAATTATATCTTTACTAATAACACTTTTAATTTTTACACATTTTTTCATTATCCCCAAAGACCATACCATCAAGGTCAATAAATATTACGAGCTCAATAACGAACTCGCTCGAAATAGGTTCGTCGTAGATTTGTACGCGGTAGAGGTGGGAGCGAAAGGTATAACAGCTAAATCTCTCTATAACCTACTAAAAGACTTGGGCCTGTCCAGAACTAATATTAATACATTCTTGGAACGTACTCGTACTTCGAAGGCAGCCCTAGAGATACATTTCAAATTTGGTAGAGAGTGAAGCTTGGACTAATTAAAATTCTTGGTGTAATAATAAAATTTAAATATCTAGACATAAATAAACTTGATTATTTTGTAATCAATCCTCGACAGCTTCGTCCTATTCATCTTCAAATTATATGCAGATTATTATGGCTAGGACATATTTTTTTACTTACATGGGCACTGAAATAGTCAAATTTAATACAATTAAACTATGGTCTTAAAGAATTTATTCTCAAAAAAACATAGTCTTACTTACATGAGAACAAAAATACAAAAGTGAAAATACAAAAGTAGTCGTCAGATTATTTGGAACTCAATTAAAGATAGTAAGTTATTATTACAAGTGTGTTACATCGTTGGTATATCAATTATTTTCTATAATATGTTATGAAAGTTGAGATTTAAATTCGTTAATTGAGCTTGCATTTCTTATAGTACACGGTAATTTGTTGTAAAGTTGTGCTATGCAGAAACAAAGTAAATTAGATCACCTCTATTAAGTTTGAGGACAGGTAGTACATCACTGAACATTCGAGAAGTAGCAGCAAGAATACTATGGCGGCATACTGAAACAAAATAGAAAAAATAAGACCTCATTTTATTGGTCAGACATAGCTATATTTTGCCTTCCCAGACTTTGGCTTGCTCTATACTTAAAATATCAGAACAAGTTGAGAAGAAATAAAACTTTTTGAATAGACGAAATACTAAAAGATACTAGTTTTTGTCCGCGACTTCGTCCGCGTTAATTTCTTCATTAGTAATATATGTATAGCTGACCGGGCGAACTCTATTCCGCCCTAGAGGCCATAAATAACCAGATATTCTAGTTTATTAAGTTTTTTCTTTTTTCGTTCAAATAGAATTAAATGTCTCCTTACCTCGTTCTAAGCTGTCTACCAATTTCCATCCAAATCCGCACAGTCGTTCTTGAGTTATAAATAGTGTGACTAACAAGACTTTCTTTTGTATATATAGATTTATTTCTTTTACAAAATTATAACAAAGGCACAATTAATATACAAGTTGTTACAGCCTATTTAGTTTTTCTGGTTTTTATCTATGTAGTGATGGGTCAAGTAATTTATAATAATACCATAAACAGAAGAAACTTTGATCTCGTGATAGCGCCATACAATCCCATGAAGGAGATGCAAAAAACGAAGCCAGATACCAACGCTCCAGCCATCCCCAGTTGGAAAGAAAGTGTATCCTCAGTTACCAACGCCTGTGGAAATATGAATACAATTTTATTATGATACAAATTCTTATATAAGGATAAAATTGTACATATAACGTTTATCATCATAATAAGATCTAAGATTTTCACGAGTATTCATTTAAATGAAACTAATATTTTCGGATTTACTACGAGTAAATACTATTGTTAAAAAAAACTACATACTCTAAGGTGATTTGATGGAAATCATGGTAGCTGAAAAGTAACAAAAACGTCGGGAGTATGATAGTTTTTAAATAATAAAATACTCGAAGTTATCCGAATAATATTTGTTTTAATAAATGAATACTCGTAAAACTCATACATCAGAATAAAATGGTTTAACATTTATCAATGATTTTAAACAACTCTTCTTCTTCCTGGCAATTTCCCAGCTTTAGCCAGGGTATGCCTTACATGTTGTAAATAGTTTTGGCTAATCGTTTCTACGACCGGCCGCCTGCCTGACATCAACCATCTTTGGGAATGCATTAATCAGTGATGTCTAAATACTCTTATAAAGTACATATGACTCGGAATTATCACATTGGCATTTGCTAGGATTGAGCCTGCGCCCTCGTGCATGAGAGACGAGCCTTTTAACCACTAGGACACCACTGACTAATGATTAACCGAAAAATTACACATAGAACCATAACCAAAAAAGTTAATTTATCATTTTAATATATATGTCAAAGAGTTTAAACTTTGTCACAGTTATACTGCCCCTGTATCATTACCTTAATTGCCCCTTCATGTTAAACTAACGGTCACCCTATTATTTTGTCATTGTAACAAATACGAACAATGGGGTTGAATAAGACTCTGTTTAAAACATAAGCTTGAAATTTTGATAATTATTATGGGCATATTAGGTTTTTAATTATAACAGAAAATGATCTTATTTTCCCGTATTAAATATCTACTTCCGGGCAATTTCTCAGCTTTAGCCAGGGTCTGCCTTATATGTGAATAGTTTTGGCTAATTGTTTTTACGCCCGCCTGCCTGACATCAACCCTCTTTGGGAATCAAATATATTATATACTAGCTTTCCGCACGCAGCTTCGCTCCCGTAGAGGTCAGTTATATCGCGTTTCCAAGAGAACCTTTCAAAAGTCTGGGATAAAAACTGTCTTATGTTCTCTCTCAAGGTCAACTCTATGTCTGTACCAAATTTCATTAAAATCAGTTCAGTGGTTTAGGGGTGAAAGCGTAACAAACAGACAGACAGAGTTACTTTCGCATTTATAATATTAGTAAGGATATGTATATGAGTAAAGTCAGGATAAAATATTAGTTATTTACTATAAGAATAGATAATTTTTCTGTCTACCTACAAAATATGCACTCCTATCTGTCATGACAAATATATCTATTTTTAGGCCCCCGTGTTCAGGGGCCTAACAATTCTTGGTACTAGGTCCTCTTATTTAGGGGCCTTTATAATTTATACTTGTAAAGTCCTAAATTGTAATAATGATTAGTGGGATTTAAACTTTGTTTCAAACAATTATATTTTTCAACTATTCTATATATGTCAATATGAAAATAATTTAATAATTCTAAATATACTTTTAAATTTGAATTTCAAAAGTTTATAATATAAATGCATTTTTTTTTGTGAAAACGATAAAAATAAATGCCTTTTGTTAAAATTTCAATTTTTTCTTCAACACCAAAAATAATTTATAATTCAAAGATTAATTAAATATTTATTAAGACGTATGTATTAATAGTTAATATATACAGACTGACAGACGATAAAGGAAAACATCGTAAGGAAACATTGACTTATATCAAATTATAAGTTTGAAATCACCAACCCGTGTTGAGCAAGCGTGGTAATGCTCAAACCTTCTCCATGTGAGAAGAGGGCTTTGTTCAGCAGTGGACTCTGTTGACGATATATATCCCTACTGATTTTAATAAAATTTGGTACAGAGATAGAGTTGACCTTGAGAAAGAACATAGGATAGTTTTTATCTCAGACTTTTGAAAGGTTCTCTTGGAAACGCGATATAACCGAACTCCACGCGGGCGAAGCTGCGGGCGGAAAGCTAGTATTTATAAATATACCTGTTATATAAAATCAATAGCTTTACCACATAAACTAAAATAGCCTCTCAATCATTATTTATAATATACATACATATAATCCATATTTCGTACATAACCATCTAACTGTAAGTATTACGTTTCTGTACTCGTAGTAACGACCAACTCTATATTCTTTCAATAAATAATTTTTATTCCATAAACGTTATTTTTCAATATATTTCTGTATAATTGGTGATCGATAGAACATCGCGTGCGGTGACGCCCTGGATATAGCTGGGGAAATAGTGGTATAAATAAATAAAGAAGAAATTACTACCTCATGAGTAGAGTGGAATGATATTTCATTTATAAGCTGCAATTTTAATATGATAGATATATAAAATTGTGAGAAATTTTTGCGAAAGAAGAATGTGAGATAGAATGTTATTCTTTTTTTCTTCTACCTGGCAATTTTCCAGCTATAGCCAGGGTCTGCCTTACATGTTGTGAATAGTTTTAGCTAATTGTTTTTACGACCAGCCGCCTGCCTGCCATCAACCATCTTTGGGAATGCATTAATCAGTGATGCCTAAATACTCTTATAAAGTACATATGACTCGGAAAAATCACATTTGTACTTGCGAGGATCGAACCCGCGCTCTCGTGCATGGGAGGCAGACCTTTAACCACTAGGCCACCACTGACTCAGATAGAGAGTTATTATTATTTAATTATTTGATTACTAGTAATAACAATTTAATTTCAGTGTAAGCCTGCTAGTGTTCCTTGCAGTTAATTGACCTAAAAGCTAACTATTATCTTTTTTTTACTTCTTTATGGTCTGTTTATTTGCAATAGAAAGAGAGAGAGATGTAATCAAAATTAATATACCACAACAAGCGGAACTTAATTTTTCAATCATTATATGTAGATTTATTAGTCGTGGTGGCCTAGGTTAAAGGCCCGCCTCTCTTGCACAAGGGCGCGGGTTTTATCCTGGCAAGTACCAATGTGGTTTTTCCGAGTCATATGTACTTTATAAGAGTATTTAGACAACACTGATTAATGAAGGAAAATATGAGGAAACATGGACTTATATCAAATTATAAGTTTGAAATCGCCAACCCGTCTTGAGCGAGCTTGGTAATTAAAGCTTTAACCTTCTTCATGTGAGGAGAGGACTTACAGCAGTGGGCTCTGATAGGCTTATGATGATGAAGTAAATTTATCTTATGCTATGTGATTTTATATGAAATTATATGTAGATATTATGAACTTGTTACAAAGAAACAGTTATTAATGTAGCAACAGTGTAAGGACGAACCACGGGGAAATACTAGTTCATTAATGATAAAGTCAGGTCGGGAAAGTAGGTCGCGATTGTGGTGCCTAGTACGAGTGAACTCAAATTACAGATGCTCGTATAAACGAAAAACACAAAGAATGATAGCTAAAAATTAATTATTTTAGTAGTGTTATCTTTAACGTGCACACTTTCAGTTTGATGGTTTAAAAAAACTGTTACTTTTGTGATAGATGTGAGTTTGTTAAAGAAATTAGTCAAAATAATTTATTGTAAACATTTGAATGCAATTTTGATTATTAAGTGTAATTCTACATTGAGATAATGTATCTATTTTACATAAAAACAACTAAAGATTTAACTTCTATAACATTAACTAGTTTATGCCCGCGGCTTTGTCCGCGTTAGTTTCATAATTAGAAATGTATAGACTAGTCGAATTGTTACGATTTACAGGCAGTAAAACAACAGATTTTGGATTTAATTAACAAATTCTTTTGGTTCAACAAATTCAAAAATATCCTATTTCCTTTCTATATTCTAATCTATCTCTCCACCAATCTTCATCCAAACCCGTACAGTCGTTAGAGTTATAAATAGTGTAACTAACACGACTTTCTTTTATATATAGATTGAAGACGAATTACTTTATAATGTATTTGTTTTTATTAAAGACGAGTGAAATAATACTTATATTATATTGTTTCTTTGGAAATAATGAACGAAAAAGTCATCAACACATATAGGAATCACAGTTTTAAATTCTATAAGTAAATTTCACTGAAAAACTATCAAAAATGTAAATAGAGACATTCACATCTCGTCTTAATGATCACGGTTGCTGTGAAGTAACCGAAACGTCGGGATTATGTAGTTAAAATAATAAAATACACGTAGTAATACGAAAAATATTAGTTTCATTTAAATGTAAATGTTTTTTGGCAATCATTTATAATATATATTAATGATTTTCGTTGAAATTTAAACATCTTATGATGCATTTCCTCTATCCTAATGATGAGTAAGTAAGCGAACTCCATCCACAACCGCTTACCTTCATAAAACTGCTTCCGAAGTTATTAACCAAGTACATCACTGTAGATGGCGCTGCTATCACCAGTAGACCCATGGCGAATATGATAATACAGAGAATCTGAAATAAAAATTTTAGATAAGTTTAAAACCAAGATACTGTCCAAAATATTTGGAAAAATCATGCCTACTAATATTATGTAACTCTGTCTGTCTTTCTGTCTGCTTTTAATGAAATTTGGTACAGAGATGGAGTTGACCTTGACAAAGAACATAGGATAGTTTTTGTCCCACACTTTTGAAAGGTTCTCTTGGAAACGCGACATAACCGAACTCCACGCGGACGAAGCTGCGGGCGGAAAGCTAGTAGTTTATAAAACACAATATACATTGAATTTAATGTAATGAGAATCTAAAATAAATCAACTCAACAAAAACTATTATTATAGTATTATAATTTTTGGAGTGAAACTTCTTATGCAACTTCCAACATGGTTACGTTAAACGTTTAACGCTCCTGGAGGGGGAACAGAAAGAAACAGACTTGAGGTAATGCGTATCGAACGAACGCATGCAATCAATTATCTTGTAAGTAATGTTATTAAAGTTTGTTTTAAAGAAACATTAAAGATTACTTATAAATCTATTTCTACTCCTTCCTGTTTTCATTTTATTACGAAGTTTCACTTCTTTGAAAGGACTCCACGTACAATTTTTTTACAAAATACTTACCATAGACAATAAATTGATGATTATCATAACTCCAGCTGCTACAGCTGATGATTTTGAAGACTTCTCGTTCATTTTTAAACTGTAATTAAATTAAAAATTTATCAATAACCAATTTAAAACAAAATGTATTATTTACTAGCTTTTCGCAGCTTCGCCCGCGTGGAGTTCGGTTATATCGCGTTTCCAAGAGAACCTTTCAAAAGTCTGTAATAAAAACTATCCTATGTTCTTTGTCAAGGACAACTCTATCTCTATACCAAATTTCATTAAAATCAGTTCAGTGGTTTAGGCGTGAAAGCGTAACAGACAGACAGACAGAGTTACGTTTGCATTTATAATGTTAGTAGGGATGTACAATATATTTTTAAGTATACAGCCATATAATTTATATTGCTACAATAAATTCTATTCTTATTTTCCGTACATTAATTGTTTGAGTAAAAAATGTACCTAAATCTTTATATACAAAAGAAAGTCGTGTTAGTTACACTATATATAACTCAAGAACGGCTGTACGGATATGGATGAAGATTGGTGGAGAAATAGATTAGAACATAGAAAGGACATAGGATACTTTACATAGGATTGAAAAAGAAAATAAGTTGATCAAATCCAAAATCTTATCTACTGTCTTTAAGGAGGAACAGAGTTCGACCGGTCAGCTATACATTACTAATTCTGATTAACGCAGACGAAGTCGTACCCAAAAACTAGTTTAATAATAAATTTAAGTGAATTATAAATTTAAACAACGAAATACGTTTTACAAAAAAAAGGTCTCTTGGGAAAGACGTGTGGCTATTGAATAATTTATTAATCGACAAGGGAATCCCGTGAAAATTATAAAATTATAACTTATGACTTCTTTGTACAATACTGCTGAATCCATTTCTATATAGTTTTTGTGAAAAGTAGATTGTCTTTAGGAGACGAACAGAGCTTCAGCAAACTTGATAGAATAAAAGAACAAAGAAAAATTTCATGATATTTACTTAGAAAGAAAATCGCAAAGATATATTTATTTCAGGTTTATTCTTAAACGTCAAAACTAATATTTTTACATAACTTAACAAAATAATAGTTTTAAAATTAAAAGTACTGAAATGATTACATTATTATAAAAAAAATCTTCAATAACACACGTAGAATTTGTTATTACTTCAAACTACTACATTTTAGGCTCTCGTCTTAATGATCACGGTTGATGAAAAGTAACCGAAACCTCGGGAGTATGTAGTTAAAATAACAAAATACTCATAGTAATACGAAAATATTAGTTTCATTTAAATGAATACTCGTAAGTACTTAGATTTCATTTAGACTTACCTTTATAATTTTATGTGTGCACAAATTAAAATAGATTGACCATTTACACAAACACAACACTATTTTAAAGTCTTCAAATCAATACACAATTTTAAATAATAATACCAATCAATTTAGACAGACACGATGCATTTACAATGCATAAAACATATATATAACTATTTCAATTAATTTAAAACATAATAATAATTAATTATATTTAAACTTCACATAATAAATACATATACATATATATTTATTTATTTATACATAAATATATTACGTATTTTTACTTTTAAATGTTTTTGTCATACGTCAACTCTCTCCGATAGAAAACAGCGTACTGAATTAAAAATCGCTTGCCTAGTTGCCACTAAGGAACAAAGGCCTATGAAAATGTACAAATATTTCAAATTTTTAACCGACTTTATAAAAGATGAGTTTGGTTTTACTTTAATATATTTTATATATATAAATTTGGAGTTATTTTGGTGAATAAAACAATTTTCTTACGGTTATATATATACAGGGTGACTGGTGAATTACTATCAATATTTAAGGAGCATACTCGGTACATGATTCTCATTCGAATTATGTAAAACAAATAGGTACTTAATTTTTGACCAAATTTCCGTATAAATAAATAAAGTGTGTACACGTTCCAAGTGTTCCAAGTGTGGACGCTTGCGGCGGCGTGCTGATACAACACACGCCGCCGCGCGCGAGTGTGTGTGTGTGTGTGTGTATACCTAATCTGTAGAGTGTTCACACGATGCGTAATTAATTACACAACTTTTGGTTAACTTTACTTAGAAGTTTATTAATATTTATGTTATATTAATTTTTATTTTGTCATATATGATCGTCAAATATTACGTCCTCAAATATCGATAGTAATTCACCAGTCACCCTGTATATATATTTATATATGTTCAATTAAATCAAGTATTTTTTAAATTCCACCGATGACGTCTTTCCTTATACCAATATACAAAGACTTAATGAGGGAATCCCAACACTTCTATTCAAGTCATACATCTATTCTATACAACGATCTTGAAATAGTATTTGGGGCTACATCAAGCTTAATAATTGCAAATTTTGTATATTAGGTATCCATTTTATTTTTTAATATTTTTTTTTTATTTCATTGCTCAGCTTTTTTTAAAAACTTATTTGGCAGACGATGTCCAGCATAATATATATGTATGTATTACATTTAATTAGAGATGAACCCTCTCATCATTCCATGTATTCACAGTGCGGTTGTCGGGTCTATCGTTGTAGTGAGAGGAGCTTCAACAGTGACTGGGACTTGTGACCCAGGTGTAGGTTTAATATATATAGAGAGACGAAACCTCTCATCATTCAATGTATTCACGGTGCGTGTGTCGGGTCCATCGTTGTAGTGAGAGGAGCTTCAACAGTGACTGGGACTTGTGACCCAGGTGTAGGTTTAATATATATAGAGAGACGAAACCTCTCATCATTCCATGTATTCACGGTGCGTGTGTCGGGTCCATCGTTGTAGTGAGAGGAGCTTCAACAGTGACTGGGACTTGTGACCCAGGTGTAGGTTTAATATATATAGAGAGACGAAACCTCTCATCATTCCATGTATTCACGGTGCGTGTGTCGGGTCCATCGTTGTAGTGAGAGGAGCTTCAACAGTGACTGTGACTTGTGACCCAGGTGTAGGTTTAATATATATAGAGAGACGAAACCTCTCATCATTCCATGTATTCACGGTGCGTGTGTCGGGTCCATCGTTGTAGTGAGAGGAGCTTCAACAGTGACTGGGACTTGTGACCCAGGTGTAGGTTTAATATATATAGAGAGACGAAACCTCTCATCATTCCATGTATTCACGGTGCGTGTGTCGGGTCCATCGTTGTAGTGAGAGGAGCTTCAACAGTGACTGTGACTTGTGACCCAGGTGTAGGTTTAATATATATAGAGAGACGAAACCTCTCATCATTCCATGTATTCACGGTGCGTGTGTCGGGTCCATCGTTGTAGTGAGAGGAGCTTCAACAGTGACTGGGACTTGTGACCCAGGTGTAGGTTTAATATATATAGAGAGACGAAACCTCTCATCATTCCATGTATTCACGGTGCGTGTGTCGGGTCCATCGTTGTAGTGAGAGGAGCTTCAACAGTGACTGTGACTTGTGACCCAGGTATAGGTTTAAGGGACCCTATCTCACGCGTTAAACGATCACCTCTACCGTCCATCTGGGAACTAGTAAAGAGCAACCGTCTCTCACACTCATCGGACGAAACGCAGCCATTAAAGGCTACTTCACGCCGATCTTCTGTGAGAGGGTGGTACTTCCTATGTCGAGACAGACCATGTTCGAGCTGTAGTACCTTGACCACAGCTAGGCTCTACCACCTACAAAATATTTATCTAATGTTAATATATTAAGCCAATAATGAGATTCAAAACTATCGCGAAGATTCATATAAATAAAACTAATATTTTTGTATTATTACTATTTTATTAATTAAAACGAACAACATACTCCTGACGCTTTGCGACATTTCGTCTTAATGATCACGGTTTCTGCAAAGTACAGTAAAGTTTCCGTCGGGAGTATGTAAGTAGTTTTAAATAATAATATTAGTTTCATTTATATTAAGCCAATATATTATTTAAATAAGACTAATATTTTTGGGTGTGCTTTACGTTTTTTATTATTTTAACTATACATACGTATAGTGTATACTCCCGACGTTTCGGTAACTTTGCAGCAACCGTGATGATTGGCATTCTCATCTCATCTGCCCGTAAAATAAAAAACGGGTTGGTCATGAAAACATCAAAAAAATAAAAATATTACTTTTATTCATATAAGTACATGCTAAAGTCTGATTGTTATTTTAATATACTATAGCAAGTATATATCTGATGTCAGGCAGGCGACCGGTAGTAAAAACAATTAGCCAAAACTATTCACAACATGTAAGGCAAACCCTGGCTAAAGCTGGGAAATTGCCTTTTATAATTTAAATGCCAATTATACTTTAAAATATCCTTGAACAAACCAATCATAAGTCCTTGTCACTCTACATACAAATCTTTCGCAGTTTTTCTTTTAACAACTCTTAGTAAAATTGGTACGTAAGCGCTACATTAAAAATAAATGAACATCGCCGGGGCGACATGTATGTATAAAATATATAACTCTTGACGCCGCTGACTCCACGGAACGAACACCAAGCCGTGTGAACCAGAAGATTCCTGATACACACAAGCTATGGAATGGTATTGATATCATAACATCGGGTCAATCATGTAGTCTTAGGTGTGGGTTATAAGTTTTAATATGTAGTTCTTATTATAATTAAGTTTCTTAGTTTTTCTGGAAATTCCGGTTGCTATCCTATATAATTATCTAATATTAGGGAATTTCAATGTTATTAATTGTTTGAAAAAAACCAATTTTTTTTGTATTTTACGTCACATTAAAAAAGTACCGGTCCCAACTTATCATATGTAACCTTTTCATAACCCGCCACGGTCAATGTCTGTGTTGCCAGAATATAGAATTTACCCAATCAAAGGTAATATTAATAATAATAGAATTAATATCTTTGATTTATTCAATTAATACATGGTTATACAGGGTGACTGGTGAATTACTATCAATATTTAAGGAGCATACTCGGTACATGATTCTCATTCGAATTATGTAAAAATAATAGGCACTTAATTTTTGACAAAATTTCCGTATAAATAAATAAAGTATGTACACGTTCCAAGTGTTCCAAGTATGGACGCGTGCGGCGGCGTGCTGACACAACACTACGCCGCCGAACGCGTGTGTGTGTGTGTGTGTGTGTATACCTAATCTGTAGGGTGTCCACACGATGCGTAATTGATTACGTAACTTTTGGTTAACTTTACTTAGAAGTTTATTAATATTTATGTTATATTAATTTTTGTTTTGTCATATATGATCGTCAAATATCACGTCCTCAAGTATCGATAGTAATTCACCAGTCACCCTGTATATCCTATAATTTGATTTAAACATTTTTACGAAATCAATTCTCCATAAATAATTATTTATTATAAATAGCGTGGGTAGATTCATTAAGCTAGCAACACAGACAGTATCACTGGTTTTTCCATTTTGCGCGTTTGTATATTAGTCGTTTCGTCTCTAGTCATGAAGTAAAATGGTGATTACAATAATATTTCTGTCTATCTGTGAGTATTACATATTATTATGTATAATCTCATGTATAACTGTATAATTGTATAACGTATAATTGATGTTTGAGTTATAAATGGACACGCAATTAATCGTGTATTGGTGAAGTGGTATATTATATATACATACATATCTTTTTGTTTACAAGATATTAAAACTTAATTGATTTAAAAATAAGGTTCTTATATATTATTTATGTATATATATATTTAAATATGTACAAATAAACATTTGTCTTAAATACGTCATTATATATATGTATTTCTTTAAACTTAATTACTTTCGCAATATACTTGCCAACTTGTTTTCATTCTTATATTTTTAATAGATTATTGCAAATGAAAATATACCTTTATAATGAATAAATAGGTTTTATTATCGTTTAACATTAATAACAGGAAAATATTAAATAAAATAAGACTAACGATGATGAAGATTTAATTATTTGGTGGAATTTTAAGAAATCTCGTTTTTGTAAAGTAAAAAATAAACGAACAAAACTTGATTCGTTTATATATACATATATATTGAGTCAGTGGTGGCCTAGTGCTTAAAAGGCCCGCCTTTTATGCAGGAGGGCGCGGGTTCGATCCTGGCCCTGGCCAGTACCAATGCGATTTTTCCGAGTCATAAGTACTTTATAAGAGTATTTAGACATCACTGATTAATGCACTCCCAAAGATGGTTGATGTCAGGCAGGCGGCCGGTCGTAAAAACAATTAGCCAAAACTATACACAATATGTAAGGCAGGCCATGGCTAAAGCTCGGAAATTGCCCGAACGAAGAAGATATATATATATATTTGTATGTGTGTGTGACTTATTTTATATATACCATAAAATACGCAAAAGATAATTTTTCCAAGAAACCAATTCTTCAACATTTTTCCTCGAAATGATTCTTCGGGATTTCACTTCATGTAATTTATAATACTTATTGCTAAATGCAGCTTCTAAATACATTTGAAATGTGAGTAAAGTCGTGGTGCAATATATATATATAATGAATCTTTATTTAAAAGTATTATTTGTTTTTCCATTTTCATGTAATCGCTAATCATACCAAATTTGACCGTTCAGACGCAATAAAAAAGACTACGACTACCCTCCACTTCGTTCACTTAGAATATATTTTCTTTATAATAAATAAATAAAATAGATAATCTAAGTACTCTTTACTAAATCAGTGGTCTGTAGATGAAAGTTCAAACAAAATCAAATATATATATATATATGTATATATTTATATATATATATATATATATATACATATATATATATATTTAATTCACACAAAACAGCTAAAAATATTGTCTGTCTGTCTGTTGAATGTTACGACTTATAAAATTATTATCTTAAACTATGAATATTTAACATGAAAATAATTTAAACAGAATTTTGTACGATAAATAATTATTTATTTCATTAAAATATAAATAAAATCGAATATAAAGTGTCATTTATGTGATTTTTTTTGTTTTTCAGTTCCAAAAATCTTCACCGCTGTGGTACCTGAATCTTTCTGTTCGTAAGTACATAGAGATATGGTAATATTGAAAGATGTATGTTTGTACGTCCTTCCAAAAAAAAGTAGTAAGAGATTTACATTAAGATTTTGCATACATTTTGATTATATTTATTATAGAAGCAAAAAGTATCGTATAACTTTCTCGAACATCCTCTCTATTGCTTCAAAAAATTTCATTAAAATCGATAAATCAATTAAGCTTTGGAGAGTACTACTCCCTATACCTTAAAAAAACAAGGTTGGCAATGCATCCACAACAAAGATGTTGCGGATATCCATAGGCGACGGTAACCACCTTCCATCAAGTGGGCCGCCTGCTCGTTTGCCACCTTGAACATAAAAAAAAGAGCATCAACTTGTGTTTATAAACTATACACACTGGCTTCACACATTCTGGATATTTTCATTTTAATTACAGTCCGGGCGAGTTTACGTGTTCAGACTATGTCTGCATCAACCAGGGTCTTGTGTGTGATGGTCAGCCCGACTGCTGGGACGGAGCTGACGAATTAGCCTGCAATGGACTATCGTGAGTTAATCTAACTAAACAACTGGACTAAATGAATTAAATAAAATGAATTTTATTCGGAATACTTAACGTATTCTATTATTTTAAACTACATGCACTCGACGTTTCGTTTACTTTAATTACTCATCTCGTCTTAATGATCACGGTTGCTGTAAAGTAACCGAAACGTCGGGAGTATAGTTAAAATAATAAAATAAAGTCCCAATCGAAGATTTGGTCACTATTGATGGACAAAGTCCTATGTTCTATACATAGCTATATAATAATTTGATAGCAAATAGTTAATATTTTAATGGTATAACATAAATATTACAATATTTGAATTATATACAAAACATAGTAATTTTTAATGTTTCAGGAACCCTCTCTCCGATTTAATGATCCACAGATCCAAACGACAAACGCAAAACTGTCGGTAAGTTAAAACTTGTAGTAAGATAGATATCTGAACTTAAGTCGTTTTATTTGAGTGACTATTTTAAGCTGGTTTTGGTAAACGGTTCAAAAACTTTGGATGTTATTCTTCCAAAAGAAAAGTCTATTTAATAAACTATCTTTTTTGGACGCAGAAATCTTCGCAGTTTTCCAGAAAAACCTACCACAAACTTCATTACAATCTGGTTTTGGAAATACAAAGAAATAAATACATTAATGTATAGCTCGTTGACTTTGATCGTCTGACGTCACAGTAATGACGTCAGACTTCCTCTGGATTGTGTTTGGAAGCTGTGCTAACTTCTCTATATATCTTCTTCTAACTGGCAATTTCCCAGCTTTTAGCCAGGGTCTGCCTTACATGTTGTGAATAGTTTTTGGCTAATTGTTTTTATGCCCGGCCGCCTGCCTGACATCAACCCTCTTTGGTAACTTCGCTAATTTTTTTATATATACACTAGAAGACCCGGCGAACTTCGTATCCCCCTATAATCAAGAAATATCTGTTACGTTTTTTTATTTATATTTTTGGAGTTTACCTATTAAAGCCATAAATCTCCGTGTTTTGAAGTGCGACAGAATGATTGACATATTAGTTTGTTGTCAAACCTAAGGTCAAAAAAAACGTTTGTATCAACAACTACTAATAAATTAAAAATTTATAAAAAAACATTGTCCATAGAACAAAATTGTGAATCTAAACAAATCCCAGATCCCCTTGAACACACACAAAAAAAATTCATCAAAATCGGTCCAGTCGTTTGAGAGAAGTGCAGTGACATACACACTCACAGAAGAATTATATATATGTATAAAGATATATGTAAATATTATCTTCATTCGGAATCATTAAAAGAAACTCCAGTTAATAAAGCGTATAAGTTATATAACCGATGGATTTTCTATGTCTTTCAGCAAAAGTCAGTGGCAATGTCGTGATGGTACCTGCATAGGGTTTGACGGTAAATGTGACGGTCTGGTCGACTGTCCCGACTCCAGTGACGAGACGTTCGCCTTGTGCAGTGACATGCAGTGAGTATTGATAGATACTACCCAATAATATTGTCACACCAACATACTATTTGAGAATAGGACTTAAATGTATGCAAAAAATTTCTCAGTGCCTATGTTTTTGTCTGTCAGATTATTAAGTGATTTTCAATCTACTTATTATCAGTGGAGTTATAATTGATGTGAAATTTCTAATACTTCCAACAAGGTTGCGTTAAACTTTCAACGCTTCTGGGGAGGGGATTAAAAAGAGACGAAGTATGAGTAATGGTGGGTCAGTTGTGTATTGTAAGCAATATTTATAAAGTTGGTCTTTAGAAAGAAACAATTTATTTAAAGAAACAATATTAGTTCACTAAGATGGATAACTAACCCTTGCTATTTTTATATCCACATTACGAATCTTCACTTCTATGGCGCAGGAACCTCCACGCACTATTTTATTTTGTTTTAAACGATAAACATATTGAAAATAAATAATTTATTTTGACCAATTATAACTCGATATTACAATATCTACTATCTTCATTTATAATTTTAATTTATAATTTAAGCCTAATATTTGCATTGTTAATTTAATTTCTAATTTTAATTTAATAATTAATTTTAATTTATAATTTAAGCCTAACATTTGCATGCCTTAAGGTAGAATGTACTGGAACTTATACTAAAATCTATTATATACACCTATATTCTGTACCTACATTCAGAGCAAATAATAATAATAATTATTATTATTATTATTCAACTTCTATGAAGTTGGATCAGTAATGATAGAAGCCCATTTTTTCCTAACCACTATAAAGAGACATTATTACTAGTAGTCATATTTTCGGCAGATGCCAAAGCAATTGGTTCCGCTGTACTTACGGAGCCTGTGTCGATGGCAGCGCTCCTTGTAACGGCATACAGGAGTGTGCTGATAACTCCGACGAACTGCTGCCCAGGTGCCGCAATCAGACCGTTAGTTCCAGGTAAGAGGCACAAACATACATACATGAGTAAAAAATAAAACTAATATTTTCAGATTTACTAGGCGGTTTATTTTTGCAAATAAACTACATACTCCCGACGTTTCGGTAACTTTACAGTAACCGTGATTATAATCTTCTATCTTCTTCTATATATATAAAAATGGATTGCTGTTCCTTAGTCTCGCTAAAACTCGAGAACACCTGAACGGATTTATCTTATCTTAGTCTTGAAATGTTCGTGGAGGTTCAGGGAAGGTATAAAAGCTGAAAAAAATTGATTCATTACTGGGAAAACCATAAAAACAGCCCTTTTCTATTTCCCATACAAACGTTTTTTTTGACATTAGATTTGACAACGAACTAATATGTCAATCATTCTGTCGCACTTCAAAACACGGAGATTTATGGTTTTAATAGGTAAACTTCAAAAATATAAATAAAAAAACGTAATAGATATTTCTTGATTATAGGGCGATACGAAGTTCGCCAGGTCTTCTAGTCAAAAATAAAAACGCGTAGTAAATCCGAAAATATTAGTTTCTTTTAAATGAGTACTCGCAAAAATCTTAGATCTCATTAAGAGTAAAAAAGATGAATAGAATCACTCACACACACCAGAAATATATCTCACTTTCTTTATTTCTTTAAGAATGCTTCCAAAGCAATTTTTTCTTTCTCTTCCCAAGACATGAATTATGTCTGGATCTTGGAACTATTCTGATGATGTAAGATGATGAAATAATAAAAACTTCCTCATGAAGATGTAGCATTGGGTTAAAGCAATCAATTTTACCTGATATTTACCATAATACAAAAGAACAACTCAAAGACTATGAATAAAAACAATTGAAAGGGTTCATATTTATACTGACAAATATACATCCATAGATTTTCTTTTTTATTACTAACGATATATTTAAGAATTATCTAGAAATTACCAAAAAGATATGTATTTAATATTAAAACCATTCGATTTTTTGATGAATACAATATATTAAGCTTAGATCCTGACATTTTTGGTAGCGTTAAAGTTGCTTCCAACACAAAATGAATTGAAACCAGGAAAAAAAGGAAAAATCACTAGACTTTGGTACATTTATAGCCCTAGTAGGTTCTTTTCAAATACGGTTAGGTAGAGAGAGGAGCTTGGACAGTGGAGGAGCGTATAACGCGTTAGATAGGGTCTTAAACCTACACCTGGGTCACAAGTCCCAGTCACTGTTGAAGCTCCTCTCACTACAACGATGGACCACACACGCATATGAATACATGGAATGATTAGTTTCGTCTCTTGTTGTCTATCCTATTGTTAATTTTATGATGTACATATAATCTTTAGCTTCTATATAAGTCTATACAATTACTATCCAGAGGTATGTTCACATGTGACAATGGCCAATTGATATCGTCTGTGGATATATGTGATGGGAAGAAGGACTGTTCTGATGGTTCCGATGAGACCCTCACTACCTGTGCCGGGAACAGCTGCCCGTCGTACGTGTTCCGATGCGCTTATGGCGCTTGTGTGGACCAGAACGCGAAATGCAATGGGGTGAGAATCTTTTTTTATAAGCGGCAAACGAGATACTGCTTACCTGAAAGGTAATCATTATAACCCATGGATTTGCCGACCTTGATTGTGAAAGGAGAGGAAAGGGTGGGAAAAGGATAGAACAACCATCTCTCTCACTCATCATACAAAACGCAACCATTAAAGATTACTTCTTCTTCTGTGAGACGGTGGTACTTCGAGCATGTTCGAGCTGCAGTAACTTGACCACAGCTAGTCTCTACCACCTATATCTGTGAAGAGTTGAACTTAAAAAACTCTCACTATTTGCTTAATTAACCATGAAATACATACTAAGTAATTGTATATCACTAAATACTTATACTATAAATAGAGATATTTTAATCAAATCATCAGTAATTCCTCCATAATGAAGGTCGGCAATGCATCTAAAACACCTTTTATGTTGTTTAAATAAAATTTCTTTGAAATCGTCATTTTTCATCTAAACACCGTATGAAAAGTAATTCTTTTTAGTATGTTTGGTATAGTTTAACATTATCCATTTTCCTTAGGTGGAGGAGTGTGCTGATGGCTCCGATGAATCTGCCGAACTCTGCAACAAGCTGGCACCAGGTCAGCCCGTGACTCCAGTCACCAAACCGTAAGTATAATATTACAACAAAAGAATGCACACGGAATAATTGTTACTATAATCTTTCTCTCAATATAATTGTTCTATATGACTTATTATTATATGAATATGTGTTTTAAAGAGATTTCTTGCATTAAAATTGGAACAACTTTGGTATTCTCTAGTACCCAGCTCATAAATGACGAATTATTATTTATGTTTGTCAATATTTTAATATAAAAATAATAAAAACACTAATTAATTATCAAATCCATAGACCAACTCAAGGGGGTAAATGCCTGTTACCCCCATACCCTCAGTATGGGTCGTACAAGGTCAGTCAGTACCCCAACGCAGTCCCTGGTCAAAGATACCCCAACGTGAGGCTGGACGTCACCTGCAACCCTGGCTTCCAAACTGAGAACAATAACAGCATCTTCTGTGATAATGGAGAATGGTCTGGAGCTATGCCGGCTTGTCTTCGTAAGTAAAAAATTATGAAACAACATAGCAATAGCCTGTAAAAAAATCCGTAAATTCCTCCCAAATTATTTAGGACTTTTCCTAATTTAGTTTAAGAATCATCAGTATTTCCATACTCCATTTCTTCCTCAGGTTTCTGCAGACTCAACAAACATCCAAGCGTGGAATACCGATGTCTTTTATCAGGGAATTCGGTGACTGGGTCCAGGGAATGTGGATCCTTGGAGCCATCAGGGACAGTCGTTACCCCAATCTGCCGTTCCCCCAATTATTACTCCTCGGGGGTAATGTCCAACATGCATTGCGTAGAAGGCAGCTGGGACTATATAGCTGTGTGCAAACCAGGTTTGACAAACATAACAATAAGTATAGATAACGTACAAATTATTATTACATCTGATAATGCTCACGTAGTTGTCAACAATAACGGTAATAAAGAGGTTAAAGTTATCAATAATATAAGTAATGCTGATAGAATTGTGTTTGAGGATCGTAGAACGAGTAGACCAAATGATAGTAGAACGACTACGAGTAGACCAAATGATAGTAGAACAACTACGAGTAGACCAAGCCCTAATTATGATAACGAAATCGATGAAGGTGACTGGAGAATGGGTTCCGTTGAAACATATAGTTTCCAAGCCCAAACAGTCCGACCCAAAAGTAAACAAAGTTCCTACAAAAAGTATGAACGTCCAATAGCTTATTATAAATAATAATTGCAAATGAGAGAAAATAATTTTAACTCTAACTGAATGCTGGCATGTGACTTGGCAAGGCTTTCTCACATAGTGGCTAAGTTTTTTTCATATACACTGAGTGTAATAAAAAGTGTTTTAATGCTCAATAACAATAACTTTTAGCAGTAACAATAAAAATGGGTCCAATTTAAGAGCTTTCAAGTGTAGTAGAGAGCAAGCAAGAATTGTTTTCCAAATATCCAAGCAAGAATTGTAATTATATGAAACCTAGTAATCTCATTCTGCTTATTTATCATCTATTGCCAAGTTACATGCTGACTGCTAAACCTAACTGCATTTATTCAATTAGAATCTTGAATTTTACTAAAAAATAATGATTTTTTATATATTACAATTTTTAGATTAAATAATATTGAATACTACTTAACTTCAATTAAAGCCAAGTTCAAAGTATATTTGAGAAATAATTTAAAACAATAATAACAGTATTTATATATATTCCTATATAAAGAGGCTTTCAAACATGGAGTACCAATTATTTAAATATATACAACCTTTTTTAATATTTTATAAGTTTATCAAGCAATAAAAGCCAAAGGCATATATTTAGGGGTCATATTTTTATTATACATATATTAGAATAAAAAATTGTATATTAATAATGAATTATATACTTAAATATATATAATGTTAATGGGATGTAAAATAAAATATATATATATGAATGTGTCAGTACTTTTATTTAGCCTTTCCCTCCATCCCATTGACATTATCCTTGATTAAAAAGTAAATTAAACTCATAATAAATAAGAAAAACATTTTATTACCTCTTTTTGTGTATTTATGTAATAATTTTTGGATAAATAAGTCATAAAATTTAGCTGGGTGACCCCCAAATATTTTGTTCTTTGTTTTCTGAATGAAAATTCCAAAAAGATTGAAGACAAAATCATCTAGCTGTCACCTTATGTATTCTTTAAATTACACTTGTTTTTTTACAATACTATTAAAAATACTGTGATTTTTAACAATACAAAATAATATATACAATTATTTGTCACGAAATTATATATTTTTATTGAGAAACTTGAGTAAAATAGCTATTATATGTTAACAACAAGATTAAGGAGTACATGTTATGTTTAATGAGGCAGAGACAGGTTAAAATTCCTGACATTTTATCACTAAAACTTACATATTTTTAATTTATTCGTATACAAATCGATTTACAAAAATATTTTTACAATGACAATACAATAATCTGAAAATCTTCTAACAAACGAAAATTCGAAAAGTATTGTTAATGCAATATATTTAATTATCCAAAATAAAATAATTACATAAAACAAAATTTGAAATATTACATTAGCCTTCAAATGTCACCTAAAATACGTTAATGCGTTGCCAGGCCCAAATATACAAAAATGACAGTGTTTGCCTCTTAAAGATTTTACCTATTAAAATATGAACAATTTTTATTACTTAAAAACTATAGATGAGTTAACGTTAAATACTGAACAGGAATTATATCAAATTTTTGTACTGCATAAAAAATAGTGCGTGGAGTCTCTTCACGCGGAAGAAGTGAAACTTTGTTATGTTGGAATGAAAATAGTAAGGGGCAGAAATCGGTTTTTTGTGAACTCATATTGTTTCTTTAAGACAATATTTATAAACATCTCTTAATATTCCATTACTCATTTACTCTTGCTCCGTCTCTTTCTTTTCGCCCTCCCATGTGCGTTAAACTTTTAACGCAACCTTGTTTTAAGTATTAGAAGTTTTAATTCAATAATTAAAAATATTTTATTACTATAAGTATGTAATAATTATGATATTATATACATATATATATTCTTCTAGAGTGCGGTACAATAACTCCTGAGGGTATTCAGCTGGTGATCGGTGGCAGGTCTGCCAAGAGAGGGGAACTCCCCTGGCATGCGGGGATTTACAGCAAATTATTCACGCCTTACATGCAAATATGTGGCGGATCACTGATCAGTACAACGACTATTATATCAGGTAAGTACCAAATATATATATAAGTCAGTGGTGGCCTAGTGGTCAAAAGGCCCGCCGCTCATGCATGAGGGCGCGGGTTCGACCCTGGCAAGTATCAGTGTGATTGAAACTACATTCATTTTTACGAAGTCTGTTTTGTTCATTATGCTTGATATAGAAAATGATATTGGTAAAATAATAGTGATTAAAATGTTGCATTTAAATAATATTTGATTCAGAAGATTCATTAATAATAAGCATTACAGCTACTTTTAAACACCGAATATTACCAAAAATATATTTGTGACGAAAAATATGAGCATCACTTAATTATATGAACTACATATTAAAACTTATAACCTACACCTAAGACTACATGATTGACCCGATGTCATGATAGCAATACCATTCCATAGCTTGTGTGTATCAGGAGTCTTCTGGTTTACACGGCTTGGTGTTCGTTCCGCGGAGTCAGCGGCGTCACTCTTTATACAATATTTTACCGATACAAAGATATCGCCCCGGCGATGTTCATTTTTTTCTTCATATGTAGCGCGTACGTAACAACTTAAACGTAAAAACTATCTTATGTTCTTTCTCAAGGTCAACTCTATGTCTGTACCAAATTTTATTAAAATCAGTTCAGTAGTTTAAGCGTGAAAGCGTAACGGACAGACAGATAGAGTTACTTTGGCATTTATAATATTAGTAGGGATTGTGTATGATGAAACTCGACTGACTACAAAGTGTGCGTTAACTATACAACTTATAGTAATCTTTTCAACAGCTGCACATTGTTTTTGGAGTGACTCCAAGAAGTTGCTGCCGGCGTCCGAATACGCTGTTGCAGTTGGGAAGCTGTACCGACCTTACAATGAAAAACACGACGCTGATGCGGAGACATCTGATGTATGGTGAAATTATCATAATTAATACATAATAACTCGTTTTAAAGGGGAATATACAGGTTTTATAGAGCCCAAACAAAGCACAAGCCATTAAACAAAGGTTTAGCCTAATTATTAGGACTTTTTGGGCCCAAATAAACTGCAAATACAGAAAAGCTTAGCCTAAATATCAAATAACTTATAAGTTTTGTCTATTTGTTTGTCCCAACTATATCTATAACAGCACTGATTTTGACGTGATCTTCACTTGAAGATACTTTATATTAAAAGATTAATTAGCGACTTTTATTCTTGCAAATTTTATTGGATAACAGAAAAATTACTATTCCGCGTCTACACAGTGATATGATAATTATGGTTATATATTTTAGGTGGCAGATATTATAATTCCCTCCCGCTTCCGAGGCTCCGGCGCCAACTTTCAAGATGACATCGCGCTGGTGGTCGTGGTGACGCCATTTATCTACCAGGTCTTCATAAGACCTGTGTGTTTGGACTTTGACGTCAACTTCGACAGGACCCAGCTGTCAGAAGGAAATATGGGCAAGGTAAGGACTTTAGGTAAGGTGAGGTAAGGGTAAGGTGCTGTAAAATACAAATAAATACAAATACAAATAAATACATAAGTAGAAGGTTACTGCTGTAAAAACTGATCTGATCTGATGGTCTTTCTATATACAGAAAGATTTTGCTAACTGTCCAAATATGTTTCATAAATTTTGGTTTATTGTATTCTATTTGTGGGTCTTAGAGTGACATTATGTTGTCTCCGTCAATAAATGGATTAAGTAATATAACAAATTAAAAGTAATATTCGAAATAGTAAAAAATTATGTACCTACATATTTATTTATGTACCAAAGCGTGAGTGATAATTACAATATTTTAAAAGAACTATGATAAATGATTATCTTATCATTTAAAATATATACATTTTACATATAGTATTGTGGTTAATACATATAGTTGTGGTTAATAGTTGGGGCGTAAATGCCTTTTACGTAAATAAAATACTAAATTTACTATTATGTAGGGTTATCAACTTTTATACTTTCTGTCGGCCTTTTATTTTTACAGCCTACCTTATATTTATTATATATTTGTCACAGGTAGCCGGCTGGGGTCTAACAGACAAGAACGGCAAAGCATCCCAAGTATTGAAAGTAGTAGATCTTCCTTACGTGAAGATTGAAGACTGCTACGCCATGTCGCCTCCAACCTTCCGCGCTTACATCACGAGTGACAAGATATGCGCTGGATATACTAACGGTAAAGTTATTTAAAACAACCAATTTAATATAATCAAAAAATGGCACAAAAGCTTACAAAAACTAGAACTTTTTGCAGGTAGAATGAAAATTCTACGTTTTTATTAGACTTATTTGACAAAGTTCGCATAAATTCTCTTATAGTTTTTGAATTTAACATGTTTTTTAACCTTAAATTATACAGGGTGACTGGTGAATTACTATCGATATTTGAGGACGTGATATTTGACGATCATATATGACAAAATAAAAATTAATATAACATAAATATTCATAAACTTCTAAGTAAAGTTAACCAAAAGTTATGTAATTAATTACGCATCTTATGAACACCCTACAGATTAGGTAAACAAACACACACACATACGCGCGCGGCGGCGTGTTGTTGTATCAGCACGCCGCCGCACGCGTCCACACTTGTAACACTTGGAACGTGTACACACTTTATTTATTTAAACGGAAATTTTGTCAAAAATTAAGTACCTATTTTTTTTACATAATTCCAATGAGAATCATGTACCGAGTATGCTCCTTAAATATTGATAGTAATTCACCAGTCACCCTGTATAAACATAAAAAAAATATAAAAATAAATATCATAATCATCAAATTATTATGTAAAAACCGGTAAATACAACAAATTAACTATCCACAGGTACAACATTATGTCAAGGTGACAGCGGTGGCGGGCTGGCGTTTCCCGCATACGAACTAAACACTCAAAGATATTATCTACGCGGTATTGTGTCAACGGCGCCAAGAAACGACGATTTGTGTAACGCACACACACTCACAACATTCACAGCTATTTCAAAACACGAGCATTTTATAAAACAGTACTTATAACATGCAATTTAGAATACTTACTCTGTTTTGGGACTTACTCGTCACTTGCTCTGTGTTGGTAAAGCATTTGGTTTAAAAGTTTGCTGAACTAGTTGTGAAAATCTAGATTCAGAACTAATTCTACATCAGATGAGAAAATATTGTTAAAATATTCATATAACGAACAATGTGTAGAGTTATAAGAATTTTGTAAATAATTTTAATTATTTTACTTGTTGTAAGTATGTAAACGAGACATATTAAATTCCATACATGTAGAACTTGCTCAAATTATATTGATAAGACTTCACAGTGATGTATTTATATATATAACTTTCTACGATCAATATTATTATTTTTTGTTAAAAACTATGAAATTTCAACAAACTTTGTCAAATCGAGGTTTTAATTTGTCTCAAAGTGCCCTAACGTTTTAGATTTAATTCCTTCCTTTAGATATTATATAAACAATTAAATATAAGCAACGCCACGGGATGAAATAAGTTAAACCCATTATAATTAATATTATATTTATTCGTTCACAAAACTTTAGATCACAACAATAATACTCTTCTTATTACAAACATTTAACAACTAGGACACTTATAAAAATATACTTCGTTAAAAGTCAAATATATTTAATTTATTAATTTAAGTAACACACGATTATCCTTACTCTGGAATGGGCGATAGAGTAAGCCACTTACTCAAGCATGGGCGATTGAGTAAGTGTTACTCCGTAAATGCAATATGACAATCTCTTAATAAGTTTTCTAATTATTTTTTTACATATATCGTCTCTTATTCACTTGTTCTATAAATTAATATTCTCATATATTGAACACAATAATATTCGTTATGACTTATTTACCTAATTTCATATATATAATTTTTCTAACCAATAAAACACTTACGCAAGTAGACACTTACGCAAGTGACACTTACGCAAGTAGACATAGGACTTACTCCACAGTGGAGTTTTAACATACAGCATGTTCACTTCAGTCATTTATATATATATTTATATTTTAACATCAACATATATTTTCTAATTATTTCAACCGTCTCCGGACGCGCTGCTAGCGGCCTCTATGTGTCAAGTGTCGAAACTACGCGGCATGTAACTAGACAGAAAAAAACATATGAAAAATACATACTTTTTATAAGTAGGTTAAATGTATGTAATAGATAATAAATACATAGTTTATAATGAACAATATTGTGAAAACAATTTAAAACTCATTTCATGTAAATAACTAAAGAGAAATAAAGTTATTTTAGTTATGTACTTTTTATTCAATTATACCTTAAATAAATTTAATAATAAAATACTAATTTAAATCCGTTAGAATATTACATTATACAAATATATGTATATAAATAAAATTATTTTCATTGTATACAATTTCTATTATATACAAGAATACATACTAGACATCACTGACATACGGTGAAGGAAAACATAGTTTCACAATTATAAGTTTGTAATCACCAAGCCGTCTTGAGTGAGCGTGGTGATTAATGATCAAACCTTCTCCTTGTGAGAAGGTGCCTCTCAGCAGTAGGCTCTGATAGGCTGATGATGATGATGATATATATGTAAGGTTTCTAATATATATATGTACACTCACCGTACTTCGAAGTCGTGAATCCTGAACACAGCGTAGTGCGTGTTTCTGAACACCCTGTAGAAGTGTTCCACCGGCTGAGTGAGTAGCGTGTGACACAGGGACGGCCGCGAGGATAAGTGGGGCGCCTCTGTGTCCCAGATACTCTTGAAGGAGCACCCTCTACTATAGAAACAAAATACATCCCTACTAATATTATAAATGCGAAAGTAACTCTGTCTGTCTGTTACGCTTTCACGCCGAACCACTGAACTGATTTTAATGAAATTTGGTACAGAAATAGAGTTGACCTTGACAAAGAACATAGGACTGTTTTTATCCCAGACTTTTGAAAGGTTCTCTTGGTAAAGCGATATAACCGTACTCCACGCGGGCGAAACTGCGTGCGGAAAGCTAGTATATATATATATATATAGTACTAGTTTTTGGCCGCGACTTCGTCTGCGTTAGTTTCATAATAAGAAATTTATCGATAGGGAGAACTCTGTTCCTCCTTAAAGACAGTAGATTTTGGAATTGATCAACATATTTTTTCTTTTTTAATCGGATTTAAAGTATCCTATGGCATTTCTATGTTTTAATCTATCTCTCCATCAATTTTTGTACAGTCGTTCTTGAGTTATATATAGTGTAAGTAACACGACTTTTACTTAACCCTACACCTGGGTCTCAAGTCCCAGTCACTGTTGAAGCTCCTCTCACTACAACGATGGACCCGACACACGCACCGTGAATATATGGAATGATGAGAGGATTTGTCTCTATATATTTTTGTGTATGTGTGTGTGTGTGTGTGTGTGTGTGTGTATACTAACTTGCTCTTTCCATAGCAGTACTTGTCTTCAACTATGAGGTAAGTGGCTCTAAGCTTATTCAGTTCCTGGTACAACTCGCTCGGAGGAAATCTTCCATACAACTTGTACACAGAATACGCCCTCTGTCTGTGGGAAATAAATTACAACTAGTTTATGCCCGTGGCTATGTCTATATTAAAAAATTGGGTTATGGAGAATTAATAGGCAGTGAAATTTATAGTGTCACGTTATATGACATACATAAATCCATTTAACATATGAAAATTTTGATTAAATTATGACTTTTATGTCACTCTATTGTAAGAACTACGTAAATAGTCTCATCAAAATCGATGCAGCTTGTATTTCATTAACAAACAAACGTTATATGTACACAATATAGCACTTATAACGAGTATTAGTCCCACTTTGAATAGTTATTATAGTCACATGGTTCATGATGAGTATGGTTAGTGCATGACCCACCGTGCGTGTTTGTGCTCGTAGTGTGGGTGCGCGACCACCGGCCGTCGTGTGCTGAGCATCACGGCTGATAGGATGGGCATCGAACCCGCGAACGAGCCAGCACCCGCCTCGCGACTGATCCATGATAATAATTCCTCTTGAGGGTAGTCGCTGAATTCACCTGGCAGATGAAAACAATATTATTTAAGGAAAACGATTTATATCTAAAACTTTACAATTTACACGTTTATATAAATTAATATTAATATTTATTATTAGGTTATCGACAATAGTAGAGAACAAAGTGACTGGTAAAATATATTTATTACGACAAATGTCCTATGTCCGTTCCCCTGTCACCTAAACTTATACAATTAATTCTCTTGTCCCTACCCTGAAAATATATATATAGAAGTACTAGCTCTCCGCCCGCAGCTTCGCCCGCGTGGAGTTCGGTTATATCGCGTTTCCAAGAGAACCATTCAAAAGTCTGGGATAAAAACTATCCTATGTTCTTTCTCAAGGTCAACTCTATGTCTGTACCAAATTTCATTAAAATCAGTTCAGTGGTTTAGACGTGAAAGCGTAACAGACAGACAGAGTTACTTTCGCATTTATAATATTAGTAGTGATTCCTCATTCCTGTTTTTCTTATACATACCTATATTAGCTAATTCCTTGTCAATATTGGTCCTCAACTGCACAAGAACTGGTATCATCATGACAGCGTATAGAAATGGAATGTAATTCTTATATTTCCTGGAAATCCTGGAATATGGAATCCAAATTTATCATCATATATATTTTTATTAGTATAAAATTCCACAAAAATTTGCAAATACTAAGTTCTAGATATTAAGACCAAAAAATTTATTCATTTAAATGAAACCAATATTTTTCGGATATATTAAGCGACTTTATTTTTGATAATAACTACATACTCCCAACGTCACATCTCGTCTTAATGATCACGGTTGCTGAAAAGTAACCGAAACCTCGGGAGTATGTAGTTTTTATCAAAAGTCACGTAGTATATCCGAAAAATTATTAGTTTCATTTAATTGAATAAAACTAGCGAAAATCTTAGATATCATTAAAATATATTTAATTTGTTATAGACTACTCACGGATAATAATCCCTATTAGCTATCAGTGATGAGAAAATGCACATTTGAGTTGAAAAAAGCAATTTAAGTCGCATCACGAGCGCCGCCATGACACCGTACACCGCCATTTGGGATAAATTGTAAAATATCGCAGGATCTATCTTAAGATTTCTCAGATACAAGACTATGCCACTGGCCCCGGCTTCTCGTGTATCAATTTTGGTGTTAATTTTCTTTATAATTACATCCAAATCTTTTTTCTTGACGACATCCGTGTTATTTTCTATTCCACTGTCTTCGTCCTCAATTTTAGCGTTTTTTGTGCTTTTCGAGACTTCTTCTAGGTCTTTTCTATATTTATTCATAGCTTCGGACAACCAATGGCATATTATCACACAGGTTGCGGCAATAACCGTAGGAATTAAGAGAGTAGTGGTCATATTTATAACCGAACTGAACGGCAGAAAGTCAAAAACCTCAGAACAAGTGTATAGCATTGTATGGAAATTCTTATAATCGCTAAATTTTGAATACAAGATGTCCCAAACGTGAGAATCTTCTTCCAATTGAAGCGATTCGCTGATCAATTTCTTGAAATAGAACGAACCAAGCACAACCAAGGATACCCTGAGCATAACTAACCAGGTTTCAACATATAAATCCAAGCGATTTTGAACCTTAATGCGTAAAGAACTAAAGAACAGACAGTATATGGAGACAACCAAAAAAAATGATGCGTATAAAGACGATTTTAGCATATCATTGCCTTGGAGAAGAAGTATCGCTGTGTGGAGGCTACAGAAATGCAAATGCAGGAATATAGACAGTGATTTTATGTCAATTATCCTCAATTGCTCCATCATAAAGAAAATGGCGGTCTGCGTCAGGAAAATGAATTGTGTGAACTGCCAGAAGAGTAAACATAGCACATTTATTACAAATATTGATACCTGAAACAAAGATTTATATATAGTATAATTTTTTTTTGTTCTTTTGGACCATAGACAAGATGAATTGTTTTTGAGGATTTTTGTCGTTATTGCTGAGAATCTTGGAAGAAATACTCGTTAAAATTTTACAGAAGCTCGCAAAAAAAACTGTATAAGAATTACATTATATAACTATTTATTTATACCAAAAAATCTAATTTTATTCAAAATTCCATTGAAATTAACAGTTCAAAGTCGTCCAATTTTTTTACCTGTAATTGTAAAACGGTATTTCTGTTTTTCTCTCGCAACTGCATACTAAGCAGCCAGGTTTGCGCTATAAGTAGTGGGGCCGCGAAGTTTTCCCTCTCATTTGGAGCCCACTGCACCCTGGTACTCTCCGCGTGGTTCGCGAAATACTGAACCACCGCGAACACGCCACCGAGGATACTTTGACTGGAAATAAACAAATAAACATCAACACCAAAAGATAATTCAGAGTAAAGTCCCTTTGGAAGAAAGGAAATTTCTTAATAGAATAAAAACAGGAAGGATTAGAAATTGATTTCTAAGATTTTTGTTGTTTTTAAGACAAACTTTATTAAGATTACTACAAGTCATTATTGACATTCCCTCTCGCTCTGTCATTTTTGGCCCCCCGCCCTTCAGAACGTTAAATGTTAATCTTATAAGAAGTTTCACTTCAAAAACTGTTTAAGAAAATTTACTGATATTTTAAGTACTTATAATTCAATAATTTTATTATAAAATCATAGTAACATAGCATTAATTGGAAATAAAATCAAGACATGTCCTATAACTTCTAGAATATTCTTCAAGTACAAAATTCAAATTGATTCAATATTTTGTTTCATCTAACACAATTTACCAATATAATACTTAAAATCCTACATTACCTTTTCAGATATTCCCCTAACACACTATTATCATTTACATGAGAATTACACTTAACAAAAATGAAATGACAATGAATAGGCTTTTACGGCGGTAGATCCTAGCTGTGGTCAGTTACTACAGCTCGAACATGTGCTGGCTCGACCGTAAGTACCACCCTCTCACAGAAGATCGGCGTGAAGTAGTCTTTAATGGCTGCGTTTTGTATGATGAGTGAGAGAGACGGTAGCCCTTTCCTTTTCCTCCCCCTATTCCCAAATCTACGTTACAGATGTCCATGGGTATCGGTACTACCATCAGGTAAGCCATATACTCCATTGCCAAAATTCCCATAAAAAAGGTATTTATTTTATATATTTACCTGAGTACTGTAGCTTGTAAGAAGAGTACAGCGACAGTGAATCCAGCCATCCACCAAATGACCTCAAGATAGAAGTAAACTGGTTCTCCGAGGCCTACACAACTCTCTACTGAACTGTAATCTTCTCCTCGTTCAACCATATGACACTCTTTATATTCAGAACTATTCAACCAGGGCTCCAAATATCTGTACATAGCTGCTATCATTACCTACAAGAAGAAAACAACATTATTAATCACTCAAAATACAGTTTCTTAATTCTCCATGTTCGTTACTTCCAGTCATGTAACAGAATGTGTGTGTCCAGTATGTATAGTTTACAGACACAAGTTAATGCTCATGTTGATACATCACAATGGTTCAGTATCATCATTCATTATAATCACTCGTCATAATAATTGGAAGGACTATAGTATTAGTATAACAGATGGCAACACTTTTAATATAATAACATTTTTTAATATGGAATTAGCAGGAATCGAAATAATAGAATTTTAATTATCTAAGAATTATCTAAAATAGTTGAAATTTGAAAAAAAATATTATATTTTTGGATATTAAAGTAATAATTTACTAGCTTATTTTTCATATATATAGCAAAATAAATTTACATAAAAATCAAATCCAAATAGTATTCATTAAATCAGCATTTAATAGAATTTAAAATCATCAAATCATTTTTAAATTACACAATTGGTATTCTACAATAACTACTGATTAGTAACATAACTATTTTCATACCTCCGGTGCAATATTAAATCGGTTCAAAGCATTCACATCTTTGGGAAATTCTACGAGCTTATCGTACATCAGGCGTGCAATGCCGGCAAGGAACTGCTTCTCCTCGATCACAGTTTTATAATAAGAATAATAAAAACCCATCTCCGTCCTGAAAGACATTTCTCGTTCCAACTCCGAAAGATGTGAGAAGTTACGGTCGTTTTCAAATAATGTCGACACATATTTATAATGTGTGTAGCCGAAGAAAAAAGCTGTAATTAAATCTTCTATTTAAAAAAAATACTTATAATATACTACTATATTTCACATTTTAAGATCAATAATTTAACAAAGTTATCTGAATGATCTAATATTTTCAGATTACTATGCATATTTTTTTTAATCTACCTGTGAAAATCTCGTCTTCGTGATCACGGTTGCTGCCAAGTAACCGAAACGTTGTCGTATGTAGTTAAAATAATAAAATAAACAAGTAATCCGAAAATATTAGTTTCATTTAAATGAATACTTAAAAGTCTTGGATCTTATTAGAATGAAATATATACATATCGTCGGGGATAGTGCAAATCCTCGTAACTATCATTGGATAATTCCGCATATCTACATTGGAAGCAGATCAGAAGAAAGTTTAAGCTAAAATATTCTATATATTAATGACTTTTAAGGTATTTTTTTCACAATCAGTAATAACTTAAACACTGAAAGTTAAATCTAATTATAAGTATGGAATAAAAATTATAATCACAGAATTCCAACTTGAGATAGTTATACATAATTTCCAGTTACTTCACATGTTTAATTTAATTAAAATTATAGTATTTATGTTTTGATATGTTTTCTACTATTGTAAATTAGATTTCTGGTAATATTCTCGTTTAAAACAAAACCTATATTTAATTTGAACATTATTGTTACTCAAATTATCTGAAAAGTGACTTACAAGACATACCTAATCACGAGAATAAAAATGGACTTAAAACTATATATGGACAACTATTTTACTTATTAGTAACTCGTATTCCTATTGTTTTCATAAAAATAATGATTGTTTAAAAAACTTCTTATGTTTTAAATATACCAAAACATAATTAAACTTACCTAAACCAGATATAAAAACGAATGTAATAATTTTACGAAAATTAATCTTCCGTTTGGTTTTAACTGTTCTGGTCTCTTCAGAATTCTCCGTCATTTTGATATTTTACATTCCCTGTTTAATATTTTGGAACAAAATTTATTAATTATTTTATTTATAATAATTAATTTCTGTAAAATGTCCTATGTTGATTGACATTGACAGTTTTATATTGATTACAATTGGATGCGATCATTTTATTTGTTTAGTTTTATAGAATTTATATAAACAATTATGTATCTTCAATAAATATTTAATTACTTAATGAATATTTTGATAATAAAAATAGACGATATGTCAAAATATTACGAATATTGGCAGGTGAAATCCATGACAAAAGATAAAATTAGTCTTAGCTAGCACGAAATTAAATATAATCAAATATTACTTACTTGTTGCTACAATAAGAAAATGATTTTTTCCTTCTTTATATTCTAAGACACTGAATGACAAATATTTTAAACTATGAGTATCCTAAATTTTGCAAGATGCAGTTCCGTGCACACTACAGATGCAAATAAGCATTGCATACCCTACCCATATAACAACTAAACCTATATTGTTTAATTCTTACTGACATACTTTTAATGATACATTACGAAATGCGAATGTTAACAGACATTTAAAAGGACATTTTATTCACGAAATGGTAAATTTGTTAAATGTGCCATCTACCAACGTAAAAAATAACATTTTAGATGCTGCTAGCCAAAGCAGCTTTATGCACAACTACTCGGTTCTTATTTTCCATAAAATAATCTCAAGAATGATTTACAAATCTATCCATATTTAATCCATCCATGTTCGAAAGGCACTGCTTCCTTAACCCTACTCGTTTAAGGTACTTTCGTGGCTCAGAGGTAGTTAATAAATTCATAATATATATATATGTTAGTTCTAATCGGACTACTGTAACATTATTCACGAATTTTAGCAATGTTTTAGAAGAGGAAATTATAATGAAAATTTGATATTTTTGTCAAACATTCTTCTTACCCTAACCCAAATCCATGCGCGCCCCTGCTTAGATGCTGTTCATACAAGTAAACAGTTGCATATATAATAAAAAATATATGTACTAAATATCCATTTAAATAAATTTCATACTAGTTCTGTACAAAAGTATAAAAAACTACGTAAAAGTTGGAATCAAGTCTTCGATTATTCTATCTTTTACGATGATTAATGAGTGACAAACTGGAAAGTGACAGTATTGAGTTTTATAAAGCAGCATTTTAGGTCTTCGGCGGAATAAAAAACACATTTTAATAATAGTTTATTTATTTACATTAACCTGTAGTAGAAAACAGACATATTAAACTTATTGCTTTGTTCTTAACAGTCTTATTGATATTTAAAGATATGAAAAGCCTTTTGAGATTCTCTATAATCTAACCTAAAAATATGACGTAAAAAAAATTTGTTTCCCGCGAAAATTTTATTAGATAAAATTAATTTGAGATGGCACATATACAGCCAATGTTATAAGAATATACTAAGGAGGTTGGTTGGTTAAATATTATTTTATTTTTCCTAACTTGTGTTTTTAATTTATTGCTACTTAATAATATCTTTGGCATGGACCTATATAATGTTAAGCGTCAGTGAACGAACCGTGGTATGGATGGGTCAAAAAAAATTGTACAAAATATTGAAATTGATTAATTGCTAATCTAGTATAATAAATGTGTTATTTCACTGAAATATAGTATTAAAGATTCCTTCAATACTAAAATTGTGCAGTATTGTATATATATATATTTGTTCAAATAATTTGTACGTCCATATATTCACAATTTTAAACTAATCTTGAGCCATGAAATTCGGCACTAACTTCTTAAAGCCACGACTGCTCGGATCTTCAAACAGACTCTTCAGGAAATAGACCTGGAAATGATAAAATTATTATAATTTCCTTATATATACTAGCTGACCCGGCAAACGTTGTTTTGCCATATAAAAAATAGGGGTCGGTGATAAAAAAGTAAATAATTTTGGGTTGTATGTATTTTTAATGCTAAAAATTAAGGGTGAACAACACTTATGACTTAGGGGTATAAAAAATAGATTGGCCGATTCTCAGACCTACTCAATATGCTCACAAAATTTTCGGAGGAGTTCTCTGTCTAACACCGCGACATGAGAATTTTATATATAAGATATATATGTATGTATATATATATATATATATATAATTACTTTACCTGAGTGATCCCAACTATCAGCATTAAAATCATCTGGCCCAGCGACCACTTCATGACTCTGTAAGTAATGGAAGGTAGATTAATATTGTTTTGAGTTATATACACGATGTTCAAAAAACTTAATATGTCTATATTCGCTTTGTGAGTGAATTATTTTTCTTCACCTAGTGAAAAACTATTATAACTTAGCTAAATGATATAACAAATCGCTCCAGATAAATTTTTGTCAATATCAAAATTTTAAGTAAATGAAATAATTATAGAAATGAATGTACTGATCTATCTTCTTGTGTATAATAAGTATAATTCTGTCTACTTTCTTTTATAATTCTTATATTTCCTTCACTAGCTCTTAATATAATCTTCTGTCATCTTAATTCTACAAGGGAATTCTTTCTCAATCCTTATGAGATTCTGCACCTGTCATACATATCTTCATAATTACAGAGAGATTTTTCCTCATCTATGGGAAAGGATATCCGGCAAATATTTTTTTTGCATGCAGTGTTTGCTTTTAACTGATTTTACACAATTTATGCATGTTATTAAATTATATGAAACTTTATTTAATTATTCATTTGTGTAAAAATCGCTAGGGAACCTATAAATAAATAAAAAATAAAAAAAATAATATTCCTACATTATCTTCTATCACCCTAATTATAGGGAGATTTTCCCCCATCTATATAAGAGGCACTATCTATCATACATATTCTCATAATTACAGGGAATTTTACCCATCTTTGGTATCCGTTTACCTGTCACACATATCCTCAGCGAGGTTCCTATCCCTGGCTTCATGAGCTGATAGCAGTTCCTGCAGCCTCCTTGCAGTAGATACTTGTTCGCGGATCCTGTACACAGACTCCAACACATCCTTGACGCGCATCATGTAGGACTCCGCTGAATTACCTGGGGAATTACACTTTATTATAACATAGCTCATAATATGAATGTGGAATTTTTGTGTATGTTTTTATATAGAGAAACCTCTCATCATTCCACGTATTCACGGTGCGTGTGTCGGGTCCATCGTTGTAGTGAGAGGAGCTTCAACAGTGACTGGGACTTGTGACCCAGGTGTAGGTTTAAGGGTCTGTCTGTTTCCATAATATACCCTGTCTAATGGGTATATTATGGAAACTAGGTATACACTTGCTCTACAGAATTCATAAGACTTGAAAATAGTATCAAAAACGTACGTTTTGTGGATAGTTTGTCAAAACACTCGTGGTAAGAGTAAAAGGTTGTATTAGAACTAGCTTTAATTACTAGCTTTCTGTCCGCAGCTTCGCCTGCGTGGAGTTCGGTTATATCGCGTTTCCAAGAGAACCTTTCAAAAGTCTATAATAAAAACTATCCTATGTTTTTTTCTCATGGTCAACTCTATGTCTGTACCAAATTTCATTAAAATCAGTACAGTGGTTTAGGCGTGAAAGCGTAACAGACAGACAGAGTTACTTTCGCATTTATAATATTAGTAGGCATAATATTTACCAAGTTCCAATTCCTTCTCCTCATCGTAATCATTGAGGTGGGGCTCGTCATTTTCTATCAGCAAATCGAAGAAAACCTGGAAATTATCAAGATATATTGTAACAAAACTAAAAAGGAGTTGTATTGACTAAGGTGTGGCGAGGAAAGGAGAGGAGAGTTAAGGAGATATTATTTAAATAGCATTTTTGGATGTAATTATTCATTACTTCATAAAAATTGGAAATAAACAAGTGATTCACCAAGAAGCCGTACAATTTTAATGAATTTCTTTAAAAAGTCAGTTGTCTAATAATTAAAGTAATAATAATTATGTTTTATATAGAGAAATATCCTCAGTATAATCCAGAATAAACCTGGAACATCAACTTACCGTTTTCTCGCTGAATGTACTGAAAGTGTTGTCGAAACAGAATCTGTAGTCCCCTTCCAATGTAGATGTATGTCTGTGTGAATTATCGGACTTCTTATAATCGGTTACAATACCACGTCCCATAGGGTCCACTAGCTGGAAAGATATGTCCAGCTCTCCGTGAGAAGCATCGATGACCTGCAAGTTAATTTATAGCTTATAGTTATATTGGCAACCTGGAAATGTTAGCTGTATATATATAGAGTCAGTGGTAGCCTAGTGGTTAAAAGGCCCGCCTCTCATGCACGAGGGCGCGGGTTCGATCCTGGCTAGTACCAATGTGATTGTTCCGAGTCATATGTACTCTATAAGAGTATTTAGACATCACTGATTAATGCATTCCCAAAGAGGGTTGATGTCAGGCAGACGGCCGGTCGTAAAAACAATTAGCCAAAACTATTCACAACATGTAAGGCAGACCCTGGCTATAGCTGGGAAATTGCCAGGAAGAAGAAGACAATTATAATTTAAATGAATTTTAACACAAGGATTAATTTCACAAAAATGGATTTAAAACCCCATCCACACCTATTAGGAACAACTGATCAAAAACTAAATAATTATATATTAAGATAATTATTAATTATTTTTATTGACTAATATTATTCCGTACAAGATGTAAAGATCATCTTTTTGTTACTGTATTTATTTTCTTGTAGTTAAACAGTACATACTTCTCTCCTTTTTTCTAAATAAATTCTTATTACATCTATACCTATCACAACTCTCTACCTTATACATAATATTTTTATACAAATCCTGGGTATTCCTCTACTCTAGTATTCATCTACATTCCTTTACATCATCATCAGCCTATCAGAGCCCACTGCTGAGCCTCTTCTCACATGGAGAAGGTTTGAGCATGAATCACCATGCTCGCTCAAGACGGGTTGGTGATTTCAAACTTGTAATTTGATATTATAAGTCCATGTTTCCTCACGATGTTTTCCTTTGTCAGTCAGTGATGTCTAAATACTCTTATAAAGTACATTTGACTTGGAACAATCACATTAGTACTTGCCAGGATCAAACCCGTGCCCTCCTGCATGAGAGGCTCTAAATCCTCTACATCAATTCCGTAAAATTCCTTTCTTCTAGCACATGATAGAGGTAAATATAATAATTTTCCTTCACTTTCCCGACTTTATATAATAACTATTCTCATTAAATATTTCATATTTGCTACTTAACATGGTCATATCAACATTTAAGCTTAATTCATGTAATTTTGTTCAATTATTATTATAAATACATGAAAATAAGTAATGAGTTTATTTTTGTGTTACTATTATTGGAAACAATGCAAATTTTTTTGAATATATTGTTAAGTTCATGTTTAATTAATATATGGTTCACCGTTATCTCAATAAGATTAATTAATCATAAAAAAATACTATCTTTTGTTTCCGATGAAACGAGTTGTTTTATTTCGTAATATATAATATATTTGTTAACTCACTTGGTATTCCACGTCGATAACTTCGGCCACAGCAACTTTTTGATAAAAGCATTCCATTTTTCCCGCCTGTATAGTAAAAGTCATATCCTTTTCGTATGCGAAAACTACACTGAATATCGTGGATAGGAATAAGTAACGCATTGTGATAAATATTACTTATTAGTTATTACTACTTATATGTTAAATGTACGTCTTCCGTTATTTATAGAATTCCAGGCTTGTTTATTTTGTAAAAATAAAACAAACAACCCGGGCGGTATATTTATAATACCATATCTGGTTCAAAGCCGGGAGATACTTCATAAGTCACAACTCATTTGTCAAAATACGAAGAAATATTTTTATTAATTTTATGAAATGTATTAGAAATTCTTATGATATAATAATAAATTCTTTATAAATAAAATTATCAATTATTTAATATGTATAATTCTTTTATTTTGTATTCTTTCGTATGTATAAAATGTATGGTAACATTTTTGTGCGAATGTAATCATTTGACGTTTAAGGGCCAAGATTGCTTAAGTATGCCAAAAGAGTAAACAATTTTGTAAACTTATTATATTTTAATAATAATTTAAATATGTCCGGTCCAAGTTCTAATGCGATGCCGACTGGCGTTGTTAGGAATAGTGCGCTATCATTCGTTGCGTCTGCGCAGGCAACAGACGGACCAGACGTAGCAGTTCCGGTCAACCCAGCTGCTTTGGCTGTAGAGAGGGAACAGATGACTCAAACAGGTTCTATATTAAAAAAAAATACCGAATATAGATCAAAAATATACATAATATAACATTGGCTGAATAATGTATTTTGTATAAATTTTTTCATATTATTAAATACTTTTTTAATTTCCAGAGCGTCTGATGCCTCCAGGCTTGACTCCTCTTTATGAGGCTTGCACCAAAGTATACCCTGACCAGCCCAACCCACTTCAAGTGACCACAAGACTTAAATATTGGTAAATTCATAGATAATATAACACATATAAATTTTATTGGTCACTAAAAAGCTTTTATTGCATTCAAAGAAGGTTTTATTAAAATAATTATTATGAAAAATGAATGTTTTTTCATCAGGTTGGGAGGCCAGGATCCCCTCGACTACATCAGCATGTACTGGAACCCGGGGAGACCCGATGAGAATATACCACCACATTGGCATTATGTTAGGTACTGTTACCATTATAATAAATATTGTATAAAAAAAATATTCTAAGACCTAATATATGTATGTATGTAATATTGTCATTACATATTATATTTATGTATAAAGCAATTAATTTTATATAAAAAAAGATAACACAGTGTGCCTTAGACCACATGACTGATGTAAAACATTTTTCGCTTCATCGATACGTGTTATGTATATGTTTATTACAAATATGTATATATAAACATAAATTTTGTATAAATATTTGAATTCATTATGGGTTATAATTGATAAATTAATATTTAAAATATAACAATTACGATAATTATTTTCAAGCACATAGAATCTTTATAATATTTCTCCGGCCATATTAAATGATTATTTCCTCCCAGTTTTGGTCTGTCCGATCTTCACGGTGATGGCCGAGTGCATCCCGAGCCACTTGGTTGTTCTGGTTATGGCCTGGAGCTGACCTTCCGACTGGCCAGTGAGGAGAAACAGCCTCCGCTGTGGCCCGCTGCACTACTACAGGCTTTGGCTAGATATATATTTACTACTGGTATGTAAATTTATATATAATTATTTAGTGTTTAATTCATTACTAACTGGCTACGCCCCGCGGTGTTACCCGCGGATTTCCGGGATGTAAAGTAGCCTATATGTTATTCCTGGACGTCAGCTTCCTGTATACAACATTTTATCAAAATCGTTTCAGCCGTTTGAGCGTGAAGAAGTAACAAACATACACACAATCACAAACTTTCGCAATTATAATATTAGTAATATTAGTATTAGTAGGATGTGACAAAATTACCTTAAAAGTCGTTGATTTAGAAAATATTTCAGCTTAAACTTTCTTCTGATAATCTGCTTCCAATGTAGATACGCGGAATTATCCAATACTAGTTACGTGTATTTGCACTATCGACAACGATATATATATATGTTTCAATTTAATGAGATCTAAGACTTTCGCAAGTATTCATTTAAATGAAACTAATATTTTTCGGATATACTAAGCGCACTCTGTCGGCATCCAGAGTGGCACGCCAGAAAGATAAGAAATCGATGGCGTTAGATGATAAAATAACAAAACCAACTGACATTCACATCTCGTCTTAATGGTCACGGTTGATGAAAAGTAACCGAAACGTCGAGAGTATGTAGTTGAAATAATTAATCACGCGAAACTTCGGGTGTATGTAGTTTAAAATATTGAAATACTTGTAGGATATCCAAAAAATAATAGTTTTATTTATTTCAATGTCTAAAAAATAGCGCCTGGAGTCAATTACAAAGAAATGAAGCTCTGTTATGTTTAAATGAAAATAGGAACAGTAGAAATGATTTATTAGTGAACTCATATTGTTTGTTTAAGACAAATTTTATAAACATTGCTTACAATACACAATTGAGCCACCCTTACTGTCGCTCTGTCTCTTTCTATTCCGACGAGCGTTGAACGTTTAACGCAACCTTTTTGAAATTTATAAGTACCTAGTTTCTAGTCAATAAATATAATTGTAATATCTGTGTAATTAAGTACATTTTTTGTCACAATTGACTCACTCATTCACTCTTGCTCCATCCTTCTCTATTCTTATTGACCAGGAGCGTTGAACGTTCAACGCAACCTTGTTGAAAGTATTAGAAGTTGCAAAACAATAAATATAATACATCATACATGTATATGTGTGTGTGTGTGTGTGTGTGTGTGTGTGTGTTATTAAGTCCATTTTGTTATATTATCATTTGTTCTCATTCAAGGTAATAAGTTCGTGTGTGGCGACCATGTTTCTTGGCACGCGCCTCTCGACGGTTCATCCTCTAGGGTCCGTCATCTTTTAGTGGCGACTGACCCGCAGCTGGAGACAACAAACACCTGCCACGGCAGCGTCACGTTCTTACAGGTAGAAACATTTCCAGAAATGAAAAACATATACGTATATCAGTATACAATTTAGGGAATACAGTAATACCCCGCTTAACGCGACCCCGTTGTGCGCGGTTTCACTATAACGCGATTTTTAAAAAATTATTCAGATTGGGACATTGCAGAGTATAGATAATAATGATGACCATGTCTTGAACGTGTGTCAAACGATTAAAAACAGTGTTGGGTGTTATGAACGTATTTTATTAAAAAATAAACAAAACACTACCCAAAAGGCAATACATGTATTTTTTCGTAAAAAATAGGAGTACCTATGTATTGTATAGTGTTCACTGAATTAAAGTGATTGATTAAAATGATTTTTATATTTGTGTATTAAATTTTGACTGTGTTTAATCATAAACCTCGATATACGCGTAAAGCGGGATATTACTGTACACGTTTAGGGAACGCACCCGAAGTGACGTTAAAGCGATGACGTTTGGTTTGTTCACTTTTACGAGGGAAAGCATTTGTAGACGAGGCTTGTGTGTTTGTAAATTGAATTTAACTTATTTAAGGTGTTTTGGTTTAAGATAATAATTAGTTTGTTCCAGTTAATGATTTAGTTAGAATCTTAAATATATATAATATGATGTTTCAATAATCATCCGTCAGAGGCAGCACTAGTTTGACATTTGTTTAGTTTTTTTGGCGGGAAATATATAAATGCTAATTTAACTATATTATGTCATATATTTATTTAGTGGCTTTATATGTTCTTAATATATCAAATATCGTGTGAATATTGTCTATGATTCTTATATATTTTATTTCAACGACTAATATATAAACAATTATTTCAATAAGTATTATTTTAATGTCTTTTAAACGTATATGTTTCCATTTGTTCTAGATGGTGGGTTGTACTAGTCGTGAGTTACGAGCAGCACAGCGAGGTTCAGGGTTTGAAGTACTGAATATGATGAGTGAGGATCCAAGGTACAGTTTCAGTGTTAATTCTTAATGTTCATATAACTTCCAGTCATGTAACAGAATATATTTATGTATTTAGATATTATACTATTTATTATATCATGGATATTTATGTCAGTGTCATGTGTTATATTGAAATTGTTTTTTTTATATTATATTATTAAGAGCATCATATTGCACAATTATTACCTGCTGTACACACTAACCCTTACAGCTGTAGGTTGGCTGGAAGAAATTTTTTTTAGAAATAAGCCCGCCATTGTACCCAATAATTCTGTTTGTAAAATAAAATTGTAAATTTTTCAGTGCAATAAAGAGTATATATCAAGTCAGTGGTGGCTCAGTGGTTAAAGGGCCCGCCTCTCGTTGCCGAGCCCGCGGGTTCGATCCTGGCCCGGACAAGTACCAATTCGATTTTTCCGAATCATATGTACTTTCTAAGAGTATTTAGACATCACTGATTAATGTTGATTCCCAAAAGTGGCTTGATGTCAGGCAGGCGGGCCGGTCGTAAAAACAAATAGCCAAAAACTATTCACAACATGTAAGGCAGACCCTGGCTATAGCTGGGAAATTGCCAGGTAGAAGAAGAAGAAAGAGTATATATATAATATAATAGGTCCAAAAAATCGTTTTCCACCAAAGACCTGGTATGTTTATCATGTTTTTCTTCCAGATGTGGAGGTGCTTGGTTAGTGACGCGCACCCAGAGGCGCGTGTCAGCTCGACTCCAGCACCAGAACACACAGAAGCCAGCTCATCTGGCCGGAGTATCTGCTAGGGTTGCTTGGAAGGAGTATAGTGTTAGTTATTATACAGGGTGACTGGTGAATTACTATCGATACTTGAGGACGTGATATGTGACGATCATATATGACAAAATAAAAATTAATATAACATAAATATTAATAAACTTCTAAGTAAAGTTAACCAAAAGTTATGTAATTAATTAAGCATCGTGTGAACACCCTACAGATTAGGTATACACACACACGCGTGCGGCGGCATGTTGTTGTATCAGCACGCCGCCGCACGCGTCCACACTTGGAACACTTGGAACGTGTCAACACTTTATTTATTTATACGGAAATTTTGTCAAAAATTAAGTGCCTATTTTTTTTACATAATTCGAATGACAATCATGTACCGAGTATTCTCCTTAAATATTGATAGTAATTCACCAGTCACCCTGTATATGTATGTATTTATTAGTGACATGATACCTATACTCAATATTAAGTATACATTAATAAGTTAGTATTCCAGGTGTTACATTATCTGGTATATTATTTCCAGAGTACAGATGACCAGTCCAGCTGTTTGTCGCCCAGCGTTGAACAACAGATCAAAGACACACTGCAGAGAGGATTGAGCTCTATGAGCGATAGAGGAAATGAAGGTAGGCAGAGAAACATATATATATATATATCCCTACTAATATTATAAATGCGAAATTAACTCTGTCTGTGTGTCTGTTACGCTTTCACGACTAAACCACTGGACTGATTTTAATGAAATTTGGTACAGACATAGTTGACCTCGAGAAAGAACATAGGATAGTTTTTATCCCAGACTTTTGTAAAGTTCTCTGCTAACGCGATATAACCGAACTCCACGCGGACGAAGCTGCGGGCGGAAAGCTAGTATATATATAAAAAGATTTGATTTGATTATACAAAACACTATGGTGTATTTAATAAGCTGTGAAAAAAGTCAGCCAATCAAAATTGCATTTTTTTCTGGTATTTAGCTAAACGGAACGGAACTAAACATAGGTAGCGCTAAAAAGTACAAATACAGTGCAACCTTAATATAACGTACCTCAATATAACGAATTCCTCGATTGAACGAATTTTTCGTAATCCCCTTGAATTGTCCATACGATTCAATATAAAATATACCTTTACATTGCGAACATTCTTTTCGAACAACCTCTTTATAACGAATTTTCAACTATCAAGACAAAGTATTCATACCTCTAATTAACGAATTTTGTCAACCCAAAACCTTTATATAAAGTTACCGCCAATAATTAAGATTAAGAGTTATAATCTTATATTGTAATTCATGTCTCGACTCGCTTTTGTTCATAAAGTAATCGTTGTTTGATGAAAAGTAATATAAACACTTCTGCCCGTCACTATTGTTAAAGTTTTAAGTTAAAATGGCTCAAGCGTAAAAGGTGTTCCTTATCGGTCGCAGAAAAGCTAAACATCATTAATTATGTTGACCAAAATCCTATGTCGAAAATCTTAATGTTGAGGTAAATAAAACTATGTATTATTTTATCTTTTTATAACGAATTTTAGACCAACCTTACCTCAACATAACAAACCTCAGTTCAACGAATTATTTGACATCTATATACAGGGTGACTGGTGAATTACTATCAATATTTAAGGAGAATACTCGGTACATGATTCTCATTCGAATTATGTAAAAAAAATAGGTACTTAATTTTTGACCAAATTTCCGTATAAATAAATAAAGTGTGTACACGTTCCAAGTGTTCCAAGTGTTCCAAGTGTGGACGTGTGCGGCGGCGTGCTGATACAACACTACGCCGCCGCCGCGTCTGTGTGTGTGTGTGTGTATACCTAATCTGTAGGGTGTTCATACGATGCGTAATTAATTACATAAATTTTGGTTAACTTTACTTAGAAGTTTATTGATATTTATGTTATATTAATTTTTATTTTGTCATATATGATCGTCAAATATCACGTCCTCAAATATCGATAGTAATTCACCAGTCACCCTGTATATATAAATGAAATGCTGTTCGTTAGTCTCACTAAAACTCGAGAACAGCTGAACGGATTTATCTTATCTTAGTCTTGAAATGTTCGTGGAACTTCAGGGATGGTTTAAAAGCTGAAAAAAATTGATTCATTTCCGGGAAAACCCTAAAAACAGCCCTTTTCTATTTTCCATACAAACTTTTTTTTGACATTAGATTTGACAATCATTCTGTTCGATTGAAACAGAAAAAATTTATTAAATACCAATACCTTTTGCCCGGTTCGCCCGGTCACCTATACATACATATATTACTAATGACTAAATTAGCGCGGACGAAGTCCGGGCGGGCAAAAACTAGTTACAAATATTTTCTGGTTCCCGTCCGATTTGTTATACCGAGTTTGCACTGTATAACATATCTTTTGAATCTTGATGGCATTGTATATATGTAATAATAATAAATTAATATTTCCAGGTCATAAGATGTCCACGGATAGTTTCAAGATGTCTTCAATAGAGAGAGCTCTGCCACAGTTACCGGAAATGATGCAGGTTAGTTAGTGTAAAGATTACAGAACTATTAGGAGTTCATATGCTTGTTTAATAGCTTGAGAGTAATTTCTTGAACAAATTCATCATTACAAGGTTTTTTTTACTTAGGGAGTATTCACTAGCAAAATATCCGGATAAAATGTGGTGGCCTAGAAATTAAAAGTCTTCTAGTGCATGAGTGCGCGGGTTCGATCCTGGCAAGTACCAATGTGATTGTTCCGAGTCATATGTACTTAAGAGTATTTAGACATCACTGACTGATGAAGAAAAATATGAGGAAACATGGACTTTTATCAAATTATAAGTTTGAAATCACCAACCCGTCTTGACCAAGCGTGGTGATTAATGCTCAAATCTTCTCCATGTCAGAAGAGGCTTAGCAGTGGGCTCTGATAGGCTGATGATGATTTTACTCAATAAATAAAATTATTTTTCTCAATATTTCAGGGTTCCTGGCGAGGAGACGAAGTGGAATATTTAAATGGAGTTCACTTACTTTTAAACGCAGAAGGAGCAAGTTTACTACCACTAGCTATAGAGTAAGTTAATATTATCACAAGTGTCGCCATCTGTGTTATACTAATGACACACTATAATCCTTCCAATTATCATGATGAGTGATTATAATGAATGATAATACTGACCCATTGTAATGTATCAACATGAGCATCAACTCGAGTCTGTAAACTATACATACTGGACACACACATTCTGTTACATGACTGGGAGTAATGAACATTGAGAATTAACACTGACACTGTACCGAGAACAATATCAATAGCTGATTAAATTTCAACAACAAATTGATAATCTTACATCAGAGAATAAATTTAAAATAGTTTTTATATAACTTTCTGCCCAATAATTCGATAAGTATTTATTCAAAAAATAAATTAAATGAATGAAAGCGACATCTATTGATGAGAAGTTTTGTTTCTGTTTCTGAGAAAATAACCTATATAATATATATTATTTTCCTTCCAGCGGTCGAGTACTTCACGATCGTCACTTCACATGGCGGCAGGGTCCCCGGGCGGTCACACTGTTGACCCCCGCCGTTGGAGGAGCCTTCGTTACCAGGGCGAAGCCCTACGCCTCTAAAGGACCGTGGCTACAGGTACATAAATAGATAGTTCTAAATATAACAACGCCATATATAATTTTCTTCTTCCTGAGTCCTGACTTATATAATATGGTCTCCATATTTAACTAGTCTTTCTATCAATAATAATGACTCCCAAAAACGTGGAGATACCCCATATTATATTGCTATAGATATATAAATAACAATATTCTGACTTATTGAACAAAATATTCTTATAAAACATATATTTTTGTATTTATTTCTTCATTAATATCTCATTTTTGTAAATAATTTAAAGAAATGGACCAAAAATAGCGGGAATTTTGACAGTTATTCTATTAATTTTATGTATAATATAATGTATTGTATTTTAAATTTAAAGTAAGCCTATATATTTTAATATATAAATAATACAAAAGAATATATTCTTTATCTTATTTTTTGATTTTATGTACTGGTAATATATTTTGTTAATAAGCAATATACGGGAACTTGGTCGCTCGTACACTTAATAAAATGATTTAAATTTATAATGCTTCTTAGATTAATTAATTTGATATCCCTACTAATATTATAAATGTGAAAGTAACTCTGTCTGTCTGTTACGCTTTCACGACTAAAACACTGAACTGATTTTAATGAAACTTGGTACAGAGATAGAGTTGACCTTGAGAAAGAACACAAGATAGTTTTTATTCCAGACTTTTGAAAGGTTCTGTTATGTATTAGTTATACATGCTCGGTATTGTTATAATAATATGATGTCAAGTGTAATGTAAGTAGATCACTTTATTATATTAGTTGCTACTCAGTTTGCTACTTACCACAATACATAACAAATTTAATATAGTTTTATTGAATAATACAATATATAAATTACAGATCCTGATACCACCGGAACTAGCTGAAGATATGTCAAAGCAAGTCTCCGGGTTGTCAAGACTAGCAGACAGTGACTCGGAGAGTGAAGAAGAAAGTACGGACACTTCACAACGACCGAGCATACCTATTACACTCACATGGCCTAGCTACAGATTAAGCATCTCTGTACTACATGACTTGGAAATATTATAAATATAATATATAATATATAGGAATAAAATGTATAAAGAACTTTACTTCTTCACTTAAAATGAGATACAAGGAATATTTGAAAGATAACAATTTTAACAAACTGGCCGTTGGACATGACAGACTTGCTACATTTACTACTACAGCGAGGATATTAAATATTATTTTAATTTAACCTTAACATCCCTGTACTATCACACAGTTTTATTTCGTCTGGTAGTTTATTGAAAAAGTATATTGAATTTTATTATTCATAAATTGCATTATTTAATTCTCTCTATAAGTAAAACAGAGTTATAAACTAGTTTACCGCGACTCCGGCCGCGTGAATTAGAATTGTTTTCAGAGGAATGTATAGTGTTAAAATATATATAGTATGTTATGGCTTTTAATTTTATTTACTACAGCGCCATCTATCTAACGTGATATACACATGTAAAGTAGAATTATTTTTTATATATATGTATATAATTCTAAAAAAACAGTGGCATTTCATATACGTCTAAGGAATGATTTGATAAATATAATAAATTGTTCTCAATGTCGTGTTGATATTGTGAATGTATTGTATATTATAAAAACAAATATATGCTAGACATATTATTTTCTTTCTATTATTAATTCCGAACTTCCATATTAACAGTCTTCTTCTTCTACCTGTCAATTTCCCAGCTTTAGCCAGGGTCTGCTTTATATGTTGTAAACAGTTTTGGCTAATCGTTTTTACGACCGGCCGCCTGCCTGACATCAATCCTCTTTGTGAATGCATTAATCAGTGATGTCTAAATACTCTTATAAAGTACATATGACTCGGAAAAATCACATTGGTACTTGCCAGGATCGAACCCGCGCCCTTGTGGATGAGAGGCGGTCCTTTTAACCACTAGGCTACCACTGACTTAACAATACTAACTACATGAATTAAAGGCGACGGAAACAGTTAAATCAAGGTGTTAAAATACGTGCAATTCAATGTCTTAATATTATAAGTCAAAATATATTTTGACTTAAATAAAGCGGAGTATTGACTAATGTATGGGTGATGTTTGATAAATATTCATTATTCTGTAAAAATTGAAAATAAATAATTTACAAATTAGTCGTTCTGTTTTAATCATTCTCTTTAAAACGTCAGTTGTGTTTTGTTATTAAATTAATAATGTAAATAATCAAAGAAATGTTGAAATAATAAAACGTTAAATGCGCGGGTAATTACCATAGATAGAAACAATGTTTTTTCTTAAGTACATATTTTAACTTTATATTTTTTAATAAAAACTTTAAAATAAACTTATCTCTAACTATAGTAGAATTACAAAAAAATCAAAATAAAACAATAAGTTGTAGAAAAATTTTGAAACATTTTAATTCTCTATGGCAAGATAAAAATTTAGTCACACTAGTTGACAATCAGTTTCACACATATTTCAAGAGATGGCACTGTTATCAAATTCAGCTAATCAATTTGAACAATTTTATTTTAACATAATAATTATAATATATATTTAGTAAATAATAATATAATATTTACTTTAGTAAGAGGTAAACCTCTTACTTCACTCATAAATATAAGGACATAGCTAAGGTTATAAATAAGTCGACCTTGAAGAAACAATGACAAAAAGGCCGAACGAAATTGGCATTGAAATAAATTGATTTCCATAATAGATATTCTATAAAAGTATATTTATTTTTAAAAATCAATAACTCGAGACGAAACTCATCATTTCATATTGTATTCACGGTGCGTGTGTAGGGTCCATCATTGTAGTGAGAGGAGCTTCAACAGTGACTGTGACTTGTGTCCCAGGTGTAGGTTTAAGGGACCCTATCTAATGTTAAACTCTCATCTCCAAATAATCTAAGCTAACTCTTCGTAAGAGCTAAAATTTCCAGTTACTCTTTAGAAGTTTCTAATCAATAAATTAACGAAAGAATTTCACAACCTAAATACGACATAAGATTGAGACGGAGTTGAGTTTTACATTAATTAAAACAATATATATGTACCTAATACTTAGGTACATAAAATTATTATGTCATACCCAAATGTTATACTTACAAACTTCTTCTTCCTAGCAATTTCCCAGCTTTAGCCAGGGTCTGCCTTACATGTTGTGAATAGTTTTGGCTAATTGTTTTTACGACCGGCTGCCTGCCTGACATCAACCCACTTTGGGAATGAATATACATATTTAAATAAAAATCTTAAGACCCAGTTTCACCAATCAATGTTAAATAACTTATATCGTGTTATTATGCGTTTGATGCTCTGTTAGATGTATCGAGCGTGCCACCACGCACAAGTCCGTTTAAATGTCTTAACCAGCCACTAATATTAATTCCTGTTCTGGAGCTCCGTCTAATGGCTAACAGACTGTTAATGTATTGTCAAAACTCAAATATTATTTCAAACTTTTAATGAAATCATCATTGTATTACCTACCTTATATTTTAACTGAGATTATATTATATAAGTATCAATATAAACTTTATTTAATAATCCAAACTTACTCTTTTTAATAAAATATTTTATTAACATTAAATGAATGTAATATGTATTTTATTAATTAATAGTCACATAAAATCTTTTGTATTTTTAAGTATAATTTCTTATGCGACATCAACAAGGTTGCGTTAAACGTTCAACGCTCCGGCAGAATAAAAAGAGACAGCGATAGAATGCGTGTCGCTATTTCAATCAATAGACTTGTAAGTAATCTTAATTTGTCTTAAAACACTAAAGATTCATTATATAATCTATTTAAACCTTATTATTTTCATTTTATTACGAAGTTTTACTTATTTGAAAGGACTAAAAGGTATTTTTTGACCTATTTCTAAGTATCAGGACTGAGGAGCGATCGATGTTGTATTATGACGTCATATCACGTGATCTAGCCGTATTCGCCATTTTGTACGAAACTTTACTTAGAAGTTTATTAATATTTATGTTATATTAATTTTTATTCTGTCATATATGATCGTCAAATATCACGTCCTCAAGTATCGATGGTAATTCACCAGTCACCCTGTATATGTATGAGTATTTATTTTCGTGTGTAGTATGTAATTATCTTGAAGCCCTTAATTATTGTCATCGTCCGAGCCAATTTCACGGCCAGTTTAAAAATAAACTTACAAATATATGTACTGCTTTGAAGATTTTGTTGTTACGATATTTTTAAAAATAAAATCCCTACTAATATTATAAATGCGAAAGTAACTCTGTCTGTCTGTTACGCTTTCTTGCCTATAACCACTGAACTGATTTTAATGATATTTGGTACAGAGATAGAGTTGACCTTGAGAAAGAACAGTTTTTATCCCAGACTTTTGAAAGGTTCTCTTGGAAACGTGATATAACCGAACTCCACGCGGCTGGAAAGCTAGTAACTATCTAATAAAAAGCTAATTTAATTATTAGTAAGAAGTTTTGTGTTAAAAGTCAGTGGTGGCCTAGTGGTTAAAAGGCCCGCCTCTCTTGCTCGAGGGCGCGGGTGCGATCCTGGCAAGTACCAATGTGATTGTTCCGAGTCATATGTACTTTATAAGAGTATTTAGACATTACTGATAGATGAAGGAAAACATCGTGAGGAAACCTGGACTTATAATTTCACAATTATAAGTTTGAAATCGCCAACCCGTCTTGAGCAAGCGTGGTGATTAATGCTCAAACCTGCTCCATGTGAGAAGAGGCCTTACAGCAGTGGGCTCTGATAGGCTGATGACACGAGAAGTTTTGAATCATTACTGTTTTTTTATTTGTTTCTTTCACTCTTACGCGATAATTTATTATTTTTAGCTTATATTCAAGATGAAACTAATATTTTTCATATTAAGTACTACGCGATTTTTATTTTTGATTATAAACTACATTCTCCCGTTTTTTGTTACTTTACAGCAACCGTGATCATTAAGACGAGATGTGATATTTCCTGAGTACATCCGAATAATATTAGTTTCATTTAAATGAATACTCGCGAAAGACTTAGATCTCATTATAATCAAAATTATAACATTTTAATATCTATATGCTAAAACTAAATATTACTTATCACCATCATAACCTTAAATGATTTATTTTGTCACAAGATTCAAATATGAAATGGCTGAAACCTAGAAGAAAAACTAATTAGAACGTAACGAATTTATTGTTTACATAATACACGTAAAATTTTTATTACATTAATAATACTATTACATAGAAAATTATGTAAATATGGTTAGGTAGCGAGGAGCTTGTACGGTGGAGGTGAGCGTTTAACGTTAGATAGGGGTCCCTTAAACCTACACCTGGGTCACAAGTCCCAGTCACTGTTGAAGCTCCTCTCACTACAACGATGGACCCGACACACGCATATGAATACATTGAATGATGAGAGATTTCGTCTCTATATATAATATATACATTTTACATCTGTCTTCAGTAAAGAGGTTTTACGATAACCTACTTTCAACAAAATAAAACTATATCGTACAGATTAAATGTTTTCAACAAACGTATGGGTTTTATAAACAAATAGTTTTTAATTAATTCAGTTATTTATAGCTTTGTTTTCGTGTATGTTGTACACTGAGCTTGTCTACTCAATCTCAATTTACTCAATCTCATTGGAAATAGCTATTAAAATATCTAATTGGAAATATTTTTCTTATATGATGTTGGAATCATGGTGTAGATACTCTAGCCTAGGTATATATGCAAGTTATATATTACTTTGTATTTTCTATTGTAAATAAGTATTTTAAATGTTCATATTGGAACAGAATATATAACTAATATATATCAAAGTCCTATTATAGATTTCTTTTATGTTTTTATTTATATAATATCTATTTATGTATAATAATAAGTTTTACTGGAAGCCATACCTTATTTGTTGATACGTGACTCCCTTCACGCTGTGCCACAACGGTTCAAAACATCCAGGATTATTATCATACTAATATCACCTTTATTGTTAAGGAATAAAAATCAAACTGGCTTGTATATAAATATTGTTTACATTACCCTTCCATTTCAAAACAACACAAGTACATTACACCTCATGCGATAATAGCACTTATGTAATTTGGAATAAGAGCGAATACGCCGTGTGACGTCACAACAGCAACAAGATGGCCGCCGTAACAAATAATACATGTTTTCGAGTGAACGCGGCAACGTCGCACGTCCCGGCCTCGCCATATTGATCAATTCTATAAATTCTATCTTTGTTGTTTACTAGAAAATATCTTAACAAAACATTATTTACATATAAAATATATTAAAAAGACGCCGTTTTTTACATAATATAGGTATCTATTGCAAAGTAAATAATAATTATTACTACAATAGAAAGTTACAGTTAGAAACATACGCCATTACGTATTTTTGTTTGGTGATAAATTTCAATTGCATTTAATTTTAATGTATATTCAATGTTAGTTTGTCTATTTTAGTTAGAGTCAACGACCTTACAGATGCGTGTGTTACAGCAAACAATTATAAATAGATTTTAGATTCAATAATATTACGAGAAAACGGCAATGTTACTCCAAAGTCATAGTATGGGAATCTTATGTATGTACATACATTTGTGGATTTTCTTAAATTTAAAGCTAGATCATTGAAAATAACTTCATTTAAACATTCCACGTACTTTTTTACTCACTATCACAGTAAATAAAGAATGAAAAGTTTAATGACGAAACTATAGGACATATATTAAATTTACTACTTCATTTTATTAAAACAATATATACTTACCTTTTGGTTGAGAACTATAACAGTTAAAAAATATATTATTATTAAAATTAACAATAAAATACGAGTAAAAACGGGATATTTTCTGTTTACTAGAGAATACAATATGGAGTTGATAGCGTTTTCATAAGCAAAAAATCGAGTAAAACGTGGAATAACAATTTATTTATAACTGGTATATCGGCAGATGTAGACAGGGGACGGACAAAGGTCACCCTATATAAAACCCTGGACTATTTTATTAAATAATGTAACTACTTGAATGAAAGAAATACGAAAATAGCAATGATGATTTAAAACTTTTATTACTCAAATATATTAGAAAAGAAACTATATGTGCATTACAATTTTTATACGTAAATCGTATGTTTGCAAATATTTAACTAAATTTTATGAATTTCAACAAACGTCATTTCACATTAAGCTAAAAATAGTAGGTACCTACCTATCTTACCTCTGTTTAATAAAATGGATATTATTACCAAAAAATTTTAACTTTTGTTACGAATATACAATTTTATTGAGTATTTTTTACATCTGTTTGTAAAAGGGGGACAAATTGAAGGGTTGTTCTAGTATATGGCTATTATTATTAAACTTAACATGTTTTTTAGTTACGACACAGATTACTTCAACACTTTTATAAATTTACTTCCTTTCTTCATCATTTAAACGTAAAACTACTATCAATATTGAAAATATTGTTCTTTAAATGTACTTTTTTGACAAACAAACCTTTTCTTATAAATATAATGTAAGAGAAACGTGTAATGCTATGAAATCAAAAGTAGCGCAATGGGTTGCTCGAGAGGTACGGAGAAAGGCGACGTTGCCGCTCAGTGCATAACAACTTCGTTGAGAACAAATTTAACTAGTAATATTTTTAAATATCAGATATATTGATTTTGTTTTTATTAAAATTTCTTTATCTTTTTGTTTCAAAAACACTTTTAATTCATTCAGTAATTTATTATAATGACATTTAATTCGATTTATTATTTTTTTTATATTATTTCAGCATTAATCTTGAATAAACAGCCGATGTAATTTTTTTTATTTTAATATTAATTCAAATATCAGGTGGCTGCAGGTCAGGTCACATCCGTGTCAGGTAAACAGGTAAGGGCTTTATGAATTGCATTTGAAAAGAATTATACAAGTAAGGTATAATAGGGAAGAGACTGTTCGACCTTCGCTTTAAGGAAGTGTCGTTTCCTGTCAATAAAAAAAATTACACGACATATGCATGTCATTATTTTTAATAATCTGTGACGTATGTTTATGTCAAATTTTAAACTGCCAAAAAGGTTGCATATATATATAGCCTATAAAAATAAAAATGAACACTTCTTCCAGCAGATAGCATCATTCAATAACTTTAATACTATTTATGAATGAAATACTACTAACTCTACGTTTGTAGTAACTGCACTCACAGTAGGCGTCAATAAAATACTCTTTTTACAAGAAAATAACGAATGAAATACTAAGATTTACGTAAAATAAATAATATAAATTGACGCACCACATATGCAAAATAAATACGAATGTTTTTAATAATATTGTGTCAGGTGTGCATACTTTAGGAACATACAGATTACAGCTGAGAAAACATGACATATGTTGTTTATTAAAAATAATAATTAAATATTTTGAATTAAAATTATTATATATATATTATACTTGATACTGTTAGTATTTAGTTTGGATAAAAATCGTGGTAAAAGACGAATCCTCTCATCATTCCATGTATTCACGGTGCGCGTGTCGGGTCCATCGTTGTAGTGAGAGGAGCTTCAACAGTGACTGGGACTTGTGACCCAGGTGTAGGTTTAATATATATAGAGAGACGAAACCTCTCATCATTCAATGTATTCACGGTGCGTGTGTCGGGTCCATCGTTGTAGTGAGAGGAGCTTCAACAGTGACTGGGACTTGTGACCCAGGTGTAGGTTTAATATATATAGAGAGACGAAACCTCTCATCATTCAATGTATTCACGGTGCGTGTGTCGGGTCCATCGTTGTAGTGAGAGGAGCTTCAACAGTGACTGTGACTTGTGACCCAGGTGTAGGTTTAATATATATAGAGAGACGAAACCTCTCATCATTCAATGTATTCACGGTGCGTGTGTCGGGTCCATCGTTGTAGTGAGAGGAGCTTCAACAGTGACTGGGACTTGTGACCCAGGTGTAGGTTTAATATATATAGAGAGACGAAACCTCTCATCATTCCATGTATTCACGGTGCGTGTGTCGGGTCCATCGTTGTAGTGAGAGGAGCTTCAACAGTGACTGGGACTTGTGACCCAGGTGTAGGTTTAAATATATATAGAGAGACGAAACCTCTCATCATTCCATGTATTCACGGTGCGTGTGTCGGGTCCATCGTTATAGTGAGAGGAGCTTCAACAGTGACTGGGACTTGTGACCCAGGTGTAGGTTTAATATATATATAGAGAGACGAAACCTCTCATCATTCAATGTATTCACGGTGCGTGTGTCGGGTCCATCGTTGTAGTGAGAGGAGCTTCAACAGTGACTGGGACTTGTGACCCAGGTGTAGGTTTAATATATATATAGAGAGACGAAACCTCTCATCATTCCATGTATTCACGGTGCGTGTGTCGGGTCCATCGTTGTAGTGAGAGGAGCTTCAACAGTGACTGTGACTTGTGACCCAGGTGTAGGTTTAATATATATAGAGAGACGAAACCTCTCATCATTCAATGTATTCACGGTGCGTGTGTCGGGTCCATCGTTGTAGTGAGAGGAGCTTCAACAGTGACTGGGACTTGTGACCCAGGTGTAGGTTTAATATATATAGAGAGACGAAACCTCTCATCATTCCATGTATTCACGGTGCGTGTGTCGGGTCCATCGTTGTAGTGAGAGGAGCTTCAACAGTGACTGGGACTTGTGACCCAGGTGTAGGTTTAATATATATAGAGAGACGAAACCTCTCATCATTCCATGTATTCACGGTGCGTGTGTCGGGTCCATCGTTATAGTGAGAGGAGCTTCAACAGTGACTGGGACTTGTGACCCAGGTGTAGGTTTAATATATATAGAGAGACGAAACCTCTCATCATTCAATGTATTCACGGTGCGTGTGTCGGGTCCATCGTTGTAGTGAGAGGAGCTTCAACAGTGACTGTGACTTGTGACCCAGGTGTAGGTTTAAGGGACCCTATCTGACGTTAAACGATCACCTCCACTGTACAAGCTACTCTTTCTACCAAATTTGAAACGAACCTAATAGTGCTGCCTTCGTATGTTCCAAGAATGAATTAATATTAGTTCTGGACAGACCCAAGTCTTTTAGTAGGTAATTTTAAATTATTAACGAACGATTTTAAGTATTGAGTCACGAAAACAAGTTTTTACTTAAGAACGGTCTGTCATCCCAACAACGGTACATTCTGAAGTTTAACTCCAAATTAGTTTGTAACAGAAATACTGTTGCTACGTCTACCACAAGTTCGTCACTACATACGTAGCGTCAACAGTTTTTATGCACAGCTTCTCAGAATTCAGTATTGACGTATTATTAGTAGTAAAAATTAATTATTATTATTGTTATTACTATTAAAAAAAGTTTCCGAAATCAATATTACGAAATAGTAGAAATAAATTTAATTATATTATACAAAAAAATTGCGTATTTGTAAAAATTATTCTACTTAGGGTCGCACTTGACTTGGCGTAGCGTATTCGTCGTATTTGTCCAAATATTTGTACGACCAAATATCCCAAACAAGACATCCACACTTGGCAAACAAATAAGGCTAAATTAATGAATAACTCGAATGTTCTCGAAGCAGCTTGAAGCAGTACTAGAAGCTGACTGTTTGGAAATAAATTTAGAAGTCATTGTCATGATCTTCATTTGCTGAAAGTGGGGATTTTACGTCAAAAGTCAAATAATTCTCATCTTCAACTTTTATAGCTTTTCTACTTGGGTATGACCGCATTGGTGATGAAATTGCTCCATCATCATCATCTTCCATATTGATGATTTCCTCATAAATCATATTATTAATTCTTCTCATCATCAAGTCTCGTTTATCAACTGGTAATCTACGCAGCTTCTTTGAAATCAGTTTCCCGAAGATATTGCATTCATCATCATCATCTAACTGTCTTTGTGACGCTGTTTCGATAATCTTAAATGCTTTATCCATTTGGTTTTTAACTTGTTCAAGTTCAGATGGATTCTGCTGTTTTCTGGCTGTTGTCATTGTTACCTGTTGTGACGTTGTATATTTAATTATTATACTAAACACTAGCTAGTGCCTGCGGCTTCGCGCACTAAAATTGTAGCTATAGTTCGTTCACGTGAAATTCGGTTTTAGTTATTCCCGCGGGAATTTTTTATTTTTACGGGATATAATGTAGCCTATGTTTTATTCCAAGATATAAGCTATCTCCATTTCAAATTTCAGCCAAATCGGTTCAGTCGTTACGCCGTGAAAGAGCAACAAACATCCAAACTCCAAACTCACATTTAAATATTAGTATAGATATAGATAGTATCCTACTAATATTAATTATAATTGCGAAAGTTTGAGAGTGTTTGTATCTTTGTTACTTCTTCACGCTCAAACGGCTGAACCGATTTTGATAAAATTTTGTATACAGGAAGCTGACTTCCAGGAATAACATAGGCTACTTTACATCCCGGAAATCCCGGAAATCTAGTAGATAAATAAAGACAAAAAGAAACAAGCTTAAATAATACATACCTCAGTATTTAGAGGTGGCTTGCATGTATACACTGGTGCTAGAAAACTATCCATAAAATCAAATGCAAACCATGTAGGTCTATAAACATCGGAAGAACCAGAATTTGTCACAGATTTCTTAATTTTAGTCTTATATCCCCTGTATGCTGACATTAATGACTCTCTTTTCCTTTTTAATTCCTTTATAGTCCCTGGAAATCCCAATTCCTTCTTTATAACACACCACGCGTCGTCCACTTTCGTTTTGTTTTTGTGGGCTACGTTTCGGGGATCCCAAATGCACGGATGCATTTGGTATAATTCCAAAAATCTCAATACAACATCATTAGTCCAATCCATTTTGCGAAATACAGTAAGAATATGCTCTAAACACGTCTGTACACGATGCTGTCGCTCGCACAAGTGATTGAGCTATGTGTGGACGGTGTGTTTGCTTTATTTGACATATTTGCGTCTTCATGTGTGATAAAAAACAAATAGCAGATCGACGTTCTCGCTTATTTGTGTATGTGTGTTATTTGTACAAATATGTCAAATGAAGACGAATATATCATCCACATATGGTCTTATTTGGAAGAACAAATACGCGAATACGCATAGCCATATGAAGAGCGTATAGAATGTTAATTTAACAAACATGTATTATATATATTTATATATAATTTTTACCAAAAAATTGTTTAAGAAAGTGCGTAATTCGTCGATGTATTTCCTAACTGGTTGGCCTTGAAAAAATGCTTCACAGAATTAATTCTAAGTGTTGTTTTACAATTAAACTAATGTTTGTTAAAAATGGCGACTTAATTTAAACGATTTTTCATATAAATTCAGTTAGATAGATGTTTCTAGAAAGCATGTCTAACATCTTTCGTACTTCCCCGTATAAGTTATTTTACCACCAATTACATCCTTTTTGCATAACAATGACTCAACCTAATCCTAAACTAAGTTTAAATATTTATATTAGTCACGCTTTTATAATTTAATGATACAAAAATAACGAACGCCCGAGAATATTCTGGTAAGTTCTATTAATGTGAGTAAACAAGTCAATACACAGCCAAGATGGCGCGGCGGCATCGCGTGGGTTAGGTATTAGAAAGTTGTCAACCATTTTATTAATTTTATCATCATTTTCCTACACATATAATATTTTTTATTACTATATTATTATTTTATCATTAATTATTTATTTATTTTAAATATTCGTACTCCATATTTTTTTATACTGCAAAGATTTTAATAATACCGAAAGGTTACAAGATTGTTTTGACCTTTGCATTTTATACGTTTAGAAATTAGACTTTATTACATTACAAATAAAGCTTAGAATCGTCTGTATCTTTACATCAGCTAAATCTGGAACAAATGACACGTCATTCTGAATTAGAACGTATTTAAAACTAATAAGGTTTAGAATTCAATGTAATTTAGTCTCATGACATCAAATTTAGTTTTTTTAACGTAATTGTAAGCACGTGCTTACTAAATTCGACTTGTGAATAAAAATATTTTAAACCGTTATTAATGTAAAAAACAACAAAAGAAAAGTTTATTTTAAGTTCTTGTATTAAAATTAATAGTTAAATTTATAATAGTTAATATATAATATAACTTTTGGTTCTTATCTTCCGTAGTAGTTCGAGGTTACGAAAAATTTAATTCTGTTCAATTATACGTCCATAGCCAGACATACGGTAAAGGAAAACATCGTGAGGAAACCTGGACTTATAATTTCACAATTATAAGTTTGAAATCACCAACCCGTCTTGAGCAAGTGTGATTAATGCATTCCCAAAGAGGGTTGATGTCAGGCAGGCGGCCGTTAAAAACAATTAGCCAAAACTATTCACAACATGTAAGGCAGACCCTGGCTAAAGCTGGGAAATTGCCAGGAAGAATACGTCCATAGCCAGTATGTGTGAAATAAAATGTGTATACTAACATGCATAATATATATCAGTTTTATGATGTCGAAATTAATTTAAAATCATTTACATACATATATGTATTTCATTAAAAATAAATCACGTGATATTATTTGTTATAAATAACAAAGGAGGTCATTACTTTCTCTTAACATATTATACTGTAATTATTACGAAATAAATCTATACTTTATAAAACTGAAGAGTTTGTTTGTTTGTACGCGCTAATCTCAGGAACTACTGGTTCAAATTGAAAATATCTTATTGAGTTAATAGAATATTTATCGAGGTAGGCTTTAGGTTAAATAATATCGCTTTAGGTTAAATAAATAGCTGCGAAGAAATAATGGAAAATGTGAAAAAAAAGAGGAAAATTATCATATTTGATGGCTTTCGTTGCGTGGAGTGAGAAAACGGTTTGAGATATCGAAAAAATATGTATGAAAGAATTATTCGTTTTGAAATTATCTAAAAATATGTCTTAAACAGTATATATCTATCTTTTAAGATTAATTCACTGGAACCGTTTTTATGGTAATCAAATTTGGTCGAAATTACTATCTATTTATTTGAGTTGTATCAATATAATAACATTAATCTTTATGCAAATAAATATATTGTTGATTAAGAGTATTTAATTACGAACAAAATTGTCCTTGACATAACTTAATTTCAATGAACAATTTAGAAGATATTACAATTTTAAAATAACTCAGATATAAAATGGATGAAGTTATTTGCAAAAATATGATGCCTAAATAACTATTCAATACGAACAAAGTCGCGGGCAGAGCTAGTTCAAATATATAATGATAGTTTAATAATATTGAAATTCAAGTTTCTGGGTGAGTAAGACATTTTCCGTGTCCACGTGAGTCAGCGTAACGGTTATCTAATAAAAAATAGAAACACATATAGGTACGCGGTTTTCCCGGAATTATAATTCAACAATTACAAGAATTTTAAAAGCATCTTGCTTAATAAGTATCTTTAACACCGTAAATACCTGATCAGTATCGAAATTATCGGTTTTCATGTACTTTACGATTTACTTTTAATAATTACGTGATTTTCAACAGCTGTAACAAATTTCTTTACATGCATATTTTTCGTAATACATTCATGAATATTTGACTGTGTTTTATTTCAATTTTTTGGCAATATTATTAATATATTAATATGATGAATCTAGTTTATTATTAATAAAGTTATAACGAAGATTTTGAATTACATATTTTTCAATACTTTACTTTTGACGTTTATTGTGGATCTTGTCAGACAGTTACTTGTAACATATGTTAAAATAATAATAATAATAATAGCTATACTTAAATATCTTATCTATATACTTATGAATAAAAGATAAATATCAATAATTTTATATCAATAGTTTTTTTTCCAAAATAATATGAAAGTTTTTTTTGGAAATATTTTTACGGCTCTTTTGAGCCTTATCGTAACAAAATCATATGAACGTACTAGTTTGTTACATAAAAACAGTGTTTTTTTGGATTTTTTTATCACTGTTCGTTGCACTGTTTTATCAAGATAATATCTAGAACGACTGGATCGATTATGATCTTATTATTGTATAAAGTAGATAAGTAATAAGGAGAAACTTGACTAACTCTTAAACCGAAATCAAAAAAGAGGAAGTTTTCAATATGACTATGTTATTTACGTTGCACTTTCCCTTGTCCCATCCTTTCCCTCCTTTTCCCACTTTTTCCTCCCCCTCTTCCCTAATCAAGGATAGCAACAACATAAGAAATGTTACAATGTCCATAGGCGACGCTACTACCTCTATCAAGTGGAACATCTACTCGGTTGCCCCGTTTAGCATAAAAAACGCTATACCTACTTCAAATAGTTAAAAATATTTTCTTGATAAAAAATGAATTATGCATGGCAGTTCAACGCAGTAAGTCAGCATCTGATAGGCCATTTTTCAAATAGGCTTTACTGTGAACAAAGTCGCAGGCAAAAGCCAGTGTAATAATAAATATTACATGAAAATATTTATTCGACACAGTTTAAGCAATGTCCAAACAAGATGGCCGTCCTTACGTCACGATGACGTTTGTTTCCGTGGTTTGTAGAACAATATTTCCTTTTGAGTTTTTATATATTATAATATATAAGTTTGAAATCAGATTCAATATGAACTCCTATCATTTTTAATATATACTCATTCAAATTAATACTACATACGACAAAATTTTGTATGTTTATAGTAATTTGCAACGCCATAGCAGGCGATTGTGTAGTATATTAAAAGCATAGATAATATGACAAATAGTATATGTTTGCAATATATACAATTATATTAATATTAATATATGTTTACATGCTAGGTCATACACGCGACTTCATTTCATATCAAAGTTATCGTAAGAAAAACAAAACATAATAAAGACTAAACCTCTCATCATTCAATGTATTCACGGAGCGTGTGTCGGGTCCATCGTTGTAGTGAGAGGAGCTTCAACAGTGACTGGGACTTGTGACCCAGGTGTAGGTTTAATATACATATATAGAGAGACGAAACCTCTCATCATTCCATGTATTCACGGTGCGTGTGTCGGGTCCATCGTTGTAGTGAGAGGAGCTTCAACAGTGACTGGGACTTGAGACCCGGGTGTAGGTTTAAAGGACCCCTATATAACGCGCGTTAAATTAAAGATTGAAGAAATTTTTTACATATTTTTGAAATCAATATCAAATATAAATCTATCCCTAGCCTCTCCTTTATATCTTCTTTTCTACCTGGCAATTTGCCAGCTTTAGCCAGAGTCTGCCTTACATGTTATGAATAGTTTTGGATAATTATTTTTACGACGGCCGCCTGCCTGACATCAAGCCTCTTTGGGAATGCATTTATCAGTGATGTCTAATACTCTTAAAATAACATTGGTACTTGCCAGGATCGAACCCGCGCCCTCGTGTATGAGAGGCGAGCCTTTTAACCACTAGGCCACCACTGACTTAGCCGCTTCTTTATATACCCAAGTGAAATTCCTATTACATTTGTTTAACAGTTTCGCCGAAACAACCAGACAGACATAAGTAGAGGCGATTATTCAATATCAGTCTTATTTGTTTAAGTGAAAATAACATAGTTATGTAAAAAACAAGTTTATAGTACATGAAGTCACGGGATAAACACTATACATGTGACAGACAGATGGTTTGTATATATGTATATAAAAGAAAGTCGTGTTAGTTACACTATTTATAACTCTAACGACTGTACGGATATGGATGAAGATTGGTGGAGAGATAGATTAGAACATAGAAAGGACATTGGATATATAATACTGTTTGATCGAAAAAGAAAATCTTAAATTCAAATAGGTACTTGGTTATTCACAACCTCTAGGACGGAATAGAGTTCACCCAGACAGCTATACATTGTGACTAATGCTAAAACTAACGCGGACGAAGTCACAGGAAAAAACTAGTATCACATAGTCATAGGTATCTCTGAAAATTATTCTCAAACTTAGAGAGATGTCAGGGGCTAAGCTAGTATAACAGCATACTAAGATATTCATTTTGATGCCCAGAATAACTATAGATCACAACTATAGAACTTTCTAGACAGAAATGGCAAGTAATTTTAAGTTAAATAGACAATGCAAGTATATAAAGATTATATGTATATACATATATATCTGTTATTAAGAGAGTGGCAACAGTCATATAACTTGTAGCCTTGCAACAGATCAATTATCCAGTGCCAAAAATATTGATACATAAGTAACAACTAAGTACAATACAATATAATTTCACAAATACCCAAAACTGTACAAAATCTCAAGAAATTCCTAATAAGAACTAAATTTTAGTCTTTGTAGATAAATTAAAATCTAAAACTTGCAAAATATTTTTGCAAGTAACTTTACAAGTAAAATTCCTCTTTGTAAATTAATAAAATGCAAAAATAATAAAATTATAATAGTAACTTTGCACATCTAAAACAATACAAAATATGCAATTAACTAATACAAACAAGATTTCTGTCTTTGTAGATAAATAGGTTTAAAAGAAGATGAAAATTAATATCAGAAAGACCTATATATGAAATTAAATCAATGTACTGATTACTAATCGGTGGATACTTCTTCATATTTTATATCTGGATTTATTCTTTGTTAGTCACCAAGTCTTGACAATATTCTACTCACCAATTTAGTTCCTGCCGTCAATGCAAATGTATCTTCTTTCTTGCCGAGCAAACCTGAAAATGTTTACCACATAGTGGTATAGACGTTCTCTCGTGAGACTTGGAAACATTTGGCGGACTCCGAAGAGCCCTGGGATGGGATGGGATCAAGGATAGGATGGGTGGGACCGGGAGGCTGCGAGCGACCACGGTGCAGCGGATACCTCCACTACACCACCATCTTCACTTAAAAGTATACTTTACAAACTAATATTATAAAAAACTTGTAAAATTCCAAATATCTCATTTTCTTTTGTACATCACAGAAGCTCCTATAGACACCGCTTGGGGCGCCCGCAGCTGAGATCAATATACTAAGTTATTCTCTGTACAAACATATATAATATTCCAATCGTTCAACAGTCGGCTCACAAGTCACCGTATCGTTAATTTTTATTCTACATCTAGGTGATTGAGGTCGCCCGGTGCTCAATTCATTATTTTTTTTAAAGCTCTGTGACAGCGAGTCGGGGCGCGGGTGGTCGGCGCGAGGGTCTCGCTGATGCAGCAGGCGGCCTCACAAATAAAAATACATTGGTCTCGAGATAAATAAAACGATACGACTAGCGGGGCTCGCCCCGGCCCGGCGGCGCGGCCCGACGCCACACTCTACAAAAATATAATATACGTCTCATTTAAAAAATAAAATGGAACGTGCGTGAACCTTGCAACGGCAAGCACGCCGGCCGCACCGCGCCCTCCGGTAGTGTAAATTAACATACATCAGTCCGAACTCTCAGAAACAAAGGATACTCTTACTGGGGCCGGAGGGCGCGGTGCTGCCTGGCCGGTTTTTTAAAAAAATCACAGAAGCGCCTTAGAGCCGCTTGAGGGTGCAAGGCGATAGCGGCGGGCCGTGGCCTCCGGGCGCCGCGCCACCCGGGGCCCGCCACTGTAACCTCGATCGTCACCGTTATTTTTTTTTTGTATTTTTATCGCATTTTAGAAGGAAAACGATCGCTGCGACAGTGGCGGAGCCCCGGGGGGCGCGTCTGCACTTAACTACTAAAATTTTCACAAAATAATACCTAACGCCGGAATTTAGTCGACGCCGAGGCGGAGTCGCATGGTGGCACTGGGCGACGCCGCCCCTGACGTATAGACGACGCGCATCGCGTTACGAAATAAAAAACTTAGCACAAGAGAGGCGGGAGCGCAGCCCCTCGGCGGGTTGCGGCGTCGGGCTGCGCCCCCGGGCACTAACACTAGAGTCCATAGAGGGTGATGTCTACGCCGAGACGCTGACGTTGAGAAGAAGTTTGAGCGGCAGCGCACGGTCGGGCTCGGGACGACAGCGGCCCTCGCGGCGCCAGTGAGTGGGCGGCGGAGGCAAGGCGGCCGCCGCGGGCGCTGCGCCCCACTTGCTGCCCGCATAACGCTCTTCACGCCGTTCCCGTTCCCGCTCGCGCCTGGCGCCCAAGGCTGCCGCTTGAAGGGCAGCTCGGGAACAGCGTCTTCGCCCCCTCACTTGCTGTTGCCCCTGGGAGTTCATTTCCCCGGCACGATTACTCTTATGGATCTCGATACAACTATTACGGACAGTTCACTTATCACTTGAGCGGTAGCTATGCTCGTGACGCCCTCAAAGCAGAGCGCGACTCGACTCTTAACAAGATGGTTGCCGTGGGCGCACACACTCCTAGACTCTCAATCCGCCGTATTTCGGCCTCGAACCGCTGTCGATCTACGCGGATGACACGTTGAAACACTGTACTGCTTCACTTTCACGACTGGACGGTCGATGGTCGCACTGCTAACTCCGGTGATAATCGATTAATTGGAAATAATAACATGGACGCCACCTTTCCATTATTCGCACCTTCACCTCTCGATTTCGACTACGTGACGTCGATGGCGCTCACGGTTTATATACCGTAATGGCGGATGCGCGACTTAACTTCGGAGTGGGGATATAAAGCTGGCCATTGATGGTTCGACTTGCGTGACCTATAAAAAGACTTGTAATTACCTAATGACTACTTTATCTTTATGTAACGAACATATAATGATAATTTTAATGTTACATCCATATAAATAACCTTAATAAGCCTTTCGGTTTAATTATTTCTACATATAAATTGAATATTTAATAAAACAAATATGAAATATGTAAGGAGTATTTCTTTATATTTTAACATTTTTTGTTTGTTTAATTGAAATGTAATCCTGAATTGCAAAACTTATTTTTAAATGTATTATCAAGTAATTATAATTAAATATATTAAAATCTATTTCATCCAAAAAATGTATTACAATTTCATTCTATTATGGTCTTTTTCTTTGATAACTTATTTGTAATATTTTCCTCCTATCAAAATCACAATTTTATCATAATTTATAACAAAATATGAAATAAAATTAATTATTATAATACACCGTCGCGTGTTCATGCCCAGCCTTAGCTACGTGAGCCTATTGCCGCGTAGCTGGTTGCGTGAAAAAAACGACAAAAACAAGGAGGTTGGCGTATAACCCGACCAAATACAGTTGTCAATAAACACAAAGACATCCATTACACCACAGATACTCCTCAATTTAGTCGTATTATAGCAAATGGCCGATGTTATGATATTTCGGTACAAAGCTATATGCGATAAGATTTCTGTTTTGCTTTTGTAATAATTTGATAAAATATTATTTTTTTATTATAATATAATTATACATGGCGTATCATTATCTGTTATTGCGTATTAAAATAACATTTACTAGATATTATGATGTCAAATTGTATAAGGCAATTTTGTCTTTAGTATAGTATAATCGTAAACAACGCTTTTAATTTGGTATCATTGTTTTTTAATATAATTATGTTAAAAATACTATAAATATTAATTTCTTTAATTAATTAAATCTTATTAATTAATTATATCTGCTCTTTCTTAATAAGTAATAAATTAATCGCTAATAAGGAACTTAAATTAAGACTTAGGATAAACTATGGTAGTCGAAATTACTTTTAAGGTATCGTAATAAAAAAGAAAAAAGCTCTTTATTTTTAAACTACAATAAAACAAGGTTTTTAACTATTATTATTTAAATACGCTTTAAAACATTTAAGCCCCTTTAAATAAATCCTTTCTTTTAAACTGTATATGATAGCGTGGTTTCTCATGAAATACTTCAATTTAGGCATTATTATGAAATTTTATTACAGGCTTACAGTTTACGACATGTTTTTGTAAAAGAAAGTATTAGAAATTGTAAAGAGTTAACAATTGCAGTTTTAAAAATGAGATTATATCTAATAGGATTATACTTATTGCTTGTTCATTAAGTTATTATTGCAATAAGCTTATAAATTCCAGTAAAAAGTATTTATTCCTTTCATTTTACAGGTAAAATATGAAAAGTATTTATTATATCGACAAAATGAATTATACTTATTTATGATTGTAGTAATTTCCAAATTATTTATACGTAATTTTTACAGCTCATAATGAGTACAAGGGAAGTAAATTAAATTTGAATCTTTATTTAAAATCAAGTAAGAATATTTTCTGATTTAAATCGACGTTGTACGTAAATTAATTCCCTTTGCCTAGTTAGAAAAGTTTTAAAAAGGATCCCACGCGTCATCCATCTCTATCGATCGTTTGTTATACACATAACAGAGAGAGCGAGACAAAACATCATTGTATCCCTCGTCTATCTCTTTCAGGTTTACGTACTTGTGATGAGTGTAAGCGAGATAGAAAACGAAACATCAGCTGTCCGTAGAAACAGGTTGCACAGCTGAATACAACGTCCGGGATGTGTGAGTTTTTTTTCGATTAAAATGTTTTTTACTTAAAAAATAAGATTGAAAGGAATTTTCTGTTTTATATATTAATTTTAGCATTTTTAATACAATTTTAGAGTTTTTGTTATAATTTATTTAGTATATGTACTTTTTAATAAGACATAGTATTGATTTCATTGTGTTCAATATTGAAAAAGTAGTTTTAATTACTCTTCATTTCATTGAAAATCTAAGTTATTTTTATGTCGGCTTCTGAAAAGGTATTTTTTAGGTCGAGATACAAGCTAATACTTGACATAAATAGTTTTTTTGAGTTGATATTGTATACAAAAAGGTTAAATATAGTTCGCAATTAATTTCTTTTGATCATGAAAAACTAATAAGTTAAGTATGTGTTATTATTATTTAAATTAGTATTTATTTTCCTATAGCGTTTGATATGTTGGCAACCGGAGGTTCCAGGAAAACTACGAAACTTATATGTACATATATGTATGTATATTATAATAAGAACTACATATTAAAACTTATAACCTACACCTAAGACTACATGATTGACCCGATGTTATGATAGCAATACCATTCCATAGCTTGTGTGGTGTTCTTATCTTTTTACTATATTTTCGGAGATTCTAGAAAGTTCCATAACAAATTAATACTTCTCAATAAAATCTTAACTTTATTTATAACTCTAAATACTTATTATTATCGTTCATTGTTTTTTTTCAATGAAAATAATTTGATAATTTGATTTACAATCTTTTTGTTACGTCAATAGATATTTTTGCGAGTGAAACATACTTATGTCTGAATTGATGATTAATATATTATTATCTTTATCATTTCCTGCGGTATTGATAAGCTAAATAAAATAAATATCTTGTATTATATAGTCTTTGTGAAGTCACTCTGACGTGTGATGATTGTTGTTTTAAATAAATAAACAAACAAGTATATTTAGATAATGAAATTATATATCTTCTTCTACCTGGCAATTTCCCCGCTTTAGCCAGGGTCTGCCTTACATGTTGTGAATAGTTTTGGCTAATTGTTTTTTACGACCGGCCGCCTGCCTGACATCAACCCTCTTTGGGAATGCATTAATCAGTGATGTCTAAATACTCTTATAAAGTACATATGACTCGGAACAATCACATTGGTACTTGCCAGGATCGCACCCGCGCCCTCATGCATGAGAGGCGGGCCTATTAACCACTAGACCACCACTGACATATATGCAATTTAAAGAAAAGTTCAAAGTAAGAATCCTCAGAAAATACTAAAAACTGTTACGTACGCGCTACATATTAAAAAATAAATGAACATCGCCGGGGCGACATCGTTGTATGAATAAAATATATAACTCTTGACGCCGCTGACTCCGCGGAACGAACACCAAGCGTGTGAACCAGAAGATTCCTGATACACACAAGCTATGGAATGGTATTGATATCATAACATTGGAACAATCATGTAGTCTTAGGTGTAGGTTATAAGTTTTAATATGTAGTTCTTATTATAATATACAGACTGATAAACGTTGAAGGAATATGAATAAACCTGAACTTATAATATCAAATTTTAAAATTGTAATCACCAACCCGTTTTGAGCGAGCGTGGTGATTAATGCTCAAACCTTCTCCATGTGAGAAAAAGGCATTACAGCAGTGGGCTCTGATAGGCTGATGATGATGATGATGTTGATGACGACAAATAAATAAGTTTCTTAAACTTGTAAATGTTTTTACGGCTCTAGATACGAGTCCCTTTGATCCTAAATTCGTTACTCTCCTGGAACATCTGGTTGCCACCCTATATAAATACTCAATAATAAATTAAAATCAAACACTATAGGAAAATAAATATTTATTAATATAATTTAAAAGTAAGACTTTAAATCCTATTTTCTGATTTAAGGTATGTAAAGTATAATTCATAATTTCATATTATTATAATTTATAAATTTTGTTTCATTCTATGTTTCTAGACGTTATAAATATGTCAAAGTCATACAACTATTTGACAAATGTGAAAAATATTTTTAAGCCTGCACATATTCGCAATTTTAGAGAAATGCGAAGGGAATTTATACTTATTTTGTTAGGTATAATTAGTGTTTCAACCCTGTCGTCCTTATTGACAACTTATGTTCAAGTAGAAGCGGATAAATTACTTTTAGACACCGTGGTAGGTGTTGTGGGTGCTGGTAACTTTTCATATTGGCAATTAGGGCATTCTGGACCCCTTCTAGTTGAATTAACGTCTCTTTCCGGTGATGCAGACCTTTATGTGTCTGATTCACTCAGGTAAGTTGCAATAAATCTTTTATATCAGTGATAGAATTATAGTTTACAAAAGACGAATATTTTGTATGCATTAAACTTTTTTTGATCTTAATCGTAGTTGAGTATCAGCTTGCTGCTTCAAAAGAATTCTATTTGAAAACATTTATTCATATATTTATAGGCTTAATCAAAATTATGCGTTAATCAGCCAAAAATAAATATAATATATTACAAAACTATTTTAACTTTTTACATATTTGTTTCATAAAATGTAATATTTCTTGTTCTTGTTTAAGACCTAGTTACGAGGTTGACAAAAACAACTTCAGCTCAGCGACTTGTGGAGCCGACACTGTCAGTATACCCGCTGAATTCCCAAGACCCATAGGTAAAATAGATTTTTAATAATATTCTATTTCTTATACTTCTTATAGTAGAATAGTATTGAATTCAGTTGTGTCCTAGTGATTAAAGGTCTGCTTCTCATACATGAGGGCGCGGGTTCGATTCTGGCAAGTACCAATGAGATTTTTCTAGTCATATGTACTTTATAAGAGTATTTAGACACCACTGACTGATAAAGAAAAACATTGTGAGGAAACCTGGACTTATATCAAATTATAAGTTTGAAATCACCAACCCATCTTGAGCAAGTGTGATTAATGCTCACCAGTGGGCTCTGGTAGGCCAATGTTAATAATAGATAATTATTTAATATATCGTTCTAGGTATCGGTGTGTTTGGCGACTGGTCAAATAAAGTTTCGGAGTACAGCATTCAGGTGTTCCTCGATACATCGACTCTGGTGAAGGAAGACTCCGTTGTAGAACATGCAAAGATCAACACTGAAAAAACCGGTGGGTGAATGTGGGATTGGGTATTGGGTTGTAAGTGAATGTGATTTATTATAAATTATATGTATGGGGAGTGTAATCTATAAATACATTTTGATAATTTATCGAAGATTGCGTACTATACTCATTTTGTCATACAAATATATATACTAGCTGACCCGGTAAATGTTGTTTTGACATATAAAAAATAGGGGTTAGTGATAAAAAGTAGAAATTTTGAGTTGTATGTAACTGCTATAATGAATAACCCTTATGACTTAGGGGTATGAAAAATGATGATGATGATGATGGCCGATTCTCAGATCTACTCAATATACTCCAAAAATTTCCTCAAAATCGGTCCAGCCGTTTTGGAGGAGTTTTCTGTCTAACACCGCGACATGAGAATTTTTATATAAGATTTTAAATGAAACAAATATTTTTTATTACGCGTTATTTTATTATTTTGAATTACATACTCCCGACGTTCTGCATATCTTGCAGCAACCGTGATTGCAGGCAGACTAGATATTATTATTATAGTAATCCTAAAATATTAGTTTCAAATGATACCAATATTTTCGTATGTACTACGCGATTTTTTATTATAAACTACATACCCCCGACGTTTCGATTACTTTAAAGCAACTGTGATTATTAAGATGAGATGTATTAAAGTCAAAAATAAAAAAAATCATAGCAAATCCGAAAATATTGGTTTCATTTAAATGAATACTCACGAAAATCTCAGATCTCATTATATCAAGATTTTGTCATACATACAAATTTTGGTTCTTAAATAAAAATTCATACATAATTGAATGAAAAACTTATATGTACAAGATGGTTTAATCCACAACTTTATTTATATTTTCTCCCAGGCTTTCTTATATAGGCTATTGTGTACATCAAAACCTGGATAATCAAACTATTCTGTTATTTACAAATTGTTTTATTTCAGAAGTCCCCAACAAAGCTCCGGTCAAGGAAAAGCTGAGTACAAAACGTGGTGATGATGAGCGTCCCAGACTTGTGAAGTTTCTTAGCGTTTTGGACATGATCGTTGAGATGTTTTTCTTATAGTTGACTTTAATCATCACAACGAGGAGCCTGGTCACATTCTGATCAAATCTAGTCATTTATTGGTCTTAAAATTACATAAATCTCTCCAGAATTTTGTTAAATTATTAGTTTGTGTACTATTTTCTTAGTTTCAAGAATGTTTTTGAGTTACTAAATGTATAGATTATATTTGAATTGATTTAAAAATAACAATGTGTAATTACTATGTGTAATGTATGTTATTTATAATTGAAAAATTATTTCAATTAAAGGAATTTTATTTATATACTTCATTAAAAATTAATTCAATCCATATGTATAATACATATTTGTATTATTTAAACAAATAATTCTATTTAGTTTTGATTCTTCTTTCTGGCAATTTCCTAGCTTTAACCAGCGTCTGTCTTAAATATTGTAAATATACTCTATGGGAATGCAATATCAGCACACTTGCTCAAGACGGGTTGGTGATTTAAAACTTATAATTTGATATAAGTCCAGATTTCCTCATGATGTTTTCCTTCATCAGTCAGTGGTGTCTAAATACTCTTATAAAGTACATGTGACTCGGAACAATCACATTGGTACTTGCCAGGATCGAACCTGCGCCCACATACATGAGAAGAGGACCTTTCAACCACTAAAATTTAGTTTTATTTAATTTTGATTACCATAATCAAAGTACATATATTGTTATGTACTAATTCAATTTTTTTGCATATATTTTGTAAAAAAACCATGAGTATTAAGATAATGCAACAATAAAACAGAAAATAAACATTTAAATAATTTATTTAAATAAAAAAAAACCTAAAATAATTTTTGAACACATTTAAATACAGACAAAATACTTTAAAAACTTAATAAAATTATATTATCAGATCTTTGATTTTAATTCGTTCTTAAAATTCTAAGTGACTAACAATTATGCATTTCTTACTATTAGTAATCGGCTAAAAATACATAGTGCTAGTAGTGAAAAAGCTTAACCGATTTTGATAAAATTCACTTTATATATGCAATATTCAGTTTTAAGTCATGTAGTTATATTTTTGTGCATTTATTAATAGATTATTTAGCACAGAAACTACAAATAGGTTATAAGTTGCAGATATAATATCTGTTTTGCTGGCAAAGTAAAAAAAATTGTTAAATTCACCTAAAAAATTTGTATTAGTCACACTTTAGTCATGAATCGGTGAATTTTCTACTTCATATTAGTCTACTTAGATGTATGTTCTTGTAGTCTACTCGACCTTCGATAGTCTACTAGATTAGTATGATGGTCTTCTCGGTCTATTCAACCTTCTCGGTCTTTTTGTTGGCTTTTGCAGCTGCTAACCTCTCCTTACATTCTTGATAAACGTCGTCCAAGTCAAAAGCGGCCTTCATATTGTCTTTCGAGAAGAGGAACCTAAAAATTGGAAATACAAATATTAGTTACTTACTACCTAATAGCTTTCCGCCAACAGCTTCAACAGCGTGGAGTTCGGTTATATCGCGTTTCCAAGAGAACCTTCCAAAAGTCTGTGATAAAAACTATCCTATGTTCTTTCTCGAGTTCAACTCTATCTCTGTACCAAATTTCATTAAAATCAGTTCAGTGGTTTAGGCGTGAAAGTGTAACAGACAGACAGAGGTACTTTCGCATTTATAATATTAGTAGGGATTAGGACAACATTTCTGATTGAAGTTTATTAAATACTTTGTATACTTTCTTATTCATGTAATTTTTCTATTTATGTATTCGCGAAAAGAACGTAGTGATGATAGATACGGTCCCTTGGGAAACCATTATCCCCAAAGACTATACCATCAAGGTCAATAAATATTACGAGCTCACTAACGAACTCACTCGAAATAGGTTCGTCGTGGATTTGTACGCGTTAGAGGTGGGAGCGAGAGGTATAACTGCTAAATCTCTCTACAGCATACTTAAAGACTTGGGCTTGTCCAGAACTAACATTAATGCATTCTTGGAAAGTACTTCAAAGGCAGCCCTAGTAGGTTTGTAACAAATTTGGTAGAGAGAGGAGCTTGTACGGTGGAGGTGATTGTTTAACGTTAGAGAGGGTCTTAAACCTACACCTGGGTCACAAGTCCCAGTCACTGTTGAAGCTCCTCTCACTACAACGATGGACCCGACACACGCACCGTGAATACATTGAATGATGCGAGGTTTCGTCTCTATATTTCTTATTGGACTTACTTCTGTAATTTCCCAGTAGAATCAGCCTGCGGTCTTCTTATCTGTTCTTTCCCTTCTTTAATTAATAACACAGTGGGGAGTTGACGACTGGTTGGTCCATCTTGAATCCTATATTTGGCGGCCACTTCTGGATATCTGATAATGAAATATTAAGGCAATATGAGAACTATTATTCTTATGGTCTAATTATTTAATGTTCACTGTAACCGTATATATATATATATATATATATATATTTGTAAGGGTATTATATAATTAGTTTTCTATTCTATATTACAATTTTATAATCCCTACTAATATTATAAATGCAAAAGTAACTCTGTCTGTCTGTCTGTTACGCTTTCACGCCTAAACCACTGAACTGATTTTAATGTAATTTGGTACAGACATAGAGTTGACTTTGAGAAAGAACATAGGATAGTTTTTATCTCAGACTTTTGAAAGGTTCTCTTGGGAATGCGATGTAACCGAACTCCATGCGGGCTAAGCTGTGGGCGGAAAGCTAGTAAATGATATATTAATGTATACCTTCCGATATCCAATTTCCCAAACTTCAGATTATCAAGACTGTAGCTAGCTGATAGTTCAGCAAAGACAGGTGCGAAGTTAACACAAGCGGGATGCCAAGCCGCGTACAAGCAGACGAGCCAGGTAGTGTTCTTATTGCGTTTTAACTCCTCATCCAATACTTGAGTCCCTCGGAAGTATGTGATCAGTTCCGGGCCCGCATACGTCGGTTCAGGTAAGATGAGCGAGAATAGGATAAGGAGAGCTCCAAAAGGAAGGCCGTATCTGAAATAAATGAATCATAATTTATATTTCTTAATATTAACTTCTAAGATCTAAGATTCTGAGGTCTAAGATTTTTGCGAGTATTCATTTAAATGAAACTAATATTCTCGGATTTACTATGCGATTTTTATTTTTGATTATAAACTATACAGGGTGACTGGTGAATTACTATCAATATTTAAGGAGCATACTCGGTACATGATTCTCATTCGAATTATGTAAAAAAATAGGTACTTAATTTTTGATCAAATTTCCATATAAATAAATAAAGTGTGTACACGTTCCAAGTGTTCCTAGTGTGGACGCGTGCGGCGGCGTGCTGATACAACAACATGCCGCCGCGCGCGTATGTGTGAGTGTGTAGTGTAGAGTAATCTGTAGGGTGTTCATACGATGCGTAATTAATTACACAACTTTTGGTTAACTTTACTTAGAAGTTTATTAATATTTATGTTATATTAATTTTTATTTTGTCATATATGATCGTCAAATATCACGTCCTCAAGTATCGATAGTAATTCACCAGTCACCCTGTATACTCCCTACGTTTCGGTTACTTTACAACAACTGTGATCATTAAGACGACATGTTAAGACTAATATTCTGAATTTTTATTAATTTTATTTAATAAATAGATTTTTTATTAATGAATAGCAAAATAATCTAATCCTTACCTTATATCCGCGTATAACCACAATATTAAATTTGCGATCTTAGTGTACACAAATGACGATGATAGATAATTGACCATGGTAACACTTCCGGCTTTTCTTGTTCTCAGCATCACGACAATCATTAAGAAGAATAATATTTCCGTTTCCCGACTGTCCAATTCGCATTCCGAGCCAGGAAATAATGAATTACATATCAAAGAAGTTCTCTTTGATATAACGTATGAAACACTCAGTAGAATGTTAACCCAGTAGTAAGGTTTTAGTAATTGCTTTAAATCTTGATGAAACGACATATTTAATATAGTAATTTATTAATAAAGTTATTTATTTTAGATGTCTCCTTGCTTTTATAATGAGACGACCCAAGTATGACATTTGACAGTTAGTGATCAAAACGACTGAACGTTCAAAAATATCGAACTATTTTCAAGTAGCTCATAATAAAGTTAAATAAATTCTCTGAAAAATTTATTTAGTGTAACAAATATTTGAAATTAAGTTTTGTTTGTTACAATTACCTTGAGAATAATAAAATTGTCATGAATTAAAATCAGTGCCATAATAATATTGATAATTTACAAACTCATTAAGGCTTTTAATTAATTGTTTCTTTGTATATTTACTTAATTGGACTTAAAAAATAGTCATTAGGAGTTGTTAAAAACACCAAATGGACTGAAAGTATTAAATGTATTTCAGCGTCTCTTATTATTATGTAATTATAGTACGATTTTATTCACTCAGCCTTTTTTGTTTAAATGAAGATATAAAATAAAATACCACTTTTAAATCCCTTATAACAATTCTCAAAAATTTCAGTAAATCAATTAATAAAAAGATGTAAACAGTTTTTTTGTATCTGATTGTTAAAAAGCGATAATATATATCGTATCGATAACTGGGTTAAATGAATTGAAACAAACGTCAAAATGACAGAGGCAAGCATGTTTCTTTCCTTTAAATGTATTGAGGTGTAGGCCAGTGCAGATGCCTTTAAAAACAATGAAAAGTGAAAATAAATTATAGTAGAAAGAAACTCATTAGAAAAGGAGGGGAATATTATAAAAATTAAAGGAAAAATAATGTACGGGCGATCTGAGGTCGGGAAGGGTATGGGGCGGGTATTTAAGGGTAAAAAATGGGTTTTCTAGATTTCCGACAAAACTAAAAGTCCTACGGAAAAAAGTTATATGGCAAATTTGTGGGTGATAAAAAGATCTAAAACTTTTGTACTAACATTTTTTTCACATAAAATCAAAATTGATGTGAAAAATTCGAAAAATCAAGTTTTTTGTTTTTTATTTTTATCTCTTCCAAAAAACAATTATTTGTCACGAAATTTGGTGCAAACTTTCCTTTTGATGTTCCAAATGCACTGTAATTTATATGATAAGAAATATTTAGTTTTTCAGCTTATTTTGAATAAATAATAATAATAATAATAATAATCTTTATTTCAACCAATCTGATCATATTTACAAAATTGTTAGTATGGTGCACTCCTTAACCTATTGTTAGTAAAAAAAAAAAAAAAGAAACTACATAACTTAAAATTATAGTGTTACAGTACCTTTCTGACATGATTTGTTTGTCAGCACATGGACCATACGCAATGGTTCAAGTACTGACAATCAAACCTGTCAGAAAACGCTACTAGGATGCTGTTAGAACTGGCTCGAACCCTACGCACCAGGGATGCACACCGTTTACGCATGGTCGCGTAAAAGCAGTCCACATTCGCCTCGGCGAACATCCCAGACGCGCTGCAGAATCGAGGCAGCCCCATCAGCAACCTAAAAGCGTTGTTGTACTGCACACGTAAGGCGTTGTACTGTTTTTGCGAATAATCAATCCACAGGCTGCTCGTGTAGAAGGATGTACAGAAGGCTCTAAAAAGAGTTATTTTAACAAGTGAAGTACAACGAGCAAACCTGCGTGCGATCATGTTCGCTCTAACAGACAACGCCCTGCGTTCTCGCTCGATGTCCGCATCGTCCTTCAGGTCAAAGGATAGCACATGCCCTAGATATTTAAATTGATTTACCCTGTTCAATGGGGCGCCGTCTAGTTTTATCAACGGTATCGTTGAGGGCAGTGCTTTTCCTTCAGCCTTGAAGATCATGTATTCACTTTTACATACATTATAGACAAGACCATGATTGCGAGCATAGTTCATGCATATGTCCAACAGCTTCCCTATCCCACACGCCGAGGCACTCAGCAGCACCATGTCGTCTGCGTAGCTGATATTGTTGATATTCACTCCATCAATATGGCATCCGGCACGCGTGCTGCTGAGCTCCTCTATTAAAGCGTTAATGTACAGGTTAAAGAGCTTAGGTGAGGTTAATCCACCCTGTCTCACGCCGCATTCCAACCTGTACGGGGACGAGAAACTATTTGACCATCGCACGACGTTCGACTGGTTTCTATACCAAAATTTAAAGATATTGTTTACTCCTTCCGGAATACCAGTATCCCGCATCTTTTTCCACAGGATATCATAATGTACCAAGTCGAACGCCTTGGATAGGTCGAGAAAACATGCATAAACTGGTGTTTTTCGCTGCGTATAGTACCTGACAGTCTGCTTGAGACACAAAATGGCAGACTCAGTGGATAGTCCTGGCCTGAATCCGAACTGATTGTCATGTGGTTTAATATAATGGTCAAGTTGCATATCAAGCAGACCATCAAGCACCTTAGCTGTAACGGTAGCAAGAGAAATCGGCCTGTAATTGGACTTGTCAGAAACGTCACCCGTTTTGTTCTTCACGATAGGCACAACCATAGTTTTCATCAGAGCTGCCGGCAGGTAAGAATGTGTAATACATAGATTATAAAAAGTCGCAAGCAGTGCCGGAAGCAAGGGGCCAGCGTGCTTTAAATGCTCTATACTAAGCCCATCATGGCCTGGGGACTTACCACGCGACATTGAGGTAATAATCTTGTTTACGTCCTCAGATGTAAAACAAATTCCGATCCCCCGGTCACTCGATGCTTCCCCTACCTCTGACTGTGAAGAACCTAACGGGGACCTTACAGCAAAATGATCCCTAAACGTATTAGCAATGAGACCATGTTCGCTAATGCCATCGACGCTCACAGGAAGACTCATTCCGCTATTAAATTTGTTAGTAGCCTTCCAGAATTGTCTAAAGTCATGCTTGAAGTGATGCGAAGCCAGGATATCCATTTTTATCTGCTCGGCGTTGTTTTGGCACCACTTCAAACGGGACTTGAAAATACTCCGGCTACTTCGCATTTCCTCGTACACACGACCTTTCATTGGCTTACCGTACCATACCCAGACTAAAAACGCAGATCTAGCCTCCCTGTGAGCCTCGCGTACATGTCTGTTCCATCCAACCACCGGCCGCCCTCTAAAACACCTGTTTGTGCGGCTAGACTCCGAGGCGGCATTAGTTAGAATATATATAATGTCACTATAGAGCTTATCTATATACATATTGTGAGTTACATTTTTACACAAATAATTACAGCATTTAATTTCATTACACAATTCTAAGGTACTTAATTTCTCGTGACATAGCTTACTATATAAGTTTATCTGTTCCGGCTTTTTGTCGCCCCATAGTATATCTTTCGCAATTATGTTCGAGTTACATATAAGTTTTGGTTTAACCGCCCCTAAGTCACACTCTATTATCAGGGGATAGTGGTCCGACCAAAACACGTCATACTTAACATAAACATAACAAATGAAGCTAGCGCAGACATGGTGGCTATACAGTGGTCTAACCATCGTCTCGACCCATGGGCCTCACTAATAAAAGTATATGTATCTGACGAAGGGCCTAAAAACTGTACATCCGCACACGTCCATTCTAACTCATTACAAAAACTTATAAGTTCGTTGTAAAACAGTTCATTTATATGTGAGTTATAGTCTCCGAGAGCATATACTGACTCGATATTTTCATTTTTAACGATAGCACTCACCGAACTGAGGCAATCCGTGAAATCCGGAACGTTTATCAGTTTATCCGTTGGCATATACACACTAAACACTAGTAATGACCTTTGGTGTAACACTATCTTTATAGCACAGACTCTAGGGTTGTCACAGCGCACTACAGACACATTTTGGAACACACTTTTCCGCCAAAGCAGGGCTACACCTCCATAAGGCCTGCCTCGCAACAGACCCGCCTCGGTGTCTACTGCCGATGTGCCCGTACAGCCGAAATCCGTATCAATGGTATTAAGAGACGATAGTTCATGTGGAAGAGTCCACGTTTCTTGCAATGCGACTATATCTGAAGTCAAACAAAGCTGTCTTACATTTTCCATTGATCGTTTTAAACCTTTACAGTTAAAACTTACAAATTTATTTATCTGCCGAATACCGAAAAGTCAGTCTCATTTTCAATCGAAATAACACCTGTCAAAATATCATCTTTTTTCAAAAATTTAGTGTGTTTTCTGTTTGTTGAAATCTCTTTTTTCCGATGATGAAGAAAAAAATATAAGTTTCTTACTTATAGTACCACTAGCTTTCCGCCCGCAGCTTCGCCGCGTGGAGTTCGGTTATATCGCGTTTCCAAGAGAACCTTTCAAAAGTCTGGGATAAAAACTATCCTATGTTCTTTCTCAAGGTCAACTCTATCTCTGTACCGAATTTCATTAAAATCAGTTCAGTGGTTTAGGCGTGAAAGCGTAGCAGACAGACAGACAGACAGACAGACAGACAGACAGACAGACAGACAGACAGACAGAGTTACTTTCGCATTTATAATATTATATATTAGTAGGGATTTTTGGATAAAATAATCATGTCTCTTTTAATGAAATGACACTTGACATCGTTTTGAAAATGCTCTTTCTAATTTATTTCTAATAGTTTTAGCAGCTTAATGTCAATTTTCTGTAAATTACCTAAAAGAGGGACTATCTGGAGAACTTCCAGAGTAGACTACTATTAAAAATAAATTAGAAAGAGCATTTTCATTAAAGATATTTTAACATCATACCTAAGTTCATACTATTACGTGAGGAGATTCATATATTATGAAATACTGAACACGGTCTGTATGTAGTGTAACGATAGTAACTCGTCACTCATGGTAAGGATCTTTTTTAGTTCGACGCTCTGTTCTTAATGTGTGAAAATAATTATGTATTTTCCAATAGTTTCATTAAAAATTTATTAAATTGTTACAAGTGGCGTGGTGACTGATTAATGATTATGACTAATAAGCGTGAATTAATCTACCTGTGGATATTTAAATAAAAGTTAGAACTAATAATATAAGTAGCTATTAATTATGCCTAAACCAATATTTGTAATAAATTATAATACTAATTTTATAGTGTGGCACACCGTAGGTTCTAGGAAACTACGAAACTTACTTATATATTATAATTATTATAATAAGAACTACATATTAAAACTTATAATCTACACCTAAGACTACATGATTGACCCGATGTTAGGATAGCAATACCATTCCATAGCTTGTGTGGTATCAGGAATCTTCTGGTTCACACGGCTTGGTGTTCGTTCCGCGGAGTCAGCAAAATTACTTATTACTCGTTATATATTTTATCCATACTACGGTGTCGCCCCGGCGATGTTCATTTATTTTTTAACATGAAGCGCGTACGTAACATACTGAACCATTGTGATGTATCAACATGAGCATCAACTAGTGTCTGTAAACTATACATAATGGCTTCACACATTCTGTTACATGACTGGGAGTAACGAACATTGAGAATTAACACTGAAACTGTACCGAGAACAATATTTTACTCAGTTCCTCCCATAAAACCTTCTCACAACAAAATCTTCCACTACGGTAGTCCACACACAAACACATATACATCTTCTTCTTCCTTGCAACTTCCCAGCTTTAGCCAGGGTCTGCCAAACACACACATATATATATCAAAATAAAACATCTCATGTATTGGTTAATACTATTAATTTATTGATAGCTAACTTATAAGCTATATGAAAAGCGTGACATTAAATAATAACCCCAGCGAGGTGATCTCCTCATCCTCCTAGTGTGTTAAAGCATCAATCAATGTAGCGTTCACATCAACCCATCCTCGGTCTTCCCATTCCTCGACCAGGCATCTGAGGTTCCCCGCTCTTGGCATTCTTGATTGTCTCATCGATGGAAAGGATCTGTGGGAAAAATATTATTGTAATTATTAATTATTTTGTAAGTCAGTCAGGCATGAGGGCGCGGGTTTGATCCTGGCAAGTACCAATGTGATTGTTCCGAGTCATATTTACTTTATTGAAGCAATATTTTTTTGAACCGACAATAATTGATTTCATATGATCTATAAAGAAATGGTTTAAAAGATTTGAAGTGTCTTTTCAATCAGTTCATAAGTTGTCACAGTAAGGACAGGTTGGTGCGTAGAGTTTCTAAATTGTTATTGAATATTATTGAAAAAACTTCTTATAATTATGAACAAGGTTGCGTTAAAAGTTCAACGCTCGTGGGAGGGGGAATAGAAAGAACCGGAGCAAGAGTAAATGGCTGAGTCAATTGTGAATATTAAGAGATATTTATAAAGATAATCTTACTATTTAAATTTCAACATTACAATGTTTCAGAGACTATTTTGTCAAGATATATACATAATATCTATTACAGACCTGTGCGGCTGCTTCACAGGCAGCTGTGATAGCGTTAATCTTCACTACAGCCGGCTCCCACACGCAGGCCTCAAAGTTGTCAGCTATGTCCTCCTTCTGGATGTCCACACCATACCACGGCTCACCTGGAAATATTATATACCTACATGTATGATTAAATTAATCTTGACTATATTTGGGTAATAATTGAAAAAAATATTATATTTTACTAGATTTCCGCTTGGAGTTCTGTTATGTAGCGTTTCCAAGAGAACCTTTCAAAAGTCTGGAATAAAAACTATCCTATGTTCTTTCTATGGTCAACTCGATCTCTGTACCGAATTTCATTAAAATCAGTTCAGTGGTTTAAGCGTGCAAGCGTAATTAACAGACAGACAGAATTACTTTCGCATTTATAATATTAGTAAATACTAGTGAATTCTTGAAGTGGAATTCTTATGTGAGTAACAACAAATTTGGTAGAGAAAAGTGCTTGGTCAGTGTAGGTGAGCGTTTAATGTGTTAGATAGAGACCCCTTAAACCTACACCTGGGTCACAAGTCCCAGTCACTGTTGAAGCTCCTCTCACTACAACGATGGACCCGACACACGCACCGTGAATACATTGAATGATGAGAGGTTTCGTCTCTCTATATACATATATTAAACCTACACCTGGGTCACAAGTCCCAGTCACTGTTGAAGCTCCTCTCACTACAACGATGGACCCGACACACGCACCGTGAATACATTGAATGATGAGAGGTTTCGTCTCTCTATATACATATATTAAACCTACACCTGGGTCACAAGTCCCAGTCACTGTTGAAGCTCCTCTCACTACAACGATGGACCCGACACACGCACCGTGAATACATTGAATGATGAGAGGTTTCGTCTCTCTATATATATTAAACCTACACCTGGGTCACAAGTCCCAGTCACTGTTGAAGCTCCTCTCACTACAACGATGGACCCGACACACGCACCGTGAATACATGGAATGATGAGAGGTTTCGTCTCTCTATATATATTAAACCTACACCTGGGTCACAAGTCCCAGTCACTGTTGAAGCTCCTCTCACTACAACGATGGACCCGACACACGCACCGTGAATACATTGAATGATGAGAGGTTTCGTCTCTCTATATATATTAAACCTACACCTGGGTCACAAGTCCCAGTCACTGTTGAAGCTCCTCTCACTACAACGATGGACCCGACACACGCACCGTGAATACATGGAATGATGAGAGGTTTCGTCTCTCTATATATATTAAACCTACACCTGGGTCACAAGTCCCAGTCACTGTTGAAGCTCCTCTCACTACAACGATGGACCCGACACACGCACCGTGAATACATGGAATGATGAGAGGTTTCGTCTCTCTATATATATTAAACCTACACCTGGGTCACAAGTCCCAGAACTGTTGAAGCTCCTCTCACTACAACGATCGACCAGACACACGCACCGTGAATACATGGAATGATGAGAGGTTTCGTCTCTCTATATATATTAAACCTACACCTGGGTCACAAGTCCCAGTCACTGTTGAAGCTCCTCTCACTACAACGATCGACCAGACACACGCACCGTGAATACATGGAATGATGAGAGGTTTCGTCTCTCTATATATATTAAACCTACACCTGGGTCACAAGTCCCAGTCACTGTTGAAGCTCCTCTCACTACAACGATCGACCAGACACACGCACCGTGAATACATGGAATGATGAGAGGTTTCGTCTCTCTATATATATTAAACCTACACCTGGGTCACAAGTCCCAGTCACTGTTGAAGCTCCTCTCACTACAACGATGGACCCGACACACGCACCGTGAATACATGGAATGATGAGAGGTTTCGTCTCTCTATATATATTAAACCTACACCTGGGTCACAAGTCCCAGTCACTGTTGAAGCTCCTCTCACTACAACGATGGACCCGACACACGCACCGTGAATACATGGAATGATGAGAGGTTTCGTCTCTCTATATATATTAAACCTACACCTGGGTCACAAGTCCCAGTCACTGTTGAAGCTCCTCTCACTACAACGATGGACCCGACACACGCACCGTGAATACATGGAATGATGAGAGGTTTCGTCTCTCTATATATATTAAACCTACACCTGGGTCACAAGTCCCAGTCACTGTTGAAGCTCCTCTCACTACAACGATCGACCAGACACACGCACCGTGAATACATGGAATGATGAGAGGTTTCGTCTCTCTATATATATTAAACCTACACCTGGGTCACAAGTCCCAGTCACTGTTGAAGCTCCTCTCACTACAACGATGGACCCGACACACGCACCGTGAATACATGGAATGATGAGAGGTTTCGTCTCTCTATATATATTAAACCTACACCTGGGTCACAAGTCCCAGTCACTGTTGAAGCTCCTCTCACTACAACGATGGACCCGACACACGCACCGTGAATACATGGAATGATGAGAGGTTTCGTCTCTCTATATATATTAAACCTACACCTGGGTCACAAGTCCCAGTCACTGTTGAAGCTCCTCTCACTACAACGATGGACCCGACACACGCACCGTGAATACATTGAATGATGAGAGGTTTCGTCTCTCTATATATATTAAACCTACACCTGGGTCACAAGTCCCAGTCACTGTTGAAGCTCCTCTCACTACAACGATGGACCCGACACACGCACCGTGAATACATGGAATGATGAGAGGTTTCGTCTCTCTATATATATTAAACCTACACCTGGGTCACAAGTCCCAGTCACTGTTGAAGCTCCTCTCACTACAACGATGGACCAGACACACGCACCGTGAATACATGGAATGATGAGAGGTTTCGTCTCTCTATATATATTAAACCTACACCTGGGTCACAAGTCCCAGAACTGTTGAAGCTCCTCTCACTACAACGATCGACCAGACACACGCACCGTGAATACATGGAATGATGAGAGGTTTCGTCTCTCTATATATATTAAACCTACACCTGGGTCACAAGTCCCAGTCACTGTTGAAGCTCCTCTCACTACAACGATCGACCAGACACACGCACCGTGAATACATGGAATGATGAGAGGTTTCGTCTCTCTATATATATTAAACCTACACCTGGGTCACAAGTCCCAGTCACTGTTGAAGCTCCTCTCACTACAACGATCGACCAGACACACGCACCGTGAATACATGGAATGATGAGAGGTTTCGTCTCTCTATATATATTAAACCTACACCTGGGTCACAAGTCCCAGTCACTGTTGAAGCTCCTCTCACTACAACGATGGACCCGACACACGCACCGTGAATACATGGAATGATGAGAGGTTTCGTCTCTCTATATATATTAAACCTACACCTGGGTCACAAGTCCCAGTCACTGTTGAAGCTCCTCTCACTACAACGATGGACCCGACACACGCACCGTGAATACATGGAATGATGAGAGGTTTCGTCTCTCTATATATATTAAACCTACACCTGGGTCACAAGTCCCAGTCACTGTTGAAGCTCCTCTCACTACAACGATCGACCAGACACACGCACCGTGAATACATGGAATGATGAGAGGTTTCGTCTCTCTATATATATTAAACCTACACCTGGGTCACAAGTCCCAGTCACTGTTGAAGCTCCTCTCACTACAACGATCGACCAGACACACGCACCGTGAATACATGGAATGATGAGAGGTTTCGTCTCTCTATATATATTAAACCTACACCTGGGTCACTGTTGAAGCTCCTCTCACTACAACGATGGACCCGACACACGCACCGTGAATACATTGAATGATGAGTGGTTTCTTAACTGTATAACTCACCCTGGTGATGTTTCTGCCTCAGTTTATTCAGCAGGTTGGTAGCGTCAAAGCCAGCGTTATCACACAGCTGTCTCGGTATAGCTTCAAAGGCTCTGGCCACCGCTGATAACAGCAGCTGTTCCTTGCCAGCGATGCTCTTGGAGTGATCACGGAGGTGTTTTGATAGTTCCATGTCTATGGCGCCCCCTCCTGAAAATTATGAACACATTTATATAGTATTTTGTATTTTCTGAGGTAGAATCTGAAATATTATTACAGTAGAAACTCTATTAACCGGATTAATTGTTGCTGGTAGGCATTTGGATAATCGAATGTATGAAGAAAAGCCGGTTTTGTGCTTATGTAGTTCATAATATTATATGTTTAATTAAAAAATAAATTACAATATGTTTTTGGTAATTTGCAATTGGTAATCATGAATTATAATAGTAAATATAATTTGGTTTAGAATATTTGGTAATTATCATTTGACGTACGCCACTCTCAACAACACCACTCTCTTACGCTGTACATTTTTTCTTATCCGGACTCGTCCGTAGTCCGGATAATCGTGAATCCGTATAACTGTGGGCCGGATAAACGTTTTTTTACTGTATATAAATTATACTGTAGTGTCCGTTTTTTTATATTGCTATTATACATGGTATATACACCAAAAACATTTTTTTTTACAATTTTTATCTGTTGATTTATTCTGGCTAATCTATGAAATTGTTGAACCAATTTTGTTCAGACTTTTATTGGCTGGTAGATCATCTAATAAGGTGTAACATAGGCTACTTTTTATCCTAATCCCGAAAATAAGTGTTATTTAAGGTGTTTTATTGTTATTTTTACTGCAGACTAAGTTGAATGTAATAGCTAGTATTACTATATAATATTGTTTTTTCTCACCGGCAACTACAGCATCATTCTTAATAGTTCTTCTCACAATCATGATAGCATCATGTAAGGAACGTTCTGTTTCCTCCAAGAACTGTTCGGCTCCACCTCTCAAGATAATAGTGCAGGTCTTCGCTGCCGGGCAACCTAATGAACAGTATATTGATTAGAACACTTTTAATTTACCTATACAACAGTTACAAAATATATATGATAAATTAAATATAATTATTTATCTAATTAAGTAAATTTCAAACAAATTAGTACGTATATATGGTATTACATATAGTCCTTTAGCTAATATCACCGCTATAGTCGAAAATCTGCGGTTTTTACATTTAAATGCCAATAAAATAACTGCGAATTGCGCTTCGAACCGAAATCATCAAAATATGTATAAATAATTATTTCTTAACCGCTAACTAGAGTATTAAGTAGTAATGGAAAAAAACACAGATAGTTTAAAATAGACAGTTTTATCGTCTACTGTAAAGTTGGTAAAAATGACTTAAGCTGTGTTGTATGCTAAAGGACAATATGTAATTTAATCTACAAATAATGGAAAACATTTTTTACAAATGAATGTAGTCAAAGTAACACTATTCTTTGATGAGACAAAACATAAGCCTAATTCTACAATGAAATTAATATCAACGGGTCATTTATGTTAAAGTATTGGTGAAGAAGTAAAATATACTATATTTCTAAGTCTATACATCAACTTAAAAGTATTTTGTGTTTTTACCCTCAGGAACACAGTCCCCTTGGTAACCTGTAATGTTAGTACGGATAGAAGGTAAGAAAGGGTAAGGTAAGGGTAATTTGGTAAAAGACAGGATAGGGTAAATCTCTTACAAGTTTGCATTAACCGACATATGTAGTTTAAATTAAATTCATATTATTAATTGCTGTAAAGTAACCGAAACGTCGGGAGTATGTAGTTTATCGTCAAAAATAAAAAACCGAAAATATTAGTTACATTTAAATGAATACTCGCGAAAATCTTAGATCTCATTAATATTATGATATTACATACTCTACATTTAAGTTACTTTTCAGCAACCGTGATCACATCTTGTTTGTTTGTGAGTAATCCTAATATTAATTTCATTTAAATTATTACTCGAAAGAAATATATATTTTACATACATTTTAAGCTAAATTTCTGTACATAGTATATGTAAAATCATTGTCAATCCTATTCATAGTACTGAAAACTCCATATAGGTAGTTTAATATGCAAACTAGTAGTAATTTACACATATATAAATGTTATTCTCACCAGTGAACACATTGTACCGCTCGCCCCCCACCTGGCGCTCCACAAACGCCTCGCACGAGCCGAGCGACTCCGGGCGGATCTCCCTCACCGAACTTAGGACTGCGCCCCCGCACGCGCGTTGAGTGCGGCGGAGATCCTCGTCTGTTACACGGCCGGCGCAGAACATGTCCCTGGAATATACAAGATTCAAATATAAACAAGATTGTTAAACTAATTATTAAAGTTTGCCTTTCCATATTAAGTATATATTATATTCTACATGTAAATCTATAATCTGTGACAGTTCAATAAATGCTCCAAGTCTCTGTGATTCCATGTTACAACAAGTGTAGTTTATTTTCACCAAATCTCCTTTATAATAATAAATTTATCAAAGATATTAACGACGTGGGTGATTAATGATCACCTTAATGAATGAAATCAATATTTTTACGCTCTGCGTGTTTTCTTGTAGAAAACTGCATATTAACGACGTTTCGGTTTCTGCAGGGTACGTAATCATTAACACGAGGTTTCTTTAATGGGTGATAGGCCTAAAGGTTTGTAAGAGATTCAAAATAATACAGGCCTTGTGAGGCCTGGGATGAATTTCAATTACATTTCGTTTTAGATTATGTAGTGGTAATCTTTTAATATGTTTTTTTTTTAAATTTATTTTATATAATTAAAAATCAAGTAACTCAAAAATTTGTTAGTAACAATCCCTACTAATGTTATAAATGCGAAAGTAACTGTCTATTTGTCTGTCTGTTACGCTTTCACGCCTAAACCACTGAACTGATTTAAATTAAATTTGGTACAGAGATAGAGTCGACCTTGAGAAAGAACATAGGATAGTTTTTATCCCAGACTTTTGAAAGGTTCTCTTGGAATCGCGATATAACCGAACTCCACGCGGGCGAAATCATAAAACTATTGTTAATTATTTACCTATCAGCAAAATATTGTGTAGCTACATCACCGATGGGCAGCTTGCTGAGCACCACTTGAGCCCCGCTGGCATGTAGGGCTCCTAGTTTGTCATATAGGATCCTCCATTCAGCGTCAACCACTTTCTGGTATTCCTCTACATTATTCACTCGGACCTCGGCATTGTCCCTTTCAGCTTTCAACTCCAATTCAATGTTAAGAAGAGCAATTTTGCAGTTTGTGTAGCTCTTCGGCTGCATTTCAAAGCCGGCATATGAGAATGTCTTCTTGAAAGCCACTCCGGCCACCAGGAATGAGTCTTCTAGGGCTCCACCGGAGACTTTCTTGATGCCTGTAAGATAATAACTTTAGTTTGTTCCTCGGTGAGTGTTGTGTGAATGTATTGTTGTGAACGCCTCATGTCTACTATCAGAGTCGACATGGTGTTTTCAGGAATTGGATCCGTTTGGTTTAATCATTGGCAGGTGTATGTTATATACATACATATACATATTTATATAAATATACTAGAATTTGTTCGCGACTCCGCGTAAACATTAAAACTCTGTTGAGAGAGAAAGCAATACATATACTAACAAGCGATGAATATACAATACTTTTTTATACAATTTGTCATCTTAATAAGCTTTTATCATGAGAAATGTTTTTTTTAATCGTATTTTATTACGAAATATTAATCTTGTTCATATTTAATGACCTAGATTGACTGTAGCGCCATCTGTCGGGCTGATAGAGGAATCTAAACCATCTAGCATACAAGAAAATACATTCAAATAGATCAAATTAAATGTTTTTCACTCAACACATAAAAATTTAAATGATGAATGAATAATGAAGCTATCATTATAGAATTATTTTTAAATATATGTCATCTCCTTACTTTTTATTACAAATATATAACATATGTATATAAATATGAGTGTTTTCAGAGTTATTATGTCCAAGACTAACCAATCATGTCCAACGGCAACAGCGGAGCATCCAGAGACAATACAGCATCAACAACCATCTTCGAGAAGTGATCTTTCTGTTGGTGAATCAGCTTCGAAGACATAGCTGTTACCGCACACTTGCGTAGAAGTTCCCTGTACATACATATACATTAATACCCATAATACATACATATATATATTTAATTAATTTTTTTTTATCTCATATATATATTTCCACAGAAGATTCAGTAATTGGATCCGTTGTTATAATCATTGGTTTCAGTAATGTTTTACCGAGTGCAAAATTAAGTGTTTTTCCACATGCCGTTGTGTAATACCTCTGTTCTTCTGGTGATTTGCTCTCAATCTTCACAGCCAACTCCTTGACTTTGTCGACTGCTAATTTGGCAGCACTACGAACAGCTCGCACTATTATACGGGGATGGACTCCTGGAAAATGACATCAATTTATACTATCATGTATGAAAAAGATACAATATATATATACTAGTTTAAATTCCCGACTTTGCAACGGTTTAGAATATAGAGGTAGAGGCAAAAGTATGTGATGAGAAATTTCACAAAATATTTAAGTGTTTTTCTAAAGATAATTATTTAATAATATATAATAGGCATCACCCTGATGTTTTAACTATATTATTGTAAAGTACAATCATTAAGGGTTCAGTAATTTTTATATCATCATCAGCCTATCAGAGTCCACTGCTTAGTAAAGACCTCTTCTCACATGGAGAAGGTTAGAGCATTAATCACCACATTTGCTAAAGACAGTTTGGTGATTTCAAACTTATAATTTGATAAGTCCAAGTTTCCTCATATTTTCCTTCATCTGTCAGTGATGTCTAAATACTCTTAAGTACACATGACTCGGAACAATCACATTGGTACTTGACAGGTTTCGAACCTGTGCCCTCATGCATGAGAGGCGGATCTTTAACCTCTAGGACACCACGATCAAATCTTTACTTATACATCAACAAATATACACATATATATAAATTTTAATTAATATTAGTATCATACCTTCTTCAACAAAAGGCTTCAAACGCTTCAATAGCTCCCCGGCCAGTATCACAACAGATGTAGTCCCATCTCCGACCTGAAGATGTACTTGTTATAATGGTTCCTCGTACTCATCAATCAACATATATATTAAGTATAATCATATAGTTGTCTGTCCTCAATATTACATTGGGAAATTGGATCCGAGATTAAAATCATTTGTGAGAGTTAGTTATATTAAATCGGTCTATTATCCATCCAAATTTTATCCATCTAAACACCTAAAATCCATTTATCTATTTTTCCACTCACCTAAAATCTATAAATCTACCCATACCCCCCAAAACCCATCTATCCATATTGGTAATCAAACAAAATATATCCATATTATTACAGAAGACTACCGACTGTAATTTAGTCTTACCAAAATACTTCTAATTACTATAAAAGCATTAAACAAGAATAATATTTGGTTGAGCTCGTACCTCAGCATCTTGGGACTTGGCGATGTCAACGAGGGTCTTTGCAGCGGGATGAACAATATCCAAAAGCTGGAACAATCAAATAATATATTAATATTGTGAAGAAAACTTAATATATATAGATATAATTACATTTATGTATGAACCAAGTCAATTTAATCTTTTAGTTGACTGGCTGTTATATGTATAAACATGTTTTTTGACTGTGAGTGATTTTTCTTTATCTTTTTTACTGTCTTTATATAATATTGTCAAATGGTGATATCAAACTAAGATTTTCAGTACAAAGTAGATTACATTTCTGTTTTTTTGATTGTTTTAAACTTAGGATGCTATGAAAATGTATTATTACAAGTTAGCAAAATTTTTTTTTTTGATCAAATGAAAAGTATCCTATGTCCTTTCTATGTTCTAATCTATCTCTCCACCAATCTTCATCCAAACCCGTACAGTCGTTAGAGTTATAAATAGTATAACTAACGCGACTTTGTTATATATGTATAAAGATGTACTTACCTTCATAATAGTGGCTCCATCGTTAGATATGACGGCTTTTCCTCCATGGTCTACAATCAGTTTGTCCATGCCCCTCGGCCCCAATGTAGTGCGAACCTGGGACATCGTAAATTTCCTATATATTCGTTTTATATACTTCAAGACATGAACAGTATTGTATTTAATAAAACTTTTATAAATTTGTATATGTATAATGTTGTGTGGTGTACTAAGATTATGATAGAAACTTATATAAGTTTAACTAAGTGATCTGCCTACCTTATTATTTAAACTTACCGAGCAAGCATGATGAATACACAACAAGATTTATTCGAGTATTGATCAACTTGTATGAGAAAAGTGGAAGAAATAATGAGATCCACAAATTATTGAGACTTTTAAATAAAACTGATATTTTTGTATTTACTACTCGTTTATAATTATTTTTACTTCTCGTATCGTCTGTCCGTGATCACCGATTCTACGAAGTAACCGAAACATCGAAAGTAATATGTATGTAGTTTTAAATAATTATAAGAACGTAGTAATACGAAAATATTAGTTTTTTTTGTATTATGTTTTTACTTACGGCATCTACAACTAGCTGGCAGGCGTTGATGTTGGAAACCAGTTGGGGCTTTCCCTGGGACTGATCCGTCCCTTCCTTCAGAACTAAGATTTGGGGTTGCTGGAAAAATAACAAAATTATCGTACACTCTATTATTAATGGAAGTTGTTTATTATCCATAGTTTTATTGTTAAACAATCTGTTTACAGTAATTAACGCCATTTTGAGACTCGAAATCACGATTATTTGAAGGGAAATAATTTTACGAGTTACTTGACAGGCATTACCAACTGTTTTTTAAAATGAAATTTTCGCGAAAAATACGCAAAGTAAGCTTTCGGAATGATGATATTTAAGTAGTTTATAATGGAAAAGTTTGATTAAAACAAAAAATAGTATAAGTTATCTCAAAATACCATAAAAAAATTAAGTCAAACCTCTATATATGTAGTTAGTCATCGTAGATTCGGAAGTGTGTATTGAATAAGATATAAGTGAGAAATACAGTATAAAGTGTTATAAATAATCACGTGAGAGGTTTTCGATCACTAAATGCCGACAATATAAGAAATATACCGCCGTAAGTTAACCTAAAGAATTCAAGGAAAAAAACGAAAACTACTCCCGTAACGCACAAAATATTTTACCGCTGGGAATATTTACACACATATAAAACTTAATGTCATCGAATATTATAAAAATAATTTACGATTGATTTAGGAATTATCAGTTAAATTACCATTGTGAAAATCTTCTTTTAACAAAACCAAAACAACACAACTGACAACAGACTAAAAAGACGAAACTAACTGTAAATCAAATGACTTTAAAATGTAGGTGTCTATGATCACATAAGTTTTAAACATACATAAAAATGTAGAATTGCTATTTATGATTTACAGGAAGTTAAATCTATGAAAAAGTTATAAATGTTTCAATATAAACATTTCAAACTTATAAAAGAAATATATTGGTTACCCATTAGTTTATTAGGATTCAATCTTTGTAAAAACATAAACTTGTCTTTGAAACTCAAGACATGTAAATGGTGACAATGACGTCTGACACATTTCTGTTTTTTATATTTTAGCTATTATTTGCAAGAGGTAACTACTTAAAAAGAAGCCGGAAACACGCTGAAACTCTGAGAAACATAAATATAACGCTATCATAATGAGCAAACAAGTGGATGTAAAGGCGTTAGTGTCCCACGTAGTCCGCGGCGACGGCGTGCAAAGATGTAGAATATGTATGGGAGATACATCCGAGGGGCAAGTTCATTTAGAAGATACGGTGATGATGGACGGAGACAAACCCATCACGTTGTCAGAATTACTAGAAACAGTCACTGGAGTTCAGGTTTGTTTATGTACTTTGTTTACAATTAAATCTTCTGCAAATAACGGAACGACCTATTCTGTCAGCAAAATGGCGGCTTTAACGCATTTTTATTATAATACTAACTTAATAGGTCTAATTTTGAGATTATAAGTTAGAAATAATTAATATAATTACGAAATATAGTAGTTTTATAATGTACGTGTAAAATTTCAATACTTTCTCGATGTACATGTAGTGACATCTATTGTCAGTTTTTGGCGTAAATTTAAATGAATCATGTCTAATACAAATAAAGAGATGGTACATACTATGTATGAAAGAATAAAAGAAATATAGTTATAGTATATTTAATATCAAGAGAAGTTTAAAATAATGGAAGAATCAAACAACTAGTGGCCATTTGACTAAGCGGTGGTTGCAGGTGGTGCTCGAGGGGGATCTGCCACCAGGAGTGTGTCCGAGCTGTCTCATGTGTGCTCTGAGTGCTGCAGAGTTCAGAACACTGTGCCAGCAAGCCGCTAGCCAATGGGAGCTGACCGTAGAACTCCTGAACGGCCTCACCTCTCAATGTGATGGCGAGAAGACTATATTTGCATTACTAGAGAAAAGCCAAATGATTGTCATCAAAGATAATACTTGTATTAAAACTATGAATGTAGTCGATAGATTGAATGAGCATTTGACTGAACCGAAGAAGACCGAGTCTCCTATATCCTGTTCTTGTCCGAATTGCGGTAAAGAGTTCCAGTATGCCCATCAATTGAGCCACCATTTGAAAGAATCTATGGATCTGCAACGCGCTTGTTATATTTGTGCCAAAATTATGTCCCGAAGTGAATTAATCGATCACATGTCTCAAGTACATGATAAAGAACCGTTTGATTGTAAAAAATGCCCAGCTGTTTTGTGTTCATATAGCCAGTATAAACTGCATTTAGATAAAGCACATTTCCATACAGCGTGTATGTGTGTCGAATGTGGGCGTAGCTTCCAAACTCAGAATGCTTTCCACGCTCACGTGTCTGTTCACAGGCCTCAAAGCTGCCCGAGCTGTAATAAGCTATTCCGCAATCAAACCTGTTATGTTCACCACGTGAAATGGTGCTGCAATCTAGATAAAAATAGAGAGGATACCTTCAAAACTAAGACGAAAGTGACAGTGGAAGTAAAAAATGAAGTTAGCAAGCGGAAAATCAAAGTTGGACTACGAGGTAGCGCGAACCAGCAGTGTATATGCGATTACTGCGGGAAGAAATTCGCTGGGAAGAAGTTCGTTGCTGCTCACATACAAATAGTTCACATGAAGAACACGCATCGGCCTTGCGTTTATTGCGGCAAGTTGCTAGCAGCAGCACATATGTCAGAGCACGTAAAATATCACGAGGAAGATAGGTCCTTCACCTGTCAGCATTGCGGTGTAGTACTCAAGACTAGGCTGGGTTACACGCAGCATATACGTCTTCATACCGGCGAGAGGCCCTACGCCTGCAAATTCTGCGGACAAACCTTCTCCGCGTCCTCGCGAAGATCGGAACACATACGTAAAGTGCATAAAAGCTCGGATATAGTGTTAAAACATGCTTGTAAATACTGTCCAGCAAGATTCCGTCTTCCGTACAGATTGAAGAAGCATCTAATAGCTGTTCACAACAACGAAGACCAAAGCTTGGATTACGAGTGCACTGAATGCCACGAGAAATTCGGATCCTGTCGTGGACTCCTGCATCACAGCCGGAAACACCAAAACGTGAAATTCCCACCAAAAAGGAAGGAGAGATGTGTTTTTAAAGTTTTCAGCGATTTGAACAGAAAAGACATAGAAGAAACTTAACGTTTTTTAATAAAAAATATATATACGCTTTAATTTATATGAGAGAAATGGAGTTTTTTATTTCGCTACTAAAATAAGCTGTTAATTATTAGTTCCTAGAAGTGAAGAGGAATGGCTGATTGGTCACGTGGTTTCAGGTGCTGGAGGAATGGGAACTGCCGCGAGGGTTGTGCTGCGATTGCTCGGAAACAGCACTAACAGCATATCAGTTCAGACAGCTTTGCAAGCAATCGGACAACCATTGGAGGAGATCCATCGAACTGATTAATAAATCCACACTGATACCACACGACCACAAAACCATATATATATCATACGCAGATGAAGTTATATATAAAGATGATGGAACAACCAACTCATTGAATGCAGCAGCAAGATTTAACACCATCAGAAAAGGTTCTAGCCGGCCAAGATATAAAAAACACGTGAAAATTAACGGCGAAACGAAATGCCGTGATTGTGGCAAAAAATTTCCTCTGCCATACTACCTGAACCGACATTTGAAGAGTACGCCAAAACGGGCCTGCACTCAATGTGGAGAGGTGATGCTTAAGGAGAAATTGGCTATTCATTTGGAAACAATACATCGGATACATGTATTTTACTGCGACATTTGTTATCAATTGTTCAATGATATAAATGGATTGGGAAGACATAAGGAAGTTTATCACAAAGACAGCGCGTTAGAATGCAAAGTGTGCAGAAATGGATTCACCAGCGACAGATCACTCGCCGCTCATATGTACTCGCATACACTATTCAACTGTTCTTCATGCAACAGAGCGTTTGAGAACCGAAAGTGTTATATTTACCACAAAGGCGAATGCACCGGACGGAAATCATACGCGCAGAATATGTATGAATGTCATGACTGCGGCAGCAAATACAGTAAAAAACCATCACTAAGGATACATATAGTGCAAAAACATTTGAATATATTGCCGTTTGTTTGCCAGACTTGCGGGAAGAGGTGTTCCACTAAAAACCACTTGAGATCTCATGAACTAGTTCACAAAACGGAGAGACAAGTGTACGAGTGTTACTGCGGCGCGAAAATGCGATCAGCACTGGGATTTGAGATGCACCAGAGGATACATTCGGGGGAGAAGCCATATGTTTGCGAGGATTGTGGGGACAGATTTCTATCAGCTTCTAGAAGACTGGACCATATAAAGAGGAAACATAGATCTAAAGAATTAGCCCACGGTTGTGATAAATGTGACGCTAAATTCGTCAGGCCGTTCGAACTAAAGAAACATTATAGATCTGTACACTTGATAAATATCGTTAATTAGTTATAGGAAGGGTAGAGTAATTTAAGAGGTAGGTTCTAGAAGGTAGCGCTCACCAAAAATAGGCGATATATTCCTCAAAGATTCTATTTAGTTTCGTAAAGAATTTCATCAAAATAGGCTTAATAAGGGATTAATATAGTTTTTATTGAGTATAGAAGTAGTATTATTATTGTTTTAATAATATCTTCTTTGTTCCAGCTAAGAGAAGAGCTCTATATACCGAAAGGTATCTGCATCGGCTGCTCAAGTGTGGCGATCTCGGCTTTCGAATTCAGGTTATTCACAAGGAACTCTGTGAATCTATGGAAAAACTGCATCAATACTATAGACACATTACCGAAAATGTCATGCAATAAGTCGATATACGCCATCCTGAGAGGAAATATGTCGCTGCAGGTAGTGAACAGCTTCAACGGCGGTAAAATTGAGCTGGTGGAACATCTTTCCAACCGTCTGACGAAGAAGAAACCCTTAGTAGTTGAGAAGAAGCCGCGACATCCTAGAACAGGACCGGCCTGTACCTGTGTTGATTGCGGAAAAGCGTTCCTAAGTCCATACTACTTGAATCTACATTTGCGTAACAGCGGACAGAAGGAAGCCTGCTGGCTGTGTGGAGCCATGGTCGTTAGAGGGAGCGAAATGAAGGAACATCTATCAATGATACACAAAACCGACATGATCCTATGCCCAGATTGTCCCACTTTGTTGAAAAGCGAACAGGAATGCAAGAGGCATCTCAAGAAATGCCACGGCCCGGGGAATTTGACGTGCGCGGATTGCGGCAGGACTTTCCAGAGGCAGACTTCCTTCGAGGTTCACACTCAAATGCACACCGTCCGGACTTGCAGGGCTTGTGGCGCGCAGTTCACGAATCGCGGCTGTTACAGAGAGCATAGGTCCAAATGTGAACCTGACGCCAAGCCAGATAGGAAATCGGTGCCGAGGAGTAGAAGATCGAATGTTCGAGACCCAGCAACATTCACGTGTGACTATTGCTCGAAAACTTACCACTCACGACCCCAGCTGAAAAATCACATAATGTGGATACACATGGACGTAAGACCACATCAGTGCCAGTGGTGCGGGAAGAGGTTTTACACGCCGGCTCGTCTGGCCGAGCATATGGTGGTGCATACTAGAGTAAGAAACTTCGAATGTGACATTTGTGGCGCGAAATTAGTCTCGAAAATGGCGGCCGTGTACCACAGGAGAAGGCATACAGGTGAACGGCCGTATGAGTGCCAGGATTGTGGGGAGAGGTTTATTTCATCTTCTAGAAGGTCCGAGCACGCTAAGAGAAGACATAACCGAGGTTTAAGATTCCAATGCCCGCACTGCCACGCCTCGTTCGTAAGGAGCCACGAGCTCAAGAAGCATACGGACAAAGTACATAATGACGATCTAAAATTAAAAGATAAGAATTGTATAGATGTTTGAAAATAACAGGTCAAAGACCGCCATTAATAATTATGTAAAACAAAAGAATTTTTTTACAATAAAATTTATGTTTTTTTGTTTGACTTTTTTTTTGTATCCTCATCGAAATTGACTAAGTTTTTCTATATACTTTGGTGGTTATAAAAAATCTATTAAAATCATACAAAAATAATATTCACTTTAACTCATTTTTCGTGAATGTTCTTATTAAATGCTATCTAGTATTTTACTGACCATTAAATACGCATTTTGTTTTTACCCCAAAGCTAGACATGAATTTACTAAGAAATAGATAATTTTAAAATTAATTCTTTTTTAATAAACTGAATCTTTGATTGCAATTTTGTACCTTATCTTTTAATAAATGCTAAAGTGCATACGAGTGTTGGTCATGGAAATTAATCTAGTAATGTCTTGAATATAGTAACAATCATCACTATCATCAGTCTATCAGAGCCCGCTGCAGTAAGGCATCTCACATGGAGAAGGTTTGAGCATTAATCATCACGCTTGCTCAAAATTGCTTTTGTGATTTTAAAGTTATAATTTGATATTATAAGTCCCAGGTTTCTTCATATTTTTCTTCATCTGTCAGTGATGTCTAATACTCTTATAAAGTACATATGACTCGGAGAAATCACATTGGTATTTGTCAGGTATCGAACCCGCGCCCTCATTCACGAGAGGCAAGTCTTTAACCTCTGAGCCACGACATTTTGTTATTACTATTAAAAAAAGAATTAAAAAAAAACAAATTATTACTGTTAAAAACTCATATGTATTCTGCTTTGTAAAAATTATGTAATGATTTAAAAATACAAGATTTAGATTTAAAGGCGAAAACTGTTAACAATATTATAATAATAATTATAATTTTCTACGCTTATACAACGATCAACATTGGCCTCAATTAAAAACGTATAATTGAAGTAACGCACATTACCTAACGCCATCCGGTAACAATGGCGCGGGAAATTAATTATTAGAAAAAAAAAACATCCGTTCCTTTCCTAATATCTGTTAATTTATAGTCAGTCTTTTTTTAAATTTTGTAACAACTGTGCGGTAATTAAAAATAAAACGTAGTATTTTAAACAAAATATAATATTAAATAATCGTTTATATGTAATAATGTTTTTAAAAGGACATATTTTGTTTGTTTCGTTGCTAATTTTGAATGTGGCGTCCTGGACTGTCAAACAGGAAGATATGAAATTATTGATTGATGAAAAACAGAAGAATAAAAACACATTGAAGAATGAAAACTCTTTGGAGAAGATGGATTTAATGGAGAAATTTAAATATGCTAATGAATATGATTATCAAGGTTACAAAGAAATTAAGGTAATTCAATTGACTATTGTCTTATTTTACACAGGCTAGGCGTCGCGTGTTTGTAATAAAAAAGTTATTTATAAAAAGCTTTCTGAATTTATAGTGATATTTAAATTGTTAGGAGTTAAAAAAAAATCAATTATTTAGTAGTTTTTTTTTAATGCGAGCATAAATGAACAGTTTTCTTTTCAGAAGAATATTTTTTGAACCTTAATTTTCATTGTAGCTTATACTGTATATAGTCATTGTTTTTATCCCTACTAATGTTATTTATGCGAAAATAACTCTGTCTGTCTGTAACGCTTTCACACCTAAACCACTGAACTGATTTTAATGAAATTTGGTACAGAGATGAAGTTGACCTTGAGAAAGAACATAGGATAGTTTTTATGCCAGAATTTTGAAAGGTTCTCTTGGAAACGCGATATAACCGAACTCCACGCGGGCGAAGCTGCGGGCGGAAAGCTAGTGTGTATAAATGTAGAGACTGCTCAAATAATAAACAAAAACACTCCAGTGGGTACATCGGTCTATCAGTTGTATGAGATAGAAATTATATTAAGTGGGTAATATTAATATGCCGATAATAATCAAAAACTAAAGCATTTGTGACGTAATAACGATGACGTCACACGTTTGAAAAACTACGAGGAGATACCAGAACCGATATATTCATAAGTCGTGTTAGTTACATTATTGATATCTCGTGAATTTTGTATGGCTTTAGCTGAAAATTTTTAGGAAGGTTGCTTATGCCGACCATAGACGCATATCTATATATCTATATAGACGGTCCACCTGTGCAGGTAGACCGGAATGTGAGTGCAATTAGACCTGTGCAGTTTTTGAACGTTACTATTGTTCGGTTGATTTGCGCAGGCATACCTGCACAGGTGTAACTTTCCGGTACATTTAAAAGAAAAGATTAGACTAAGATAGGTACACAGTAAATTAGGAATGAAAGAGATGGATAAGAGAAAGACAGGTATGCAGAATGAAAGGCCATAGTAACAGCGAGAACTAGTATGACAGGAAATTGCACATAAGGACCCTGACCATGTTAGGGGTAGAGGTACAAAAAAAAATACTTTCCGGTACACTGTAGCGTGTGTAGCCGGAATAAGACTGTTTAAGTGCGACTTGATAAAAGTAACATGTATACCAAAGAAATATATCATGAAATTTGTATATTTTTGTATGAAAGCACTTGAAACATATTATTGTGTATAGAAGTCGTTACTCGTTACTAGGTATATCTTAGTAATGCTTTAAAGCATATTTTTAATAATACTCTCTAAAGTCTCTTAGTCAAATTCCGGTATTTTTGTGAATTTTGCTTTGCTTATTAAACCAAGTGTGTTTAATCGTCATCATTCTTCCATCGCCTATTTTGTCGTTATCAAATAGAAAGACGATGATTACTGCAGCTTTGCTTGAGATCAACTTAAGTTCGCGGAATCCGTATGTAACCTCTTGGTCTAATATGAACCAGGAAGAACAAAATTTGTCGTAATTCATGTTAATGTAATCTTTTGCAACCACTGATATCAATTAACACTATAAAAAGACACGAAAATTCTTTAATCAATGTTAAAACTTAATTATATACATATTCAATTATATACTAGTTACCGCGACTCCGTCCGCGCGAACATCAAAGTTATGTTCAGAAAGTAATGTACATAGTGTGTTAAAACAATGCATACGGTAACCTACGTCAAACTTTTTCATATTAAATGACCTATATAACGAATACAGCACCCTCTGTCGGGCTGATATGTGAATCTAAACCATCTGGAGCGTCACACAAATGCATTAAAAAAAGTCGGTCTGTATATATAGTGATTGGTAATCTTCAAAGCCATGTTTTCAGATATCAGACGTCATCCGAAGCGGCAGCATCTACCTTGAAGGACTCAGCGCGGCTCTGCTCGACTACCGACACATGATGGAGGCGTGCGGAACTAACTCCTCACAAGTAATAAAACACACACACACACACACACACACACACACACACATACACACACACATATACACAAACACACATACATACATGGAAAACACGCTGCGCTAGATGCAAAAGAATAAAAGAATGTTTAATAACATAAAAATAATAATTAATCAAGGATTTTGTTTTAATAAAGTATATGCCCCCACAGACCAGCCTGCCAGTGAGTTCGGAGTCCTGCGCCTCCGCGTCTGAAGACATCAAGTTGGTGCAGAGACTGTCGGAACTGGCTCTGGAGACCACGAAGAAGCTCAGAGATAAAGGAAATAGAATGGATAAGGTGGATCTAACTTAGGATCTTATTTTTTACCAGAATAGGCCTATTTCACTATGAATAAGTCATTTAAGTTGGAATACACAATATATGGCGTCTAAAAAGAAGGTTGTGGTCTTTATTTTGATTTTGAAGCAAGTTTCTATATGATCTCGTTGGAAAATAAAAACAAATAATAATCGATATTGGACCAAGATTTTTAAATATCCATGTTATAAGATTGGTTCAAATTCGTGACCCTGAACGAGTAAAGTACACAAAAATTCTGATTAATGGAAATAATAAATTATACATCTGCTTCATAAATAAGGATAATTAATAATTATATGTAAAATATTAAGAGTCCATTAATGACGCATTTTATATATTTTAATGTTTATCTTAATAATTATATTTCTCAATTCCAAGGACGATCAAAGCGAGGAGAACGAACTCATTCTACAATTAGCCTGGTTCTTGGATCAGTTGGCGCGTTTGACGGGCTACAAACAAAACAACACAAATATTTCTACAGGTATAAAATATATAACTTACCTGTGCTCTGTACACTTACAAGATATTTAAACGAGTCTGCGATTAAAAGAAAACTGAAATTATACAGGGTGACTGGTGAATTACTATCGATATTTGAGGACGTGATATTTGACGATCATATATGACAAAATAAAAATTAATATAACATAAATATTAATAAACTTCTAAGTAAAGTTAACCAAAAGTTATGTAATTAATTACGCATCGTATGAACACCCTACAGATTAGGTATACACACACACACACACTCGCGCGGCGGCGTGTTGTTGTATCAGCACGCCGCCGCACGCGTCCACACTTGGAACACTTGGAACGTGTACACACTTTATTTATTTATACGGAAATTTTGTCAAAAATTAAGTACCTATTTTTTTTACATAATTCGAATGAGAATCATGTACCGAGTATGCTCCTTAAATATTGATAGTAATTCACCAGTCACCCTGTATATATATGTTTACGTGAATAACGATGATTTCGTATTTTCTTGTAAATTTTCATCATTTTGACAGCACATTGGATTTAAATGAAAGTAATATTTTCGGATTTTTTATTTTTGACTATAAACTACATTTTCTCGACTTTTCGGCTACTTTACAGCAACCGTCATCACAGTTGATGAATGAAAAATGAAAAAATCGCGTAGTAGTAAATTCGAAAATATTAGTTTAATTTAAATGAAAACTCGCGAAAATCTCAAACCTCATTAAGCAAATTGTATTTTCACAACAAATATTTCGTTTCAGATATTAAAACAACCACGGAAAATACACGAAAAACAAACTTAAAAGATTCCTTGGAACTATTAGAAACGGTCGAAAACGGTCGGCCGATGTCAAAACTCCCGCTAAAACAGAACGCCAAGTCAATAGTCAAACGATCAACTGTCATGACGGAAGTCGTTAAATACTATAATAAATATAAAATGTGGACCGGAAGTAACTCAAATGACTTCAAATCTAACTACGATGTCAGTAATGGTTTAAATGTAAAGCCAATATCCAAACGGTCGATACAAAACAAGAAATACGTCCAATTACGTGTCACGAAGAAGAAAACTTCGAAAAATATGAACATAAGTAAACTATTTAGGAAACCGAATGTTGTTAAAGTTGTTGTTGTTAAGAAAATAAAGAATAAATACTAAATGTGTTATTCATATCAATTTAATTAATTTAATTATCAAATGTATGTTAATAGTCGTAATAATGAAGTGAAATAAAGTTAAGATTAAACTTCTTAAGCTAAGCTTAAGATCTGTACCGTACTATAATCCTTACAATTATTATGATGAGTGATTATAATGAATGATAATCTAAGCGTACGACGCCTTTTTATTTTACAAGCCGTCTTAGCCACTCATAAAATTGCATCAAACTCCGTGCCCAATAATACATCAAACAACAGATATAAAGCTCCAAGTTTTGCAGTAAATTCGCAGCACGGTCTTCTCCTTTTCTCTTCCCCTATATTTATAATAAAATTACTAAGATTTGAGACCTCAGAAACCCGTCATACAGAGAAGTAAAAATAAAAATTTATTAATAAATTGGTCTTAAGATGACTCCGAACACTTTTTAAAAATAGTGAAATAAAAATATAGCAATAGTAAGCCTGTTTTCGTTTTGGATAAATTTAGAGACACACCAACTTGGACGCACACACACACACACACACACAAACTCTCTCATTTTATTTATTCAATTTCCTTATAGAATTAATTTTTAAAACGTTGTAATATCATAATATCATAAAGATTTCTTATTTCATTTTTATAAATTTTAACAACTTTAAGTACAGTACCACTCTCTGTGTGATTGTAATTTACTATTTTTATAAGAGCAGTAATAATTAATTTACTGAATCCTCTCTGCTAGAAATGAATCGATATACACGATACAGGCCTAGCCTAGTGTGGACGTCAACGTTTTCTATATATTGCATTGTAAAGTGTTTTTACAAATGAATAAATGAATAATACTGAACCATTGTGATGTATCAACATGAGCATCGACTGGTGTTTGTAAACTATACATACTGGACACACACATTCTGTTACATGACTGGGATTAACGAACATTGAGAATTAACACTGAAACTGTATCTAGAATACACTAAGAATATGTATCTTGAACACTAGTGTTTTTCAAGGTTTTTTTGTGTAATATCTTGTGTCCTAAAAAGTAAAACCCGCCATCGATTTTCCGTGTCAGAAATGAACAGAGAGATGATCATATATTTTATAAATAATTACATTAATTTTAGTTTCCAAAGGAAGATGCTTAATTGTAATTTATTTCGATTAATATTCTTTTTGTGGCTGAAATTTCTTTAAGATTTCCAAATAATTCAAACTTTTTGTACGACGGAATATATTGTCTATATATTACACACTCATCAAATAAAACACAATAATTATTTCAAAATATATATAATAATAATAAAAAGTGTTTACGTAATACGTGGACGAATCACGATTAATCAATAACTGCTTTATTTTAACGCGGTATAGACTCGGGTAAATTCAACATGAGGGGCGCATGAGTTCTATCAACAAATATTATTATTTATTATGCTTATAATCTTCTTTACTCTTCTGTATTCTACATGTGACTCTGCGGTCTCTTCTTTCTGCTGAATAATCCACCGAAAACTCCCTTTTTATCTTTTTTCTCTTTCCCTCCGACAGATAGTTCAGATTCACCGGAAGACCTGGAATTAAATTTAAGAGTTTGAATGAAAATTGAAGACGCAGTCGCGGGCAAACACTAGTCCTTCTAATATTATAATTGCGAAAGTTTGTGAGTTTGTGTGTATGTTTGTTACTACTTCACGCTCAAACGGTTGAACCGATTTTGATAAAAATTTGTATACAGGAAGCTGACGTCCAGGAATAACACATAGGCTACTTTACATCCTGGAAATCAGCGGGTAATGCCGCGGGACGCATCTAGTATATATAATAGGCCATACATAAAATACGTCACACTTTAATGGCGGGAAAGTATCACTGAAGTGTTACGTCATCTGACAGGTGACGTAAATGTATGACGTTACATAATAAAATATAAAATAGTACACGCAGTTTGGATATATAATAAAAATAATAAGTAAGTAATAATAAGTAAGGATTCAAAGGCAGATATGGCTAAAGCTGGGAAATTGCCACGTAGAAGAAGAATAAGTAAAATATCAAAAAATCAAAGTATCTCGATCATTTTTTAATACATGTATGACGTCACACAAGGAGGGGGGATATAATAATGTGATAAGGAAGGGGGGAGGTGTCTAAAGTACTAAAATTCGTATACTTTATAGATGGCTCTTAATGGTAGAATTATATATATACCTGGAAGCCGGTCTATTATCAAGAGCTGGGGACCCTCCAGAGACAGAAGACGGTCTACTGCTGGCTCCGTATGCTGGAAAAGAATATATACTATTATAACACCTGGAAACTACACTTGGGTTTATTCCAGCACTACAAAGCTCTACACTGAACACCTCAAACCAAAAACCAACAAGCTGGCAGCTGGATTTTAAAGCCAAGCTAATATAATACAAAATCAACAAATATATAGTGCAGGTCTACAGAAAACGTGTTAAAAATACTCTTAAGACAAACGATCGTTTTAATTTTAATCAATGGTTAATATTAAACGCTCGTTAATCCTAGTTTAGGTTCTACATCGTCCAAAACGAACGTACATTGCACCCTGTGAAGCACGTACAGCAAGTGGGCGGTCCCTGGGAAGATTAGTACATTAACATACAGACATAACAAAAGATATACTCATATCTTTACAAAAGATAGTGTTAGTAAGATATATAAATCAGCCGATTTCGAACCCGCTACTATATATATTACCACTGAGCTATAGTCCATAAAGTGGGGAAATTTATCATATATAAAATATATATGTATAAGATTAATGCATTTCCAAAGAGGATTGATGTCAGGCAGGCCGGCCGTAAAAAATAGCCAAAACTATTCACAACATGTAAGGCAGACCCTGGCTGAAGCTGGGAAATTGCCAGGTGGAAGAAGATATGTATATATATGTGACACATTACACCCCTGTCTCCTCATCTAACTACAAAGCACTGGTAACAGATCCAAGGTTTTCATATGACTAAACTCGTTAATACAAGTATCGATCACTTGCAAACTGTCGGTATGATCGTGAAAACCTCGTAACTGTAAGTTTTCCGTGTGCCACTGACCCGTCTCTCCCCCGTACTGTTCTTGCCAGTGTCGCTCATCTCTTTCTTGGTAGCTCCGCGTCATCCGCTGATAATTGTTCACGAGACTAGTCACCTTCTCCCTGTCTCTGTCTGGCAGCGCGGGAGGCCTATCGGACCCTGAGGGAGGCCTATCAGGCCCCACGGGAGGCTTCACTGGGAGGGGCGGGGCCTCGGCTGATCCGATCGTTATTCAATACATATTATATACTTGACCTCAACGAATTGTTATATATATATCAATGGCGGACGGCACAGACTATACATTGCAATAACAGACACAACAAAGGCGATACAGACATAAGACATACAAAATAATAATGATAAATCTTAAAAATCCTTGTAATACTCTTATAATGTTATATATCGATAGCCCGCCAGTCTAGGTCGTGTGATGGTGGGTGCGTCTCTTACCGTCTCTCTGTGACCGTATGAATTCAGCGTTCAGGTCTCTGCCGTTGGAGAATCTGGAGCGACCCCAGGAGTGGGACTCGCGGTCAGAGTTCCTGGAATAATGACGTCATTAGATATACACACACATACATACACACACACACAGTCATACAGGGTTATACAAAGAACTAGTATTACAAGTGTCGCCATCTGTGTTATACTAATAACAACCCTATATAATCCTTCCAATTATTACGATAGTGATTATAATGAATGATAATACTGAACCATTGTGATGTATCAACATGAGCATCAACCTGTGTTTGTAAACTATACATACTGGACACACACATTCTGTTACGTGACTGGGAGTAATGAACATGGAGAATTAAGAAACTGTACCGAGAATATTTCAGAAAGTTCTCATTGATATCTTTATTATGTAATTATTATATCTTATCTTTTCTTTATCTTACCTCAGCACTACATCAGCAGCATCATCTACTGGCGGCGGCTGTCTGGGCGGCAGAGATGGCAGCACTGTAGACTCTATATATGAAAACAAATGTTATTGTTTAAATACTATATGTAATGTCAAGTGTAATGTAGGTAGATTATTATATTCGTTACTGTCATTCACTTTGTTACTTAGTTCAATACATACATGACAAATTTAATATCGTTTTATTGAATTATACAATATATATATGTATATGTCACTAGCTTTCCACCCACAGCTTCGCCCGCGTGGAGTTCGGTTATATCGCGTTTCCAAGAGAACCTTTCAAAAGTCTGGGATAAAAACTATCCTATGTTCTTTCTATGGTCAACTCTGTCTGTACTAAATTTCATTAAAATCAGTTCAATGGTTTAGGCGTGAAAGCGTAACAGACAGACAGAGTTACTTTCGCATTTATAATATTAGTATGTATATAAGTAATGTTTCTTACCAATATTCCTCTCTACAGAGACTCGACTCTTATCTTCCCTACTAGCCTGAGTCTCCTTCTGGCTGGTCCGATGTTCCTGTAATATTTCCGCCTGGGTCCTGTGACGTTGGGGCTCTGGTGAAGAAGCCGCTGATGAAGATGAGGAGGCGTTCCTGAGAAGAATAGAGAAGATATATATATATCAATAGTTAATATACTTATATTGAATATAATTATAATTGTTATGTAGTTGGAATTTCATAAATTTTGATATCAATGAGTTTCAAATACTTTTCAGGTGTTTTAATGACTGAAAATAATCGTTAATTCCAGGTGCATAAGCGATAAGATTTGTGTTAAAGTTGATTACATATGTAACTCCTGGAAATCTCATATGTTTAATTGTCTCAATAGTAGAAGCAATTTATGATGGTGCTTAATTTCCAGCTGTACTGGAAATTAGTTATTAATATTATGAGACTTGATCTGTAACTTTATCACATAAAATACGTTTATTTTGACATTAAACATCTAAAAGTCACATGATAGTATCAATACAGGTATGAACGAAGTTCTGTAAGCTATAAATATTGAATTTAATGCGAACACCTGGAAATAAATTGTTTTCAAAGTGATAGTGTCTCTCTGACGTCATATATGGGTCCAAGACCTGGAATTAATATACTAACTGCTGCAATCTCCTTCTAACATCCGCTGTAGGTGATTCCTCAGCGCTATATGGCGTTAATTGTAGTTGGGGCGGCAGGGCTGCGTGGAAGGCTAGCTTAGCGACCCATTCTGATAGCAGGTCTCGGGAGCCGCATGAGAATAGGTACTCCGCCCCATCAGCGCATGATAGACGGAACACGTGCGAACGCTTGGTGTAGTCACTTGCGGGCGTGCAACGAGCCTGGGAAGTAGGTCGAATTAAGATATATAATATATAAGTAATATATAGTTGGTGAGGATGCTTGGACGATTTTGATAAAACTTTCCAATTATATAGCTTAAACATCAGAATAGCACATGCTATATATTATATGTGTGCTTTGATAAGAATCAAATAGACAAATATACATACTAGTATTTTAAATACGTGAGTTATACTGTCAGTCTATTTAGTAAATCTTCACGCCTAAATTACTGAATCAATTTTGATGAGTTTTGGTATAAAGATAGTTTCCCATCTTTTATAGACATCCCGGCCCTAAAACTACATGGGCGGAACCATGAAGTGCAGTTCCGATTTACCGGCCGTCAAACTGAATATCCTAACAATATTTAGACATTGACCTTATAAATTACAGTATATAATGTATAATTATCGTTCATACATTAAGTATAGCGACAGGCGGAGCCGCGGCCTTGGAGCTAGCGAAGTCTTCCTGGTCCCTGAAGAAGCACAGCAGCTGTCCGCACAACACAGCATAGTACGACCTCCAGCTCCTCACGGCAGCCCTCACGCCGCCTGAACCAGCCTCCTGCTTGCGCTCCAAATACCCTGGAAGTTTGATAGAAAAAAATATTATTCTACTTACATACACACACACACACACACACACACACACACACACACACACATTAGTGGTTGTCTGCAACTTCGTCTGAGTTAGTATCAGAATTAGAAATGTATATACGGGCGAAGTCTGTTACTTAAAGACAGTAGATAACATTTTTGATTTGATCAACTATTTTTATTTTCAATCGTATGTAAAGTATCCTATGTCCTTTCCATGTTCTAATCTACCTCTCCACCAATCTTCATCCAAACCCGTACAGTCGTTAGAGTTATAAATAGTGTAACTAACACGACTTTCTTTTATATATATATATATATATACATTTATCTACCTTCTATTTCCACGGGAGGTAGATCATCATGTTTCCTGTGCCGTCTGAAGCTCTGGGTCCGTCTGCGTGTTGTGAAAGACGGGGTGCGCTTGGGAGTCTTCACCACCTGGAAATGATGATGATGATGAAATATTTAACATATATAAACAATCCTACCAATATTATAATTGCTCAAGTTTGTGAGTGTGTATGTTTGTTACTCCTTCACGCTCAAACGGCTGAACCGATTTTGATAATATTTTGTATACAGGAAGCTGACGTCCAGGAATAACACATAGGCTATACATCCCGGAAATCAAGGTAACACCGCGGGGCGCAGCTAGTGATCAAATCTTCGTTGTTTTTAACTTACACTCATGCTCTCAGCCCTCTTGACATGTACGTCAGGTTTCGGTAGTCTGTCGAACTGCGGCGCCGGACTGAGGGTCTCCTCCACGGAACCGGCCAGGCTGCTGTTCATACCGGAACTGGATAACTGACGCTCCACCTGACGAGAAAATAGTATAATGATATATATATTGTTAAATAATAATCAATTATTAAACTAGCAACCAATCAGTGTCAAAGTGAGTACCATTAAAAATCAACCTTAACCTTCTACGCTGAATGGTATACCTTTTTGGGACACGTCATATGTATTTTATGTTGATTCTTTTTTACCCTAACTTTTTTTTTGGTGTAGGTATATTATAATGAATTAGTCATAAGTTTTATTTTATTCTTTATTCCTATGTTTTTTTGTTTAATTTATAATTTTCTTTGTTCTTTTGTATACCTAGCTACGTGTCTCAAATATAACTTTCTTTCTTTCAAACCTCAAGCCTATACAAGGATTGTTATTAGTGACAATCGAACACTTCCGTTCACTATTGTCGAAACACTATTGTCGAAAGCGGCAATTTTCCTCATTTATATTTGTATAAAATAGCGCTTAAAAAAATAATAATTGCGAAATTATTCTTGAATATTATCAAGTCGGCTATTGGCCGGCGAAAAACATTATGTGTTTTCTTTTCTAACAATATATACACCTCGAGTCATTGAAATTCATCATTCCATATTTCTTCCGACTTTTCATTATTATAGTCACCCGTACATTCAACATGATATAATTCATATATATATATTTCAATGTCTATATTTATATTTCAATGTATATATTTCAGAATTTAAAGAAAAATATAAAATATATATTTCATTATATTTTAAATTTTTCTTTAACTTCTGTGCACACCCTACTGACTACTCTCCAACACTATTCTGGGTTGGCTGGCGGAAAATGCTGTCGTAGCGTTAAGTCCGCCCTTTGTACATGTTTTATTTGTGCAATAAAGAATATTAAAAAAAAATATGTCATATCGAGGTAGGTCCCTCCCCTCACCTGTCCAGCGGCTCCCCTCTGCTCCTCCGTCTCCCTCCTCCGCTCCTCCGCGATCCTCTCCATCTCCCTCCTCCTCACCAGCTGCATCCTCTCAGCCTCCTGCCGCTCCAGGTGCTGCTTGCGAGCTGCCTCCTCTTCGTCCTTCTGATCTTTAAAGGCTTTTTCGATCTGGAAGCAATTTTATAATTTAATATACAGCAATCATTATTGTAAAGGCCCTCATAAATGTATATTAAGGGGCCTTTTACAAAAAAACACGAATTTAATTCCATTTTATTTATATATCAATGTAATAAAGACAAAGTTATTAGTATGAATTCACTTATTCCACAAACTTTCACTTAATTTCGTGAATTATGTGATCTATTGTATATCATTACAAGATTACTAACAATAAGTGTCAAAAAGACAATATTTTTTTTTATATACCAGAAAAACATAATTATCTTCATATAATACATATATCATTAGATATCTTTATGAATGCTACTTTATTGACAGTTTAACTCTACATATGATAGTTCTATCGAGGCCCCCGCGAGGCCTCTACTTACTCGAGGCTCCCCACAAGGCCCCTATACACTCAAGCCCCCCCCACAAGGCCCCCCTACATTCAAGGCCCCAACAAGGCCCCCTACTCACCAGCGTGATCCGTTTGAGCGCGAGGAACTTCTCTTTCTGCGCGTCGATAGTCTCCTCCAGATCCCGATGCCTGTTGATCAGTTCTTCAGTCTGCGCGAGACTCTCACCGTATTTACCATCACGGACGAGAGGCACTCTGAAAAAGTTGAATTATTTATTTATTTGTAAAACACTTTATAATGCAATTTCTATTAAAAATTGACGTCCACACTATGGTAGGCCTGTATCGTGTACATCGATTCATTATAGCAGACAGGATTTAATAAATTATTACTATTCTTATAATAATAGTAAATTCCAATCACACAAAGTTGTGTATCCAGAAAATATGTGATTTGGTATTGTTTTTAAGTTGTTCACAGTTAAAAGAGAGAGTGAAAATTTTAATATGTAATAAATAGAATTGATTTAATTTAACTTCCTACAATATACAATCCAAAGGCATTAAATTAAATACTGATTTTATCAGTCAATTGTCATAAAATGAATATAACCATTTTAGTATTTTAGATTATACATACATGCAAAATTATTTACAACACTAGCAAGTACTTGTGCAGTGAATTTTGATCCATCCTTTATATGTATAATCATATCATACAAGAATTCTAGCTGTTCAACAAATCCAGAAGTTTTTAAACTAGTTCATAATAGTGACGTATAAGTTTCCACAAACACCTGGAAGATATCCAGCGGTCCAGCGCATCAGCGTCCCTCAGGAACATGAGCGCGTCCAGGTGATGCTCGTATATTCTGTTCCGGGCGCTCCAGGCGTGGTCCAGCGCAGCCCTACGAGTTTTTAGGGAAGACATCCTAGTTTCAACCTCCTGGGACATGAAGTGACCCTCGCGAACTAATTTTTCACCTGGATATATGAAAAATATAATTAATAATACCATCTATAATGTTCTTAAAATCCTCTCCATCCAGTCAAAAGTTATGTAGTAAGGAATATTTGAAAGAATACAGACGAATTGAGAACTATTTCCTATTTTTAGTCGGTTAATAATTATTTATATTTATATGTATATGTTAGAGATAGTAACTGATATCAATTCCTAAAGTCATTCGTTTTATTTATTGTCAATCTGTGAAGCCTCTTTGGATATTTTAACTTCAAACTATTTCGTTGTCTATCGACGTCACTATAACTGTCAGTAGTGAATGCGCCTGCGCCGGTTGTGCGCATATTGTTTAAAATAAATTCAACATATTGCAATCTGACGACGAACATGGATTTTACATCGCTCTCTTATTGCGATATGTATGTATTTGAATATTATTTGTGAATCAAAATAAGCCAAACTTCTTATTCTACCTGGCAATTTCCCGGCTATAGCCAGGGTCAGCCAATAATAAACCAAACTATTTATATATATGTTCTAACCGTCTTCATAGAAGGTGTTGAAACTCTCATCCTTAGCGTGTATCTCAGCGGACAGGTCCTGGTGCCGGGCCAGCAGGCGAGCAGCACCCGCCACGTCAGAAGATAACTCAGGGGCGGTCACGCGGGCGAGGGTTTCATTGTTCCAGGCCCTGGAATTATATATGATGAGGGAATGTTTTAAATTTCATGTTTGAAGCAAATTTTATTGTAAGAATATGTTAAACTACCTAGTGATACATTTATTATGATTGTCGAAGTTTTAATTTAAAATACATAATATGTTTACAGTCATAATTTTGTCAAGTAAGTGAAATGTAATTTCTTTTTGAGAAATATAAAGTATCTTTAACCATAAATCCAGGTGTTAATCAATTTACAGCACATCTGTACTGTGATCAGGATGTATTATCATTGAATGATATAGCGATGATGTATCAGATTGTTTTCGATGAGGTTATTCCAGGTGTTAGTCAATTACCAGTCAATGTCTACTGTGTTTAGGATGTATAATTAATTTTGTGGCTTAAATGAATAACTTCGGTATCTTAATATCTTCATGAGCGAGAATCTTTGATTTGTATTTAGTAGAATGCATATATATATATATAATATATTGATTAATATAAACTATTTTGAGAAGCAAAGACGCCTGATAGAGTATATATATATATCTTACTAATATTATAATTGAGAAAGTTTGTGTGTGTGTGTGTGTATGTTTGTTACTTTTTCACGCTCAAACGGCTGAACCGATTTAGATAAAATTTTGTATACAGGAAGCTGACGTCCAGGAATAACACATAGGCTACTGTACATCCCGGGAAATTTCGGAAATCCGCGGGTAACACCGCGGGGCGCAGCTAGTATATATATATAATGTTTAATATATCCTCACATAAGCTCCTGATATTTATCAAAGTACGCTTTAAGCTGGTCGGCCAGTTCCAGCTGTTGCTCGCTGTGGGCCGCCTTCTCCTCCAGAGCTTCCAGCGCTTCAGTCACCTCCTCCAGCTTGGACAGCACGTGCTCCTTGGCGTCGGGGAAGGCTTCACCCAGACTGGAATAGAATAATAATAATAATAATTTATTTCAGACCAATTACATCCATATTAAAAATACATTAAAAGCTGAGTGTTAGTAACAAAAAACTTAATACCTAATGTTAGTACTATAAAATTATAAAACTAATATACTAAGCACTATTAGACCTAGTATGTAGTTATATTATTAGATATTAATTATGATAAGCTAACAATTTACCTAAACAAGTAAAAACTCTAACAAATTTTTCTATGTTCAAATCTCGACTTTATAACCATATTCTGTGTAACGATTCTCTGTTAAAATAATTAATTTAAAACTGTTATCTCATCTGCTTTGCTGATTCTAACGAATTGTTATATTTATAAATTAGTTATGAGTTCTCACGTAAATGACGTTGTCGTTATGAGAATAAAGTTCTTTAAACTGAAGCTACTTGAAGACTTGCAATATGTTTTTATATTGGATGATGAAGATCTGTATAGATTAGGTCAGAGGTTCTCAAACTCATTTTGATCTGTCTACTTTGAGAATAAATGATTTTTATAGTGACGCCATTTCTTTACTATAACTTATCCTAACTAGATGAAGACTAATAAAATGTTTTTAGGTTGGATGAAATTATCTTGAGTTACTTGAAGACGGTCTGTAATATATTTTTATATTGGATAAAGAGGAGCCATATAGATTAGGTAAGAGGTTCCCAAACTCATTTTAATCTGTCTACTTTTGTATAAACAAATTGAATAATATACTAACAATTTTGTAAATATGATCAGACTGGTGGAAATAAAAAAATATTATTATTATTACTTTGAGAATAAATTATTTTTAGTGACCCATTTCTTAACTTACTGATAAACCGCTATTCTATCCTAACTAAATGATATTACAAATCATCACAGACCTCTATACAATTGTCCCATTTTATTACTGGGTCTCTTACCATAGTCTTTCAATCATCCAAATTATACGTGAATAAAACAATTATGAAAATGACTATGCTGATATATCTTTTTGTGTATAATAAACATTATTCTGTCTACTTTCTCTTGTACAATTCTTCTATTTTCTCCACTAATTAAATCTTCCTATATTATTTTCGTCCACCTTTATTCTATACTATCTTTCCGCCCGCAGCTTCGCTCGCGTGGAGTTCGGTTATATCGCGTTTCCAAGAGAACCTTTCAAAAGTGTTAGATAAAAACTGTCCTATGTTCTTTCTCAAGGTCAACTCTATGTCTGTACCAAATTTCATTAAAATCAGTTCAGTGGTTTAGTCGTGAAAGCGTAACAGACAGACAGAGTTACTTTCGCATTTCTAATATTAGTAGGGATATCTCACCTGGAAGCCCTGTCTTTCAACATCTGGTGCTGGTCCCTGATAGCGCCCAGCTCCGCTTTCAGCGCTTTAAGCTGATGCAGCTGAGACGCTGCTGGCGAGGACAGCGCTGCAAGCGCTGCTTCTTTCTCATTGACCCACGCGACAGTTTCTTCAGCGCTGCGATCGAATTCGTGTACTTGACGCGCACCAGCCAACGCCTGGAGATATATATAAATATTAAGTTATAACTAGAATTATTTAATTTTCTTTAAGTTAGGAAAGCTTTATATGACAAATAATTAAGTTTTTTCGGCTAGATAATAGTTGAAAACATAAAATCAAGTTATGAGTTACTTTATTACATACATACAAATTAAATAATACATCTTGGACAGTGGAGGTGAGCGTTTAACGCGTTAGATATGGTCCCTTAAACCTACACCTGGGTCACAAGTCCCAGTCACTGTTGAAGCTCCTCTCACTACAACGATGGACCCGACACACGCACCTTGAATACATTGAATGATGAGAGGTTTCGTCTCTCTATATATATTAAACCTACACCTGGGTCACAAGTCCCAGTCACTGTTGAAGCTCCTCTCACTACAACGATGGACCCGACACACGCACCGTGAATACATGGAATGATGAGAGGTTTCGTCTCTTGTAGTATATCATACGTTACCTCCTGCCTAGCCAGAGCCAGTTCCTTCAGATCGTCCCACAATCCTCTAATATCTTCTATCTTCTGTTTCACTCTTTCTTCTTCTGGGGTATTCTCTTCTAGAAGTACTGCCCCCGCCTCGCAAACCGCTTCGATCCTACCCTCGTTTGCTGTAAAGTTATTTTATTGAGTCTACTGTAGATAGACTTAAAGTGAATTTTTTTTCAATGAAGCAGCTAAAGATAATAAAAAGGAAATTAATATGTTATTAGTGTTATTAATTATTTTGTAATCATAAAAGTAACACTGGAACTGAAATGTGTGTGTGTGTGTGTGTCTATGTGTGTTTTTATAGCTATTTTATTGCGTCTACTGTAGATAGACTTTAAGTGATTATTTTTAATGAAGCAGCTACAGTTGTTAATAAAATGGAAATTAATGTTATTGGTGTAATTAATTATGGTTTTCCGCTGAGTTTCTTTCGCCGGTTCTTCTCAGGTCAGTGTATTTTCTTTCCGAACCGGTGGTAGTGTCTCAAGTGACCATTAATAAGTATAATGCTTCTATATTGAATAAAGTTGTTTGAGTTTGTGTCTATGTGTGTGTATACCGTGTAGCTGCTGCATGAAGTAGTCAAAGGCCTGCTGCAGCGTGTCCACATGCTCTACATCCAAGCCATACTCCTCGCTGGCAGCAACTGTCATCTGTTCGCCGATCCACTCTTGCACTTCTTCACACTCCTGCACGAACCTGCTCACAGAACATAACAGTAATATGGCATTATTAGATATTTTTCTTTAGAAAAATTTACTTAATTGATTTTAATTTTACAATAATATTGAATAGTATTTAACGTTTCCCTTCTGCACCGTGCAAAGTGGTAGTTTAAGTAGAAAGGCAGAGCCCGGCTGAAGCTGGGTAATTGCCAGGAAGAAGGTAACGTTTCCCTTCAGTTAAAACAAACTACACTTGTAAAGTGTATGAAGTCATTTGACACACTATGCATTTTATTGACAGTAGTTCACACACACGCACACACACATATACATTAAGATCACAATCTTTCTTGTTTTCTCAACCAAAGACTATGAGAAAGTCCCACGTAATAGCTACTATATATAATATTAATATAGAAACTGGTACGTCATACATACTTGAAATATTTCAGGCTCTGCTGCAACCTCTGCTGGCGCTTTGCTGACAGCAGGTTCATCTCCTCGTAAGATGCTTTGAGTTCGTCCAGCTTACGGCGAACTTGCTCGTCCTCGTACGAACGATCCTGGTTATAGAAGAATAAATAAAGAAGAATATAAGAAGAAGAATAAATAAAGAAGAATGTTGAAAATGCAATGACAGGTGAAGAAGAATTTGTATAGTTTTTTCAAAATTTTTATTACTTAATAAAAAAAATTATGTAATATTTCCATCTGGTCTTTTACAAGTTGTGCTTTAGCTCTAGCATTTATGTTATGTATCTATTTAAATATAATAAAATTGAATTCTAAAAGTTTTTTGTCTAACTCTATTTTTACCTTCACTCACACAAATGCAAAGCTCAGCTTAAGTCTAACGGACTATACATACCTATATCTGATTTTTTTTAACTTGATAATCGTTTTGTGTTAGTTACAATCATAAATATATTTAAAAATTATATGAAATAGTTTTATTAATACTGAATTATAGTAATAAAGATGATACAAACCTGGTAGTTCTTCTCGATCCTCGCGATGGTAGGCTGGAAGGCTTGCAGTTCCCTCTGTAGGGCTTCGAGCCTCCTTGCCAGGGCGAGGGCGGAGTCTTCGTCCCGGGCCAGCTCAGCCCCGAGGATGGCCCCGCGGCGCTCCGCCACCCAGGCCTCCGCCTCCCAGATTTCACTCAGCAGCTGTAATTACATATATATTAATAATTAAATATAATTTCTTCTTTATTTCATGAATTTCTTAATTAGTAGAACGTAGGGTGTAAAACCGATCATGAATATTATCTCAGGGTATGTAGTATATACATCTACATACATATAGTACATATATACATATATATATTCTTGTCACCTGCACTTAATCCGCGTTCTATCCCGTTTGTATACAATAAGTACACTCCATGTCAAAATAACAGTGGAAACTGTTTTGGCAAAATTGTTTTTACTCTACCGTAACATTTTTATGGTTGTTACGTACGCGCTACATGTGAAGAAAAAAAAATTAACATCGTTATGGCGACATCTTTGTATGTATAAAATATATAACTCTTGACGCCGCTGACTCCGCGGAACGAACACCAAGCGTGTGAACCAGAAGATTCCTGATACACACAAGCTATGGAATGGTATTGCTATCATAACATCGGGGCAATCATGTAGTCTTAGGTGTAGGTTATAAGTTTTAATATGTAGTTCTTATTATAATATACATATAAGTTTCGTAGTTTTCCTGGAACCTCCTGTTGCCATCTATATAACTGTATGTTTTCCCATATATATACATATATATATTCACCTGTAGTAGATCACATCGTTCTTTAAGCGCAGCCTCCCTATGAGCCGCTCGTTCGCTGATAGTCCGTAGCGCGGCCCGCAGTTCCCGGCTCCTCTGTTCCAACAAAGCGCTGGCGAAGTGCCCGCGTCGAGACAACGCGCTGGCGCGACTGATCACCGCTGAGATAGTCGCCTCTCTGATATCGATAATATAAATATATATTTTTGATCTAAGTTTTCTGGGACTGTTCATTTAAATGAAACTAATATTATTCTGATTACTACGAGTATTTTATTTTAACTATGTACTCTCGAAGTTTCGATAATTTTGTAGCAACCGTGATCACAGAGAGATGAGATGAGAAATTGAAAACTAATACGTTATCATCCGAAAATATTAGCTTCCTTTACATACATATATTTTTTGTTTCTTGGGAAGGTCACTTTTTAAAAATGTTAGTACTCTTATGTGTATATTAGATGTGAATTTTACAGGAAAGCTTCCTTCAAGCTAAACTTTGGATACATTGAATGTTATTATATATATATATTATGTGCAGGTGTTCCAGCTATACCTGGCTCCCAGCTCTGCTCCCAACGCTTGGTGTTTCTTCAGCAGCGCCTGCGCCTCAGGCAGAGACCCGCCCGCCTCCTCAGACCATACAGCTGCTTCGTGCTCTTTCAACCTGCACAAATAGATAGAAATAATTAGCTGATACATTTTGGGCCCCACGATACAGGTCTCCTAGTGTGGCGTCCAAAGATAAACAAAATTTTAAATTTGCTAAAACTATAATGCACCTCAACCAATGGAAAAAATTGTAATAGTTTAAGTTAAGTTTAAGAAGGTTAATTGTGTCATATGTTAATCTATTATGAAAGCATTGTGTTTTTTCAATAAAGTTTATTATTATTATATATGGATAGATAGAGAGAGAAAGAAATACTAGATATTACACATTAACACAAACAACTAATTCAAATGTATTTTCTCTTAATTTAATATGAAGGTATTTCAACCCAGATCAACTGCTAATTAATAAATCTAAAGCATACATAAAAGCTATAAATATTTGAAGAAATAAGATTTCATTCACTAAACTTTAAAATTCAGTTATTAATTATTATATATCTGTCTCCTTATGATTTTGAATATATTCATTAATACACCAACTAGTGTGAACACGAAGGCTCAGTTAGTACAGAGCATGAACAGATACATACTAGTAGTGAGTTCAATACCAACTTGACAATGTATATTAAATATTATATGTATATTATATTTGAAACTTAATATATATATCGTCGTGGATAGTTAAAATCCTCTTTACTATCATTGTATAATTCCATGTATGTACATTGGAAGTAGATTATCAGAAGAAAGTTTGAGCTGAAATATTTTCTATATTAACGAATTTTAAGGTAATTTTTCACAATTAGTAATTATTTAGTGTTTAATATATTATTTATATTATTACCATGCCATTTCCTCGTGTGCGTCTCTCTCCCAGCGGTGTAATAGTTCAGCATCCTTAAGATTCTCTCGTCTGATAGACATCGGCTCTTGGAGCTGTTTGTATCTGGAATATAAATATTAACATTATCATCATCAGCCTATTAAAGTCAAATGCTGTAAGGCCTCTTCGCACATGGAGAAGGTTAGAGCATTAATCACTACGCTTGCTCAAGACGGGTTCGTGATTTCGAACTTATAATTTTTCCTCATATTTTCCTTCATCAGTCAGTGATGTCTAAATACTCTTATAAAGTACATATGACTCGGAACAATCACTTTGGTACTTGTCAGGATCGAACCCGCGCCCTCGTGCATGAGAGGAGGGCCTTATAACCACTAGGCCACCACGACTTATATATATAATGAACCTATAAGTGATCGTCCCTGACAAATAATTTTGTCCATCGAACTATAGATCATAGTTTTACATACATCGCACTACATGTCGCCATTCGTCACTACATTTTATTTTGATACATATTAATCATTCCGGTTTTGATTCCCGGCTGTGGAATTAATAGTGATTGTATGGTAATGGTATGGTATGGTAATTAATAGGAATAGTGATTGCATGGTAGACTTATTAATGGTATTTTATTATAATATGTAGTTATATATGTATATGTGGTCATTTGGAAGACGAAGAATTATTGTTTTGAGTACTTTTCAATATATAGGCGACAATAATGGCAAGTACAGGCTATTTATTTAATGAGGTAAATAGTCATATACAACCTACATACTTTAAATTATATATAAAGAAATCAAAGCAGAACTAGATAACATTCTATCTGATTGTTCCGTATCTCTTAAAAGGCTGAACCGTTCTTGATGGAACTTTCATAATAGATAGCCTATATAACCAAGAATGACTTAACTACTTCTATTTTAATATTAGTATGTATTATTCCTACCTTTTGACAGCAGTATCAGCTTTCTCCATGATCTCATCGGCCATGAAGTGTTTATTGTCGGCCAGATGTCTGGCGGTGTCGGCCAGTTGTGTCGCGGTGTCAGCTTTCGCCGACACAGCCGCTTCGAGGCGAGAGTGGCGCTTCAGTAACGCCGACACTGATGATAGATCCTTGCCTGGGTAAGCATTTATTCAGGTTAGTAATGAAAGTTAGTACAATGATAATATTAAAGTTATTAATTGTGAATATTTAAGTATAAAATTAATAGTAACTTGTGCCTTAATCACTACTAGTATGCTAATATCCCTAACCAAGTCACATTTAATGTCTTTTAGAACAGAATCCTTGATAGTAATGAAATCTAAGACTTTTGAGAGTATTCATTGAAATAAAAGTAATATTGTTGTATTTAATACGCGTTTTTAATTCTTATAGAGTTTTTAATCTCATATGTTGATCACGGTCGCTGCAAAGTTACCGAAACGTCGGAAGTATGTAGTTAAAATATGAGTTTTATTTTAATCAGGACATTTAATTGAATAAAAAAATATTTATTAACCACCTCTCTTTATGATTTGGGCGTCCTAAAATCTAAGCCATAGTGACTATTGATATGGTATATGTATATATAATTATTTTATTTACCATGAATCCTTAACATTTCCTAAGTACTATTGTGCTAACCATGATTATTTTTATATATATTATTGTATGTATGTCTGTCTGTTTACCATGATCCTCGCTGAGCAGCTGCGCTTCTACATCATCAAGCCAGGCGGTGAAGTCGTCTAACCCACGAAGATACACGCGCGCCTGGTAAGCCTCCTGCAGTCGGGATCTACGTAGTTTGGACGCGGACTGCAAACAAATTGACACATGAGACATACATCCCTACTAATATTATAAATGCGAAAGTAACTCTGTCTGTCTGTCTGTTACGCTTTAACGACTAAACCACTGAACTGATTTTAATGAAATTTGGTACAGACAGAGTTGACCTTGAGAAAGAACATAGGATAGTTTTTATCCCAGACTTTTGCAAGGTTCTCTTGGAAACGCGATATAACCGAACCGAAGCTGCGGGCGGAGAGCTAGTATATACATACACTATCAATTATTCTTCTAAAGATGTAAATTATATCATTTTTACCAAAAATAATCCAATTTAATATTTAATATATTGTAGAATTTGTAATTATCTCTTTCAAAATATGTTCTGAGAGCTACAAAATGACCATACAGTCATGTTATATTGTATATATTCATCATTAGGTTTAATTCCAGCAGATTGTCCATTATTTTGGCCATAAAATGTCATTTATTAGTAATTCTATGAACACTTTTATATAGTTTCTATATATTTACAGGGTGACAGTGAATTACTATCGATACTTGAGGACGTGATATTTAACGATCATATATGACAAAATAAAAATTAATATATCATAAATATTAATTAACTTCTAAGTAAAGTTAACCAAAAGTTATGTAATTAATTACGCATCGTGTGAACACCCTACAGATTAGGTATACACACACACACACACACACACACACGCGTGCTGCGGCGTGCTGATACAACACCACGCCGCCGCACGCGTCCACACTTGGAACACTTGGAACGTGTCCACACTTTATTTATTTATACGGATATTTGGTCAAAAATTAAGTACATATTTTTTTTACATAATTCGAATGAGAATCATGTACCGAGTATTCTCCTTAAATATTGATAGTAATTCACCAGTCACCCTGTATAGTATGTATCTCACCAATAGATCAGTCCACAGGTTTTCCAGGTCTTCGACGTGTTTCGCTATCTCCTGGGACGCGTAGTGCTTGGCCTCTGTATAACAAAACATATATTTAGACATTTAATCATAATTTATTTTAATGAATACAAATTAAAGTAAATTAACTCTAGTTCTGAGATAAGGTTCACATAAATAAACAAATATTTATGCTTTGCTGAATTTTTTTTCTAAGTACACAATGTCATACAAAATAGTTTAAAACGTTTTCTTCTATAATTATAAAATCAGTATAACAAGAAATTAACTTATTAAACTATACAAAATAACTATCATCATCCTATCAGAGTGCACTGCTGCGCAAAGGTATCTTCTCACATGGAGAAGGTTAGACTAACTAGAAAGAAAATAACTATATTACTATTAAAAATATAGATATTCAACCTTAAAACATTACCCGTTCTATAGATTCAGTCGGTTAAATTGACGTTTTATGTTATATTATTGACACAAAAATATACGTTTTGATGGAGTAAAAGTATATAATGATTTGCCAAACTACATAAAGGAATGTAAATGTTTAAATGCTTTTAAAAATAAACTTAAAATATATATATTAGACAATATTAAGTAGTACTAGTCATTCTATGTATCAAATATTAATGTACACATGTGTGTTACATTATTTAATCTCATGTAAGTGAACCTGTGTATGTTCTTATGAGAATAAAGATCATTTGCCATTTATGTCTACATGTGTGTGTATGTGTGTGAATGGGTGTGTATGTGTGTGTGTGTGTGTGTGTGTATGTGTATGTGTGTGTGTGTGTGTGTATATCCCTCACCGATGAGGTCCTCGCCGGCCGTAGCCACGTCGTCGATCCTCTTCTTGTTGGCAGCCAGCTCCGACTCGAAGGCCGCGTGCTTCTGTATCTTGCTCTGCAGGTTTGACAGCTCCCTGAAGATTTGAAGATATTCCTTATTATATTAGGATTATCTATATGTATTCAGTTTTGATTTATATATGTATATGTATGCCTCACATATTCTTATCTATAATATGTATACGTCATAATAAAATATAGTACTTCCAAATTTAGCTCACATATATATTGTATTAAATAGACATTTTTTCCTTTCTCTCTAAAACAATTACAAAAGCAACGCGAACAAAGTCAAAGAAAGCTACTATGCACATATTATAGACATTAATAACACTTTTAAACTCATTATTTATTCGAGTTAGTGAGTTATATTAGTGTATGTATGTGTGTGTGTTTGTGTGTGTGTATGTGTGTGTAACCTGTAGTTAGCGTCGTTGGCAATCTGCATCTTGAGGTCGATCCACTCCCTCGCGTGAGTCACGTCTCTCAACAGCTGCTGCAGCTGCAAGGCCTGCTGCAGGCGCTCGGCGCGGGACACGCACGACAGCTGGAAATATAACATATAATATATGTAAGAAATATTGGCTTTACTAATGGATATATTTATTATGAAATTTGAAAATGTAATTTTCAAAGAAAACTAAGTTCTTAACCATTACTGCTGCAAGCTCAAGATATAATCTATTATGAATTGTTCAGTTTAGATCTGGCGATACTTGTTCTTTGAACATATGTATATATGTCTCTTCAACTTTTTTTATAATTGCGATAGTTTCTTTGGACGTATGTCTGCCTGTCCTATCCTAACAGTAGTAACATGATTTTGATTAAACATTTCTATTTCTAACCACAGCATATTAAAAAGAGAATACATTATAACTCATATGTATACTCTTTATGCATACAATTACAAAACCCAGGACAAAGTCGCGTTTGAGAGCTAGTCAATACCTTGAGCTGATCGGCCCTCCCCCTCACGGCGGCTACCCTCTTCATTATGTAGTCTCTATTGTAGTGTCCCTCTGATATAGACTCTGCGTATTTTTCCAGCTCAAACACTTTACCCATCTGGGATTCCAGCAGTTTGGAGAACTCTCCGTGCTTACGGATCAGTGTCTCAACAGCTGGAAAGAGAAATTATATATATTAATCATATATTTTAAGTATTTATTACGATCTGGACTTGTATTATATTTATTTAACTAATTCTTTAACCTTGGTTCATTTTTGTCTCCAAGAAAAAAAAATTTTTTTAGTAAGGAAGTAACAAAAATATAATATTTTTTACACATTCGTGACGTTTATGAAAACTTAAAGCAAACAATGCGTAAAAATATATATAATTATGGAATAATTTGACATCAAGAGGACTCAAACCTGTGACTGCTAGGTTCTTTATTCTTAATTTCTTCTGCAACTGAACTATTACGCCTTAAGGTAATTTAGTTATATATTGTATATGATAGTGCAAATCCTTGTAACTAGCATTGGTTAATTCCGCGTATCTAAATTGGAAGCAGATTATCAGAAGAAAGTTTGAGCTGAAATATTTTCTATATTAACAACTTTTAAGGTAAATTTTTCACAGTTAGTAATTATTTAGTATTTAATTTATTACTGACTGTGAAAAAATTACCTTAAAAGTCGTTAATATATAAAATATTTCATCTTAAACTTTCTTCTGACCTGCTTCCAATGTATATATCTACATTATCCAATGCTAGTTACGCGGATTTGCACTATTCCCGACTATATATGTATATAGTTAGTTAGATAGGTAGTAGTTACCGTCAAGACTATCTCCTAGATCATCATTATGCAGGAAGGCCTCTTTACCAGCGAGCCAGTCCTCGACAGCCTGGGCCTGTTCCTTCAAGACTTGTAGCGAGTGGGACTGGTGATAAAATTAATATGTTACTTGCTAATAAAAAATTTAGACATAGTTGGTTATTAATTAAAGTAATTTAGTTCCTAAAGAGGGTTGATGTCAGGCAGTAAAAAACAATTAGCCAAAACTATTGACATGTAGGGCAGACCCTGGCAAAAGCTGGGAAATTGCTTGGAAGATGTTACTTGCTAATAATAAATATTTATATTGTGTTTCTATGATAATAGTAGCATGTATATGAAATATTTTAGTTAAGCTTTTAGTTCTCGAGATAAAAACGTTGAAAAAGACATACGAATTGTTCAGCTTAGGATATAACATGATTTTAAGTAGCAATACAGTTTTCATAGAAATAATACATCGTAATAAATATTAATTTTGTTAATTCTACTTCTATCATGACCTACCGATATTCTGAAGAACAGAAAACGAGATATTTATTTAATTATCCGGTCACCCATTCAAGTTATGACCGAAGCGGACGTTGCTTAACTAGTATCAATTAATAATCCAAGCTGTGAGGAATCTGATTCATTTAAGATAAGAATAGGATACCAGATATTTTTTGTCATACGGTCACCCATCCAAGTTATGACCAAAGTGGACGTTGCTTAACTAGTATCAATTAACAATCCAAGCTGTGAGGAATTTGATTCATTTAGTATAAGAACAGAACATTATATTTTTTATCATCTGGTCACCCATCCAAGTTATGACCGAAGCGAAAGTTGCTTAACTCAACAACTGAGTAGATACCTGTGTGAGATACTGTTTCCTCTGAAGCCATGCCTGATCAAGTCCAGCCGCCAGCTTCTCCACTCGTTTCACCTTTTCCACCTCCTGGGCCTGCTCAGCCTCTTTCTGTAGAGATGAGATAGCTTTCTGGCGACCGTCTATCTCCGCCTGCGAATTTATTACACAAATATTACTGTAGTAAAAGATTTCAACAACAAAAATACTAATATATATAGATAAATTCTGTTTTAATTTCTGTTTCTTATATTATTGTTGTTTTATTAATATATATTCAGCAGTTTTTACTTAGAACAGTGACAAATTAATCCTATAAATATTATAATTGCCAAAGTATGTGAGGGTGTGTGTATGTTTGTTGCTTCTTCACGCTCAAACGGCTGGACCGATTTTAATAAAACTTTGTATACAGGAAGCTGACGTCCCGGAATGACACATGGGTTACCCGGAAATCCGCGGAAAACACCGCGGGACGCAGCTGGTCTGTATATATGTGTACTGCTGGAAGGTGTCTATCCAGGTGTTACCTTAGTCTCGTGCAGGTGTTCCAGCTGTGCCTGGGCGTCTGTGACGCTGTCCGGCTCAGCGCGATCTAGACGCTTCACAGTTTCTGTTACCCACACCTCCAACTCCTGCAATACATTACAGCGGTTAAAAAATATTCAATATTTATTTATTTTATAGTATCACCAACAGAAATGACAATAGTGTTACAAAAATTATATAGTTAACAATTGAACACACTTGACAATTGTATTTATTTTTATAGGTAATCACAGCATGCACTAAATATATTAAACATTAGTAATTATCACAAGATTGTTTTTTTGGATCAATTATATTATAATTAAAAAGAAATTGAATTATTTAACAGAACAGAAAGAAATTAAATCATTTAATATTGCTTTTTTTTTATTAATTAATAAATAATTTCTATGGATGGATATAAAAAAGTGGATATTGTAGGAACATTATTGAATGACCTGAAATTATTGTACACTATTAGCATTCTTGTATATAATGTAGTGATAATAATGGCTGAAATTTTATTTTACTTTATAATAAAGAGATAGGATAGTTTTCATGTAGTAGAAATGTTTTTTATTTCAGTTATATTACTTCTATTATATATATATATATATATATATATATATATATATATATATATATATATATATATATATATATATATATATATATATATATATATATATATATATATATATATATATATATATATATATATATATATATAATTATATTGCATTGTATATGTATAAACATATATATAGATGAGCATGTGTGTGTTTTATTTCTTAGTATATATAAACTAATACATCCAATCCCGGGTTGATGTCAGGCGGGCTGCCGGTCGTAAAAACAATTAGCCAAAACTATTCATAACATGTAAGGCAGACCCTGGCTATAGCTGGGAAATTGCCAGGAAGAAGAAGACATCAAATCCCAGCCACATTTGATGTTATATTAACAGAACTAACCTTAAGGTTCTCTTCAAACTTATGTTCCTTGATAGCGTCGTCCAGCATGTGTGAGCGCGCGGCCGCCAGCTGTTGCAGCTGCTCCCAGCCTTGATCCAGCTGAGACAGCTGGGACTCAATTATCTCACGCTGTTCAGGATGACTGCAGAAGAATGATGATTATATACATTAATTATTATTGATTGGATTATATATACGAGAGTCGTGTTAGTTACACTATTTATAAGTCAAGAACGGCTGTACGGGTTTGGGTGAAGATTGGTGGAGAGATAGATTGAAACATAGAAAGGACATAGGATACTTAACATTGAAAAAGGAAAAAAAATAAGTTGATGAAATCCAAAATCTTATCTACTGTCTTTAAGGAGGAACAGAGTTCGCCCGGTCAGCTATACATTACGAATTCTGAAACTAACGCAGACGAAGTCGCGTTCAATACTAGTGTCTTCTAAATTGAGTTTTCCTAATTTTATGTCTATATGTCTACTATAAATACTATATCATTATATTTTATAATTCAGTACTGTTATAGACACTCAATTAAATAGACTTGCTGTTATAGAATTGTTATTTCAAATTTACTAAATAAAGTGGGATACCGTAAGCACAGGTATATAACCATTTCCTACTAATATTATAACTGCGAAAGTTTGTAAGTGTGTGTGTATGTTTGTTACTTCTTCACGCTCAAACGGCTGAACCGATTTCGATAAAATTTTGTATACAGGAAGCTGACGTCCAGGAATAGCACATAGGATACTTTAAATTCCGGGAATCCGCGGGTAGCACCGCGGGGCGCAGCTAGTATATATATATATATGTCCAAGTTACTATACAGGTGTTCTACCTCCTAGCCAGCGCCGCTCCGTCGTTCTTCAGCTGTTGTATCCTGTCCCTTATAGTTCCTGCCTCTCGAACAGCTGCCTCCAGCCTCCTCTTCAACTCATGAGCCGCGCTGAGGTCCCGGCCACACTCCTCGCTGCGGAATAATGCTGCCTTGCGGGACAGACGCTCTGATGTTTCTTGAACGTCCCTAGATTAATGAAAGTGGATTAATTCATCATCATCATCATCCTATCAGAGCCCACAGCTGAGCTCCTTCTCACATGGAGAAGGTTAGAGTTATCACCACGCTCGCTCAATACGGGTTGGTGATTTCATAATTATATAATAGAATTAATACATTCGAGTCAAGTATGATAGTTTATATCATAGGTTATGTTGTCTATGTAGAGTTTGAGAATAAAAAATTTTTTAGTGCCACCATTTTTTTTAAATCTATGTAAAACCACTATAACTTATCCTATCTGAATGTTATTACAAATCAACTCGGTCTCTATACAACGCTACAATTTTTTCTGGGTTCTTACCGCCCTTTAGGCCTGCAACACCCACTAGAGGGCGTTATCACCCAATTTGAGAAAGACTTTAATTGATAAATGAATTTGTATGATATTATCTGGAGGTAGCACATTCGAATCCTTGTTAATAAATTTTTCATTCTATACTTCAAATTGGATTCTTAATTACATTGTTATTTTTACACTAAGTAGCATTGTATATGGTAATTATCATGTATTATAGATGTTTTCATTCCCTGTATGTCTCTGTATGTATGTGTCTGTGTGTACCTGTTGAAGGAGTGTAGCTGCAATGCTGCCGCCAGCCTCTCCCTGTACCGCTGCAGGGCGCCGGTCAGCGCGCGCCACTTGAGCAGCACGCCGTCACGACGGGCCGCGACGCTGGCAGCGTGTTGGGTCGGACCCTAGGCAACACACACATATATATATAATGCAGGCATTTACAATAGATTCAACATAAATAATAAATTGTACTTTAATTCATGTCAGTAATATGTTAGTGTGACGTCATTCTGAATCGAATGTGGCGGAACAGCCAAGCATACAAGATGGCTGACTAGCTATATTTTAAACATCATCATCAGCCTATCAGAGCAAACTGGTGAGCAAAGGCCTCTTTTCCCATATGGAGAAGGTTTTATGCTTGTATATAAAGGATTATACATTCCCATACATTATTAAATACATAATTAATGTATGTAAATTTATTATTTATATATTACATAATTAATCATCAAGATCAAAGTACCTACATTTTTTAATGAATTTCTTATGAGAAGACTTTTTACTAATCTCTTCAAAGCTACAGTCTATCGGTCTACTTAATTTCATGACCTGGAGAAGTTAATATATAACAGCTGCATATTACTCTCACCTGCTGCAACAGCTTGTCAGCTAAGGCCTGCACGCTCTTGACGTGTTTGTCGTCTACCTTCATATCGCTGTCTAAGTCATCCAGCTTACGTAGAAGGGCGGTGCAGTGCTCGTAATCACGACCGGTCTCATTAGCTTGAACCTATTAAAATAATTTTCATATTAAAATAATTTTCATCATCATCATCATCATCAGCCTATCAGAGCCTACTGCTAAAAGGCTTCTTCATATGGAGAAGGCCTGAGCATTAATCACCACGCTCGCTCAAGACGGGTTGGTGTTACAAACTTATAATTTGATATAAGTCCAGGTTTCCTCATATTTTCCTTCATTAATCAGTGGTGTCTGAATAGTTTTATAAAGTACATATGACTGACAAATCACATTGGTACTTGCCAGGATCGAACCCGCGCTCATGTATGAAAGGAGGGCGTTTTAATCTCTAGGCCACCAAGATCACAAAATAATTATTTATATAATATATTATTTATATCAGAAAACAATGTAATTTTTACATAGATATAATATAATATATATTCTGTATATATTCTTTGAGTATCTATATCATACCATCAACTCCTTATCTCGTATCCAGGCTTCTATTTTGTCCAGGTGCTGGTTGAACTCCAGAATGTCCTGGGCCTCCTCTAATCCGCGACCTGGTAACCGAAATTAAGAATCAATGAGTTAGAAGAAATAATGTAAATTATATTCTTATAACATTGTATGTAGATATTATTATACACAATTGTCTTCTACAATACAGATAGACAAATATATACCTATGTATAGTTTCTATTTTAACAGTGCTTCCTAAAATTTATTATCATGGACCATTCACGATATTATTCTAGCAAGTTGGTAGGCTATACTTCCAGTATTGATGAGAATTCGACAGAAAACGTGAATAACAGTGTCGGTTCTGGTCAAATTATAATGAGTTTAGCAGAAATAACTTTATTTATATACAAAACGGGCCGGTCACAATGATATCACGGAATAGAGAAAGAGAGATAGAGAAAGAAAGAAAGAAAGAGAAAAAAGATAACATTATGGTGTAGCAAAATGTATATGCCTTTGCAAATCGCAAATTTCAAATAATTTTAATACATTTAACAATCAGATAGAGTAAAATGAAAATCTTGTCACATACATTATGTGTTTTTGTTATGTAATTCATATTTCTTTAACCTTAACACGAGTTTTATCGTTAACTTATACAGGGTGTATGAAAAACTGTGTCAACCCTTGAAGGCACGTATACATATAAGTATAAGCTTATTATAAAAAATAGTATAACTTAAAAAAAATCAAGCAGAAGTCAGTTACAGTGCATAGGCTAAGTAAGTTTTAAATCGACATTTTTCGAAAATATGTTCCAAACATCTGACCATACAAGGTCAAGACAGCGTATAGTCGCTACGACGCATGCGTGACCATTGACCGCAGGCGACGGGCCGCCGGCGTTATTATTACTATTCTGTGAGTTGTCGAATAGAGATTTGAAAGTGTAAAAATTAGTTATATCGATAAATATTCTATCGACATTTTCAATATTGGTATAAATAGTTATGCTTTTCATATTAAAATAATTTCATTTAAAATAACTTTTATTAATAATAAATATTATAATTTGAAACTTGTTCAGATAAATTAACTACATATGTTGTATTATTAGGATAAATCGTTAATCTATTTCTGTTAAAAATGATGTTTTACAATCAAACATAATATTAATGTTTCATATACCAAAATAAGTATCGAAATAATATGAATATTAAATATTTATTTATTGTTATGATTTTTTAAATATCGATATTCTCAATAATGTGAAAGTAACTTCAAGGTCGTCACTAGTAGCGCAGCAGCTGTGATGACGTCATTGCGTGTCATCGTGTTATACCAGGGTTTACAAACATTTTGTTACTCTACATATAATAATCATTTAATATTTAATTTTATTATTTTTATTGAAGAGTTTGTAAATGTAAGTTGTTTTATTGTGTTACATTATCGATACTGATAACGTAGTTATGAGGGTTGACACAGTTTTTCATACACCCTGTATACAGTCAGTCTTCAGTTCTTCATTCATATACTTATTGATAAACTAAAATATATCTAGAATTTATTATATGTATTATTAAGTTATCAAGCTATAACTACTATGCCTATAAATATAATATTATAATACCTCTTTGTTCCGCGGCGTCCTCCAGAGTCCTCCACTCTCGTTCCAGCTGTTCCAGCTCCTTGGCCACCTCCCTATCAGGTTGCAGCTGTTCGGCCAGCTGTTTGACCTCGTCCAGGCGCGCCCTGTTCGCGGCCAGCTCAGCTGTGAACGCCTGGTGTCTCTGAAGCTTCTTGATTTTGTCTTCCAGGTCCGTCACTTCACCTGGAAATCGAAAGATAATAATTGTTTTATAACAAATTATTAAATTATTAAATATATCTTTTACCGAGCAAATAACTATAATATGACATAATGCAGTTTATAGCAGAGGTTCACAAACTTATTTAGTTCTGTTAAAAATATTTTTAAACGGCCTCATTTCTTTACCTATTGTAAAACCTCTATAACTTATGCTACCTAGCTAGATGATATTACAAATTTAGCAGGCTTCTATACAATTCCCCATTTTTCTGGGTCTCTAACGGCCCTTTAGGTCTTTCGTCCACAAGAGGAATTTATCTCCCACTTTGGAAAGGCTGGTTTATTTATATAAATGCTCTGAATTTCATACTCCTCGTTAGACCTATCGCCCACTAGAGGGCGCTATCACCCAATTTGGGAAATTGTAGTTTATATATACTGTGTGTTACCAGTGATAAGCTGCAGCTGCGCCATTTTGTCGGCAACCCAGCTCCTGGCTTCAGCGGCGTCTCTTGTGAATTGAGCTCGAGCGCGCGCCCTGAGTAGGGCTCCACGACGGACTCCAACAGCCACATACAGCTATAAAATAATATATATTCGATCTTCATTAAATAAGACGAAACCTCTCATCATTCCATGTATTCACGGTGCGTGTCGGGTCCATCATTGTAGTGAGAGGAGCTTCAACAGTGACTGGGACTTGTGACACAGGTGTAGGTTTAAGGGACCCCTATCTAACGTGTTAAACGCTTACCTCCATCCAAGTTCCTCTCTCTACCAAATTTGTAACGAACCTACTATCGCTGCCTTCCAAGAATGAATTAAAATTAGTTCTGGACAGGCCCAAGTCTTTTAGAAGGTTGTAGAGAGATTTAGCTGTTATACCTCTCGATCCCACTTCTACCGCATATATTTTAGAGTATTTAATGTTGTGTGTATGTACGTACCTTTTTCCTCCGGTCATTGACCGCGGCCAGTTCCTCCTGTATCCGCTCACTCTCCACGTGGTTCTGTTGCAGTAGCTTGTCTCCGTGGCTGTTCAGAGTTGATAGTTTCTCATCCTGGTGAATATTTATGATATCGATTATATATTAGATATATAAGAAATTTATGAAGATAATTACGTTTGGTGGCAGCGAAGGATGCAAAAAAACCAGTTTTACTTGTAAAACTACATACTAAAGAGGTGTCTTTAAGTCAATTAACTCCAGACTGAATATGTGTTAAAATCCATTTACAATTCCCACTGATGGGTCATAGTCAGCATTTGGTACTTAATATCACATTTATACTATAAACTTACTCCCCGGTTACGCTTGCCTAACAAGATGTATTTAAAATGAAACTAATATTTTTCGGATTTACTACGCTTTTTTTTATTTTTGACTATAAACTACATACTTAGAAAAATGTGGAACGCTTCAGGATTTTGCGTGTCATCCATCCAAAAATCGTGACGAGTTCCACATTTTTGGGAGTATGTAGTTTATAGTCAAAAATAAAAAACGAGTAGTAAATCCGAAAAATATTAGTCTCATTTAAATGAGTACTCGCGAAATCTTAGATCTCAAGATGTAATTTAATTACTAATTTATTAAATTTAATTTAATGATTAATAATTTAATTTAATTACTAATACGTCACGTTTTCTTACTAAATGTCTTTTAGTATACATATAATAGTTATATCTGACCTGTGTCGCCAGTAGTTTCTCGAAGGCCTCGTGCTTCTTGAGTTGATGTTCCACCTCCTCCACGCTGCTGGTTGGAGATATTTCACTACCTGCAAAATGAAATTAATTAATTTATTATGGACTATAAGCTGGTGTCTCATATTTTCTGTGTGTTTGTGTAAATTTAACAAATTAGTAGTAATATTACTTTAAAAGTTAATTCTGATCTTGTTTCCAATAACATAGATATATTTTATGTATTTCTATTATTAATTTTGAAAAAAAAAACCAAAACAACACCCAAAGTACCCACAATAGTATTATATTCTTATATGTATAACTCATAACAAATTCATATTCTACATTCTTTGTGAATAATTCATCAAAATTACTAATAAGATATATTTATATATATTTTAATTCGACTTTATAAACCGAGTTTCAAATTGTTTTTATGTTTGTATGCCCTCCCTTATCTCGTGACCCGTATATAACTAACCTAGTGCCGCCTCTTGTGCCGCACACAGAGCGTGAAGCTGTTTGGCGTCTCTCAAGAAGCAGTGCCAGTCGATCAGCTGATCGAGCGCCACCTGCCGGGCTGCCCAGGCGTTAGCCAGACGACCACGCTCCTCTACTACCGCGCGACAACGCTCCTCGATCTCCTAGAAATAAGTATTAAATAATGAGATTAATTAACCAGAATTACCTGTGGTTATACAGGTAACAGGATTATCTCATGAGATATATCGCGGGTAATCATTGAAATGTAACTAATGTTTTTTTGTATTTACTATAATCTACTCGTGATGCACGTGAAATATCAGTAGTACATTATAAAAAATAACTACAGTAGAAACTCGATTATCCGGCCCTCAGTTATACGGATTCGCGATTAACCGGACTACGGACGAGTCCCCACAAGAAAAAATGTCAAAGCATAAGAGAGTGGTGTTGTTGAGAATGGCGTATGTCAAATGACAATTAACAAATATTGTATACCAAATTAAACTTATTATTTTAATTCATGATTACCAATTGCAAATTACCAAATATATATTGTTATTTATTTTTTTAAATGAACATATAATATTATGTACTACATAAACACAAAACCGGGTTTTCTTCATACATTCGATTATCCGAATGCCTATCGACGACAATTAGTCTGGTTAATACAGTTTCTACTGTATAAACACTTAGTAAATACAAAATATATTACTTTTAACCCTATATACTATGGACAACATGTTTTTCATAGTACATATAATATTGATTCAGAGTGTACAAACCGCTGAGCTGGGATGTTCCTCATCCAGTAACCTCTGCCCCCTAGCCAGTACGTCCTTGAACCCGTCGTCGCGCGCGTCTATCTCCGCCCTCAGCGCGTCGTGGTGCGCTCTCTGCGCCTGCGCAGCCGCTGCTGAGCGAGCGGCGGCTGGGGACGACATCTCGCTGCGGAGGGATGACGACCACGAGATGACGTCACGGACCTGGGGGAAACGATATTGATGTTATATATAAAATTCTCTGAAACGGCTTGACCAATGCTCATGAAATTTTGTGAGCATATTGAGTAGGTCTGAGAATTCTAGGCCAACATCTATTTTTACTTCTATTTTTCATACCCCTAATTATTTTTAAAATTTGGACGAAAGGTTTTGTTTTTATTTTTTCACGATGAAAATACATAAAACCCTTAATTTTTACTTTTTTTATCACCAACCTCTACTTTTGATATGACAAAACATTAAATTAGTACTTAATATAGAAATATGTCTCTGAGTTAAGCGTTATATGTATATGAAACAACTTCTCAATGTCATATCATTTTTGTTACAAACGCGATGTCGAACTGTATATTCGTAAATGTTTTGTTATAAGTGTAATTTTCAGTAAGTGATAATACTGTCTTAATTGGAATAAAATATCTTAAATGTTACATTATATATAGACGTAAAATCGTTAATAATTAATTAGTATATAAAGAAAAAATATATAAATTATATAGATTAATCAAATGTAGCAATATATTACAACACTATCAGGTAAAAGTTTTTGTATAACAGTGAAATCCCATAGTTCATACCTCGGATAGGAAAGTCTGTAATTCCAGGTGTTGGTGCAGCAGTTTCCTCCTAAGATCTGCAGCTCCTCGTAGTGACCGCCAAGCCTCACTGAGCGCCTGCTGTCTCAGCGCTATCTGCTGGGAATTACCGCCGGGGCACAACCGCTGGAGGCGAGACCCTTCCTCCTGGAGCACCTGGAAATAGATTTTATATCACTACAACTATCTCTTCTACCTGGCAACTTCTCAGCTTTAGCCAGGGTCTGACTTGACTTGTGACTTGTGAATAGAATTTGGCTATTTGTTTTATACGACCGGCCGCCTGCCTGACATCAACCCTCTTTGGGAATGCATTAATCAGTGATGTATAAATATTCTTAGAAAGTACATACATATGACTCGGAAAAATTACTTTGGTACTCGGGCCAGGATATATATTACTACAACTATAAAATACTGCAAATATCAGCTAAAATCTTATTTAGGCAGAATAAGGCTACATTAAATGAGGAGCTATGATATTATGAGATAGAATTTCGCGAGTATTCATTTAAATGAAACTAATATTTATCATATCGTCTGCTCGTGATCATGATACTGTAAAGTAAACGAAATGTCGGAAGTATGTAGTTTTTTATTAAAAAGTACATCCAAAAAATATTAGTTTCATTTAAATGAATATTCGATAAAATCTTATATCTCATTATAAGTCAATCTTAATAGTTACTCTGTGTCTATGAGTTTGCATTTCTTATTGCTGTTTTGTACACAATTATTGTTGCTTTGTGGGTATGTTTTAAATTTCAAGTTTAAAGCAAAATTTATTGTAAGGATATGTTAAACTACCTAGTGATACATTTACTATGATTGTCGAAGTTTTAATTTAAAATACATAATATGTTTATAGTCATAATTTTCTCAAGTAAGTGAAATGTAATTTCTTTTTGAGAAAATAAAGTACAGTAATACCGCGCTTTACGCGAGGGATACGTTCCGAAGAAAATCGCGTTAACTGAAATTCGCGTATATCGAGGTTTATGATTAAACACAGTCAAAATTTAATACACAAATATAAAAATCATTTTAATCAATCACTTTAATTCTAAGAACACTATACAATACACAATTACTCCTATTTTTTACGAAAAAATACACGTATTGTCTTTCGGGTAGCGTTTTGTTTACATTTTTGTAAAATACGTTCTTAACACCAAACACTGTTTTAATCGTTTGACACACGTTCAAGACACGGTCATCATTATTGTCTATACTCTGCAATGTCCCAACCTGAATAAATTTTTGAATTTTCGCGTTATAGTGAAACCGCGCAAAACAGGGTCGTGTTAAGCGGGGTATTAGTGTATCTTTAACCATAATAGTTATTTTGTAGTACCTGCATCTGCGCGTCTATAGCGACCATATCGTTCTCCGCCGCGTCGTGGTCCCTCAGGAGAGCGGTGGCGGCGCGCAGATCGCGGGGCGCGGGGGGCGGGGCGAGGCGGGCCCGGCGCTCCCCGGCCCGCGCCAGCAGGTCCCCGGCGTCGCGGTGGAAGCGGTGTATCTCTCCAGCAGCAGCCAGGCGCTGGCTGCGGGACTGGATCTGTTCTACCAGACGCTGCCAGGACTCGCTGAAAATGAATTTTATTGGATATATGGATTATCTGAATTAAGTCTTATATATATGTAATTAAATTTCATTTTGCCTTGTTTTATTTAACATGTGGAATTTTTGGATTAGATCTTATAAATATGTAATCAAGTCTCATTTTTCTTTGTCTAAATTAAATTCTATATCTAGCCATTAAGCCTCATTTTAACTTGTACAAATTTATTTGCATTTGTGGAATGTCTTATTTAGATCCTATTTCTATATCATTGAGTCTCAGTTTTCTATGCTATCAATTTATTTGGAAATGTTGATTATCTGATTTAGATCCTATGTCTTTGTAATTAAATCTCATTTTCCAAGTTCCCCTCACCCGAGTACTTCCTGTCTCTTTTCAATATCAGCGATGTATGGGCTGTCTGAGGCGACCAGTTTTTTGGCAAGCTCCTCACACTGGTTGAACCTCTCAGCACCACTCTCAACACGATGACGAAGCTCTTCAAACTTGGACCGAAGGATCTGTGGTAAGGGAAATATGATGTCTTAGATTATAGTTTTGGAGATTATTTTAATTAAATTGTTATTATAAATAAGAAAATAAGTAAAACTTTGGGTATATTTAATATTATGACACCCTAATTATTGTATATTGTTGTAAGACACGAGAAATAAAAAAAACATTAGATTATAGATATAATTAAATGGTTTTGGAGGATATTTTAATTAAGCTATAAAACTTTAGGTATATTTGATATTATGACATGCTAATCTTTGCACATCCTTCTGAGATGCAAGAAATAAAACAAGACTAAAGTAACACATACTAAATGCTCAAATTGACTTAAATTTCAATGAAATTCAACATTCATTCGTTAGTTTTATAAAAATAGTATTGCTGAACGGAGTTTCATCAAGTTTCAAAGCGACAGTAATTATTTGTATTGATACATATAAGGGAATAATGTCTCCATCATCAAGTGTGATGGCTGGAGTATCCTCTCATCATCATCATCATCATTATATCATTACTCACCAGTAAGTGTTCATAATCCTGTCCATAGTCTTCACTTGAGGCGGCCGCTTGCTGTTCCGCAACCCATTCCTCTAACTCAGCGCTCTCAGCCAGATATTCATGTCTACGGATATACACAAATATTTAGAGTATATCCTATTACACATATATACTAGTCTTCTTTCTTCATAATCAACTGCAGGAATAGAAAAGTACGGCTAACCAGGAGTTACTGTGTAACGCTTAAGAGACAGTAAATAACAAATTTTGGTTAAGTAGGGGTTATTTAAATGTCGACCTCGCTTAATGACAAGTATGCTACGTCAGTCTCCTGTTTCCAAACTACCTCCAAAGAAATTTACAAATTCTTATAGCCGTTCTTGATTATAAGTAGTGCGACGAATATGATATATATATAGTGTCTCTCACCTGCACACACTCTCCATAAGCGCGGCCTGCCTGCTAGCTGCCAGTCTCTGCAGCCTAGCCAGACTCCCTGCCAGCTGGTCATGTCTGGTGACCAGCGTCGCTCCCTCAGGATGACCACCGGAAGCCATGGATTGCGCCACGTGACCCATTTCCGCTATGATAGCCGCGTATGTATCCAATTCGAGTTCTACGGCCTGTTGGTAGGTTAAAGAGGAATTGTAAGATAATGCTGAATATACTCTATATTATTATATTTCTGTTAATTGAAAGTGTTACAAATTTAAACAATGACAACTGTTTCGGCTTAACCCATTTTATTAAACTTTATGTGCATATTCAATAAGTCTAAGAATTGACTACTATCTATATTTTATACCCCTAAGTATAAGGGCGGCCCACTTTTAACACCTTATTTAATTTTTTTGGACAACCTTTTCATAATGTAGCTTTAAAAAATACACACAGCCCTAAATTATCACTATTTCATCACCAACCCCAATTTTTTTATATATGTTTTATAAATTTTTGGTCCTACTCAATAACTGATCAATTTTCACTCTATAAGTTACTTGGTGAGTGGTGATTTACATATACATATATAATGATATATCATACATTTTTCATAGATTAAAATTCTTTTACTTGACCAATGTATTATATGTATATATGTTACCTTATGCCGTGTGAGTAGTTGCGTCGCTCTATGCCTATCATTGCCGACGTCACCGGAAGCCAGAGCGGCGGCCTTGTCAGCCAGCCAGGAGTCCACTTCCGCTGCGTCATGCAGGAACTGCTGGGCCTTGAGCGCCGCCTCGAGCCGGGCCGCACGCTCCTCCGCCGCTGATGATACAGAGGAATAGGCCTCTTCAAGCTCCTGGCACAGCTGCTTGATCTGGAATGTGATTATTATAGTTATAGTGGGTGGAGTATAAATTATATGTATATGCATAAATTAATCTTCTTCTTCCTGGCAATTTCCCAGCTTTTAGCTAGGGTCTGCCTTACATGTTGTGAATAGTTTTGGCTTATTATTTTTACGACCGGCCGCCTGCCTGGCATCAACCCTCTTTGGGAAAAGTATCCCTAACAATATGGTTATGTAATACATGAGAATATGAGTTATATATATACCTTGCCAGCCTGTGGATGCGTGTCCAGCTCCTTGCCTCGCTGGAGCACCCTCTCCACGATAGGCCTCCGCCCCTCGAGCTCCGCGCGCAGCTTGGCGTGTTTCTTCTGCGCCGCTTGCGCAGCGTGCAAATCTCCGGGCAGCGTGGTGGATGAAGCGGCGGCCTGGCGCTCCGACACCCAAGCTAGCTCTCCTGAAACCTCGGCAGCGAACTTGTGTAGTCTGTGGAGGATTTGGAATAATATAATTAGTCCTCAAATTGATTATGTACTATTACTCAAACTCAAATAACTTTATTCAATATATAAGCATTACACTTTCTTATTGATGGTCACTTGAGACACTACCACCGGTTCGGAAAAGATTATACCCTGAACTGAAGATTATACCCGGAAAAGATTATTCTTCACGCTCAAACGGTTGAACCGATTTTGATAAAATCTTGTATACAGAAAGCTGACGTCCAGGAATGACAAGTAGACTACTTAACATCCCAGAAATCTCGGAAATCCGAGGGTAACAGCTAGTATGGTATAAAACAGTAGCTTTCTCTGTCCCTATATCCGAATGTATTCTTAATAACTTAAAACTACGCAGTGGATTTTAATACAGTTTTCTTTAAAAGATAAATTGTTTGAAAAGGAAGGTTTGTGTGTATAATAATATCTATACAAAAGTGGAGAATCCTTATCCAGTTAAATAACTTTAATACATTGTTGATTTCAAATAGTTCTATGTATATGGCCCTTTACAGCAAAAAATTTAATCTTTATACCAGTCCCGGCTCAATTATATATATGTATTACATACATATATATTGTACAGTCAACCGTTAATAATTTCTTATACAATGTTGTATTGAATCATATTTTGTTTTAGTTATATGGTATACTGACTGTAGACTAGTTTCGAGCGCCTGTCTCCTCTCGGCCGCTCTAGGGCGGAGCGCCCGGGCGGCCTGCAGCAGCGCGGCGGAGTCTCTCTCGATGGCCGCGCCGTCGAAGTGACCGCTGGAGACCAGGTCGGAGCCCTGGGCCGCAAGGGACTCCGCTCGTTGTTCGCATTGACTCAACTCTTGTTCCAAAGCCTGTAGATAGATAGGTTACTATTGAATATGATTTATATATTATTAACAAGACTACCTTTTATTAAACCGACTAAGTCTATATAAAGTTTTTTAGAGCTGACAGTCCATTCGTCAATTGGCGCTCGTTGGAGACGGATTGAAAGTCTTTACACGTCAGCCATTTTCTTTTCGTTTATGACATACGCTTGTAATTTGCTTATCATTTAATTTAAAGATTAAAAACGCATTAGGTGATCTCAATTTGGTTTTTTAATTAATATTCCACGTCCTACTAATATTATAATAGCGATAGTTTGTGACGATATATGTATACAGGGTGACTGGTGAATTAGTATCGATATTTGAGGACGTGATATTTGACGATCATATATGACAAAATAAAAATTAATATGACATAAATATTAATAAACTTCTAAGTAAAGTTAACCAAAAGTTATGTAATTAATTACGCATCGTATGAACACCCTACAGATTAGGTATACAAACACACTCACACAGACGCGGCGGCGGCGTAGTGTTGTATCAGCACGCCGCCGCACGCGTCCACACTCGGAACACTTGGAACGTGTACACACTTTATTTATTTATACGGAAATTTTGTCAAAAATTAAGTACCTATTTTTTTTACATAATTCGAATGAGAATCGTGTACCGAGTATGCTCCTTAAATATTGATAGTAATTCACCAGTCAACCTGTATATATGTTGCTCTTAAGTAAAATATCCCGACAAATAGTGATGTAACCCCTCAATGAAGCAGTTTAAACCTCAGAATGACATCTATTATATTAGATCCACATTAATTATCACCTGAACAATATCTAAGTCACGCATGAAGTCGCAGTAAACAACTAGTATGTGATGTACCCACCTGGTGTAGTAGCAGCAGTCTCTTGCAGGATCTCAAATCTGAACCCAACTCGGTGCTGTTCAGAGCTCGCTCCACTTCTGCCAACCTCGCTTTGGCATCTTCCACCGAACTGAAAAATCATGATTATATGAATAAATTTAATGTATATTCATAATAAAGGGGAATATGTATATTCATAATAAAGGAGAATATGAGATGTTTCCATCATCATCAGCCTATCAGAGCCCACTGCTGAGCCGCTCCTCTCATGGAGAAGATTTGAGAATTAATCCCCACGCTCGCTCAAGATGGGTTGGTGATTTCAAACTTATAATTTGATTTTAAATCCATGTTTCATCACGATGTTTTCCGTTCATCAGTCAGTGAGGTCTAAATACTCTTATAAAGTACATATGACTTGCAACATCACATTTGAACTTGCCAGGTTTGCTAGTAATTAGACTCTTTTTTAAATGGTCAACAACTTTATACATATATATGACAAATATAGCTTGTTTTCGACTGCTTAAAGATTAAATAACATAACATTTCCGTATTCTTCAAGCTTGATACATAATTACTGCTAGTGCGACCATAAAATTAATATTAATGGCTTAATTTCAAGTCCTTTTTCAGCTTTTAGATATATAATATGAGGGTAGGCATAGAAATATATATATATATATATATATGTGTATATATATATATGTTTATTTTACCGTCTGTGCATCCTCTGCTGGCTGGCCTGCCTCAGCTTGGCGCCCTTGTCCCTGGAGGCGGCCACCAGCGCCGCCCAGGCTGTCTGCAGAGACTGTAACCTGGAGGAAACCTCCTCAGCATGACCTGGGTCTGACTTCTGGAGCGAGAGACCGATCTGGAATATTATGTACATATGAGAATTGATAAGAATTTACATATAAAGTTCCTAGTATATACTATATAGTCTACTACTATACTATTACACTTCTTTCCCAATTTTAGAAAGCATCTGCCTTACATGTTGTGAATAATTTTGGCTGATTGTTCTTATGATTGGCCGCCTGCCTGACATCAATCCTCTTTGGGAATGCATTAATCAGTGATGTCTAAATATTCTTATAAAGTACATAGGACTAGGATAAGTCACATTGGTACTTGCCAGGATCGAACCCGCGCTCTCATGCATGAGAGGCGGGCCTTTTAACTACTAGGTTATCTAATATATATTATATTGGTAGATATATATCAACGCGAGGTGTGAATTAAGAGCAAATTAAAATACTTTGAAAAGGCGTCCCAATACATATACTGTCTCTATATGAGATATAAAGCAACATACACTCTCAACATTCCTGAGTTGTTTCTCATTCGCCTGTAACTCTCGTTCGAAGGCCTCGTGCTTCTGCAGCTTACGTTCAAGGTTTGCCAGCTCTCTGGAAACAGTTATTAATAACTAAATATATATATATACATATATATATCTTTAGACATCAGAAGCAGATATATTAAAAAGGAAACAATTTTAACACTTGACCTAGTTATTTAGTCTCGAAAAGTAATTTTAACAACAAAATTAATTAAATAGAAAGAACAAAATCCTAAACTTAATAATTATTAAACGCTTTAACAAAACTACACGACCGGTGTTTGCACTACGAACGCCAAGAGCCAAGAGACAAGTGACAAGTGGCGGTTTGAATGCTTCTTTTATAAACAATCGTGTGGGTAGTTCTTTTATAAATAATGACGGTGGTAAGCTGATTGCTTATAATATATATATTATGAACTGAAGGCATTAATATTATTTGATAATTAGTTTGTTAATAGAATCTTCTTTTAGAGCAAATACAAAGTAGCTATAATAGTTTAGTATGTATGTATGTATGTGTGTATGTATGTATGTTCGTTACCGGTAGCTCTGGTCCGTGGCTGTCCTCGTTTTATCTTGTATCCACGTCTGCAGCTCGTCCACCGAAGCGAGGAACTACAACACATTACAACCATTATAAATATCACAGGTCAGTACACTGGTTATCTTCTATTGATAGATTTTATTATCTTTAATTATATATATTACTATGTAGACAACAAACAGTTTATGATTTTGAAGAATAACAGTGTAAATTGGTCTATTTCCTACTCTTGCTTGCTTTATATACAAATAATCTCTTAATTATATATTATTTCAGAATCTATATAGATGCACCATCTCTTAGCTTGGAATAATGTATTAATAGATTTATTATGGAAACTAGCCTATGTGTAACTGTAACATTATAAATTATCATCAATAAATAGACCAAGCGATAAATTATAAGATAATTATCTCGTAACTATCTGCCTAGGAACCATTTTCCTTTAACACATCCCACTAATCTTCCCTATATATCCTACTAATATTATAATTGCAAAGTTTGTACGGCTAAACCAAATTTGATAAAATTTTGTATACAGGAATCTGACGTTCAGGTATAACACGTAAGCTACTTTACATCCCGGAAATACGGGGGTACCACCGCGGGGCGCAATTAGTATATATTCTTCTTCTACCTGGCAATTTCCCAACTATAACCAGGGTTTGCCTTACATGTTATGAATATTTTTGGCTATTTGTTTTTACGACCAGCCGCCTGCCTGACATCAACCCTCTTTTGGGAATCAACATTAATCAGTGATGTCTAAATACTCTTAGAAAGTACATATGATTCGGAAAAATCACATTGGTACTTGCCCGGGCCAGGATCGAACCCGCGCCCTCGGCGACGAGAGGCTGAGAGGCGGGCCTTTTAACCACTGAGCCACCACTGACTTATATAGCAGCTAGTATATATAAATAATTAGTATATATTTCTCATGTAATTCTCAGTGTGTTCTATATGTTAGTGTATTCTTCATCATATATCGTACCTGATGATGTGCCAGGTTGGCCAGCAGCGCTCGTCTCCTGGCTGCTGCAGCGTGACGGACTGCCTCCCGCCGGGACACTACGCTGTCACAGCGAGACTGGATACTGGGGAAGAAATATTTAAGGTATAGTCACGATAGTTTAGTGGTAAAAGTGACTGAAACGAGACTATATATAAGTTACAGGTTCAGCAGATTAGTATGTATATATAATATATATTATGTTGAACAAAATCGATAGCAAAGGCTTTAAAGAAAGCTTTAATTTACTCTGACAAGATATTGGAGTTTTTCTATATTAATGTAGTTTTACATACTATAAAAATAAGATAGGAGCTTGGATGATGAAGGTGAGCGTTTAACGATAGATAGGGGTCCCTTAAACCTACACCTGGGTCACAGTCACTGTTGAAGCTCCTCTCACTACAACGATGGACCCGACACACTCACCGTGAATACATGGAATGAATTCAATACTAACTGTTCTTTCGCGTAGTGTGGTGGCTTGGCAACTATTAACGCGTGTGCTCGTGCTGCGAAGGCCGCCACGCGTTCATCTTGAGCACTCAGCCGGGCTTCAACTTCCTCCTGACGTTTGAGATAGGCCTCCGCTTCGTCCACAGATGACTGGAGACATAGGAGAGTTAATATGATTGATACAAATATATTATATTGGATTGAGAGTAAAGACAAAATATTTATCCCTACTAACAGTGGCGGCTGTACCTTAAGTGCACTCGTGCGCTGAACCACCAATTCAAAAGATTTGAAAATTACAAAATATTACTTCATCTTTATTTTTAAATTACCATTTTAATATTTATTTTCTAAACATACAAAAACGTATATAAATTAAATTTCTAATTATAGTCAAAAAGTTTGAGCGCTTTAATACATTAATATCTCGTGCGCTTCGGCGAGTGCACGAGGACTGCTAATACATCTTGTATGAGATACGCATTATAACGCCTGACGCGTGAAACAAAAGATAGTTCATAGAAATGTACCGAGTAATGAGTCGGTTCTCGAGCGCCGCACGAGCGGCCGAAGATTACCGAGAGCACCCGATGTATGACGAATTGGAATTGAAAAGAATCAAAACTTTATTCCGATATACCATGCACTTGCAAAATGCACTTTCTGTGCTTAGTATTGAGAAAAATAATTATACAAACAATATCCGATTTTAATAAAAAATTGATTGAATATTTCGCTTCAGAAAAATGTTGTCGCATGGATTTAATGTATAATAAATAAACATAGTTTATGTCAATTGGTTTTTTGTTACATTTTCTAATTTAATATTTTAGTAAAGTGCACCACCAGTTCGATAACCCACCAGCCGCCACTGCCTACTAATATTATAAAAGCGAAAGTAACTCTGTCTGTCTGTTACGCTTTCACGTCTAAACCACTGAAGTGATTTTAATGAAATTTGGTACAGACCTAGAGTCGACCTTGAGAAAGAACATAGGATAGTTTTTATCCCAGACTTTTGAAAGGTTTTCTTGGAAACGCGATATAACCGAACTCCACGCGGGCGAAGCTGCGGGCGGAAAGCTAGTACAACATATATGAGAGTATAAAATCGAGCGAAAGCTGACAGACATCTTATTAAGAAATAGACCACAAAAATTATTATTAAATAGTATTATTTTATCTTTTTATTAAAAAGTCATATTCAAAAACTACATTATATACTAAATGATGTGACAAACTTGTAAAAGATTTAATTTAATCTTATATACGGATACTATTAATATCTTATATATATAGTGTGTGTGTGTCCGTACCCCGTAGTCGTTGTAGTTGAGCACCGCCTCGTGCGCCCCGGAGGCGGCGTCTATCTGGTCCGCCTCGCGGTTGAAGCTCTGCAGCTGGAGACACTGCTGCAACACCTGCTCCTTGGACTGCCACTCTGGAAAGATGTTTGTATGATAGTTAGCTTATAGAATAATACATTAGTATGTATGTTGTAAAATTTACTGAAGTTTTTTAGTTGTTAAACAAAGTTTTATATACGATAAATGAAACAAATATATTCGGATTTACTACGTGATTATTGATTATAAACTACATTTTCCCGACGTTTCAGTTACTTTACAGCAACCGTGACCATTAAGACGAGATGTCAAAAATCGCGTAGTAAATCCGAAAATATTAGTTTCATTCAAATTAGTACTCTCGAAAATCTTAGATATCTTTACATGGTATAGTATATTACATCTAATAAGTACATAGAACAACATATATGTATACAGGGTGACTGGTGAATTACTATCAATATTTGAGGAGAGTACTCGGTACATGATTCTCATTCGAATTATGTAAAAAAAATAGGTACTTAATTTTTGACCAAATTTCCGTATAAATAAATAAAGTGTGGATACGTTCCAAGTGTTCCAAGTGTGGACGCGTGCGGCGGCGTGCTGATACAACACCACTACCCGCGCGCGCGTGTGTGTGTGTTTGTGTATACCTAATCTGTAGGGTGTTCACACGATGCGTAATTAATTACATAACTTTTGGTTAACTTTACTTAGAAGTTTATTAATATTTATGTTATATTAATTTTTATTTTGTCATATATGATCGTCAAATATCACGTCCTCAAGTATCGATAGTAATTCACCAGTCACCCTGTATATTAATAATAGAGATATAATACTCAAACAAACCTCTCTATATTAAAATTATCTAAAATAAACATACATTTGCTACTGTATGTTCTTTCAAATTATAAATTTCATAATAATCCTACTAATATTATAATTGCGAAAGCTTGTGAGTTTGTGTGTATGTTTGTTACTTCTTCACGCTCAAACGGCTGAACCGATTTTGATAAAATTATGTATACAGGAAGCTGACGTCCAGGAATAACACATAGGCTACTTTACATCCCAGAAATCCCGAAAACCCTGGAAATCCGCGGGTAACATCGCGGGGCACAGCTAGTAATATACAGGGTGACTGGTGAATTACTATCGATATTTGAGGACGTGATATTTGACGATGATATATGACAAAATAAAAATTAATATAACATAAATATTTATAAACTTCTAAGTGAAGTTAACCAAAAGTTATGTAATTAATTACGCATCGTATGAACACCCTACAGATTAGGTATACACACACACACACACACACACACACACACTCGCGCGCGGCGGCGTGTTGTTGTATCAGCACACCGCCGCACGCGTCCACACTTGGAACACTTGGAACGTGTACACACTTTATTTATTTATACGGAAATTGGTCAAAAATTAAGTACCTATTTTTTTTACATTATTCGAATGAGAATCATCTACCGAGTATGCTCCTTAAATATTGATAGTAATTCACCAGTCATCCTGTATATATTATTGTGAAAATGTTTTTGCATCTCAAATTTATACTATTTCTTTTATCATATATGTATATATAACAGCTTATTGTTATCATGTATCCACAATTCTATATCCCAGCTGTTCCAGCTGTTCTCACCTTTCATGACAGCATCTTGTTCCAGCTGTAGCAGCTTGACCGTCTCTGCCACGTCTGTAAGAGCTGGATTGGTCGCCACCAGCTGTTGACCCAGGTTGATGACCTCTTTGAACCTGGAGGTAGTTCAATATTTAATGGTTTCAGTATATAATGAGCATAGAGTGTATTAGGTAGGAATATATTAAGTAAATAATGACTATATAGTAGAATTTGGTTGTTTGAGTAAATGAGATTTAAAATTTTAATGAGTATTCATTGAAATAAAACTAATGTTTGTATTTATTATATGTTTATTATTATTATGACTGTTTCGTATCGTCTGCGTGTGATTACAGTCGTTACAAAGTAACCGATAATCGGATGTATGTTATAAAAATAATTATAAACGAATATTAAACAGAAATATATTGGTTTTATTTAAATTTTAAATCAAATGCGACTTTTCAAAATATAAGTGACATTTAAATATGGAATTATGTGTGATTAAGTTTAACTAGGTAGCAGCACTAAATCTTTTTAGTTCGATCTTAAGATTAAGATTGTCTATGAAAAGAAAACGACAGTAATATAACTATCGTACATGATGAGATATTTATGCAAAAATGAAAGACACTATGTACTATGACCAAATGAGCTGTGTACAAAATGATCTGTGTATCATATGAGTTGTGTACAAGTCATTAGTGTGTACTAACTCATCATTATGCGCTTTGATGTCGTCTAGCAGATCCTGGTGGTCCTTCAACAGAGACTCGGCGGTCGCTACGTCACTGGCGCGCACCTCCGATGATACTTGAGAGCGGATTTTCTGTAATTTATCATATCTTATATATAAAATTCGTCAAAATAATATATATAAAAATCGTGTCGCGGTGTTAAACAGAGAACTCCTCAGAAACGGCTGGACCGATTTTGATGAAATTTTTTGAGTATATTAAATTCATACCCCTAAGTCATAAGGGTTGTTCACCCTTATTTTTTTATTTTCATTTTCGGACGAAATAGCATTAAAAATACCTACAACCTAAAATTTTTATTTTTCTATCACCAACCTATTAAGCGATGACGTTTAGTTTGTTCACTTTTATGCGGGAAAGAATTTGTCACGCGACTTGTGTTTTTGTAAATTAAATTAAACTTATTTCAGGGGGTTTGGCTCAATATAATAACTAGTTTGTTCTAGTTGAAGTTTTATTTCTTATTTAAAAGTATTGACTTTATAAGACAACTATATTTTTTAATGATTTTGTTAGAATCCTAATTATATATATCAATAAATCTTTTAGAAAGATAATTTAAATCATAATCTCTTTAATATTTTATCCGTATTTTGTGTAATCTTCGATAACAGAGTCGGTTCAAACATCATAGCAATCAATAATTCACCTGGATCCAGTCCTATATGTAAGTATAACTAGTCACTCTTTCACTACTACCCCGCCTAGAGCGACGCACGTCCCCATTCTGCTCCGCGCTAGTCATGAGTCTGCCGAGCGCATGCCGCACCCTCTAATGGGGTACGTGAGACAGTGTATTATATATATTGTACAGATCATAGTGAGCAATAATTCACCTGGATCCAATCCTGCAGCTGGCTAGCTCCGTTAGCAAACACCTGGTGTCCCACAGCACTCTCAAGTCGGGCCCGGCGCTCCGCGGCCTGGGCCTCGCAACGCTCCCACGACGAACACAGCTGTCTCTGACGGGCCTCGACGTTGGACCTCTCCGATGGATACTGGGACTTGACCCTGGATATAAAGATAATGTATCAGATATACATTAATGATATATATATGATGTACATACCCATTGCGATCGTAGAACTTCAATAGGCTGCGTGGAAATAACAAAATGATTACATATCGGATGCCAACTATGTTATTCGGTCATAATTATAGAATTATGGATAAATTCTAAGGTTTCATGTATAGATGAAATACATACATCAATAACATCATAGTTCTATAAGACCAATTTATTAAATGTTGTGTGAAATTACACTACAGACTAAACTTTTATAAAGAAACCACATATTAAAAACAAAAGATTATGTCGACTTATACATTCTCATAGATGGCGCTGACATATATTTTTTAATTTATATTCTACTTCATTTTGTACAATAAAAGCTTTGAAAGAAATTCTAAAACATTAGAGGGTATTTTAATTAGTACTGTAACCTTGTTTAGTTTCAAATTAAGACTGTCACCAATTAATACGATATACATTTCGCAAATATGATATAGAAAAGTCCTTAGTTGGAAATTAAGATCTTATCACCAAATAATACAATATACATTTCTATGCCGCAAATATGATATAGAAAAGTCCTTAGTTGAAATTAGGACCTTATCACCATAAAATACGATACAAATTTCTACGCTCCAAATATCCAGGTGTACTCACGAATCAGCAAGTAGGGTCACAGTGTGTAGTCTATCTCTCAGCGGCTGCAGCTCTCTCTCAAGCTGTGCGTGTCTCCGCTGCAGCGCTCTAACGGTTCTTAGGTCCGCTGCGCTGGCGCTGCCGTCGGCTAGCTGGCGTTCCTTCTCTGACATCCATTCTAGCGCTTCATCACAGGTGCGGTTGAAGAGCTCCACACTGGTATATAAAAGACATTTAATACCAAAGGCTAAACACGCAGCATTTACAGTTTTCGCACAAGATAAGATCAACATAAGGATTTATTTATTTATTTATTTAAATAAATAAATAAATAAATAAATAAATCATAAGGATTTCAAAATATGCAATGAGAAAGTTGATTGAATTATATATATAATTATGTAAGTATTAGATTAGTATATGTATATAATATTTACTTTAGATCAGATATCCCCAAACTATGTTGGACAAGTGACCAATTTTCCACCACAAACCGTTACCTACACATGACAAATGACCTATTTTAAGACCAAATTTCTTATAATTATTCAATATCTAAGCACAGTTGTATTGTCTACATTTTTTGTCAGTAATCAGTCACCACTTCACTTAATACACTATGCAAGAACTATAATCCCTTCCAGCTCTAATTAATTTCCAGCTGCTCCCAATTCATCACCTGGAGGCTCCCTCCAGACTCTTCTCCTTCTGCTGCTTGAGCCGCAGCAGCCGGTCCCACTGCTGCCGCAGCTGCTGCCTCCTCGCAGCAGCTCGCGCCGCCTGCCCGTGCTCAGCTGCCACCAGCTCCTCAGCCGCTGCGTCGATACTCTCCAGGCGTTTGGAAGCCGCTGACAGGTCCGTTACGAATTTCTACGGACATATAGAACCATGATATTATATATATTCACAACATGTAAGGCAGACCCTGGCTATAGCTGGGAAAATGCCAGGTAGAAGAAGAAGAAGATATATATACAGGGTGACTGGTGAATTACTATCAATATTTAAGGAGCATACTCGGTACATGATTCTCATTCGAATTATGTAAAAAAAATAGGTACTTAATTTTTGACCAAATTTCCGTATAAATAAATAAAGTGTGTACACGTTCCAAGTGTTCCAAGTGTGACGCGTGCGGCGGCGTGCTGATACAACAACACGCCGCCGCGCGCGTATGTGTGTGTGTGTGTGTATAGCTAATCTGTAGGGTGTTCACACGATGCGTAATTAATTACATAACTTTTGGTTAACTTTACTTAGAAGTTTATTAATATTTATGTTATATTAATTTTTATTTTGTCGTCAAATATCACGTCCTCAAATATCGATAGTAATTCACCAGTCACCCTGTATATATATGTATAAAAATCGTATTAGTTACACTGTTTATAACTCAAAAACAGTTGTACGGGTTTGGATGAACATTGGTGGAGAGATAGATTAGAACATAGAAAGGACATAGGATACTTTACATACGATTGAAGAAAAAATATATCAAACCCAAATCTTATTTACTGTCTTTAAAGAGGAACAGAGTTCGCCCGGTCGATAAATATTTAATTGTGAAACTAACGCAGACGAAGTCGCAGGCAAACACTAGTGTATAGGTTAGCTTTACAGAATGTAATTGCACCTTTATTATTTTAAGCGTTTTTTTATTTTTATACTGAGCAAACTATGCTCAATGCTTAGTATGGTGGTTTGAATTAACACCTCTAGTTGTACTTTTTTGATTGATAACTACATTAGATATTTTATCTCAATATTCTACTAAACTAATCTTGGATCCCAATCTCCCGTGGTGCAGTTAGCGAAGTCTTATAATGAAATTTGCAAAAAATTACCAAGTCTGGACCTATTCGGCGATTCGTTTTATGTATTTAAAAAGGAAATTATTGACTATTTTTCTTCTAATTCATAGTTTTCTTAAGTTTATATAATATTTTTTTTTTAATTTTGTTATTTTTACGTAGTATTTTTGTTTTATATTTAAATTAGTGTGTATACTTTTTTAATTGTATTTGGTTAATGTTATGTACACTTGACGTACATATCTGTTGTTATAATATAGTCACCTTCCTTAACTGAAAACTTTTAATATATATGTTGTTAATGTGCTTATTATAAATAAATAAATAAATCCTACTAATATTATAATTATGAGTGTGTGTGTATATTTGTTATCTCTTCACGCTCAAACGGCTGAACCGATTTTAATAAAATTGTGTATACAGGAAGCTGACGTCCAGGAGTAACACATAGGCTACTTTACAACCCGGAAATCCGCGGGTACAACCGTGGGGCGCAGCTAGTATATATATATTCGTACCTCATACATCCTCTTAGCGTTGTCCACACTCTCCTGCGGCTCGTCCGTCCTCAACATCTTCTCCTTGTCTCTGATCCACTTGTCGAAGTCGTCGCACTCCGCGAAGAAGCTGTACAGCTTGATAGCGTCCTCCAGCTGCAGACGACGCGCCTCGGACAGCTTGAGCAGCTCCTCTGGTGGGGGAACAGCTTGTTAATATGTAATTACTACTTTTTTATCTCTTTGTAGGCTATCATTCCACTACCATAATGTAGATGTACCAAAATTTATTACTACAAGAGGTGTCTGTCAGGAAGCCTGATAAGTGGTTAGCCGTAACAAACAGTCGTAATAGTTAAAACTTTACCATGTCATATAAAATGTCTTCCTGCATGTGAACTATTAAAGCGAGATTACAATATAACAGACACGTAATAATTGTTATATTCATCGATCATCATGTAGCAGCTCTTTCCTCCGTCTCTTTGTGGTCATCACAGTGCATATTTCTCTTTCACACCTCCAGCCGTCGCATATGAACTTACGACCATCTTATATATCTCTCTGCCTCTCTCTTTCACACACACACACACACACGCACACGCACACGCACACGCACACGCACACGCACACGCACACGCACACGCACACGCACACGCACACGCACACGCACACGCACACGCACACGCACACGCACACGCACACGCACACGCACACGCACACGCACACGCACACGCACACGCACACGCACACGCACACGCACACGCACACGCACACGCACACGCACACGCACACGCACACGCACACGCACACGCACACGCACACGCACACGCACACGCACACGCACACGCACACACACACACACACACACACACACACACACACACACACACACACACACACACACACACACACACATATCCTTCTTTCATCTCCGTCCTTACACAAGCACATCCCTACTCCCTTGTATATATATCTAGCTCCCTCTCTCTCACACACATCCCCCCTCCTCTCCTCACCATACTCCAGCTGTATGTGTTCCATCCTCTGCTGCACGGGCGGGTGTCTGTCAGGCGGAGGCAGCCTGGTCCTCCTGGCGGGCGTCCTCCTGACCTGCACGACCTGCTTCACTAGCACGGTCTTCTTGACACGCTGGACTGTGCGCACCTTCTCCGGACGGCGGACCTGGACCTAGGGTAATACATAGATTAATATATGTACTAATACTGCTAATTATCCCTACCAATATTATAAAGTCAGTGGTGGCCTAGTGGTTAAAGGATCCGCCTCTCGTTGCCGAGGGCGCGGGTTCAAACCTGGCAAGTACCAATGTGATTTTTCGGAGTCATATGTACTTTATAAGAGTATTTAGACACCACTGACATACGGTGAAGGAAAACATTATGAGGAAACCTGGACTTATAGTTTCACAATTATAAGTTTGAAATCACCAACCCGTCTTGAGCAAGCGTGGTGATTAATGCTCAAACCTTCTCCATGTGAGAAAGAGGCCTTGCTCAGCAGTGGGAGCTGATAGGCTGATGACGAATATTATAAATGCGAAAGTAACTCTGTCAATCTGTTACGCTTTCACGCCTAAACCACTGAACTGATTTTAATGAAATTTGGTACAGACATAGAGTTGACATTAAGAAAGAACATAGGATAGTTTTTATCTCAGACTTTTGAAAGGTTCTCTTGGAAACGCGATATAAACGAAGTCCACGCGGGCTAAGCTGCGGGTGGAAAGCTAGTAAATTATAAAATAAACATATATACACAGTTGTTTTATGATGAAAAGACTTAAAAACCGTGGTAGATTCATTTACATGTGATTATTATCAGGACTGATATTCCATCGTACGTAAGAACAGAGTAATCGTGGTTATTGCTTTGTTAAGAAGATTGCCAAATTATATAGAAATGAACTATCCTACTAATATTATAAATGCGAAAGTTTGTGTGAGTTAAGTTTGTGACTTCTTCACGCTCAAACGGCTGAATCGATTTTAATAAAATTTCGTATACGGGAAGCTGACGTCCAGGAATAACATAGGCTACTTTACATCCCGGAAAATCCGCGGGTAACTAAGTAATATATATACATACCGGTACAACTCTCGGTTCTATTTCCCTGACGTAGTTCGCGGGTACGAATCCGTCCGTCCTATCTGCCTTACGCACGGACCACCAGTCGGGATTGGTCTTGCTAATGAGGAACATAACCTCGCCCTTCGCCATTGAAATTCCCTGCCCGCTGAACGCGTACAGAGCTTTCACCTGGGAGAAAAACATATAATTATTGCTAATAATCAAAACTTTATATTGATTCCACGTGCAAAATTTCATGATAGTTTGATATTCAAATAAATTGATTACGTAGATTTTGCATAACATACACTCAAACAAAAATCCTCCATAATACTTTATGACGTCATTAAAGTAGTGATAATTACTTTGTTATATTGATGTGTGTGTGCGTGTGCGTGTGCGTGTGCGTTTGCGTGTGTGTGTGTGTGTGTGTGTGTGTGTGTGTGTGTGTGTGTGTGTGTACCTGAGGCACGCTCCTCTGCTCGGTGACTGTCCTGTGTTCCAGCCTTTCTACAGGTTCTTCCTCCCACACCTCGGCCGGCACCAGACGTGACTCGCTCGACCACTCATCTTCCTGCTCGCCTGAAACGGACTCTACTTCCATCGGCAGCTGGATATGAAAATTATATTATTATTATAATACTGTTACACGGAAACTACTGAAGTGATTTTGATGAAACTGAGTTGATACTGAGGATTTTATATTTGTATAGTATATGGAATCACGTGACACACTATACAATATAGATGTAAGTGACGGTAAATTTACATGTATATTTTTATGAAACTCATTTTTTTCGGATATAGGTACTACGCGAATTTAATTTTGTAAAAAACTACATACTACCGATATTTCGGCTACTTTTCAGTAACGGTGATGACGGGCAGACGAGATGTGAATGATATAAAATATATTTAGGCACATATTGATAATAAAATTCTGAACCTAATTTCGCACTACAATCCCAAGCACGAATTTGCATTAAATAATTTGTGATCTCTCAGTAAAACATAAAATGTGGACCGCTTTATGCAATAGATCTTAGATTCTAATCCTATTAAATGCATGTAATACATCTATCACCCTTAGCGTGGTTATACCATTCAATAATATCATATTATAAGTTTGAAATCGCCAACCCGTCTTGAGCGAGCGTGGTGATGAATGCTCAAACCTTCTCCATGTGAGAAAGATGCCTTTGCTCAGCAGTGGACTCTGATAGGCTGATGATGATAATGGACCGCGTTATGCGATAGGTCGCCGGTTCAAATCCTATTAAATGTATGTGATCATCACCTGTAGCGTATGTATCCCGTTGTTAGTGAGCCTATCAGCGGCGGCCGCTAGCGCGCGCAGCTCGGCCCCGTGCGCGCGTAGTTCGTCGTGTAAAACGCGCTGTCGGGCCAGTAAAGCGGCCGCGCCCGCCGCGTCCCGCCCGCAGTCTGAAGACGCCACCAGAGCGCGCTTCTCTCGCATCCAGGACTCCGCTTCGTTTGCGTCGCCGTAGAACTATTGGCATATACATTCATGAATTAAGTACTAAGTAAATTAAGTAAGTGTATATGTATGTACTGACAAAACAAGTTCCTGTGCCGTATCTCATATTCTTTGATATAAATCATGTATAAGAGTCGAATCATTGCATATGTAAATCAGTGTGTCTTATTGTACTCTCTCGGAAATAAATAATGAACAAGTTAGTGTCTTCTTTATCTTCAACATTCTAAGCCCAGCAATATTCCAATGATGTAAACTACTCACGGAGTAATCGAAAACGAAGATACTATCATATACAACTATTGCTTTATAAATATAAACTCCATACTTTCAGTATTTGTCAGTTTATTAGAACGCAACTAGTTTTTCGTTTTGCTAAAACACCAGTATTCTCCACTATCATTTTGTTGCCACCATTTATAATATTAAGAAGAAAAAATTTCTTAATACAATTAAAATTCGTTTATTTATCGACCACAGCTACAAATATATTACTTTACGGGACATATACTGGTACTATATCGAGGGTAGTTTCCAATCCACCGTGTAATATATTTAATCCGTATAGAACTGCTATAATAATAATGAACTCCAGTGTATGTGACCAAACCTGGTGCGCCTCTGCAGCATCAGCTAGCTGCTTTTCCCTGTCGGTAGCCAGTTGCCGTAGCACGTCCCACTGCTGGGATAGAGACGCCAGGCGACGCTCGATCTCACCGCTCTTAGGGTGCTTTGATTCTATTAGACTAAAAAACAAATTAAATTATTATTATTATGTGAAATATGGCATCTTCTATCGATCGATCTTCTATGAGATTAATATGATTAACATTATGATAATCTGTTTGTTCAAGGTCAACCCTCGTGTTATGTATACTGATCCTGATCTCTGTCAAGGTCTACAGTGTGTTATATATATAATGACCCTGACCTCTGTCCCTTGCCCCTGTGTCTCTGCGCCACAAGGTCCCGGGCCCGTAGTTCGTGTAAAAGCGCCGTGTGTTTCTGTCTCAGCGCCATCACGGCCCGCAGATCCTTAGCAGCGACCTCCGCCCGGCAGATGCGCTGCTTCTCTATCACCCAGCCTGAAATTATTGGATTTATTCGTTTTATTCACGGTTTATCGATTTATGCAGCTTCTTTGCCAGTATATTAGTATAATTATTTATTGGTTTTAATTTATTTCGATACAGCATTAGAATTTATTCATTTTATTACTTTTATTCATCTTCTCTTCGACTATATATGTATTTTTTCTTGCAGGTTTTTATTTATTCAAACTATTTTTTATTTTGAATATATAGCTAGTGCTTGACTGTCCACCAGTTGGAAGGTAAAAATGAATTTGTAAACGACAAACACACTATGTCAGTGTAAATCATATATCTTATCTTATCTTAAATCATATAGTATATTATATAGAACTCATTATATCTGTTAGTATATATGTTGATCACAGTTTTTGTATGTCATTACTCCAGAACATATATATATCATCAATAAGTGATATTAGCTATATATAAATCTTTATATTGGTATGTCATCTTCATGAGTCACTCACCTTCTTCCTCCTCATGATCTTCGAGGAACTGGTACAGATTCCTCGCATCCTCGAGCCTCGCCTTGCGGTCCTTAGCGGCTGCGACCAGGCTGGAAATTAGAACATACACATACATTTAGTTATACACACACATATATGTATATATGTATATACACATTTTAGATGACAAAACGGCATGGAACATATATAATTAGACTGTACTTGACACATATCTATATATAATTGTCTACATATACATATAATAATTTCTACGTATGTATTCGTCTATGGTAGCGGGCTGCGTCTTTCTTTTAATTAATCAATTAGTGTGCAAGTGACTTGCTTATTTGAATGACGTTCTTATCACTCCGCACAGTACTTAACACGATATATATTTAAATGAGCTCTAAACAAAGTAAGACTTGAACTAGTAAGACTCAAATTATATTTTAAAAAACAAAGAGATTTTGATCACAACTAACTTGACTTTGATTTGTTAATATCTACATATATACACTATACAATGTACTACTAATATATCCTACTAATATTATAATTGCGAAAGTTTGTGAGTGTGTTATGTTTGTTACTCCTTCACGCTCAAACGGCTGAACCGATTTTGATAAAATTTTGTATACAGGAAGCTGACGTCCAGGAATAACGCATAGGCTACTTTACATCCCGGAAATCCACGGGTAACAGCGCGGGGCGCAGCTAGTATATATATACCCGGTGTAATCATCAGCCAGTGAGTCTAGGGCGCCTCTTAGCTGGGCGGCGGAGGCGTGGTCTCCCGCGCCCGCCCTCGCCAGCCTCTTGATAGTGTCATCCAGAGCTCCTAGTTGTAACTCCTGGAGGGCGTGCGCCTGCAGCAGACGCTCTACATCCACCAGGTGTCTGCCAACCTCCTCAGATTGGAATTGAGCCTGGAAAATAATTAGTTATATAGAAACAAAACCTCTCATCATCCCATGGAATCAACACCGCCCTGACAGAAGATAGAATATTAGAAGATATACATATAAAATACAAGAACATCGCCGGGGCGACATCTTGGTATCAAAAAAATATCATATAACGAGTGACGCCGCTGACTCCGCGGAACGAACACCAAGCCGTGTGAACCAGAAGATTCCTGATACACACAAGCTATGGAATGGTATTGCTATCCTAACATCGGGTCAATCATGTAGTCTTAGGTAGGTTGTAAGTTTTAATATGTAATTCTTATTATTCTTAGTTTCGTAGTTTTCCTGGAACCTGCGGTTGCCAAGCTAACGTAATCACTTGAAGTCTGTTAAAGTGTACTGGCCGTGGTGCCATACTAAATAATATCTACTAAGTTATTTGCTACCAATTTAGTATGTATATATATATACCTTCATCTCCTGCAGCGTGTGCCCCACAGCCTCAGCCTCTCTCAGGAGCGCCACCATCTGCGCCAGTGTAGCCAGCGCCGCGCGGTGTCTCTCCAACAGAGCCAATAGTTCCTTCCACCTGGCTAGCACTGCTTGTTCTGTATGAGACACACTCTCCGCTCCGTGGTACTTCTCCTTAACTAATTCTGCAGCCATAGCTGATAGATCTTCGAAACGCTCGGTTCTATGAGGACAATAATATGTATTAATGTGTATGTATGTATTGGTGATGTGCAAAACAATGTTGTTTTATTTGTTTTATATAAACAATGGGATACTTTGATAAGTCTTATATGTATGTATGTTCTTAACATGAATTTGGTTGAGTAGCATACATATAAAAATAAAATATTTTTGTATTGAGATTTCATATCGATAGAAATCGATCATAATAAAACTAGCCTCGACCGACGGATTCGTTTACATGTCGGTCTCAATCAGATTAGTTGTTTTTATATAAAAGTTACGAACATACATCCATCAACACACAGCTATATTATTAATTACACTATTTTTTATGCGACAGGTATCAAATGAGCCTACTTGATGGGCAGTAGTAATTATCGCTCATGGAAATCTGCCATATAGAATGTGTTGTGGATGCGTTGACAAGCTTGATTGTGGGAGAGAGAGGAAAATGTGGGAAAAGAATGGAGCAACCGTCTCTCTCACTCATCATACAAAACGCAGCCATTAAAGACTACTTCACGCCGATCTTCTGTGAGAGGGTGGTACTTCCCCGGTCGAGCCAGACCATGTTCGAGCTGTAGTGACTTGACCACAGCTAGTTGGTTAATAATATTTAACTCATCCAAATAATAGGAGATTTCAGACAATAGTTCACTAGATAGCATGTAACACACATACATACATACATACAGACCGCATTAATAATAGGCATGTGCTACATTAACCTGGCGAGTATATCAGCTGATATAGCTTCATGTTTCTTGACTGTAGCGTCGACCTGCGCCACGTTGGACCCGTAGCGGGGGTCGGACAGCACTTGAATCATCTCCTTTAGGTACCCCTTACGGAGAACAGACTGAAACGTACAGACGACAAACATGAGAAAAATATCCGATATAATATAGAAAATGTTTCATACTTTTTATTCACTATATATATATGTAATGTGAATATTAGTCAATAAAGTTATTTGCTTTCTAAATTATTAGATTGCTTTTTTCTTAACTACAATATAGGTTTCAATAAGCTCAAGTCTTACAGCTCAGCTTATACAAATATCGTCATCAGCCTATGAGAGCCCACTGCTGAGCAAAGGCTTCTTTCTCACATGGAGAAGGTTTGAGCATTAATTACCACGCTCACTCAAGACGGGTTGGTGATTTCAAACTCATAATTGTGAAATTATAAGTCCAGGCTTCCTCACAATATTTTCCTTCATCAGTCAATGTTGTCTAAATAATCTTATAAAGTACATATGACTCCGAACAATCACATTTCTGCTTGCCAGGATCGAACCCGCGCCCTCATGCATGAAAGGCAGACCTTTGAATATATATTGGACTTATAGGTAACTCAATGTAAATACTTCTTTATGAAACGACAAATTTTTTACCTTTTATTAATGTATATTGTATATGGGATTTAATGGGACGGGTTGGTTCTTCAGAAAAAAATAAAATAAGTACATACCTTAGTATGGAACTTGTAAGCCAGTTGTTCAAGTCTCTCCTGTCTTAATAGTTCAGTGCGAAGAGCCAGCTCCCGGGAATGTTCCGCCTGGATGAAACAAACGAATGGTATATTTAATATACATGTAATGATTATGAAAGCTGATGATTTTGTATATAATTATAGTGTACTAGTTTTTGGTCCTGACTTCACTCGACACTTTCGCATTAGATTTGAGACGGAAAGCTACATCGATATTTTTCATTTTCTTAAACTACATTTTAAAATTCTGATGAATTCCAGCACTAACTATACATAACACCTTAACTTGCTTATATATTACTGATATATTATAAGATAAAATTTCATCATAAACCATTCAGTAATTGTCTAAGACTAACAAGTATCAATAGACCAGTTTTTATTATTAATAATATAATTATTATATATGTATGACCTGTTCCAGCTGTTGCCAGGCTCGCTGCAGGTCTTGAGGCAGCTGTCCCTCCAGCGGGGCCCAGGGTTCTCCTACTAAACTCTTCTGCATCGTGTTGATGTCAAAGTACAAGGCTTCGATTTCAGAACGTTCTTTATACCTGGAATTTTGATGTTTATTTAATAATATTTGTATAAGAAACAAGAAGTGATATTTTTTGTTGGAAATATATATAATTATATTGAAATTAGATAAACTTATGATCATAATTAATAATATGACTGTATTAGTCCAAGAAACATTATTTCCGCTACAAAATTAATTTTTTAGGATTACTAAGTGTCATTTTATTATTTTAACTACATACTAACGACGTTTCGGTTACTTTTCAGCAACCGTGATCATTAAGATGAGATGAGAATGTCATATACTAATAAAAATACGCATAGTAATACTAAAATATTAGTTTCATTTAAATGAATATTCGTTAAAACGTTGTTATTTGCGAAATATAAAGCTATATATCTCTTACATATGTATATATTTGCCTATGGTTGTCTATCTTTCTTTTAGTTAATATATTAGTGTGACTTGATCTTGTTACTTAACAATATCATAATCATAATAATATTTTCCGCACTTGGGCGGTTTCTATATATCTGTTACATATGTATGTATTTGCCTATGGTTGTCTATCTTTCTTTTAATTAATCTATTAGTGTGTCTTGACTTTTTTACTTAACAATATCTCAATCATAATAATATTTTCAATACTTGGGCGGTTTCTCGACGGTCCTGTACTGCTTGAAGGCCAGCAGCAGCCTCTGTATGCCGTCCAGCGAGTTGGGCAGGTCGCGGCAGTTCAGCTCGTGTATCTTGAGGCGGATCCACTCTAGCAGCGCGCTCACTAGGCGGCTGTACTCCGCCTTGCGACCGTCGCAGTCCATCAGCTGGCCGATTATCTGAAAATATATGTAGAATAATGTGATATACGAAAAATGTGCTATGTATGGGACTATCTAAGATAGACAACAGTTATAAGCTTCTTTTAAGGATGAAATAAATCAAAATAGTTTTATATAAGTGATTTTTCTTTAATAATATCTGTACTTAATTGTAAAACTTGTGTTAATGGTGATATGATATCTTTTCATTTGTAGTAATGAATTGTAAATATAATTGTGTTTATACAACGTATATGTGTGTGTATGTGCATGCTTGTATTCAAGTATGTATTTGTGCATATATGTACGTATATGTGTGTATGCTTTTGTTTGTATGTGTGTATACATACATTAGCGATCCTGCGGCCGCTCTTCTGTTCGTTCTTCATCCTGGCGAAGGTGTGGTAGTAGCTGGCCACGTATGTCATCACGGAACGCTCGTCGGGACGTGTAGTGTCAACGTCTAAACATAAAGAACAATTATGCATACTGAACATAGTTTACTGGAATTTTCTGGTTTAATGCCCTTTCATCAGAAAGATTATGGCCAAAGGAATAGAAAATATAGAACTTTGACACTTTTGAAGTAAAAGCTATAGTTCCAAAATATGTATAGGTGCCCCAAACTCCAGAGACGAAACCTCTCATCATTCCATGTATTCACGGTGCGTGTGTCGGGTCCTTCGTTGTAGTGAGAGGAGCTTCAACAGTGACTGTGACTTGCGACCCAGGTGAAGGTTTAAAGGGGCACTAAATAACGCGTTAAACGCTCACCTCCACCGTCCAAGCTTTTCTCTCTACCTAATTTAAAACCTACTATGGCTATCTTCGACGCATATTCTAAGATAGAATTGATGTTAGTTCTGTACAGGCCCAAGTCTTTTAGTATTTTGAAGAGATTTGGCTTTTATAAAGTACTGATTTATCTATCTAAGCATGGCCATTGTTCTGGTCTCCAAGTACCAAACTCCTCACCTTCAGCATCCAATAGCTTCGGTATCCCAAGGTGTGTGTGAGCTACGTCGAAGGCATGGTTGAGAGTCTCCACGTGGTCGGAAGTCGGCAGTTCGGACCAGCGGAACAAATCCGGTCTGTGAAAGAAGAAATTAATATTGTCTTTATATAACTTACATAATACAACTACTATTAAAATGTATGTTTACATTGTTTATCTTGTTTCGTTGTCCATTATCCTACTAATATTATAATTGCAAAAGTTTGTGAGTGTGTGTATGTTTGTTGATTCTTCAGGCTCAAACGGCTGAACCGATTTTGATGAAATTTTGTATACAGGAAGCTGATATCCAGGAATAACACATAGGCTGCTTTACAGCCTGGAAGTTCGCGGGTAACTCAGGCGCAGCTAGTTTTTAGTATATACCTGTGAGCGTGTATAAGAGCGTTAAATCCAAGTCCAGATCTCCAGGAGTCTGTGAAATTGTGTATGTGGACGCCGTGGTAGCCACTGGTCTTCCGCTGACACCATAGCAGGAGAGCATCCTTGGCTGATTTCTTCTCCGATGATACATTCTCTTCATCCTGGTAAATATTTTAAAATAACAGCTGTTAATTCCAGGTGATTCCAGGTGTTAGCAGTAGTTTAGTATATGTATTTATCCTGTTCTGAATATAGTGGCTGATGATCATGACTGTTTCTTATATATACAATGATTTCAAAGCTTTTACGAGTTATTATTTTACTTACAATGTATGTATGTTTTATTCAACAAAATTTAATTAATAAAATTAATGAAAAAAATGTATCTCGCGTGTCCATTATTACAGTTGCTGTAAAGTAACTTAAACGTCAGGAGTATGTAGATTTTTTAATAACAAAATACGCGATAGTACTTCCAATAAATATTAGTTTCATTTGAATGAAATCGCGAAAGTCATATCTCTTTAAGAAAAACTACTACAATTAAGAACTACTAAAAAAACAATTTTTTCATTGTTATTTATTAGTGAAGATTTGTGTGATAGTAATATTCCAGCATATTAGTCAAGACAGACCCTGGCTAAAGCTGGGAAATTGCCAGGAAGTGGAATTCTTCCAGGTGTTATACTGACCACATCGATCTCAATCTCCTGGATCTGGAAGCGCAGGATGATGGTCCAGATGAGACCCAGGATGAGGCGAGGGTTGCAGTCCACTATGTCCTCAGCACCGATGGATTCCAGGCGGACCTGGGGGATAATAGCTAGTTAGTGGCTTATAGAGATTTGATTGCAAATTGAACCTTGTTATAATGTATGATATGTTAAGGTAAATTTTTCTTTTGGATGCTTCAAAAATATATGTATATATGTATTTTTCATCTTCTAAGAAGATACTTCAGACTTCAAGAATATGTATAGAACTAGTTTTTGTCCGCCACTTTTACCGCGTCAATTTCTTCATTAGTAATATATGTATAGCTGACGGAGCGAACTATATTCCGACCTAGAGGCCGTAAATAACAAGATAATTGAGTTTATTAAGAATTGTTTTCTGTTTCGATCGAACAGTATTAAATATCCCATGTCCTTTCCATGTTCTAATCTATCTCTCCACCAATCTTCATCCATATCCGTACAGTCGTTCTTGAGTTATATATAGTGTAACTAACACGACTTTCTTTTATATATATAATATATATAGTACATATAGTGATATCTACATGTATGTAACAAAGTAACATATTAATATTAATACATATATAATTGAGGCTAATTTTAAGAGCAGGCCGCTAATTAAGTTACAGCATTCCATTCCACGAGAAACCTTTCAAATGTCAAGTATTTGCAAACAACGCCTCATGTAGTGATAGATAGAAATTAACTTAAATATAAAATATATGTTATAAATAAAAAACTCAATACTGAGTATTAAAGTTTTCGTTAACGAGAAATTTTGATAGGTGATAAATATTTTCTATATCTATGTATATATATAAAAGAAAGTCGTGTTAGTTACACTATTTATAACTCTAACGACTGTACGGGTTTGGATGAAGATTGGTTGAGAGATAGATTAGAATATAGAAAAGACAGGATATTTAATTCAGTTCGATCGAAAAATAAGAATACTTAATAAACTCCAATATTTAGTTATTTATGTCCCATATGCCAGAATAGAATTCGCCCCGTCACATATATTACCAATACATATAGCCAATTTAGAAATTAGTGCGAGTGAAGTCGAGAACAAAAACTACTTGTAGATATATACGATATTTAGTGTATTACGAAGCATAAAGTAAAATAAAAAATATATAAGTTTAACGTTATTTATATTCTGATATTAATTGGTAATTCTAATGATACTAATATTTTCGGATTTACTACGCTTTTTTATTTTGTATGTTTCACACCTCGTGTTAATGATCACGGTTGCTGTAAAGTAACCGAAACGTCGGTAGTATGTAGTTTATAGTCAGAAATAAAAACGCGTAGTTAACCCGAAAATATTAGTTTCATTTAAATGAGTACTCGCGAAAATCTTAGATCTTAATTCTAATGATAGTCAACTATCGCCCTCGGTATGATATTGCAACCTACCCTCACCCAAATATTATAAATAGGATGCAAGTGTTAGACTGGGAATTCTTTTACGATTTGTGGAGCTATAAACATCAAGTGGATGTACTACCTAAATTATTTCTAACAATATATATATATATATATATATATATATATAATCGTAAAACAAGTTGCATGATAAGCTATCTGATTGTATATCTATTTTCGGACTTCTGATTGATAATTACGTACTTAGATATAACAAGATATAATATATGTATATGCTATAATAGATAAGCTACTACTGAAAATATTTAAACTAACCTTTATATAATACATATTATATAATACATAAATATTTAGACGTAGATTATATATATAGGAATGACCCGAGGTATGTATATACATTTATATACATTAAAGAAGTATATAACATTTGAAACTCAAGATTTATTCTAATATATATACTTAAACAGTATTTTAGTCCGTCTGTACATCCATTGAATATAGTATGAGAGCAAACACAGAGGTTAATCATCTATATATATAAAAATGGATTGCTGTTCCTTAGTCTCACTAAAACTCGAGAACGGCTGAACGGATTTATCTTATCATAGTCTTGAAATGTTCGATGAGGTTCAGGGAAGGTTTAAAAGCTGAAATTTTTTTATTAATTTCCGGGAAAACCCTAAAAACAGCGCCTTGACATTAGATTTGACAACTAACTAATATGTCAATCATTCTGTCGCACTTCAGAACACGGAGATTTATGGCTTAAAGGTAAACACCGAAAAAATAAATAAGACATAATTTATTTCTTGATTGAGGCAGTACGAAGTCTGCCGGGTCAGCTAGTATATGATAATCAACTTACCTTGGTGTGTAGGAAGCTTAGAGATTTGTTGACATTCTCTATCTTGTGGACTCTCATTCTGCCTGAGTTGGGACGAGGCAGTCTTTCGCCGCTGATGATCTCAAGGAGTTTGAGCAGGCGACGCCCGTCTGCGAGGTCCACGAATAGATCCTCCACTTCCATCCTCGCCTGGAAAAGGTGGATTCATATGAGAAGAAACTCATCATTCAATACGTGAGAACTGATAGGAACAGCATTTGAATTACTAGGAACGAAACCTCTCATCATTCCATGTATTCATATGCGTGTGTCGGGTCCATCGTTGTAGTGAGAGGAGCTTCAACAGTGACTGGGACTTGTGACCCAGGTGTAGGTTTAATATATATAGAGAGACGAAACCTCTCATCATTCCATGTATTCACGGTGCGTGTGTCGGGTCCATCGTTGTAGTGAGAGGAGCTTCAACAGTGACTGGGACTTGTGACCCAGGTGTAGGTTTAATATATATAGAGAGACGAAACCTCTCATCATTCCATGTATTCACGGTGCGTGTGCCGGGTCCATCGTTGTAGTGAGAGGAGCTTCAACAGTGACTGGGACTTGTGACCCAGGTGTAGGTTTAATATATATAGAGAGACGAAACCTCTCATCATTCCATGTATTCACGGTGCGTGTGCCGGGTCCATCGTTGTAGTGAGAGGAGCTTCAACAGTGACTGTGACTTGTGACCCAGGTGTAGGTTTAATATATATAGAGAGACGAAACCTCTCATCATTCAATGTATTCATATGCGTGTGTCATACATACATAACTTTTGGTTAACTTTACTTAGAAGTTTATTAATATTTATGTTATATTAATTTTTATTTTGTCATATATGATCGTCAACTATCACGTCCTCAAGTATCGATAGTAATTCACCAGTCACCCTGTATATACTAGCTTTCCGCCCGCAGCTCCGCCCGCGTGGAGTTCTGTTATATCGCGTTTCAGGGAAAACCTTTCAAAAGTCTGGGATAAAAACTATCATATGTTCTTTCTCAAGGTCAACTTTATGTCTGTACCAAATTTCATTAAAATCAGTTCAGTGGTTTAGGCGTGAAAGCGTAACAGACAGACAGACAGAGTTACTTTAGCATTTATAATATTATAGTACTGATAAGCAATCCACATAGTTCTCTGTACATTCATAATTTCTATGACACAATGTTGGCACGTAGAGAAAAATATCAATATTTATGGACGTGTCTAATCGCATGACTTAGACATAAATTTGTCTGTTATGGTAATGGAGGGGGGGAGGGGGGGGCTACACACACACACACACACACACACACACACACACACACACACACACACACACACACACACACACACACACACATACACAAATACGTGTACAATATCGTTATAAGGCTGACATTCACATAATTGCATTTGAATTTCAATAAAACAAATCCACTGTGAAGGTCTTCTATTATATACATATATGCTCGTAAATAATTAAGGCTGACATCACACTATCCTGACATACGAATGAGGTAAACATTAAAACATACACCGTACAACATACATGCGTTCCGATCCTTATTATATACAGGGTGACTGGTGAATTACTATCGATACTTGAGGACGTGATATATGACAAAATAAAATCTAATATAACATAAATATTAATAAACTTCTAAGTAAAGTTAACAAAAAGTTATGTAATTAATTACGCATCGTGTGAACACCCTACAGATTAGGTATACATACACACACACACACACGCGTGCGGCGGCGTGGTGTTGTATCAGCACGCCGACGCACGCGTCCACACTTGGAACGCTTGGAACGTGTCCACACTTTATTTATTTATAGGGAAATTTGGTCAAAAATTAAGTGCCTATTTTTTTTACATAATTCGAATGAGAATCATGTACCGAGTATTCTCCTTAAATATTGATAGTAATTCACCAGTCACCCTGTATATATGGAATACTAAATCATATAAATTTGTTATTTATATGATATAGTGTAGTTGAAGTTGTTAAAACTGATATTTTAGACTTGAATGACGTCATGAATATATCAAAACAATGACGTCATCAATATAACTATAACTAAAAGCCCTTATATAAATCCGGCAGTTGAAGGTGTTGTTTAAATCTGATGTTTTGCACTTCGATTACGTCATGAATATATTAAATTAATATATAACATAAAGCAATTAGAATAGATATATTAATTTTAATGTTAAAATACTATATAAGTCAGATTAAGCTAGAACAGTATGGACGCGATGACCCAATTTGAAAAGTGACCGTAATTCATCTACCGGGTGCAAGTTCAAATCCTGTTCGACATATATCTTCTTCTTGCCCTGGTTCCACTTTATGTAGGGTAGGCAAAACATGTTCTTCTCCAGTTTCGACTATCAGTTTTCATCTGATTGGTTACCCCTTTCCTAGCCATGTCATCCTTCACGCAATCCATCCATCTTTTCTTAGGTCTACCTCGACCCACATATTCCTCCACATACATATCTAATAACATGTTCGACATATATATAAATTACTAGCTTTCCGCCCGCAGCTTCGCTCGCGTAGAATTCGGTTATATCGCGTTTCCAAGAGAACCTTTCAAAAGTCTGGGATAAAAACTATCCTATGTTCTTTCTCAAGGTCAACTCTATGTCTGTACCAAATTTCATTAAAATCAGTTCAGTGGTTTAGGCGTGAAAGCGTAACAGACACACAGACAGAGTTACTTTCGCATTTATAATATTAGTAGGGATGAATACTTATCTTTAATGTATGCTATAAATATATTTTTATCTACAATAATACAACGCCCCCCATTTAAAGTTATTTATTGACTAAGAATTATTTATTTTTACGACAATTTTATTTTCTCTTCATCTCATCAAGTTAAGGATCGCTCAAAATTTTTGCAGTCGTTTTGATAAATACGTAACAAACAAACGGGTGGACGGTTGATAAGAGTATTTAGACATCACTGACTGTTGAAGGAAAATATGAGGAAACATGGACTTATAATCAAATTATAAGTTTGAAATCACCAACCCGTCTTGAGCGAGCGTGGTGATTAATGCTCAAACCTTCTCCATGTGAGAAGAGGCTCAGCAGTGGGCTCTGATAGGATGATGATGATACACGTGTATTTATATACACAGATTTTGTAAAAACTATACAGTTATGCCACAAAAAGTAATTATTTATTTATATAACAAAACATATTGCCATAATATTCTTCCTGGTAGAACAAACAAACACAATTACCTCCTATTTTGCGGTCGGATAGAGTCTTATCTGTGTATAGTATATGAGATCATGTGCCCATTAAATCATTTTACATATACATATATAATAATAACATAGTAAGATGACGTCATCACTAGTGATATATGTATATTCTAGGAATTGTTTTGTATGTTGGTCGTAACTCAGAAACTACTTAATACATTTATATATTGGAAAAAGATCCATAATAACAGTATTTTATTGTTATGTCAAATTATTATGAACTAGCTTTCCGCCCGCAGCTTCGCCCGCGTGGAGTTCGGTTATATCGCGTTTCCAAAAACCTTTCAAAAGTCTGGGATAAAAACTATCCTATGTTCTTTCTCAAGGTCAACTCTATGTCTGTACCAAATTTCATTGAAATCAGTTCAGTGGTTTAGGCGTGAAAGCGTAACAGACAGACAGACAGACAGAGTTACTTTCGTATTTATAATATTAGTAGGGATATATAGTACATTACGTCATTCGTTACGTCTGTGTGTCACTCTAACAGTGTCATCATCGTTTTCATTGTAATTATGATGACTGATTTTTATTTTTAAAACTGCTATATAGGTGAAATGAAGGTGAATATTACGCTTACGTGACTTGTATCAACAATAGCAAAATAAATATATAAATGAAAATGAAGTAATAATTATACTTGCACAATGGATAACTTATCTTTTAATAGAAATTACTGACAGAACTTAATCTAATAGAAAATGTTGAGGAGATACAGGAAAAAGAAATGGAAAAAGGCCTATCAGAGCCCACTGCTGAAAGGCCTCGTCTCGCATGTAGAAGGTTTGAGCATTAATCACCACGCTCGCTCAAGACGGGTTGGTGATTTCAAACTTATAATTTAATATAAGTCCAGGTTTCCTCACTATATTTTCCTTCATCAGTTAGTGATGTCTAAATACTCTTATAAAGTACATATGACTCTGAACAATCACGTTGGTACTTGACAGGTTTCGTACCCGCGCCCTCATAGGCCACCACGACTACCAATAAAAGGATATACATATACTGACCTTCTGTAGGAATGAATTGACCCATTTCGTGAAAGTCTTCTTCTGTATGTGTTGTCTCTCTTCTTGCAGGGCCCTGATGCGTCCCTGCTCAAATTTCAGAGCGTCTTCCCTTTGTTTCATATTGGTACGTTGCTGCACTGCCGTTGCGTACCCACCCGGCTCATACTGCGGCCCTGTGGAAGAACAGCAATTAATCTCAACCATGGGTATTTTTTATTATTCTTTATTGCACAAATAAAACATGTAGGTACGAGACTTAACGCTATAACAGCATTTTCTGCCAGCCAACCCAGAATAGTCTTGGAGACTAGTCAGTAGGGTACACAGAAGTTAAAGAAAAATTTTTAATATACAGTAGAACTCCAATTATCCGAACTCCGACTATCCGAATCGCCGATTATCCGAATCACTTTCAGAAAAAAAATTGTCCAAAAAAAGTTTAAGTGCGCTATTATTCTTCCCTCCGCGAAGTCAGTGTAGACGCAACGGCAAGTTAAGACCGCAAAACAGCTTACATTGACGAAGATGTTTAAAAAACAATGATTTTTATTTCTAAACTTGTACATAAGTACAATTTATTTATATTTAAAACATGTGAAAATATCATGTTTCTTTCATTTAATTCAATAAAAAAATAGCGCAATATCAAAACGTAACTTTTTTTCTCTCCAATGGCAATTAAAAACAAAACTCCGATTATCCGAATATTTGATTATCCGAATGGGTCCCGGTCCCCATTAATTCGGATAATTGGAGTTCTACTGTATACTTAGCAATAGATGCATATAAATATTGCCTATGGTATTATGGACCAGGATTCCATAAGTAATATAATTTATGCATTCTCCAAAATATTCTTATAGATGAAACTAATATTTTAGATACGCGTATTTTATTATTTCAACTACATACTCCCATTTAAGTTACTTTACAGCAACCGTGATCATTAAGACGAGATGTGAATGTCTGATAATAAAATATACGTAGTAATCTTAAAATATTAGTTTCATTTAAATGAATACTCGATAGAATCTTAGATATCAATATTTCTGATAGACTGAAAACTTCTTTAGAATGCTTGTAGTACTATTTCTAATAGATTCTAATTAAACTTCTACTTAAATAGTTTGAGGTATCTCCAGGTCAAAGCATTACCATATTTCCTGCTGGGCTGGTACTCCTGGTAAGAGTGTATGCTGACGTTGCTAAGCTGTCTCTGCATCTCATCCGCACCAACTTATACTACGCTAATTATCACAGTTCTTAAAACTTGTATTTTCGCACATATATTATTGTATAGTATAAAAATCAAAATTAAATCTATTTATAAAAGAAAGTCGTGTTAGTTACACTATTTATAACTCACGGCTGTACCGATTTGGCTCGATATTTGTGGGTAGGTAGTTTGAAATCAGGAGACGGACAGGATACTTTTGAATTCATTCGCCCAAAAAGAAATTGCTACTAAAATCCAAGTACGCCTGATCAGCTGTACAGTTTTAATTATGAAACTAACGCGGACAAAGTCGCGGGCAAAAGCTTTGAGAAAAAGAATTTGAGATATTTTTATATATGAACAATAATATAAAAATTTGTATATAATGTAATAAATAATTGTATAACAATGACAGCAATTAGCCTTTTCCCAAAGAGGGTTAATGTCAGGCAGGCGGCCGGTCGTAAAAACAATTAACCAAAACTATTCACAACATGTAAGGCAGACTCTGGCTGGAGCTGTGAAATTACCAGGAAGAAGAAGAAGAATGACAGCAAATAAATAAATTTTATGAATCCCATACATTTCTAACCCATTCGATTAACCTTTTTGTCCTTACCACTAGTTTTCATCGAACAGACAGACAGTCAACGGATTTATTTACGTAAAACGTGAAGACTTAGCAATGACAGATTACTGTCAATATCTAGTTTAATAAAACATGTGTTAAGGGTAATATGTTGTCTTCTTCTATGTGATGTGTCGACATGTGAATTCCAGTTGTACTTCCAATAAATATTAGTTTCATTTAAATGTAGATCTCATTAAAATATTTAAGATATTAGAAAAAATAATTACAGAAGACAATCAAAATGAAATGTTACAAAAAAATACAAATGAACAATTAGATTTTTTTAATTTACATACAAATATTATGACTAATAACCTTGGTATGTTTTTTTTTGAAGACATTTCAAATACAATAGCACATGCATCCTTAGTAAGCGTTATCGTCACTCCATACGGAGAGTCTCACGTTTCACGTAACGATTATGAATGAAAAACTGTTAACGCTGAGTAATTAGTATGAACACAATCAAGGTAAGTATACTGGTATAAAAAAATGGGACCAATTCATTAAAAAAACTATTGAATAAAAGTTAAAACTAATAATGAACCAATATACATATTTTCTTTTTCTACCTGCCAATTTCCCAGCTTTAGCCAGGGTCTGCCTTGCATGTTGTGAATAGTTTTGGCTAATTGTTTTTACGACCGGCCGCCTGACTGACATCAACCCCTTTTTGGGAATGCATTAAGCAGTGATGTTTAGATACTCTTAGAAAGTTCATATGACTCGAAAAATTCACATTGGTACTAGCCAGGAACGAACCCGCGCCCTCATACACGAAAGGCGGGTCTTTTAGCCACTAGGCCACCACTGACTACGTACACACTGCGTATATAAATATATACATACATATATGCATTTCATTTTAATTTTCCATAAAGACAATGAAAACAATATTTCCTTATATAACTGTAAAATATTACGACCGTGTGTTCACGTGTGTTTGTGTGTGATCTGCACATGTGTGTGTGTGTGTGTGCGCATTCCTCGAATATGCGCGTGCGCACGTACAATAACCGTAGCCGGCTTGTTGAACCTGCGTTGTTACCTAGTCTTATGCCCAATTCAAAAGTCCTCTCTATGGTAACACACATATATGTATGTAGGGGAGAGTTGGTTATATCGTACTAGCATTTAAATCGTACCACCTCTAAATTTCCCATTTAATGAATATTTTTTTCTACACTGACAACGCCAAATCGTGGCCCTGCACCATCCCTCTTCACCAGCTAGTTTAAATCGACGTGAATTAACAACTTTGCACGTAATAAAAGAAAAACATTTTTTGTAGGATTTACTAATAAAAATGCATTCTTTACTTTTATTATATAAGCTAAATTGTAAGTTTATTTGTTCGCGACAATCTCAGGAAGTATTCGTATCAGATGTAATGAACCGCAAAAATCCGAACCTCCCTTTTCTAAATCGGTTAAAATGAATAAGCCGACGCCGGGAGCTATGTTTATAGTGTATCCGTCTGTGTGTTTACAGAGCAGGTCAAGACCAATGACCGACACGATACTGATAATATTTATTTATATTTCTTTGAAGAACCGCCTTCATATCAAAACAAACATATATAAAAGAAAGTAGTGTTAGTTACACTATTTATAACTCTAACGACTGTACAGGTTTGAAGATTGGTGGAGAGACAGATTAGAACATAGAAAGGACATAGGATACTTTACATACGATTGATAAAGAAAATAATGAGTTATCGGTAACAATACGACTGACACACATACAACTCATTCCCATGCTCTCACTCCTTTCTTAAGAATTTTCACTTGATTGTTGTTTTACGAGAAGATTATAATATAAATTTTTATATTTACTTTAGATACAAGTAGATATATAACACTATATCTTTATATAAAAGAATGTCGTGTTAGTTACACTATTTATAACTCAAGAACGACTGTACGGGTTTGGATGAAGATTGGTGGAGAGATAGATTAGAACAAGGAGACGGACATATGATATTTAATTCTATTCGATAAAAAAAGCTTAATAAACTCCATTATCTTGTTATTTACGGCCTCTAGGTCGGAATATAGTTCGCCCGGCCAGCTATACATATATTACATACTAATGACGAAATTAACGGGGAGGACGTCGCGGGCAAAAACTAGTTCATATATATATATATATATATATATATATATATATATATATATATATATAAGTGCATCGCAGTATGTCGGTCAGGGCGTACCTTATCTCTGATAAAGTACTGGCCGTTCTACATATATTATCATTTGCAATACACTCATCACTAAATACACTTTAAAATCTCTGAAAACAAAACCAATGAGTATTATTTTTTGTATGTATGTATGTCAACACTCAATATAACTCCTAAACCTGTTTCTATGTAAATTTAAATTGATTTCAAATATAGTCAAATCACTTACAATTCCAAAGCAATAAAAAACCTACAAGACTAATTCTTTCATGCGACTTCTTCCCCACGCTTAAGACGAGCGACAATCCAGTCTTGTAATATACTGAGTAAGCTAAGCTAATAATATACAAAGCTAGTAAAACAATAAGTTTCAAGAGGTCAAATACACTTCATCATAAAATTAAGAACATTTTATAATGAAGTGTGTCTGACCTCTGTGTGGTCCATTCATAGTGACCTTTGCGGGGGCACGCGAGAGGTGACAGCGGGATAGTAAACAAAACAAATACATATTTATGTAAAAGCTATAAATATATATAATAAATTGAAGATAGTACAAGAAAAATTTATTTTATTGAAGTTCTACTAAAATATATGTATCAAAAACCTTTTATTTAAGAAATAAAGACAACATTTGTTTATATAAAATATGACTTCCAAAAAATAATTGTATGTCTATCAATGAAACATAAAATTAACACTTAAAAAAATCTAAAATAAAGCCACGATATTTCAAAGAAATATTATGTAGTACTAGACAGCTTATACATACATATATATATATATATATATATATATATATATATACATATGTATATGTATATAATCGTATCAGTATTATATCACTACAACACATATATGTCCCGAATGAAGCATCAGTCAAGCCGGTCAAGGTCACATGTTCGGGGCTCATACAAAACACGTTCGATGAACCGGTCCAATACGGCGAGTACACACACACACACACACAAACACACAAACAAACACACACACACACACACACACACACACACACACAAACACACATAAACACACACACAAAAACACACCCACACACACACACACACGTGGCTTCGATTGATTTAATAATATACAACAATACATATATAGTTTGTCTGTATTAATTTCTTTAACCTATTGTAAGAATTTTTCTGGCTTTCCTGTCTAGACGTTTATAGATCTATCAGAACTATTATTCTAGCAATACTATCTAGATATTTATAGATCTATTTAAACTAATATTCTGTCAATACTATCTAGGTATTTATAAATGTGTTAAAACTATTATTCTGGCAATTCTATCTAGACGTATATAGATCTATTTAAACTATTATTCTGTCAGTTCTATCTAGACTTTTACAGATCTATTTAAACTATTATTCTCTCAATACTATCTAGATATTTATAGATCTATTGAAACTATTCTTTTGGCAATTCCATCTAGATGCTTATAGATCTATCCAAACTATTATTCTGTCAATCCAATCTAGATGTTTATAAATCTACATAATATAGAAAAACGGTTGTAACCGTCGCTTCTGACTCACCGATAACAAAACGTCTGTATGATGACGTCATCTTTATAATAGCACATGATTCGCACATGTCGAGCGGTCAATTAAATTGTACGAGAGGATATAACGAATTAGTACGTCTAACGTTATACTGATGGAGCATTACCACTTCTATTGATGGGATATAAGGTTGAATTTACTGTGACAGAGAGATTTTTACTAATAGGACTGAAAGAACTGCAGGTTTCTGCGAACTAGGACCTAATATCGAGACAAATACAGTCTGGTAAGTCGACCTTTGACGTTACAAAAACATGAGGATCCTCACGGAAGATTTGCATCAACACCAGGAAGAACTTGGATACATTGATGATGATACTTCTTCTTATTGATTATTGGGATATTATTAATTCAGGATCTGGTGCATAGCTCATCAAGCTAGTAAATGCAATCAATGGAGTTACTTGTTGCACCAAAAAGGATGGATTAAGGCATTTTCATTATACATATAATCAGACAGGAATTGAACCCGGGAACTATAAAAACTATCATATATATGTATAAAAGAAAGTCGTGTTAGTTACACTATTTATAACTCTAACGACTGTACGGGTTTGGATGAAGATTGGTGGAGAGATAGATTAGAACATAGAAAGGACATAGGATACTTTACATA